AGTAAAGCTATAGGAATTCAAATATTATATTAATATAGTTCAAATCAAAATTATATAATATAAAGTATATATTAGCCTCTTTTTAATTTCCTAGTATATCCTTAGTAATAATTCCAAGAATATAATCTTTATATAAATAAATTCTTTTTTCTTCTAGTAAGAATAAGGGAATTACTTTTAATATTAATAAAATACCTATATTTAAAGCTAATCTCTTCTTTATATAATTGGCCTCTATATTCGAGTCTACTAATATTCTAATTCTTTATTTATCTTTTATTATTTTAATAGTAATCTTAATTATTATTCTTATTTTAGGAGCCTTGCCTTTTATAATATAAATAAGTATAATTATTATAGAATATACTTGTTTCCCGGCTTCTTTAGTTCTAGGTACTTATATATTTTATAGCTAGACTTATTATAGTTATAGTAAGTCGGTTTCCCTTAATTAGGGCAAGTAGTAATATAGTAATTCTTTTTCTAATAAATAAAGTAAATTATATCCGGTTTTATAGATTCTAATATAAGTACTATATTAGATTCTATTACTATATCTTTACTATTCCGGTTTTATAAATCTTATAATAGAAATATATTTCTTTTCTATTTCTTTTTATTATTTCTTTTTTCTTTTCTTCTATTTCTTTTCTTTTATTATCTTATTAGCTTATTATTATATTTCTATTAAGTAAATAGGTTTAAATTATTCTTAACTCTTATAATAATAGAAATAAGCTTCTTTCTTTCTTATAGAATATTCCTTTAATAATTAATTTCGTTTCGGATTTTCTGCCTTAAGCTACTAAATAAGTTATTTCATTCTTATAGTAAACCTATATATCCTAAGTTATCTAATAGGCTATCTAAATAAAATATAAAGCTTTAGATATTTTAGCCTAGCTATTATTTAGTATCCTTGAACTTAGTAAGGGTATTATTATTATAGTTTTCCGGATCTAAAATAAAATTCTTTATAAATTTAATAAAAGTCTCCTAATCTATAGTATTAATACTTATTAATTACTTCCTATACTTCTAGATATTTCTGGCTATATTCTTAAAATAGGAAATATAATATATAACCTTTATTATATTAGTAGCCTAGATAATTCCGCTATCTTTATACTACTTTAACTCTACCTAATAGAAGAAGTCCTGGGCTTCTTTAATATTCTTTTCCTAGTAAGTAAATAGTTCTCGGGTTTTTAAAGCCCTCCAAACTAAGAGTACTACCAGGGATATAACAGGTTCTATACCGGATATCCGAATATCTTTAAAATAATGGATCTAAGCTTCTAGCTTCTCTAGATCTTTTCTCTATTATATCTTTATTTCTAACTTAGTAATATAATAGTAAGCTACTACTAATTTCTCTATTATTATTATTCTACTTACTAGTTCTGGGGATATCTGAGTTCTATTTCCTTCTCCTAATTAGATAGTATAAAGAGTACTTAACTAGGTACTTCCCTGGATATCCGGTTAGGTTATCCTAGTAATAATAAAGGCGCTTCTTCTAGTTAATACTCTAGCTATTAATATTTTATCTATTAATAGCTTAACTACCTTATAATAAACTACTTCCCGAAAATTAGATTAATTAGAATATAAGATATATAATAGTAGGGTAATATATAAGTAATTAAGGTAAATAAGCTATAGAGTAATACTTATAAATATAACTAATTCCAAGAATTAATTCTAATAAAAGACTAATTAATACCTTTTTCCAAAGCTAGAAGTATCTTCCTATATATTCCCTAGTACTTAGCTAAGCCTGCAAAGCACTTTACTTAACTAGGAAATATAATCCTATATAATCCGTATAATTCCGATTACTTATATAATTCCGATTATAAGCTTTACCTAAAATAGGAAACTAGATCTATAATATCTAATACCTGTCTATATACTATTATATATACTTATTATAATATAGCAAGTACTTTCCTTATAATTCAGGAAATTAGTAAGTGGCTTTTATCTAAACCAGACCTTATATAATATATTATTCTTAGAAAGGGCAAATATAGCCATAGTATTAATTACTTATATAATTAAAGGAAATAATTATATTTAAGATTAGATACTAGTATTTGCTTATATAGCCCGTAGTTATTTCTTAAAGATTTAATTAGTAACCTTAATAGAGTCCTAAGATTAGGGGTAATAAGCTCGTTTATAAATAATCTTTATTTCTCTCTTTTTATAAACCTTAATTACTTTCCTCTTAAACTCGCCCCTATTATTACAGGCTAGAATAGTAATATACCCATTATTATTTAGCTATTTAATAAGCTCGTTTATAGCTTCGTCTATAGTTTTAGCCTTAAGCCTATAGATCTAAACGAATTTGGAAAAATGGCATTTTAATTACTAGATCTATATATATTCTCTATCCGGATTATACTATAATAATATTAGTAAGTAATATAAATAAAAATTGCAATTTTTATAATTTTTGCAAAAATCGCAAAAATTATAAGAAAAGCTTAAAAATACAGGAAATATAAGAAATACAGGAAAGGCTAAAATAGGAGTAAATTATATAACTTAGGGAATACTTATACGGAAATCTATTAAATCCAGAACCATATACTAGCTAGAATAATAAGATTAAATAGGTATTACCTCTATATTATTCTTTTAAGCCTTCTCCTTATTATAATAAGTATAATAGGTATTTATTCAAGTATAATTATTACGGAATAGGCTATATTAAAGTCGTCTTATATACTCAAATATAGTATTAGAAGCTATTATATAATTAATATAAAAGTTAGTAGCTTTAAGGAAATACTTACCTATATATATTAATTTCTTATAAATAGTAATCAAAATCTTAAAGGCATTATTATAGTAAAGAGTATACCGGGCTAGAAGAATCTTATTATAGCAAGTATTATAATACTTCTTATAATATACTTAATTATTCTAAAGCTCGTATAAGTAGGATTCATACTTAATATTAGCCTGGTAGCACTTCTCTACCTTAATTCTACTAGGAAACGGAGTATTAGAATTTTGAAGCTACTATCTAATATCTATATGTTTCCTAGTAATAAGAATTTTCTTACTACCCCCCTTAGCAAGCCTCTAATCCTATATAGTTTCGTCTTCGGCAGACTAATTATTAGTAGGCTCTTTAGTAATTAGGGAGGGCAAAAACTGGATACTAGACAAACGAGCTCCTGAAATAGTAATATTAAAATATTACTCTACTCGCTTATAAATACGCTAATAAGGCATATACGGGGTTAGGGATAAACGAAGGATTAAAAGAGATATATTAGAAGTAAGATAATTAATTAATTAAAAAATATAAAAATTAGTGGTTATGCTTGGTAAATTAGTACTTATAGTACTTGTAGTATAAACTATATCTAGAAAATAAGGGAATAAAGGCCCTATATATATCTAGAAGCTCTGGAGAAGTATCTTTACCCCTATTATTACTTCCCTTAATACCTAGAAAAAAATTAAATAAACTATATAATACTATAGGTATAGTATAAATAAGTGAGGTATAAGCGAAATAAGAAAATTAGACTTAAGAATATACTTAGTATTAAATATTAGAAATCTATATTATAGTATAAAAAGTAAGGCTTAAGCGAAGTGAAGAATATAGAATTAAGGATATATTTAGTATGAACTAGTAAGTAAAAGCTTTTAGCTCCCTTAGCCCCATTAGCCCCGAAACCCCAATATTATGCGATTAATCAATCGGGACATCGATTAATTAATCGGGACCCACTGTGGAGCCCGAATCGTAATTAGCCCCGATTGATCAATCGTAGCGTCCGATTAATCAATAGGAGGGGGCGATTGATCAATCGCTCGTATTGACGAACGGGGGGGAACAGTTCATTTCATTTCAATTCAATCTAATTCAGGATGAGAAAATTGCTAAGCGGTGATTTGAGGATTAGATAATGAGTGAAAGGGGTATATAAAGATTGATGTATACTTTGGCAATGAGCTGGGCTTAAAGAGGGTTGTGAGGTCATCAATAAAGGGGGAGTGGAATGCTGTCAGACAATCACATTGGGAGCATTGTTGATAAGCTATTTACGCTGGAGATTGAATTCGCGTTATGGTTTGTGACGTTGCGATTTGGATGCTATTAATATTGCACCTATTATCATTTCAGAACTCTAATATAGAATTGGGGACGTTTGACACCAAAATAAAGGTGCAGGTGCATTACTGAGAACATCACTTGATGGTAAAAAGAGTAACCGACAGCGAAAACAAGAACTTGACAGCAAATACAACTCTACTGCATATTATTTAATAGTAGGAACTAAAGTTACTCGATTTCAATTCCGAATTTTGACATAATTACACCTAGAGTCCGAGTATATAACAACAGAGGGGGATAATAAGGTTGAGCGGGATATCTGTGATGATACGTATGATGTGGATGCGTTTGATAATATTCGGTTTAAGGGTGTGGAGTGCACGAAATGCTTGAATTGTTCTCTCTACAAAATTGGTCCTGGGCTAGAAATCCCAATTATCTTTCGTATGGTCGCCGCTAACGCCAGTTCAGCCATCCCCTCGGTCTTCAATTGCCTGGTGTTTGGCCAGGGGCACGCTAATGTTTAAATTCATATCATGCCTGCATTGATCCAAACACAAAACGAAAAGAAGGTGAAAAACCTTTGAACATTGTTCCATTTACAAATTTAGCCTTCTATCACCTCGAACCTATGACCGTGTGGATGTATTCGAGCTGCATCCATGATACACCTAAAACAGAGTTTGAAAAACCTGCAGTCCTTACAATTATGACGGCTACCAAATATATGCTAGATTATTTGATCAACTAATGCACATGCTGCTGTCAAGACATAACTTACATGATAACAAGAACTACAGGAGTAGTGCCGACGCTTACCAGGCCCGGTTATAAGTTGCTTTGATTCTGCTTGGTCCGCTTTATCCTGGAACAGGGAAACTAAAGAGTCATTTTCACAAAACGTGGCTACATCAAGCGGTGTCCAGCCGTTGATATCTTTTCGGTTCGAATCCGCTCCAGATCCTTTTAACATCTCTACGATCTTGCGGCTGCCGTTTCGACAAGCCCAATGAAGTGCTGTCCAGCCATATGTGTCCAAAAGATTGATATCAACATTAGACTCCAAGATAACTTGGACGATCTGGTCCGACCCACCAGAGGCAGCGAAATGAAGTGCAGAGCAGCCTTGCAGGTCTTGGTAATTCCAATCTGGTATGTCGATATTAGATAAGACAAAAGCTATTAGCTTGCGATGACCTCCTCTTAGAGCAAGATGAAGTGGATATCGGCCTTGATTGTCTTGGCCAATAATGTTGGCTGATTTGTCAAAGAGCAGCTTCACAACGGGTTCGCTTCCCCAATATACTGCTGCTTGAAGTGCATTGCCATATAGTCCGCCTTGAGCATTAATCTTAGCTCCTTTCTTAAGGAGTAGCTTGATAACAGGTTCGTTTCTCCGACATACTGCTGCTTGGAGTGCATTACCATATAGTCCGCCTTGAGCATTAATATCGGCTCCTTTATCGAGAAGTAGCTTAATGACAAATCCGTCGTTAAAAGCAGCTGCTGCTTGGAGTGCATTGCCGTATTCTCCACCTTGAGCATTAATATTAGCTCCTTTATCGAGGAGTAGCTTAATGACAGGTTCGTTTCCCCGATATGCTGCTGCTTGGAGTGCATTACCGTATAGTCCGCCCTGAGTATTGATATTAGCTCCTTTATTAAGGAGTAGCTTGACGACAGGTTCGATTCCCCGATATGCTGCTGCTTGGAGTGCATTACCGTATGGTCCGCCTTGAGCGTTAACATTGGCTCCTTTATCGAGAAGTAGCTTGACGACAGGTTCGCTCCCCCGATATGCTGCTGCTTGGAGTGTATTGCCGTATAGTTCGCCTTGAGCGTTAATATTAGCTCCTTTATCGAGGAGTAGCTTGATAATAGGTTCGCTCCCCCGATGTGAAGCGGCTCCTGCTTGGAGTGCATTGCCATACAGTCCGCCTTGAACATTTATCTTTGCCCCGTTCTGTAACAGCATCCTTGTTGCTAGATAACTTCCTGCCGAAATAGCACTACATAGTGCATTTCCGGCAGGGCCCATGTAGCAATTTACATCTGCACCGTTCTTCAGCAACAGTTCTATGGTACTTGTGTGTCCACCTGAAGCCGCTCGTTCCAAAGCCGTGTTTCCGCTAAGGTTCCGAGCTTGCAAGTTCGCCTCTGCATTTAGCAGTATGCTAATTACGTTATCATGGCCAAAACGAGCAGCAAAATGCAATGCTCTGTTTCCTTGAGAATCCTTCTGTTCTACAAGTGGCCTAACTGCTACCAGCTCCTGTACTATACTTTCGAGGTTTGAGGCTGCTGCAATATGCAATAACGTTGATAAGAGATGGGGCCGCCGTGGGCTAAGAGAAGGTCCATCTATCGCTTGGAACATATCAATCCAACGATGAAAATAATTGGTATTTGGCCACTCAAATCGTTGTATAAGATTGTTTTGGGCGATGCCTTTTCCTTCTGCTGTCTGTGCATGTAGAAACCAGGATTGTATTGCGTATTCCAAGAATGGTGGGTTTTGCCTAGCTCCTTTAATGTGCCGCGACTTCAGGAGCTTTACTTCTTGAATCTCTCCAAGTTTTAGGTAGTTCACACAAGACCTCGCAAGTCGATGATGACCTTGCCCAACAAAATTTGCTCTGCTATTCAGCCCAAGCCATTCAAAGCCGCCTTTAAGAAGGGAGTCGTTCACAGATTGATGGATAAATTGGACGACGTTAGAACTGTGGTGATCTCTGACTTCGATCAGGCCGCCAGATAGGCTAGTGATCAATTGCTCCATTCGCGCATCATCCTCTACAAAATCCTCAGAATCTTGAACAGAGTTCTGAAAGTCATGGATTGAGGGGTCGTCCAAGGCCAGTGCAAAGCGGAGCTCTGTAAGAGAGAGAGGCCTATTAGCGAGAGAGATCCACTGCATCAAATGTAATGAGTCTTTCCGATCTTCAGCGTCAATAAGCGTCTTGAGGATATGCTCATAAATTGAGCCCAAGTTAGGTGGTACCCTCTGCAATGTCTCTAGTACATGCTTGAGACTCTTCCCTTTGTTATACTCTTTCGCCACGATAGGAACCATAAGACTGGCCCATAGAAACACTCCAGACGCGCTACTTGAAAGCTGCCTTTGGAGAACCTTGATATCATCTTCCCGTGACTGACGCTTGTGCGCTTGGATGTGCTTTGAAAGTTCTTCGTCAATACAAGCCGAAATGTCGTCGTTATTCTCTTTTTCCATGCAGACGTCAAATCCAATATTAAGGCTGAAAATAGGATAGTGACGACATGAGAAGCAGATTCTTGTTTGCCTCGCTGATCCCTGAAGCTCTTCATTCACTTCATGAATATAAGCAACAATGGATTCCGCAGAGTTCTCACTGGCTTCGTCAAGAGCATCTATGAAAATGCTAATGGCGTGAAATTTGGCCGCAACTGCTAAAGCAGATTTCAGTGCTTGGCGAAGTTCTGCATCGCGCCATTCCCAATCTATCCCACAGTGTCCAAATGACTTTTTCTCATTATAACGAGCTCGAAATACTGCACGAGCAGAAGCAGACTGGCTTATGAGTTGGTGCGATATTGTTCGTAACATCCCTATAGACGTCTGTTGCAATTGAACACCGCGCCGGTGAAAGAAGAATGCAAGCCGAATATTTGTTTGAGTTGCGTTTTCCTTGTATATTCGTTTCATCAGGGTCGACTTCCCCGAGCCAGGCTTTCCTTTGATCCACAAGAGACCATGCTGGTCGCCGATCCAGCTTTTGTAAGCCTTGTGTTCAAGAATCCAACCACAAGAGTCTGCTCGTGTATCTTGAACCTCGTCTTGCCGGTATCGCATTTGCGGGAAAGCTAACGATTTCAGACAGTCTAGTACAATGTTAGTAGCAACTTGGAAGGCTCTATTATGGCTACGTGCCGGAATCATCTGCAGTCACTGTATCATATTTAGTGAACACCTGATAAAATTTGCTTGCTGCTAAAACGTACGCTCTTCTACTTCCATCCTACGACCCCTCTTCATTGCGAAAGCTTCCTCAGCAAATTCCTCTAACGTGCCAAGTACGCGATCATAGACTTCGTCATTAGCTTTGAATTTCACTAGCTGCGAGTGATCACGATTGATCGCCTGGATGTGGTGGGCTTGATTCTCCCAATGACGACCATGAGTTGCAGACGCCGTGCCCACAAGGATCGCATCCGGTCCCTTCATAACCCATTTATCTGCTATCTATGATACAGTTCAGTCAGTGAGGAAAAATCTCAGTATTTCAGGCCTACCTTAATCGCTGTTGGTGAAGTGACAGTCTCATAGAAGCACACAATTTTCGACTCTGGGAAATCAAAGGCCTTGGGAAAATCTCTAGTCTGTTTCCGGAGCAGTTGAGATTCGTTACTAATAGAGTGTAGAAGCCCCTGATTGACTTGATTTTCCACCATTGGGATAAGTGATTTGACGTCCATACCCTGGTTTGGTCCCCCGAAGAACAATGCTCCATAAATTGAATTCAAAATATCTGGGTCATCAGTGGATGCGTTGCGCATTTGAATTATAGCCTGCGGAAAATGAGCGGCGTGATTCTTATCCCAAATACTATACATTACCTCCTTAACTATTAACCCTCCCAGACTATGAGCAATAAAGAACAGCGGCTTTCTCTTTAACCAAACATTAGCTTCAAACTGAGAAAAATGGGTAGGTATCGCAGACCTCCGTTAGATGGCTTAAACGTCTAAGAGATGTCCTTAGCGTAGTGGCGAGAGCCTCAAGATCCTGAAAGCTTTGACTGCCATAGAGTTGTGACTCGTAACCATAGATAATAATTCGGGTTGTCGCAAGGTCGTTTGGGAGATAGTCACAAAGCCACATACGCGAACCACCCTTCTCCTTGAACGAGCCGAAGGCATGACCGCCTAGGCCTGATATTGCGAGACAACTTGATTTCTTAGCAAGCTTGATATACACTTTGCGAATTGACATACTCGACTTTATGATCAGATGGCGGTGGAGAACTGAGTATTGTGAGGCCACGGAAGTGATCGTCAATTGTTAGGGTATAACTTCGACGTGTACGTCCGATGTCTTTATTTTCGGCTTGAAGATTGCCCAGAAAGTTTGTTATGTCAAAATGTCGCTCAATCTCACCGCCGCCTGAGAGTTCTGCAGGAATTGTTCGAAAACTCAGTGTAGCCACCATCGTATGGCCATCAGGGGCGTTAGCAAGAGACCTGATTTGGGGCGCAGAAGTGTCGCTTTCTAGTTTAAAGAGAGTTGAGACTAGGTCGCCAATCTGTTGGCAACTGATTTTCCATGGCAGACCACGTACTCGATAGACGTGATCTTGCCGAACAGTAGCAATTGTGGGGGGTTTTGGCACCGCCTCAGCCGAGGCCTGGGGGAGTCCGGCATAATATATACCATGCGAGCCTGGATTAAGCTCGGGTTCTTCTGTTGAGCTGGCTGGAATATCCTTGGCAGGCGCCTGACAGAAAGGGTTACAGTCAGTAGTCGTAAAATGCTTTTTGTGCGACCACCTACCACATGCGCTGGAATCTTCGGCAGATGGCCTGAAAGTTCGTCATTCGCCTTCCGTTTAGATGTCATTTTCCAGCGGTGGAGGTGCTCGAGACGGCGATTTAATAGGCCAAAATGATGCGATGGAACTTTGTCTCGCAGTAGCAACCGCAATTATAGACTTAAGATGCTCAGGAATAGGACGCTTAGCTGAGCTTGATCATTCTTCCTGAAAGAATACGGTCCCAAAACACGCTAAAATCGCGCCTCGCTTAATCCAACCAATGGGAAAAAGTCACGTGTACTTGCGTAAGGCACAACTTGAAGTCTTAATATAATATAGTATAAACCAGTGAAAGTTAAAGTAGTTAAGAACCGCATACGAAGAATAAACTAATAGAAACTAAAGAAGCTTGAGGTGTCCTTAATAGACGCACATGATCGGGGATAAGGTGTGTGGGTGGAGGACAAGGTCCGTTATGACTGATTTTTGGTTCTGCTTACCGAGCGGAATCCAAGTTTCAAAATCCTCGGGCCGCCCTAGCTTGCTTAGCGTAACGCCAGTGAGTCTGGATGGTCAACCAGTAACAGTTCGCGGAGATCCTGGCAGTCTACAAATAGAAGCGCCCAAGCCAAGCTATTGATTGGTAATTGGCTGGGAAATTAGGGCAGAATATTCTGCCACCAATCAACCAGTCAGGATTTTAGCCGCTACGAAGACGGTGAGCATTCCCGCAGCCATGGCGCCTCCCTTCTGTAGATAATAGCAGGGTCCACCGGCCAAACCCCCAAACCCCCAACCGCCCAAAATTAAATTATACCACAACCACACCACAAAACAAAGAAAACAAGTCGAAATTCGTGGTATACGACCTCACTTTAGTTATTCTAGAAGCTTTCGAAAAAATTAAGCACTTTAATAAAATCACAAATATTTCGTGTTTTGATAGGGGTGTCCGTAATTGATTAATTGATTGATTAATAGTTATTTATGTCCAGCGCGCATAAATCAAGTAACCTTAGTTACTGCCTATAACCCTAAAGACCTCCCGAAGGGTATGGGGACGTACTAAGCTTATAGGATATTTATACATAGAGTCCTGCTCGCGAGAGGGCCAAAAACCACAAGGGGTAAAAAGACGTCCCTTACGAGCAGGCCCGGGTCCCTAGTCCCGCGGTGTTTCAGAGCCCCTGTAGACCTTATAGAAAGCATTTCAAGTATATTGCGAACGTACCGGGTCGACGGCTTATAACTGTAAACCTCCTTCGCCGGTTGAGGTGGCTACCAGATTCCATTCAGAGCAACCCAGGTAGCCCAAAGCTCCCTTAGACAGGCACGTCGACGACATACGAAGGCACAATACCAAGTTTCCTCTACTTCTCCCCCTCCCCCTCCCCCTCCCCCTCCCCCCTTCTCACGATCTCTCCCTCGTATCCGCCACATCGCATTATCGGGCCTGCCTTTGCAGGAGGATTCCTTCACTATATAGCCTTCTCAAGAGAGTAGACGAGTCGAGTAAGCCACGGTATTCATCCCGATTTCCCTCTGCAATATATATAGAACGAGTCGTACTATCGCGCGTCGAGAAGGAGGAGAAGTAGTCGTAGAGGATCATTAATAAGGGAAAACCTCTTCGCGTGACGCTGTGCGAGCGTTCGAATGAAGCGTCGCTTTCACAGCGTATCGATAGTTGATTGACTCAATCTTGGCCCTGTACTCCAGAAAGCATAGGTTGACAGCCTGAACCACGAGGAGGTGTTGAGTCGTCGCAGACCGATAGGGGTGTCCGTAAGTGGGCGGTTGAGTGGTTTGGGCGTTTGGCCAGTGAACCCTTCTATAATAGCCCACAAATCCCTTGCATATTTCATTGTTGTCGCAAAACCCGAAAGCACTCCAGTACGCATCTTCCAAGAAGCTCTCAATGACGCCTATAAGACCGAGAGCAAGGATATCCAGCCAGAAGCAACCAGAGCTGGATGCTAAGATTGTGCGAATAATGGCGCGGTGAAAACTTCGATCCTTCCGACTCTCTGCACGGAACACTTCAGTTACTAGTCTCTTTATCCTAGCTATGAGCCTGCTCCTTTTGCGGAATAGTTCTCAAAATAGACTGGATATCTATCCCCTATCAAGAGCCGTGGACTGGGATATACGAAGGGAGAAGGTAAAGGAAGTATTTGTAACGAGTTGGGATGCATACTCAAAGAATATATGGGGTCAGTCATTAATACTTCATCTTATAATATACTAATATTTCTAGTATAAGGGCTAAGATATTCTTTATATGAGATTAGTCCAAGATCAATTCCACCCAATTTCGAAAACAGGCTTACAGATAAGCCCCCAGGGCCTGGGATAGATTATTATTAATAGTCTTAATACTATAATAATTATAAACTTGACTTCCCAACTATCCGACGTACGCAAATGGCTATTTCGAAAATTGACCTATAACTAAGACCAGGAGATTAATACCTTCGAAACAATAATCCACATACTAGGCGGACTACTCTCTATACATTACCTGGCGACCCAGTTGCCCGATATCTCTTCTCGGCGGGACTACGTCTATTTAAACAAGTCAATCGACCTCGCGGATCGCCTTCTCAGCGCCTATAAGTCTAGATCTGGGATTCTATACGCGAGCATTAACTTGGGGACCGGAGCCGGTATCCCTTTGCATTTTGATAGCAAAGCTTTATTAACTACCAAAGCTTCGACCTTATAGCTAGAGATAAAATATCTAACTTATTTTATAGGGAAAGAGCTATATTGGCGCAAATCGGAAGAGGTTATAAGGGTTTTAGATAATAACGGTATATAGGACGGGCTTCTTCCTATTTTTATCTACCCAGATACCGGTCGATTTACCTCTTCGGAAATTCGCCTGGGAAATCGTAGCGATTCCTATTATGGTACGTCTAGCTCGGAACCCGCTATTTGCGTATCTATTACCATGGCTTATATCTACTAGAGTACCTTATTAAGCAGTACTTGTAGACAGGAGAAGCTATCTATCTTGAAATATAATTACAAGCCTTAGCTAGTATCCAAAGGCATATAATTACTACGACGAAATACTTGAAGCTTTAGTTCGTTATTGAATTACCGCAAGAAATCGGGAGCCTCTTGTCTCCGAAGATGGATTATCTCGTCTACTTCTTGCCCGGCTCTATTATACTAGGTATAACAGGCAGCCTTATAGTAGCCGGAGCTCGAAGACTGCCCAATTATTGGGGCGCCGAGAAGGACTAATAGATATAGCTTGTAAGAGAGCTTATAAAGATGTACTGGGGCATATATACGGTTACAGAAACTGGGCTCGCGCCTGAGATCGCCTGGTTCGAAGCTAATAACGCCGCTCTATAACCCATGACTAGTGCGGGACTATTTCCTTCTAGTAGTAACTTTAAGACTGCCTGGAAGAAAGACTATATCGTCAAGCCTCTGGATATATATAACTTGTAATGCCTGGAGACTGTGGAAAGCCTTTTCATAATATACCGTATTACAAATGACCTAATCTACCGGGAATAGGGCTGGAAGATATTTAAGGCATTTCAAAAGTACGGGATCCTCGAGGATAGATAGGGCTATACGTCTCTTGATAACGTTAATGCGGTCCCGCCGGTGCGGAGAGACAATATAGAGAGTTTTTGGCTAGTAAGAGATGCCCAATCCCGAATCCTAGCTACCCAATATATCGTGAATTGACGTTATTGTTTAAAATAGGCCGAAACTCTGAAGTATTTATATTTGCTATTCTCGCCGATAGACTTCCTCCTATTAGATGGGATTGTTTTTAATACTGAGGCGCACATCTTCCCCCGCATAAAGCAGGACAGGTTTCAGACTGGATAGAAGCGGATAAAGCGTAGCCGCGAATAATAATAATGGTATGAATATTTCCGTTCGTATTATATGTAAGACCTGGTTCTTCGGGAAAATGGCACGTCACTTTCGAAAGAATGAATAAAGAGGGTTATGAAATAATGGCGTAATTGAGCGGATGAAATATTGTCTTCGAGAAAAATCTTCTCGTGCGAAAAAGACAAGAAAAGCGACTTTGATTTGCTTCTTAGAACTCATATCTATTTTCACAATCTCCTTAACCGAACCTGGTCCAATGCCTTCACCCTCTGTATATGCGGTTATGGGAGGTAGATGGGCTAGAGGCGGCTCCTCTTCCTCCGCTTTAGCATAGGCCATCGTCTCCGCTGCCTGTAATAGGCGACCTGCTACGTAATACGCCTCGCGGCGACTGTCTCTCGATTGTGGGTTCGTACAGGTAATTGTACCGGCATTAAGCCATTCGTATTGCTGCTGCCAACGCGGCACCTACAACTTTCCCCCCAAACTCACGATTTGCTCGACAACTTTTATTCCACGCCCTACGGGCACATAAAAACCATCCCAATCAATTTCTGAGGCTTCATTCCATCTTTCCCAGTACTCTGAGCATTGTTTTAGGTGGACTGCCATCCGGTCGAATTCATCGCAATTCGCCCCTCAAACCGCGGACTTCACACGCTTGCAAGAACCCCCCTCGCCCACCAACCCTAATCGCACTTCAAAGAGACAGAAGGAGCTCAATGTCAATCCTCCTCCTTGTCTCGACTTAGATGGTAGTGCGCGCACCTGCAATACCGCTTCCAAGGCCGTTTCCGGCCAGTTTGAAGCACTCGAACGCGAAGCTCGCATCCAGCATACTATAATATACGACCTCGCTACTATAGTAGACCAGTTTGTGTCTGCCCACAGGACACATGCGACAAAATCGTTCGCTACCTTACGAACTTCCTATTTGCCAAATCTAACGTTTACGTTCCTATTCACATTAAAAGCCTACCAAACTCTGGCACACCCATGACCAACTTAGCAAAATCCGTTAGCTGGGCAGATATCGCAAAGACCCCGAAAAATTCAGGGGCTAAACCTCAATTCACCAAATTGGCTATCACTTTCCTTTCTGGGAGACGACCCATATCAAATTCTTGCATAACTCACTGCCTAGAGGGCTGAGCTCGAGTCAATCCAGCTACCATGCGATTGGGCCTGATATCCAAATTCTTACCACCCTTATGCCGATCCCGATAAGCTTACTTTTGTGGCGCTTGCAAATGACTATTAAATCGGGCGTTGCACAGGAGTTCACGGAGCTTTGTCGGTGATTTGGCCTGCAGTCGCCTGCCCGTGGTCAACTCGCATCTCCCGATACGTGGATACTCGCAGATCCAAATCCAGAGTGACTTCTATTCACGACAAGTTTGTGTAATGATTCAGCCGCACATAACCAGCCATTTTAGCCCATCAAAACAATTGGGTGGAAAGTTCCGTTTCCTGCCTCTCGAGCTGAAAGCATGTCATCATTTCAGCTTCCTTCTGTTCACCGGTGTAAGCGACGTCAGAAGCCTCAAAGCTCATATGATATTGCAGTTGTTGTGTCAAAGAACATATGCTTCAAGTTGAGACCAATTGAAACCTCTTATCTGAGGCTCTCTTCTCATACTTTCTCTAAGATATCATTAAGTTGAAAGAAAGGCAAAACACACAATCAAGCTGCAGGTCAAATTCCCAAATTAACACAGGTCTATTCCTCTTAGTCATTGTACGATTGTACCTACGCAAGAGCTGACACTTGCCTCAGGTAAAATGATCGTAACTCAACGCAACGACAATGCGCGCACAGGTCTGAACAGCAACGAGACCATTCTTAACCAAGCCAACGTGTCTGGTGCTAACTTCGGGAAAATATTTGAACGCATCGTGGACGGAAGTGTTTATGCTCAACCCCTTGTCGTGAAGAATGTCTTGCTGCCCGGACAATCCGAGCCTCTTGACGTCCTCTATGTAGCAACAATGCACAATTCGGTGTACTGCTTCTACGCAGCTCATAGTAATATTACTGCTCCGCTTTGGAAACAGAATTTGGGACCATCAATTCAGCTTCCAGATGGGGACGTGGGTGGGTTTGGATACAGAGACATTGCCTGGGAGGTTGGCATTCTCTCCACGCCTGTCATCGATACGACCGCAAATGCCATCTTTGTAGTGTCGACGGGCCCTGACCCAAGCCAAGGCATGAAGGTCATTCACACCTTGTGGAAACTGGGCCTCGACGGCGCGAAGCAGGGCAGCGTTCAACTCAACGCCAACCACAATGCCATCCAATTTTCGAGCAATCGTCAGAACCAACGACCGGCGCTCACACTGGCAAATGGCACTGTGTACATTGCTTTCGCATCCTATGGCGATACGAGAGACTACCAAGGCTGGATCTTGGGCTATAGCGCAGCTACGCTTAGTCATAACAACACCTTCACTACTGCCCCAAACTATAAGTCGGGTGACTTTGGGGCAGGTATCTGGCAGGCTGGAAATGGTCTTGCAGTGGATGGCGAGGGCAACTTGTACTGCATGACTGGGAATGGTGAAGATACTGGAGATTGGAGCGAATCCGTGCTGAAGCTTAGCCCAGGCCTCGATAAAGTACTTTCCTTCTTCACTCCTTCCAACAAGCACAACTTGAATATCTCCGATGAAGACTTCGGATCCAGTGGTGTGGTATTGATTCCAGGTACCAACTTTGTCATTGGCGGTGGGAAAGCCAGCATTCTCTATCTCATGGATCGTGGCAACCTCGGCGGATTCAACACGACTCAGAACAGTGTCGTCGCCTCCCTGAACGTTGCAGCAGGCGAAGACCCTACGAAAACCCACCACATTCATGGAGCTCCTGCCTACTACAACGGACCTGACGGCCCAAGACTGTATGTTTGGCCTGAGAACTCATATCCGAAAGCGGTCAGCTTCGCCGGCAGCTCCCCCAACCTGACCGTATCCTCGATCGGTACTCTCACGGATCCAGAAAATATCCCTGGAGGCAGCTACGGGATGCCAGGAGGCATCCTCAGCGTGTCTTCTGATGGAACCAAGCCAGGAACAGGCATTCTCTGGGCAAATCACCCGTATACAGGAGATGCAAACCAGGACGTCCGTCCTGGCATTCTGCGTGCCTTCGATCCCTATGACTTGACAAAGGTTCTCTATCATAGTCGTCAAAATTCGATGCGTGATGACTTTGGGAACATGGCCAAGTTCTGCTGCCCTACCATTCTTGGGGGCCGCGTATACCAGGCAACTATGGGGGGGATCCAGAGCAAGCAGTGGCTGCAAATCGACACCACGAACGTCACGCCTGCACTCGCCAACCAGAACGACAACCGCCTGGCTGCCGCCTTCCTCGGAACTGACGGCCAGATAAATGTCAATAGCTCGCCTGACGGCCTGCTCTGGGACAACAATACAAGACGCTTGGTCGCGGGACAGCACTCGAATCTTTCTCCAGGTTTGGCCTTCAATTCCAATGGCACGACATACCTGGGCTGGGTCGGTCTAGACAGCAACATAAACATCATGCAGACCAGCTCAGCAGCCCTCGATGGATGGGAGTTCCAAAAACGCACCCTTGATCAGAGCAACACCGGTGTCTCTCTCGCCTTTAGCAACGGGATGCTGATCGTTGCCTGGACTGGAAACGACCCCAATGAGTCCCTCAACGTGGCCACTACAATTGATGGCGGCGCCAGCTGGAAGACGAAGGTGACTCTAGTGGATAGTAGCCAGAGCAAACCTGCCCTGGTGATGAATGGCAACATTTTGGTGCTGGCATGGACTGGAAGAGACAGCCTCGCCCAGGTCAACGTCATGACTTGTTCAGATCTGAATTCCCTTCAATTTAGCAATAAGGTCACTATCGGGACGGCGCGGGCCAGCTCTACGCCAGCCATGGACTTCGACAACGATGGGGTGCCGTGGCTAGTATGGAACGGTCCCGGCCCCCAGAACTTGCTAAGCTCGATCACATCCGAGTCCTCGAATACTTCGGGGTTCACGGATCAAAGAGCGAGGGTACGAACGTTTCAGGACGATTCTTCACCGAGCGGGCCAGCGTTCTGTCGATTCAAGGGGCGGATGATAATGGCGTGGGAAGGCGGTGATCATGCTCTCAACTATGCAGTTGTTGGTAGGGGTAGTGTAGCAGTGTATGGATTGTTTGGTGGCACAAATAATCTCATTCAGCACGATGAGTTGTAAGAAGCCCTACTAGAAATAGCACTTCTCCTCGGGATTGGATATCTCAAGAAACATTACCGATTGTGATGCTTTTGCGCAGGGGTGAATGTTTGTTTCATTAATATGTTCCCTATTGTAAGGCTTGTGGTGAACACAAAAACTGACACTGATCTTCAACGTTCGAAGTTAACGTTGGACATTCATCTGGAGTCGAAGGGGTAGGATTTGAATATCATAGAACTTCCGAGGATTCAAAGCGATATTCATTACCCGTACTAGAACTCGAAGGAATATTCACCCTGGTTTGAGTTTTCTTACTTTATTTTTGGCCCCTTAATTGGATTTTGACTCGATTTGGTCATGGACGGGCCCGAGGGTGTCACGCGCTGTGGCATTCCCTCGGTATGCGGGGAGGCTGAGGTTGCAGACACTCTCAGAGATGCGCTTGAGTTGTGAAGCCCATGCATTGTACCAGATCCCATACTTCTGGGGATATGGTGCCACATAGGTGAGGCTCTGATTGCCTGTGTTATCGCCCGGAGGTGCCAACTGGTTCAAATAATCATATGGGGATAATCCGCGCAGACCAGGATTGCGGAACCGAGAAGGCTAAGTAAGCCCTTTGTAATAATTCTCGACATCTTAGAAGTGGAGTGAGGTGTATTTGCATCAAGAAGAGACAGGATGAGGGTTTTGGCACAGATATATACGTGGAACGCTAGAAAGTATCCAAGGATGGCAGCCTCTTGGGGCGCGGGAAGAGCGCATGAAGTTGACGAGAAATCCATTGTATGTGTTTGAACCCGCTGGAGCCAGAAAACCTCTCATTTTTGACAAACTATATTATCTGGAGTAACATTTGGACTGTGATTCGAAGGATCGATGTCTTTGTTGCCTGCTGTGCTGGTTACTCCTAGGCCGAAGGGTGCTGATTCCTCTAAACTCTAAAGCACAATGATCAAGGAGGGTTAATCGGGTCCCATGTTGGTCATTTAACGTAGACTCTGATCAATAGACTTGACATGAAATTTATCGATGAACAAAATATTTCAGTTCACTAAGCCTCGCCAATAAGCCCACCAACCAATGGACCAAATGCCAATTCCAACCTAATCCATGTACTAAACATTAAAATTTCCTTGCTCTATACCCACGGGAACGCATGTAAAACTGCCCATCACCGTTTGGCAGTCAAACTCCGGGAGACTGGTTGTTTCTAGCATGGATTTCATTGCCCTCGTCTCCACCGCCGAGTGGATAAAAGCCGCAAAGCCGATCAAGATCACTACAGCGGTGTAAATCTTGTATCATGTGGCGTGGATACAAGGAATGATTGTCGAATTCGTCTGCCTGATACATATATAGAATACGTATATCAAAAGAAGTCTGCCCGTAATAGATACCTAGGTACAAAACGACGAGAAGTAGTCGGGACACGTTGAGATAAGGGAGCGATGGATCCCACAAGTTCTTTATCGCTGATGCTGCTGATACGCACATAAGAAGCAGAACCGTGAGAAACCAAAAGATTCGCAGTACAACTCCTCTCCAGCTGCGAGGGTCGTGGAGGCGACCCTCAACGCAATCATCAACAGGAAGACTGTTAATAAGGACCACTGCCTTTTCTGACCCCTCCTGAGACCGCAAAGCCTCCTGGCTGCTGGGCATTTGCCATATGTGCAGGTATCCAAAATCATTCGACAGCCAAAACGCGGCCAGGTTGATGGCCCAAGTGATAGATCCCTGAAGAAGTTTAACACGGCTCCCCTGGGGTTGAAGTCAGCTCACACCCCTGGCCTGCTTTCTGGAAGCTTACCAATTCTTGGGCATGACGAGTTCCAGGCGTTAGTGGTAACGCCTGCACAGGTATTTGTAGATGCTTGCAGCTTTCGATGTCTCAAATATCATCTCTCAATCCCAGTCTTCTGACCCTTTCCCGCTCTGCATCGACCGCAGTTCCACGATGCCACTTTTGAGACCACCCTTGTGTGACAACAATTCCACCATCCACCAAGTTCTTGTTACTTCTGTCGTCGCTGGAAGGTCTGACAACAGCTGGTTCGACATCATCCAACATCAAACTTTCTACCCTAGCCCGATATTTCGCGCGAGAAGACGAGCTGTGCGAGTTGGGTTGACTGGGCCTATCTGACGAAGCACCGAAATATGGTGTACGAGAAGCAGTGACGCGGCCGCGAATAAAAATGGCAAATGAGGGAAGACATCCGACGATCAAGGCTATTTATCAGCGGAGTAAGGTCAGCGTGCTCTTTGGTACTAATGATTAAGGTAGACCTACCAACAGTGCCCTCTATTAGAGCAAAGAGGATGAGCCAAGTTGTGCTCACGTTTCCGTTCTTGGTGGCTGAGTCCAAGGAAACGACTCTAACTATAGCAACAATCATGGTGATGATTCCGACTGTGAAAACAATTCCAACGGAGAACTTCTGCGCTGTGGATATCTGTAGACTGTACAAGATTTCCACCGGAATAGCCATGACTGTTGCATTCAAGATGTGGTTAGTTATACTACTTATAGTAGTAAGAGGAAATAGATACAAGCTTACTCATTAGATCAGTCAGCAGATCAACAGCCAAAGCGTACCAGAGACTAGCAGCCTTTGCCACATTGTCTCGATGGAGGTCACATTCACCTGGAGAAATCAGCTACTTATTAATAAAGTAAATCCAGAAAACTCGTGTAAAAGGACTCTTACCAAGAGGACTAAACCAAGCACGCATACTTGAACAACTCTCAAATGCGCTGATGACACAACCCAGGAAAGAAAGTATGCAAAAGGCCAAGACACCCCACCAAAGCTTTGTGTACGTCGATATTCCAGTGGTGAGCCTCTGAAACATGAATAAGAGACTCAATTTCACAGACCATAAAGTTGACCAGAAGAAAATCTGGATACATAGGATTTCTTTAAGCACGGTGACTATATCTGTGTCGATAGCTGTATAAGGGGCCAGTTGGCCAGTCTCAACCAGTTCAATCCTTTGTAATCGAGGTAGAAGATCCAGGTAGAGTCCAGACATGACGACATTAGTGGCCAACCCAAGGTACACGAAAATGTCTTCAGCTGCAATGGGCACTTGCCTGCCCTTGAGCCAGCGTGCTCCCGACCGAAGAGCTACGAATATACAGCTGATAGTGAGACATGCTATCAGCACTTTCTGTGGTAGATGTCAACTTGACTCAAGAGGAGGAGGTCAAGTTTGTGCCTACCGTAAGGACGTCAAAGGGGATGTCTTGGGACACCATATCCACGATAGCCACTCGACTTGAATTTGTTGAGTGTCAGCTAATGAAACTTCTCACTTGATGCAGTCTTCTGCCTCAGGTGAAGCGAGTAGACTGCAGCTTCGGGACATTGATATATCCAAAACAGCTGTAACAAAAATTAGAATAGCATGTGCGAAGCACGGTATATCCAGCATAAAGTTGATTATCATTCGACTTCATTAGTGTGCGATGACTAATTCCGGAGTACGACATAACCTCCTCGACAAGAAGTTCAAGCGGATTGAGCTCCTACTGTATGAAGGCTTTATTATTGACACATGCAGGGTGAAGGCACAAGGAAAGGTTCTTCAAAGTTTGGCGGCGCAGTCGCCCTGGAACCAGAACCGGGGCCCGAACCCCCATGCTCGGAAGGATTGCTAACCTGGTAGAGTGACCACCCAGGAAGCTTAGATGCCCCAGGAGGGAAGGCGGTTAGTCAACGTCAAGAAGTCTCCAGATCTGCAATCCCTCAGGACGTACCTTCGTGCTGTGCTACTTAAGTGTTCTTGAAATCTCGCCTCGGGTTTCCATTTCTTTCCCCAAACAAAGAGGGTCTCCGGCGAGGAGCGATATCAAAATTCCGAGCGGATAATTCGGGAATTTTAATCAGATAATCCCCAGCAATGCGGAGTACGAAACAACTAAGAAGGCGTGGGGAGCGGGGAAGCCGAACGGGAAAGACGGGAAGTGGACTTGCGTTGGCTCGTTTCAGGGGCACGAGCAAGCTGACCAATACGGAACAAAAAATGAGATTCCCAATTTCCCAATGAAAATTCACATCCGTTGGGGTACCGAGCCATGAAGAGCGGTCATTGAGGGGAACCAGGAGAGCCAACATTACTGCATTAAACATGCCAGGAAAACGTTACGTTGCAAATGCATCCAAACCAAACCGCTTTCGGTTTGGCCGTGGCGCTCAATATTCAGAGCCTTTCACTTGAGAAACTCGGTACGACGTGACGGCCCGTTAGACCGTTGGGTCCAATGCTTGTCTACCCTGTATCCTGGAGAATCGCCCAAGAGACGAGCGATTTATCCAAGCTTGCGCCAATCCGAATGAAGAAAAAACGCCGGTGGACAATATATCCTTCCACACTTCGCTTTTCCAATTCGCGTTTTCTCGAACCTGCATTAACTTTTCATCCACACCTCTTGAGTTCCATGCTGTGTCAACAGGACCCCCGTCCCGACGCCACGACCAGTTGACTCGATCTTGGTAATAACCTTTGCGAAAATGCGCCACCTCTTGCTTCTGTTGGGCGTGCTTGGCCTCGAAGTTGCCGCCCAGAACGGGACTTTGACGATTGGTATCGTCAGTTCCCAAATCGATGATTTCCTCCAATTGATTCAAAATGAGTCATTGGCCAATAGAGACACGAGCTCACGGCAACCCTCTGGCTGTGCATTGGCTGTGAGTCATCCCTCTTCATGTGATAATTTGTTAGCTGAAGTAATACAGTGCTCTTTTCTCAACTTTGCACTGCGAGGGCAAGTCTCCTTCCCGGAAAGTACGGTCTATGAGTATCAGGAATCTCGATACTGGTCTGTATTTCAAGCAACTGACACGCCAACATGTCGATTTGTAAGCGTTTTCCATGAGCAAAAGTCTCCACTTTGCTCTGTCTCGAGTCGTCTCCCCGCCCGATGCATTGATTTAGAATGAACAACACGTGAAAGTTTATTCCAACTGCCGAGTTCATCCTGCCGAGTTCTTCCCCAAACATGTAATGCTAACTCCCACCATTAGGCACCTATCGACCCTCTTGGCGTTTCACTAGCTGTCTTGACCGTCCAGGTTACACAGTGTGAGTTTGCTGTTAAGAGCGGGGGCCATGGGATGTTTTCTGGAGCTTCGAATATCGACGGAGGCTTGACAATTGACTTGCTCAAGTTAAACCAGGTCACTGTATCTGCTGATCAAACCCAAACGTCGGTTGGGTCTGGAAATAGATGGGTCGATGTCTACAGTGCCTTGGATCTAAAAGGTCTTTCTGTTATTGGAGGCCGAGTCGCCGATATTGGGGTGGGAGGGTTAACTCTGGGTGGCGGAATGTCATTCTTCTCCGGAAGATATGGCTGGGCATGCGACAATGTCAACACGTATGAGGTATGTGTGAGCCAACGAGTCGGCGATTCCTTGAACTTACAAGCTGCAGGTTGTCTTCGCCGACGGATCCATCCGTGAAGTATCTTACTCGACATATCCAGACCTCTACTTTGCCCTTCGGGGAGGAGGAAACAACTTCGGAATTGTCACTCGATTTGACCTCCTGACGTTTCCTCAAGGTGATCTCTGGGCTGGTTCACAAACATACCTTTACAGTAATGAGACAGCGTCTGCCCTGAACGATGCCGTGTACTGGTTGAACGTCAATGCACCATCCGACCCCTTTGGACAAGTTATCCTTGCTTATGCCTACGTGCAGTCATTCGGTGCCTGGGCAATGAGTGCTGATCTCCAATATGGCAAGCCGGTAGCATATCCGCCGATCCTGAGCAATTTCACCAAACCTCCTGGGGCTATTGCTACAGATCTTGGTATTACTAATCTTACCGCGCTGACTGTCTCATTCAATGACACCAATCCTGGTGGATTCCGGTACGCGTCTCCATATAGATTCGATGTCTAGGAACAAGATTTCGACGTGCTGACAACAACCTTAGCGAAACATACTGGACACTAACGGTGAAGAACAGTCCTACGATCCTAAATGATTTATTGAACATATTTATAGACGAAATCAATCCAATCAATACTGTAGCCAACATGACTCCTGCTATTGTATTCCAGCCACTCACAAACAACATAATTTCCCACTTCAGCAGGAATGGTGGAAACGCACTTGGGATTACGACAGCCGATGGTCCTCTCATCTGTACGTATCTTCAAAGCAAAGGAGCACTTATTCACTTTACTAATAGCATGTGCTGTAGTGGTCAACATCGCTATTTCTTGGTCCTCAGCAAATGACGATGCTAAGGTTTTCGGAGCAGCAAGTAGTTTTATCAGCCGATCAAACACAACGGCTTATTCTCAAGGTGTGGGATTTCCCTTCGTCTACCAAAACTACGCCGCACTTCAACAACCTGTGTTTGAAAATTACGGGCAAAAGAATTTGGCGAAATTGAGGGCTGTGAGCGAGAAGTATGATCCGTTTAGCGTGTGGCAGAAACTACAGCCCGGATATTTCAAGATATTTTGAGTCCGCTTCTATTGTATATATTCTATTAGTTATATTTCTTAAAACGATACACGATACACCACCTGCGTGGCTATTATTTCGAATAATAACAATCGTTCTTAAAAAAGAATTATTAGTCTGTAAGGAAATGACTTTAACTAGAAGAAAAACCCGAGAAATGAATGTGGAACAATGACTAGCAAACAGGTAATTGAAATAAAGGGGCGTGCTATATGTACGTCAAAACCGTTGCTTGCGGTACTAGGAAAGGCTAATGTGCAATTGCTAAAAGCGCGCATTTCGCATACCTTTCGGTGCAAAGTAAGGAAAATGCGCAATGGGTAGTAATAATGCGGCACTAAATGAATGCAATAAGAACACCACGGGGGGGATGGTATAATAATATGCCATACGATAGTCTTAAATTATGTAATTCTGACATGCCTACTTTCCTGTGGGAAACAACCAGGAATAAGACGCCTAAAGCTCCAGTTAACAGGCGAGTTCGGGCCGACGAATTGCCCTTCGCGAAGTTACTACCTTTCTTTTGTTGTATCTGCCGTAGAATGGCGTACGTACGGGCTTCAAATGTTTAGGTGTCCTCGGTCCTCATTCGCTCGGAAGCTGCCGGGTCTGGAGCGGAGCCAACCTCACAACGCGTCGGGGGCAAAGATATATGTGTGTATTCAATTCCCAGAAAGCTTTCCAAGCCAGATATTCAACGAAACCTTCCTCGCCCGGCAACCCACCTCTCACAAATGGTTTCCTACAACGAAATAAAAGCGTCCAACGCGCTCATCAACGACGCCACGGCCCCACGCGTGGCCGTCTTCGTCGGTGGCACATCCGGCATCGGCAAACTCACAATCAGGGCCCTCGTTGCGACAGGCGCCAGCGTGAGGATCTACCTCGTCGGGCGTCAGAGTTCGCACGAGCGCACGAACCCTTTTATCCAGGAACTGCACGCCATGAATCCCAAGGCCGATATCATCTGGACCGAAGGCGAGGTCTCGCTCCTCGCCGAAACGAAACGCGTGTGCGAGGTAATCAGAAGCAAAGAACGACACGTCGACTTGCTGTTCCTTACCGCGGGCTACGCACCGTTCGGCGCGCGCAGGGAGACAGCTGAGGGCTTGGAGATCGCGCAGAGTCTGGGGTATTACTCGCGGATGCTCTTCATCCTCCATCTCCTTCCCCTCCTGGAGAACGCGGAAGCCCCTCGAGTCGTTGGCGTGCTGGCGGGCGGGATGGAGTGGACGTCGATCGAACTGGACGATATCGAACTGAAACAGCCGGGCAATTTCGGTATGATAAAGGCGCAGAGGCAGCAAGTGAATATGAACTCGATCAGTCTGGAGAGGTTAGCCGGCGATAATCCCCACGTGACCTTTGTCCATTCGTGTCCGGGGTGGGTTAATACCGGGAATGTGTGGAGGGGGGTAGATGATCCAAATTCCATTATGGCTTGGTTCGTCTGGCTTATACTAGAGCCCCTGATTGGCCTGTTTTCGTTCAGCGACGAGGAGTCAGGACAGAGACATCTGTTTCAGTGTACCAGCGCTGCCTTTGGCGGTGGTGGCATACCGTGGAAGGGCAAGGCGGGTGTCAACTCGCTGAACAAGCCGGGGAATGGGCTCTTTCTTGTCAATTACAAGTGCGACTGTACTCCGAATGCGCGGGTCATGTCTGTACTCCGAGAGAAGGCACAGGGAAGGATTTGGGATCATACGCTGGAAGTTCTAGGGCCATATCTGTAAGGGGAGAGCATTTCCAGGCTCACTAGCCCTATATGTCCTGGGAACCGCAAGAGGAACTACTCCTCTGCATGTCCGTCTCAACATGGCGACGTCGTCGAGTAACTCACTGCCATAGCAACAGGAGAATCCTCATAGCTCTAGTCACTTGATTTCTATCGCACCGTTTCCGCATTAAGGTCCAACCCCCCTGAACTGCCCTGAGAGAGCTACGGCTATTACGTAGCTAGCGTAGGCAATGCTCAAGACGCTCCAACGCACGAAGAACCCAGGTATGCTTCAACGAGTTAAGTATATTGGCACCAACTAATGCTAGCTAAGGAAAAGCAAATAGTGTGGCCAAGACGACGTAGGCCAAGGTAGTCCGGACGCAGTTCCCAGAGCCCCAGACAGCGACCACAACTCTCCAACAGCAGCGCAACCACTCTCCACGTCCCCGTCGGGACGGCTCGACGGTGACGCTGCCAAACCAGATGCCGCCGCCGCCGCCGCAGACATCGGCAAGGGGATCCCGAAGAATCAATGCGAGTACAGAAGGCTTTCTTGGAGGGTTGTAGATCCAGCAACCGCTGGTCATGGAGGTTGAGGTAGAGCTCGGTCACATCTTTCCAACTCGGCCATGGACAGGCACGAGAGCTGAATCAAGCACGATACGGCTGGGCAACGGAGGGGACGAACTGGTGCAGCCCGGTCAGTTGCCGTGGCGATCGCTTCGAAGGAAGCACGCACGAATCTTGGAACGAAGTAGGTGAGGCAGGATCTCGGGTGCGCCGCTGCCGGCCACGATGCGGCTTGTGAGACCCGAGATTCGGGCCGTGCCGTGGACGGAAATCCGGGCAGCTGCACGCAGCCGTTGTCCTGTTGGAGATATGGACACAGGGTCTAAGGTTACATTCCAGAATGCAATGAAAACTGCAGCGAACCAGCCCAAACCACAGGGCAAAGTCTGTGCCCAGGCGACCAACCTATGTCGACCGAAACTCGCGTCCCAAAGAATTCTTCTCCTTTCCCATACTGTTTTTGAACGAGCAACTAGCCATCGTACTAATTCTGGGGGTTCTAAAGCTTATCTCTACTAATACTGGGACCTTAATAGGCTAGGGGCACGCATTCACGTGCACAGCGCATTTATATTCAGAGCATATTTATTTTGGAGTGCATTCACGTGCGAAGCGTATTTATATTTAGAGCATATTACGGAGCGCATTTATATATAAAGCGGATTCACGTGTGGAGCGCATTCACGTGCCCGAGCAAGCTAGGACACGCGTGCCTTGAGGATATACTTCTTAAGCGATTACAGGGGGAAAGGGAGGGATGTGCTTCTTACCCGCCTTTTGTGCGCGTGCCCGGGGCTAAAGAGTAGCCGAAAAATAAAGCCTTACTTTACGATAAAATTGCAAAAATTAGCTTGCCAAGCGCGGTGAAAGGGGGGCTAGAATGGAATGAAATTATTAATTGCATAAGTACCCTTTTAGGGCAGATCTTGGAAGGGTGCTTATGATGTGTATCCTAAAGAGAGTTGAGATCAAAAAATACTACTTTGGGAGGATACCCCTGTTTTAGGAATGTTAAGCGAGCAGAATAGGGGGGTATGAAGGGTTGGCAGGGGCACACTGGTTTTCTATTCAACGGATGGTGGATAGGATCAGCCCAGGATGAGGCTCCTGGCTGGTAGAACTCTCCGCCATTAATGTAAAGCCAATTTCCAATAACGATGGCTACAACTCATATTGGTACGGTTTAGCCTGATATTGAAATACATACAAAAGGTCCACAACATCCGCACGAACTCATTTGAAGTGACATTCCAAGTAGTCATCAGAGCTTGACGTCTTGACAAGTTGACACCAAGATAATACAGTAGAATGCGCCAACGAGAGAGGAGAACTTCAACATGGCCTCTCATGTCGTGGTTTCCGGAATAGGACGTTATAAAAAAGATTAGCATAATGATATTACGAGGGGTACAGGAAGAAGATATCGATTTTAAGGTTATTTTCAGGGGGGTGCGTCCTTCGTCTGATCACAGTGAGGGGAAAGATCATGTGCGGGAAGTGGCGTCCACTCAACCCACTTTCTCGTTGCAATACTACAGATCTCGAAATAACGGCGTTACATTGCTCCGAACACGAACTAAGTCGTCCAAAACGTATAAGATAAATAGATACCGCGGCTTGGAAACTTTGGTATTAGCTAGTGTTATCTTCCTGTAACGCTCTTCCCCTCCTCTGGTGGTTGCTTGAGTTCACTGCGAGGAAAGATATTCTGCGAGAGCGCCCCTCAACCCCCCCCAAAGCACTAAATAGAAACACTATTCCCACTTCTTCTTGGTGCTGGCTCGTCTTGTCTCACTTCTCTCTTACTCGTTACTTTGAGTAGAACTCCCACTGTTTGCATCCGCCCGAGTTATGCCGTTTCCTGTCCCCCAACCTGAGCCTCCTGATCAAAGTCCCCAGCACCCACACAACTCGGCCGAGCATTAAAATCACCCTCCTCCCATCTCCCAGTCCCAGAAGTTCTCGTAGGAGCCGAAGTCCCCGCCTTCCTTCTCCCTTGAGACGTCTTGCTTTTCTTAAGCTCGAGATTCATACTGTTGTCGAGCGCGGTTCCCGACGAACTCTGTTTCCCAACAACGTTGACCTCGTGATTATCCCTTTCTTCATCTCGCAGCGGATCTTCGCTCAACCGAATTGCGTTCAGGGCATCAGCTGCCTTGCTCTCTGGTATTGAAGCCAAAGGCTCGTTTGTTGAGTTCTTGCCCAATTGAGAGTTTTCTGGGACCGCCGTTTGCAGCTGAGAGTTCACTGGATGAAGACGTGCAGCGTCTGCGTCCTTTGCAGCTTTTTCTCTCGCCGCAGATGCGGTTTCATCACTCACGGATACACTATAAGTTGGATTCGCGGGATCTCCAAGTGGAGCGCCTCCTCCTCCCGGCCCAAAAATTGGTACTTGCCTCAGTGCAAGAACAAGTGCACACATCAACTTCGAATGTCTTGCGGCACGGATCTGCTCATTTGGCCAATTGGACTTGTGTCGGACTTCTAGTTGGAGTTGCAGTTTATCCATACTTCCTACGCCGACACAGCGGAGGACTATCTCGGGCTGGAAATCGCGGCTGTTTTCGGGGGCGGTGATGTAGGATTGCATTTCGAGACGCAGGGCCTCGATGTCCGACATGGAGGTGTCGAAGGAGATGAAGAGCTCGAGGCGCTCGAGGAGGCCTTTGCTGCGGGATATGTTGTTGATCCAGAGCGCGTTGAGGACGTTGTTAGGGATCTGCGAGTATATACATTAGGAGAGGTGGCGTAGATTTGTGGAAGGGTAAGACTTACTTGGATTATTTCGAGGTCAGTGATGCGTTTGAAACTGGTGTAGAGGAGTGAGATCTGCTCGACTTCGAGACGATTGATTCCATCGGGTCCGTAGATGTCGACGCGGTCGCTGATGTCGTAAGGATGTTTCACAAACAGGAAGATGCAGGAGCCGAGGAATTCTTGCGCCGTAACTGAGAAGATGAAAGAAAGGGATATCAGAGTTGAAGAAGCTGTCGAGAGGATGGAGTGGAAGCCAGTATCCAAGAAACAGACTGAAGGAAGGTTTCAGCCATCTTCACTATTTGGGGTCCCGAGGACTTACTCAAGGTGAAAAGAGACAGGAGAAAGGCAACAGAAGACATAACATTGTCGAGTGCTTTTATGGCTTGAGAGACATCATGCATACTCCTTGCAATGGCTTTCCTCTCCTGTGCCAATTCCGCGAGCTTCATTGAAATCTCATCCAAAGTGACATCCCCATTTCCATCTGGATCAAGCATCTCGAAGCATTCTTCCGCAATGTCTTGAGATTCGGGTCCTAATACTTCCTGCACGTCCCTCAAATGCAAGCAATCATTCCCTTCCATGACGAATGAAAACCACAGCCTTTGAGCCAACGCCTTCGCAGACTTCGTTCTTTGCAGGCACTCCGTGACGATCGACTGCGCTGACCGTGGTGGAAGAACACCCCTTCCTGTGAGTTCAGATGCGATATTTCCGAACACGGAATTGACCTTGTTGCTGAATCGTCCGATGCCTTTGAAAATGCGACGACGGTGTCCACGTGGATCGGTTTCGGGGTCAATTGAGATCCCCTGGTTTACGTTCCCTTTGCGGATGAAAGTTTTGATGTTGGGGTGGATGATATAGTCCTCATCAAGAAACTCCTTGCCATACATGGGGAACAGGCTACGAGATGCATCGAATAGAAGCCCGAGGAGGTAGGCCGCGTGTTTTATATCATCGATCTTGTTGTTGAAAGATCGAGCGTGGTAGTTCACACTCACCAGCTGCACAATTATTTTCTCGATCATGAAGATGATTGTAGAGACGAGAATGGCTCCGAGGACTTTCTTGAAGGTCTTGGTCCAGCCATATGGGGCATTTCCTGCCGCTGAGGTACTGAAGAGAACTTCGTAGAGAACGAATGAGATGATCACCCATCCAAACACGGTAAAGGCATCCTGCAGATTCTCGAGAACTCGGGCGTACTTCTTCGTCTCTGAGCTGACTACGCCCGCGAAATAGCGGAACGCTCCGGGAAAGCATCTGGTGACGAACCTCATGGCCCAGAATGAAAGCCATACAGCTTCTACCCAGGTAAAGAACCAAGCTAGCCTTACACCTCCAATTTTTGGATCTGTTCTGTTGACTTGCGTGGCCCCGACAATGATAGGAATCATGATTATGATCGCAATCGGAAGGATGTAAATTGAATAGCGAGTGCCGGTGCCATATGTGAGGACCTTTTCATACAACCTTCCCATCTTATTAAGATGGGCCTGCTTCTCGTCTGGAACTGTACTCGCAACATCGTCTCGTCTCCTGCGTCGCCCACCTAGCTTTGGGGAGGACCCCTCCTCATTTGGAGGTGTCGGGCCATTCTGTGCGGACTGAGAGAAATGGGAGCGGTTGGAGGCAACACTTGGGGGTCGGTGAGCAGGCTGCGATGATGTCGATTTGATAGTTGGTACCTGGGTCAGTGGGAGTTCGGGGGGAGGGTACTGATGGGGCATTGCTCGTTGCTGCAGTTAACCTGGACACATCGAGCTGAAATGAAAGCTGAACATACAAACAAACGACGGTAAGGAGCAAAGATCTTGAACGAGACTCATCGCCATCTCGTATCAAACCATCGTGTCCGGTCCCAGAGCAGAAAATTGCGTCAGTGGGGTGAACAAGTTTCCTAGCTTCACTTGAAGTATCGACGGCGTGGTGTAGCGGCTGTTGAAAGGCGCTGGCAGGCACTTGAAGCCGACCTCCCGGACTCCTTGAACATCTTGATCTCGTGGTCGATAGACAACAATCAAGCACGTGAGGAATATTTGCAGGGACCATTCTCAGAGGAGGAGAGAAAGATAGGGGTCAATATATTCTTGCCCCTATTTGAGATGTGCAGGGGGGACGGTTTGTTCCGCAGAAAAGATGGAGAGCCGAGGGCCAGAGCCCAGAGCCCAGAGCGGCGACTCGGCAGTGAACGTGATCGCGGCCTGAAGTTTCAGCGTGCCGTCGTCTCCCCCAGTCCAGGAGGCGCAACTTGCCGGCGCTCCTGCCTCTTCTGGTTTGCCTCTATCACTCCTCTTCTCTCCAAGTCCAATCCTCCTCCATTCTTCAAACAACATCCACCACATCCGCACCACCGTCTATACAATGCCGGCCTATAGTCCGCGTCTGCCAATAGCTTCGGAGGGGGTCGGCACGACAGTAGTCCCCCGTCTTCTCGCACGTCCAACATGGCAACATCTCGTCCTCGAGACGGCATGAAACGAAAGCTATTTTCGACCTGAATCGTCCGAAACGCGCATTCGAGCCATCGTCGATTCAACGGGAAAGCCTTCATCCCGTGCCTGCAGAGCGACCATCGAAATATCGACATATCGAACGATTCTCCAGAGAGAAGAAGGCATGGCAGGAGAATCGATGAAGCACAGGCCGGCAGAGCAATGAGAAGCAACGATACGCAGGTACCACGCGGCGCGGCAGCGGCCCTCGATCAGGAAAGTCCACGATCGTTCTGGAAAGGCTTGTGGAGCGGGAGGTTTTACACGTGGAACCCCCAGACAGCGGTGATCGATCCATGGCCGCCTGCAGTATTTCGATTCTGCACTCGTCGCGAGGTCCGTGGCTGCATGCTGGGAGTCGTCTGGGACGGCATGAACAGTCTATGCACTGCGATTGAGCGCGACATCCCTCGAGTGTCTGTCTGGCTCCGTCGCGACTCACGACTCAAGACTCTACAGACTCCTCTTCTCCAGAGTTTCACCGCGCCCCTCGTCGGTCCCGCCTCGGTGAGATACGACACATTGCTCGCCAGTGGCCCACGGCCTCTCGGTACAGCCCGAGCGCAGCGGAGGGGCAGCTGATAGGGTATGGAGGTTTCCCGCCCCGCCGTTCCTCCCACCCTTGCCCGCTCTGCCCACCGCCCACCCTGTCCACCCTGCCCACACAGCCCCTGCTCCGAGTCTCCGGGTATCAGCTCTCGAAAGGGTTGCCTGGGGCTGACCCGCTCCGGAGCATGGTCGCTTCACTTGTCTCCCTGGCTTGTCGTTATCTTTTCAACCCACTCTTATGCTTTCTTCTTTGGGCCGAACCCTCTCTTCCCTTCTTCCAATGTTTCAGAGACATGGGCCGACTTGTCCGACTTTCAATTAGTGATTTATTTAGTGTGGGTAGCATAACTGCGACGTCCTGCACAATCGATCAAGCGATCATGCATGGTGTCTTGGCCCGGCTGTGAAGTATAAGGTTATGTCTGATAGGAACTTCGCTTTCTGCTCAACCCGTCGATATTGTATAAATTTTAGTCAGAACTATATCTGCATGAGTTGAGTCCTTGCGGACTCCACAGTCCATATTGACGATGCTGTCGCTGTTGGCCGAATCTTGGACCTGGTATTCTTTCGTGACCTTGGTCGTCCTGTTCAGATAGTAGGTGTTCGACGTCGAAACTCTCCGAGCCAAGCTGATCTATGACAGTGTCTCGAGATATGTTCAACTTGGGTCGTTCAGGCTGTTTCAGCCAGAAGACTATGTCATGGTCATTGTGTTTGTAAGATCAACTTTGAAAGACCTCAGAGACAGAGCTGACGGCTTCCCAGGGCTTCTTCACCACTCTCATCATCACCATGAATATTGTGGGCCAAATGGATACGAACCTCATGCTACCCTCTGATATCCCGCTTCTCACGCCCGAGTCCATCAAATCCAGGATCGTCGGATCAAAGCTTGTCCTTGTTGTCGAACAATCAATGATAATGACAATATGGGGATGCAAAATATGCCTCCTGTTACTGTACAACAAACTTACCTTTGGGTTGAAACAACATCTGGCGGTGAAGATCGTTGGCGGATATGTGGTCATCAACTTAATTGCCATGGAAATCTTGTACTTCGGAGTCTGGTGCCGACCATTTCCTCAGTATTGGGCAGTGCCTGTTGACAACGGTAAAATTTCTCTTGCTGCGAGATGTCCAAGCTAATGAGTGACAGAACAATGTTCAGCCGCAATCCACCACCTCATCACAAACGCAGTCTTCAACCTCACCTCCGACATAATGATGCTCTGCATCCCTCTCCCCCTCCTCGTCACCTCTCAACTCCCGCGCACCAGAAAGCTCATCCTCTGCGCCCTCTTCAGCCTCGGCACCTTCGTCATCATGTGCGCCTTGCTCAACAAATACTACTCCTTCGCGCACCCCTTCTCCCCCATGTGGGAATTCTGGTACATCCGCGAAGCGTCGACTGCGATCCTAGTTGCAAACATGCCGATGTGTTGGCCGCTGCTCCGACGGGTCTTCAACTTGAAGGCTTTTAACGGGAATTCATCGGGCGCTCAGCTTTCGACTGCGCGGTCGAAATCGATCCCCATCGCCAGTACTTATTCTTCTCGAGGAGGGAATATTGTGAGAAAGGGTCAGAGTAGTGTAGGAGGGGAAGCCGAAATGGGGTCTCGGGACAGGGACGAGAGGGATCTCAAGGGAGGGGGCAAGGGAGATGTCAGTTGGTGGGAACGCAATGATAGTGGTCTTAGTAAGACTGAAAGCGAGGAGTACATCATTGGGAATGGGAAGAAGGACGTCCCGTTGCAGATTTGGGAGAGTCGGAGGGTGGATGTCGAGAGTGGCAGTTTTGAGGGTGTTGCAAGGGAGAGGGATTTGAGGAAAGATCAGGTTAGGATTTATGATGGCGTTGGGAGGGTAGGGAGAGGGATGGGGGAATTTGAAAGTACAGTGAGGATTGAGGCAGGGAGCGCGAGGAAGACTTCGATGGGGTCCTTGGGGAGGGGTGACCGGTAACGGACGAGGAGGGAACTGTAATTGTATTGTATTGTCACGATTGAATGCCAGATACCACAGTGAATTCGGAATGGAATAGGATCACGCAGTATATGAAGCTTTCCATTCTCATGAATCTGTTTAAAAGCTTTCGAATAAAGTGGAAAGCGAGGGAGGAAGCTAGCAGGAAGGGAAGGGGTTTGGTCACGTGATACCATTACCTCGGCAGAAAAAGCCGTGGGGAGCCGATCGAGCTTTGTTTGATCAAATCGAAATCCAAATCCTATCGTCAACGTCTTCCTCTCCTTCACGGACAGTGACCACCACAACGCCAATGTCCGCCCTCCGAATTCTCGTCCCTGTTAAGAGGGTTATTGATTATGCTGTACGTCTCCCTTTCTCAAATCTTGTTCAATTGATTGCGCTCCCAATCCCCGATTTGAAAGCCTGTTCCATTCCTCCCCCCTTCCTGCACGCAAGTCCGAAGGCTCGCAACCTCGCACAAGATGGAGCGACGCGGCTTGGTCTCGGGGCTGGGTAACTGGGGGGAGTGAGAGAGATGAAGGAGGAATTGAGAGAGAAGGAGTGCAAGAGGGGATGCTAACGGGGAGAAAAAGGTCAAACCCCGCGTCAACAAGGCGCAGACCGCAATCGAGACAGCGGGCGTGAAGCACAGCATGAACCCCTTCGATGAGCTCTCCATCGAAGAATCCGTGCGTATCCGCGAGAAGAAATCCTATGCCGGCGGTGTCGAGGAGATCATCGCGCTCTCCATCGGCCCGCCCAAGTCCGTCGATGTTCTGAGGACGGCTATGGCGATGGGTGCTGATCGATCGATATTTGTGGAAGTGAAGGATGGAGAGGAGGTTGAGCCGCTGGCAGTGGGCAAGATCATTAGGCGGTTGGTGGAGAAGGAGGTATGCAAATTGTCATTATGTCCTGGCTTGGCCGGATGGGTGAAACGGGGGGTTTCGAGGGGAGAAATGAATGCTGATGTGAGGCTTGGCAGAAAATCAATATGGTGATGTGTGGGAAGCAGTCCATTGATGATGATTCGGGGCAGACGGGGCAGATTGTTGCCGGGCTGATGGGGTGGGGGGCGGCGACGCAGGCGAGTAAGGTTAGTTTTGGGGAAGGGGGTGTGAGTGTTGAGAAGGAGGTTGATGGTGGGACTGGTATGCTGCTTTCCTTATACATGTGTTTGGAGTTCAGTGCTAATTGGCTGCAGAAACGGTTAGATCACAACTACCAATGGTTATAACGACCGATTTACGATTGAACGAGCCACGATACGCGAGTCTGCCGAATATTATGAAGGCGAAAAAGAAGAAGATTGATAAGATTACTGCGGAGGAGTTGGGAGTTAGCTTGGAGAAAAGACTAAAGACACTGAAGGTTATTGAACCACCACCACGGAAAGGAGGCGGAAAAGTGGAGGATGTTGACGGGATGATTGCGAAGCTGAAGGAGTTGGGTGCGATATGATAGAGTGTACAGTATAGGGCTCGAGGTGTAAATACGATGGAATGGGTTCGGGGAACGCATGGCTATAGATCAACGCCAGGCCATTTTCTGGCATACTCGGCGACATTGGCATCACAGAATGCCTCCTAGAGCTTCAATAATTCACAGTCGCCTTCGAGAGTCATCCCTTACTATCCGATATCGAATCCTTTGTCTCTGCCATCTGGAGGCTGCAACGTCTTCAACAAAGCTAGCCAATCTTTGTTTCCACTCCAGCAGAAGAGATATACACTCCAGGACAACACTCTACACTATTTACAGTCTACTCTGACGTTCTCAAACACACAAATATGCGTCCTCATTTATCATAGGCAAAAGAAAAATCCAAACTACCCCGCCATACCCCTGGTTCCACTCGCCTCCTGTCCCACACGTGCCTCTCGCCTTCTGGTCAGCCAGGCACGCAAAAATTCTCAAGCTGCATGGGCCAGCAAATTCTGCACAGCGTCAACATACCCGTGACAAGTGCCCATTGTGCCAAACCGAAGTCGCTCTAATAGCAGAGACTTGCGCATAGGAACGGACAAGTCCCTCCTTTGCATTGGCCCGGTGTGTAATTCTGCATCATCTGGTGGTCTTCTCTGCAGTCGTCGCTTAAGAATTTCTCGCCTTCAAGGTTTTCTGCCCCGCCTTCGTCACGCTGTCACCCAATCACAGGCCGCGCTACAGTCGCTGGTGCCCTCACCTCCGATTTGCACGAGCATCCACCAACAACCTCTGCCCAAAATTCTCACCATACTCCACCCAATTCGAACAAAACTCCTCTTCTTCCTGCCTCAACAGTAAAGAGAGAACCAGTCGCGCGTATGAGTGGGCGCCCGTCAGTCTTCACGTCCCAGGTATGTATTGACAGCAGGAAGCTGCACTCTTTGCTTGAGTCACATCATCGTCGTTATCTCGGGTCTGGTTGATCTTCCCCGCTCAACGTCACACGAAGACGATGCCCTCAATTTCCCCTCTCGCCTTCAAATTGTCTCCTTCTGTGTCTTCTGTATGCTATTCAATCATGAGTGCCTCTGCTAACGCGCCGCAGGATTATATTTCAGGTCCGAATGGCCCCTTCCCCTCGCTCACCGCCAAAACTAATCCCGCCATGCAGATCACATCTGGAAAGCTTCAGTAAACTGAAACGCTTTCGATAATCCAACCACTACCTCCAATTCGAACTACCCTTCAACATGTTTGCACGATTCGTCAAGCCTGCGGCCTTCAAGCCGGCAGGTATCCACAACCGAATTGCCCAGCAAGCCCGGTTTCTAGCCACCGTCGAAGGCAGCGCTGGCCGTGCCATGCCAGCGACTCGTCATAAAGCCACACCCATCTCCCACGACCGAGCTACATTCACAATCAGGGTATGAGACAATTGGCGGGGTAGCAGAACTTCTGGCTGATTTTGCTTTTTCTAGGATGGTCCAGTCTTCCACGGCAAGTCTTTTGGCGCCAAGTCGAACATTTCTGGCGAGGCAGTCTTCACGACCTCTCTTGTTGGATACCCCGAGTCGATGACCGATCCTTCGTACCGTGGACAGATTCTCGTCTTCACGCAACCGCTTATCGGCAACTATGGTGTTCCATCCTCTGCCCGAGACGAACATGGATTGCTGAAATACTTCGAGTCGCCCAACATTCAGTGTGTGGGTGTTGTTGTTGCGGATTACGCTGAGAAGTACAGTCACTGGACTGCTGTTGAGAGCTTGAGCGAATGGTGTGCTCGTGAGGGCGTTCCTGCCATCTCTGGCGTCGACACTCGTGCCATTGTCACTCACTTGCGGGAAGTTGGATCTTCATTGGCTCGGATCACCATCGGAGAGGAGTACGATGCCGATCAGGATGAAGCTTTCATCGACCCCGAGCAAATCAACCTGGTCAAGAAAGTCAGCACCAAGGCACCATTCCACGTCAGTTCCACGAGCGGAGACATGCACATTGCAGTCATCGACTGCGGTGTCAAGGAGAACATTCTTCGCAGCTTGGTCGGCAGAGGAGCAAGCGTCACAGTCTTCCCCTACGACTTCCCTATCCACAAAGTCTCCCACCACTTCGACGGCGTCTTCATCTCCAACGGCCCCGGTGACCCAACCCATTGCCAGGAGACAGTCTACCATTTGTCCCGCCTCATGGAATCCTCTCAGGTTCCTGTCATGGGTATCTGTCTTGGCCATCAACTCCTCGCTCTCGCAGCTGGTGCCCGAACCATCAAGCTCAAGTACGGAAACCGTGCCCACAATATCCCTGCTTTGGACTTGACGACTGGACAATGCCAAATCACGTCCCAGAACCACGGCTACGCCGTCGATACACCGACCCTTCCCGCGGAATTCAAAGAGTACTTTGTTAACCTTAACGATGGCTCCAACGAAGGTATGTTCCCTCACCTACCCTCCATATACCTTCCCACTAACCCTTCTACAGGCATGATCCACAAAACCCGCCCCATCTTCTCCACGCAATTCCACCCTGAAGCTAAAGGTGGACCCATGGACTCCGCGTACCTCTTCGACATGTACATCGAGAACGTGCAGCGCTACAAGAAGAACCAGGCCGTCTACCCTGCTGGTGCTGGCACCAACAAGCCTAACCAGCTGCTTGTAGATCTCTTGAGCAAGGAGCGTGTGGGTGTGCATCCTGCTCAGCCGGCGGAGAACTTAGCGCAGGCTGCTATTGTTAGTCAGGCGGCCGTTGCTGCTGCTGCGTAAGTTGATGGACTTGGGGATTGGTAATCTCTGCAGGCGTTTGAAGGTGCTTCTTACTTGTTGATAAGGGACGCTATGGCTGGATTTTGCAACGCAATGAGTTAAATTGTGTGATCGAAAGGCAAAAGTCTTTTTTTGTAGTTATTGCGAACGTGAATATATTGCTCTTAAATACAACAACTTCCCATCTTGGTCCCAGCGTGCCTTGTGATTTGCCTTCCCAACTCCCAACCCCCTTTGGAACCTGGCTTGTCTTGATGTACAGCAAGGCTGTTTGTTTTCCATACTCTCCTTTCTCGTTCTGCTTCGCTGGCTTGATACCTGCAACTCCTTACTTTGCGAGCATCCATGACCCTCATTTCCTATCAGATGAAGAGCTGATCCAGACGTGCAGTTTGCTTCGAAGGCAAGGTTTTTTTACTTCAGTTTAGGGTGCCGTGCATGTTGTTTGGATCTGATCGGAATTTCGGCAATAACAACAAATCTTTGCACTGTCGTTTGAACTTGGGATTGGAGAGAGAGAGTTGTTTTGTGGGTGTGGAAGCCGGGCGTGACGCCCTGTTCCCCATGTGGTAATAAACGTCTTGCATTTGTACTGCAATTTTAGCACGGACGAACGCTTTGGAATCACCGGTTGATTCGTCGGCTTGCCTCTACGTTGTGGTTCCATGCCCACTCACTCCATTTTCACTGCAATTTTAGTGCAGACGAAGGCTTTGAATCCTGGTTTATTCGTCGGCTTGCTTCCACTAGTAGTGTCACAAATGAGGCTCGGAAGCACTGCAATCTTAGCGGACTCTAGGCGAGTGCATTCCCATCAGGTCCCGTTCTCAGAACCTTCCTTCGCTTATTCGCTGGAACACTTCAAGATACCAGCCTTTCCACAATGATCCAAGGCTTATTTCAAAGCAATATTTGTATTCAAAGCCTCTCAATAAACTTATACTACTAATTTAAAGATATATAAAGTAGTTGTTTTAGAAGTTTGAAATATCGTTATTAGAACAAGGGAGGATTTTAAGAGCTCATGCGTAAATAAAGGGACGCGAAGTTGCTATATGAAAATGCAGAAAAGCTTGGTTCCTTTCTAAGAGCCAGCCCGACGTAGACACATATACCGCAAGGAAGCTGGCTGTAAACAAAAAAATATATAAAAATGAAACAAAAGGCAACAATCGACAAGAACGAACAGTCCCCAATAATGCTGGCGAAAGTCCCGCCGGTTGAGCAAACACCTAATCCATATAGGCCGCTGTCTTTTGTCGCCAAGTACAAGCTCATTTAGTTACATAAGTCCCACGCCAAATTTCGGTTGGGAAGGGGGGCCCACAGTGATGATAGCAATATCAACACAGGCTCGAGCTGTCTGAAATGGAGCGCGTCACAACAGCAGCATGATATATGTGAGATGAGATTATATTTTACTAATGAAAGCCGGATGTTTGATTCTAATACGTGCATTATCCCCACTCCACGAAGAAGACTTGGACTCCAACCAAAACTCGAAGAAATAAAAGAAGCGAACCTTCCCAACCTACTCGATTCTCCTAGATTGGGCCTCGATAACCAGGTGGATAGCCGGGCGCTCCACTGCCGTCAATAGGCATGCTAGCATTCAAAACGCCGCTGCCGCCAGGAGGAGGCGATGCAGCAGCCGCTGTCATGTTGCCCCCAATACAATTCGCCGCTTCAGCACGAATATCGCAAGGAACCTCCGTCAGCGCCATCACAACACAAGCCTGATCATCGCGCGGCAGCATCGTAGCGCCCACACTCCCAGCCTCATAAGTCAAGCCAATCCCAGCACCCGAGCCCACACGATCATCATACCGAAACCCCCCCAAACAGTACTTCCCACCGGGCCTCTTGGTAATCACAAAATTGCCGCTCTCCCAGTACTCCGGCGTGCGGGTCATGTACGCGCCGTCATTGGCGTTGTTGACGAAGATTCTTTTCTTCTCTTTTGATGTGGGTGGAAGTTCGCCGTAGATCTCTTGCAGGTTGAAGTAGTCCCCGGCTTCGAGTTCTCGGCCTGGAGAGCAGATTTCGTTGGGGCAGACTTGGAATTTGCTGAATTGGTGGTCTGAAGAGGCCGTGTAGAAACCGAAGGCTTCGTGGTAGCCAAAGTTCTGTCCATTTTCGAAGGTGAGGGTGTAGCATTTGCCTGGATCTGAAGTTAGTATTGTATCTTGATTGAAATTTCGCGTTTGACTTACCGGTTGTTATTCCCGAAAGCCATGTTACAGGGTCTGTGGTAGGGAGATCTGGGGCAATGTCTTCGCAAAGCATTGAAATTGGAGATCTTTGCTTTCCAGCTTGGCAGATACATTCATCGTCGACGAGCATTTCTTCATCTTGACAAAGCGAAGTATATTCATCGTCGTTGCTGAATCGAACTAGCCCTTTCGGACATTGTTTGCCGAAGCGTATACATGTGCGTATCTCGTCCTGAAAAATCTGCCCAGGCGGGCATGGGCTGGTACATATATCACCGTTTCGGATGGATCCCTTCGGACATCGTGGTACTTTGCATGTGCCCCTCGTCAGAACTGCTGGAGGCTTGCATGGTGCTGCGACACAATCGCCGTCGATAAGAATTTCATCAGGTCCGCATTCGATTGGGCGACATTCGCCGTTGTACGGGCTGATTTAGCGACGATGCTGCAACTATAATTTTTTTCGCAAAATCAAAATTATAATGAATCGCGATTTATTTAATGGCCACATTTTATATAGAAAACACACCTAATTATGGCCAAATACGCAACTCCCATGTATTATAGTCAAATATATCCAGTAGTATTACTCTGTTCTCGCTTTTTTGAACTGCCCCCGATTATCCCTACGCCTATTCCCCGGCCTATAATCACTATCCCCTGGTAATTCCTTCTCTCCATCGTCAAGATCTGAATTATCATCGTCATCGCTTGATATAATTACCTCCCGCTTCCTCTTTAATATAGACTTCAGAGGACATTAAGTAGGTGGAGCGGGAGCGGGAGCAAACGCTAGTAAAAACGTCAGATCTACTAGTATATTTAAATCTATTAACTTACTAGGTATAGAAGCAGGAGCAGGAGCAGGAGCAGGAGTAGGATCAGGAGTAGGAGCAGGAGCAGGAGAAACCGTAATTCTAGCTTCTAGTATAGGCATATCGTTGTCTGAATTAAAATCGTTAGAATTCAGGTCGTTATCTGACTAATTCTTTAAAGGAGTAACCTTCTCCCATATAGCTTCGATCTGTTAATTAGGAGTCAAAGCAGGTAAAGAAGATGCCGTAGATATAACTATAGATATAGATACTATATTAGGGGTAATATCGGGAGAGTCTCCTAATAGGGGGCTAAAATCTAGGAGGTAAGGCATCTCTCTATCCCTTCTTTTATACTTATCCTGAATCTCGTTATCTCTTGCCTGAATTTTATTAATATCTTAATTAAATACAAGATAAATATACTTTAGTATTCTTTTATTTGATTGGCTAAAGTGGGATAATAAGCCATTAATAGTATTTTTAGCTCTATATATTAGATTAGTTATATGGTTAATCCTCTTGTTTTTATTCTTTGGCTATACCTGATTATATTAGTACTAATTATATTAGGATACTAATAAATAATAGCTTACTTTAGTAACAAAAGATACCCCATTTATATATTCCAAGATTGTAATCTATTAATTAAGCTCCTAGTCTTTAAGTAACGGAATTAATAATAAAAAAGCCTTAGCTAAATATATAGCAAACTCCTTATATAATAGTTCTTGACTATAATAAAGTACTATATTAGTAAAGAGGTATATATTTCTATAAATAAGCTTTATATATATATTAAACTATTCTACTATCTATAGCTTAATTTAAATATTTTAAGCCTCCCGATACTCTTCTAAGCTAAGGAACTTCTTTATAGTTAAAACAGGTATACTCCTCCTAATAAAGCTACTCTCTAGTTCTTCTATTTTATATATATATAATATAATAGAAATAAGGACCTTATATTATTTTTCAATAATAGAAACAGGAGGAATTAGCGATTTACCCTTACTAAAAGCCCTTATATATACCCCCTGGCCGAGAGTAAGGGAACCAAGGGCTTTACCCCTTTTAAGGGCTAAACCTAATAAAATTAGTATTAATATAGGAGTTAAATAGATAGATATACACTTTCGCCCTGAGCTTCCTAATAGAAATTACTATGTAATTGCTCTAAACGCTCGAGCTTAGCCTGCTGTCTCCTCTTATATACTTCTGATTCAAGGACCTCCTCTAAGAGATCTATATCCGGAAAATAGTAAAAAGGATAGGAATTAGCTAAGATATTAATCCCTTAATCTCTTAATAGCTGGGCGGTAGTATTCTGAAGTTGAGTTTGACTAGAAAATGGTATACTATCTAATATAATAGTCGGTATAGTTAAAGTAGGAGTAATAGAAGCAGGAGGAGGAGTAGCTGGGTTAATTATACCATATAGTAGATACTTTACTATAGAGAGGGGGTATAGTACCTCCCGTATAAAATAAGAGTTCTATAGATTGAGATTATCTATTAAAAACATTTGGGAATAATATAATAAGGATCTGATTTATAATTAAATATTAGAAGAAGGGTATAGCTAATAAATCTATAGTTTAGTAAATGGTAGTATAAAGTCAAATAATAGGATAGAACTATAATATATTAATATTATTTTAATCCTTTAGCCTATATCCCTATAACTTTTTCCCTAGGGAATTTATATATTAGAGACTTATTTTGGAGGTTATTAATAGTGGCATATTACTAATATATAAAAAGGAGTAAATAGAAGGACTATAAGGGATGCCCCTTAGTATAAGTTAAATTCGGATATATTTTATTTATCTCTAGTATTATTCCTATATAAACTATGGTTTCCTATACTAGGGGCTATAGAATATTAAGTAAGGGGCTATAGAAATTAAGGGGGGGAAACTAAATTCTATATGAAAAGAGACATTTTCACTAAATATATCTTGTAATTACTTCAAAAGTTCTCAAGAACTATTAATTTAATAGAGCTAGTATTAACGGAGAATTTGATCTATACTATAGACTTCTTATTACTAAAATAACAAGTCAATAAAATAATTATAGGGGGTATGAAAAATAAAGGGGCAAGGGTCGATTTTCTAATAAGGTAAATTATATAACCTTTTAATATTAAACCACCTGTAACTATATGAATTTAACTAATTAAGCAGACTACTATTAGCTTCTATAATTAATTGCTTTACCAAAAATTAATGTTTTTAGCTAGTTCTTTCTTTAGAATATATATTAATATGTCCCTATTTAGCCTCTCTGAGGCCGGATAAACCGACTAATATTTACAGGAGAAATTTCTAGATTATTCTTTTTCTCTGCTTCAGGCTCAGATATATATCTATTATCTATAAACTGTCTATACTCTTGACTATTTATAACCCAATTACTATTTGCCCTATTAAAAGTAATACTATCTATAGTAAATCTAGTATCCTCTATATTATCTTTAACCTCTGCTTTATTATCAGAGCCAATATAGGTGAGATCTTCATTTCTATAGCTAGTATCTCTCCCTTTATTAATAAACTAAATACTATCTTGATTATTATAATCCTTTAGCCTTACCTTTTCTAGTCCCATAGCTATCTCTGGTAATAGATTCCAATTATATATATTCTTAGGTAATAATAAAAGCCCTAGCTTTGGACGAGTATTCTTTATATTAATTAGGTAGTTACTAATTAACTCCCTTAGATATATATATATACTCAGGTAGTTTAGATTCCTATTCGAGTTACGTATAGACTCCGTAATTGGGAATATAAAGCCGATATTCTTAAGCTCTTGCTTATACTACTCAAGTATAACCTCCGGTAAATATATATCTTTATTATAGCTAGTATATCCTTTATATAGCTCGTTTAGTTTATTAATATTAATAGGAATCCCGTAGTCCCTGACCCCTATCTGCTCTGAAAATATATAGTTCTGGAATAGTTGACCAGGGATAATATATAGATAATTAGGCTATTTCCTAATTAAATAGATATTCCAAATCCGGACGAACTCCTTAGTTTGCTCCCGTATAATAGGTAAATAGACGAAAAGCATAGTAATATAGTCAGGGAGAAGTTTACGGGAGTAAAGCCTTTGAGAGTATAGTTACTTGAAAAATATCTTCTATTTATTTAGTATGCCTTATATAATATTAGCTAATTAAATAAATCTATATGGGATTAGTATAGATAAATTACCTTTACAACTTGCCCCTACTATATCTTAATTCGTTAATTAGCTATACTAGTCCCGAACTAATAGAGATCTGAGAACTAATATGGATTAATACTTTTTGTTTAATACGTTACTTTATAGAGGATATAATAGGCATTAGTAACTATGGGTATTTCATATCCTTTATCCAATCGAATATAGAGCGGAATAACCTCTATTTCGTCTACTAAGTCAAGGTATTATACTAGGATAGTAACCTGGAAAGTAGTATAAGTAAGTATATATTAGTATAATATTAATTAGCCTAAAGAAGAATATGGTATAGAGATTCAGGGGATTTATCGCCTAAATTAAGGGTTTTTCAAATAACTAGTTCTCTATAATACTATAGAATTATATAGCCGGAATTATAACTAAGTAAATTTTGGCATTTTTAAGGGGATATATTTATACCGAATTAGGAAATACTACTACTTATAGCATAACTATTTGAGATTCTAATATAAATCCAAGGTATAAACCGTAAATAGGCATTAATACTAGTATATATCTTAATCCTATAAAATTGTAGCTAAGTAAACGGATTAGTAGTTATTGAGATAATGATTTTTGAAGTTAAGTATATACTATACTTACCTTGTAATAGCTATTAATAGACTAAATAAAGTTCGGCCCATAAATATTATATTCCTCCCTAGTTGCCTTTATCTCTTCCAAGTAATATTATATACTTTCTGGATTAATTTCCTATATTATAGAAGCTATTCTATTCCTAGAAAACTTCTGGCCATCCCCTAGGGAGTTAAGATAAGTATATAGAAGCCGGCAGCCATAACTTCTAGTATTACCTTATAGGCCTTTATCTACTATATATTACTTGAGGATATAGCGAAGTTACTCCTTTTCTAGCTTAACTTGCAAATTAAGTATTCGATGTCGAAGGCCTATAGCCCGGCGAGCTTATTATAATAGTCGTAGATTAGGAATATCATATCCTAAGCTCCGGAGGTTGGTAAGTATATTGGTATTAGTCGTATGGATATTACAAAAGAACTAGGCAATAAGACCCTTTACCTGCGGCGAAGGATCAAATATCGAACGTTTAGAGGGCGTTTTCCATTCGGAAAGCCTATTATATAGTATTCTCAGGGAAATATTAATGTCAAAGTCATACTTTAACCTCTCTATAATAGTCTCATATAATAGCTACTGCTCAATTAAATAAAGAATATGGGCTTAATAGTATATAATATTAATCTTGAAACGACCTATTATAAAGAGTTTAATAATAATAGATTAATAGTATTAGAAATAATAATATAGGAACAAAAGTATAAACGAAGTATGCCAGATAGCTAGTAGGCCAGGGGGTATATTACGTATATTTTATTGATTTTTCCTATCCTATTATATTCCTATTATGGAATGTAATAAAACACCATATAGATCGACTGTTTTAATTATATTCTACCATAGAAATTAGCTAGACTATTAATAATAGTACATTTTTAAAATATTGTAATTTTGATTTTGCGAAAAAAAATTATAGTTGCAGCATCGTCCTTAAAGGAGCCCGTACGTTGGCCATTGGAGTTGATCCATCCGGACATGTTGTCTGACAAGTGCCATCATCAGACTTCTCGGTTCCAGGAGCGCAGAGACATTCGACGCCATCGAAAACTTGTCCATCCGGACAAACACAAAAGCCCTCGGAGTTCAAAATCATGTCAGGCTCACAAGCCATTATACACATGCCATCGATAATCGATCAGACTTGACCCATCAGACAATCAGGTAGCAGACGACATGGATAGTTATCATCGATTATCGTACAGTCGTTCCCATCCCACGTGTATCCCGCAGGACAACATTCATATCCATTTGCCGCCTTGCACCCCGTGACGTCCTCACCTGCATCACAGCAGTCAAAAGCCGTGGTGTCGTTTCCCATTAACTTCGTACCAGCGGGACAACAGCCTACCCATTTATAGCCTGCGCCTTCAGTGAAGATAAGGCTCTTGCATTCTTCGTTGCACTTGAAGACGATTTCAAAGGCGGTGCCGGGCCGGGCTTTCACCCGCATTTCTTTGCGGTTGGGTGGGATTTCGACTTCGTCTTGCGGGAGGAGACGCGCTACTTCGACGTTGGTGTTGTCCATGCCTGGACGGAAGACGCCGAACATTTGGCCGGTTGTGTGAAGCGCTGAGGCATAGAGCGCCAGGGTGAGAGTGAGGAACAAGAGCTTCATGATGGCGATGGAAGGGGAGACTAATTGGAAGTTTAAATCTGGTTCAGAGAGCTAGTTCCGAGAGGTGAACCTCCTTGTAGATTCTGAGAGCTAGTTGGGGAATTATCCAGCTTTTTATCTCTTGTTGGCTATGGATATATGAGCTCGATGCTGTGCTCCAACAGAGAGGAATACAGTCCCCACCGAACCCTATTGGGCGCAATCGCCACTCCAAAAAGAGGCGCCGTTGGCATGAACTTTACATGCTGAGCTCTTTCAAAGATTCAGGGATTTCGCCGAACAAAGTGGCTTAAAGATACAGAAAATCAACTCGAGAAATGAAGAGGTTGAGTCTCTCAAAGACCCGGACCTTCGAATCAGCAGTGTGGCTTGACGCATTGCGAAGATCAGCTCTGCATCCAGTGTCATGGGGCGATGGAGTTCCCGGCCCGCCCCTCTTTGCTTTTTTCGTTACCAATACAAGCTGCCGGCTCAACCCCGACAAGCCCTACATAGCTCCTCTTTTCGTGTTAAACTATCTTAATTGGCACTGATAAGGTTTGGGGTCATAGTTCAGCTCTCCAGACGCGGGGGTACCCGCTGTAAGTGCCGTTACGGGAACGAATGTGTGAGACATCTCTCAACCCGACTCGCTTAGTCTCTCTGAGTTGCCCTTTTGTGGAATTCGGTGTTCTATGAGGGCTACCTGATATGCAAGATGGCAGGCACCTCTTTCCGCTCCAGAGGGGCGGCGCAGCGAACTGTGTCTCAGGAGATACATGTTTCACCCTGAAGCTGAATTCCGGCCATTTGGCGATTGGCTCTCTGGTCAAACTGACTCCCCAACCATAAATCCGAATGAAAGCCCCCCATATTCTTCTTGGTTCGTATACTCGTTCCCCAAAGACTCAATGCAGAAAATGGTGCTGAACGCATTGAGCGGTGTGTCATACAGCAGAGATCTGGATCTGTGTGATGTACAGTACTGTACATGCATAAAAGCTTCAGCTGACCTGCACACTTCAGCTCAAGCCAGGTAATAGAAGAGTCCAAGGAAGTCTAGACTTTGTAAGGCTTTATATTGAGTTTTGAATCTGATTTTTATGTATAGCCGAGTCCGCAGAATGGGAAATTCTGTCCCGTGCACTTGATCTCATTGTCAGAGAGAATGACCGAAAGGAAACCAGCTGAACAAAGCCAAGGCTTCGAAAATTCATTTCATTCATGGGAAGGGCAATGCTTTGACGTAGAAAAGACACTTGTGGACAGCCTATGCGCCAGCTGGTCTTTGGGTGAAGGAGGCTGATCACATTAATCTACTCAGGTTGAGCTGAGTAGTTGTTAGTGCAGCCCCTAGAACCCTAGCTAAAAGTGTAAAAGTGTATCGCTTAGACTGTATGCGAAAGAAGCTAACCTTCTATTGGCAATCTGATGATGTTGAAACCCCCCAATTGTAAATAGCTACCTAGAAACTAAGTTAAGGTATCTATCTAGTCTCTCTTTCAAAGTAGCTCAAGTATAGATGCATACCCTCTCTCTACCCACAGGCTAGCTTGAGGCCTTTTCGGTCAGGTTCCTAGCTTTCCTATTCTGTATAATATACCTCCGTCCCTGTATGTCACCAGGCTATCCTCCAAATTGCCGTGTTCTATGGTTACATATCTTGCGCAAAGCACACACAGCCCTTACGAGGCCGCATTTTCTGAGCCACCAGCTCGTCTTCTGCCGCTTGAATCTTGATCTATCGCTCGAGATTTCCCTCTCCTATTGCACTCGCAGACCAGTCTACCAATGAAAAATGTATCATGGGTAGGAGTGAGTAGCTCATAGAGCAAGCTGATGTCACGAGATTCACTACCATGGAGTTCTGGCATGTATCAAACTGGCTTGGATCTTATTAGGCAATTGAGCGTTGTACTTGTTACGAAGAATTACATGAGATGCTTGTGAAGCAGCTACTTGCCAAATTTTGATCAGCTTGCTCCTTTGATTTGCCTGCTTAAGAGTTTGCGTCGTTTGACTTCTGTTTGTTACAACTAAACAGTCTTGTGGTTCTTGTCCATTGAGATTTAATGCACAACGTCCCCAGAAGTGTTCAGAATAATCAGGTTACAATAAAGAATCTCTATAAATATGTTCTCGATATTCCGCAACAACTTAGTGCTTTCATTGACATGATCGCGTGCTATCACCGGCTCGGAGACTCCCCTTTCTACATAATTTAGGCGAGCCCTTATTGACATTTTCACACTGAACTGCTTGCCGCCTTAAAATCATAAATAGGCACCAAGTTAAATTTACAGCTCTTACTGTCCGGCTGCGAGTTGCCCTACGTCATTGCACAATAATTCATAGCTTAAAGTACATTCAAATTTCCTTTCGCTGGTCAAACTCTTCATTCTTCCATCAACAACCAACTTTGCAACCACCACCACAACACATTACACTGTAAGTGCTTGGAGCAATAAACCTTTCTCCTTTTCTGTTGTTCTTGATTGATTTGGTACAATGGCTGACTGTGTCACTTCTGGTTGCTAGTTCTTCCCGGTCGCCCACCGTTCACGTTCGCTCGGTCGCGATATGGCTGCACAACAACACCCTTTTACAATTGCCATCTCTGGCTGCTCCTCTGCAGGAAAGAGCACGCTTGCTTTCCTTCTTGCTGAGATCTTCTCTGGCACCGAGGCCAGCAGTTCTGGTAAGTTGGCTCTTCCTCTCATCGCGCAACGATGCTGCCTCGCATTATTCCGAGCCGGTGCTGAACATTCTTATCTTTGCTCTCCTGCTCCCCTAGTGGGAAAGAATCTGGGGCGGTGCCCGCTCGCATTGTCCCAAGCCAGTGCTGGTCATTCTTGCCCTTAATATCCTACCTCTCCATCTTCCTGCTGTTTTTATTGTCCAACTCGGCTCGTGAAACAATCAATAACTCTGACCTGCTCAGGTACGGTCCCGATTATCCATGGAGATGAATTCTTCATGCCAAAACACCTTTGCCCTCTCGTCGCATTTACCTCCACACCGAAGGACACTGCATTCTGCCAACTTTCATTGAAGGAAGATGAGATTGGTGAGTACATTGTTGCATGGAACGGTACTCGAGCCAACGACCCGTTTATGACACATACTCCTGCAACTACAACCAATGTTCCTTCTTATGCTGGATTAATCGCCTCCCAATCTTCTAAAGATACTCAAAACGGTCACCTCGAGCTCGAAGCAAACGACCTCCTCCCGTCAAACCACTCCATCAAGACCACCTTCTCTGTTGCTTCTACCCTTCATGAAGGCGGCCGTACGAAGGTCTTTACAATCAGCGGGCCGAATACAGACTGTGATGAAGCAGTGAACTTCGTTAGGATGTTCCAAGCTTTGAAGGAGACTTCGATGTGTGACGTCGAGACTGTTGCCAAGAATTTGGGTATAATGAGCATCCATGGGCACGAGGCCAAGTCCGACACTGACAGCGAAGGCGGTGGGGCCCCATTATCCCGTCAGACTTCGGGACAACAATCGGATGGAGGTGTTGCATTGGTTCCTAAATTCGAGTACATTGAGGACTTGGCACCACCCCATTCCCATCTTGTCACCAATATCGACACTCTCAAGGCTGAGTACGGCGAGCTTATCAACGCTATGAAGGAGCAAGTACGCGGGTTCTTTATACAATCAGCGGCTTCTTGCCACACCGAAAAGTTGAAGCTGCCTAAGATGGTCATCATCGAGTCTTTCCTCCTGCTATCCGACCCTGCTATTATCTCACTTGGTGACAACAACCCCAACACAACTCGTCTTCTGCAAGTTTTCCATACCTTCTTACAAAAGATGCAATACCTTTCGACCAGGCTCGCAGACCGAGGAGACATTGACGAGGAACTTGAGCAAGAGAGAGAAGGTCACGAAAAGAACATCCAAACCATTAACGGCGTCTGCAAGCGCGGTATGATGGAACGTTTCCACTGCAAATTGTGGTTGAGCACGAGTGAGCACGCTGCTAAAACCCGACGATTTGAGCGAGCTGCATATCTTGACCGTAGTGAGGGAGGATTGAGGGAGCCGGGTCAGTTGTGGAAGACGGAGGGGTACTTCGACCAGATTACTTGGACGAACCACTTAGACTCACACAAGTGGTTGATTGGTGAGGATGGCGGTGATGAGATCGTTAGCGAGCTTGGTGCATACAAGGCCGGAATTCATCTTAGGGCACAAGATTTGAGGGTTGAGGATACGGTACGCTGGGCAGTTGGCATCATCTTGGACGAGATGAAGAAGCTCTCGGGTTTGGTGAGAAAGAGGACAGCGGAAAAGTAGCCTGTGGAGGTTGTGATGGCTGTGGTGGCAACGCTCGTGAGTGGTGAGCGCATCATAATGAGAAGAGATCTGCTCTATTTCTGCCCTGGACTTAGATTCTACCAGTTTCACAGCAGCGGACCTCTGATTCATGGTGTTTGGGAGTCTTCATTGAGGAGGTTTCGAGATACCAATTTGCTGCTTCATACATACTTCATAGAGACAGTGTGTCTTCTTCGAGGCAGAATCACTGCTTTGGGGAAAATGATAGAAGAATAAAAGTCTCCAAATCTTACATCTCGTGTACAGGGTTGGCTATAATATCTGAGGTATCAATACCGGTATCACTATTACCTAGGATCACTTAGTATTAGTAGGATCGATCTGTATTAATCTGGTATTGATTCTAAGCGAGAAATTTGCAAAGTACCTTACATAGTAAATTTATATGTAAAGGTACTTCTAGCTCTCCTTTGCGAGAGGGGACAGGCAGCTAGCGAGGGGTAAGGAATACTAAAAAAAAGTCGACCATTTTAAAGTTCTTTAAAAAATCATAAAACCATCTAAAACTATTAAAGCGATGTCCTTAATTATAACGCTATACTTACGATTTTAATCAAAGGTAATAAGTATAATAAGAATCGTGGTTAAAGGGATTAGATAGGGGGTCCGCGACTCTCGCTTAGAATCGATTTCGAGAATCGATAGGATTGATACCTTACGATTCTGGTATTAATACGGATCAATACCTGAATTAGGTATCATTGCCAAGCCTGCTTGTGTATGAAGCTTGTGATTAACTCTTGGCTCCAATCTCTTTCACTATTCTGTTATCTTACCACCTACTGAGAGTGTATCTCGATCGTGTCCTCCCATAATCGATAATGGAGCTTTCTTCTGCTCAACTGTCCTCATTAACCAACAGTATCGAAGCCAATCATGAGACTACTACCCGTCAGCCTCCCTTTATTTTCCTCCCACCTGAGCTCTCTTACACGATACACTGAGTAAAAGAAAGTTTCACTTACACGCGCATCACTCCTAATTTCCTTAGGCCAACATTCATAGCACGCACACCCCGCACCCCCCACTACCCCTTCCCTCCGCCTACACTCCAGCCAAGGCATCTCAGTATTCCACTCATCAGCACCAATAAACATCCTACGATTCCCATAAGGAAATCCCCTGGAAAGATCAAGGGGTAAAGGACCTACCTCCATTTCACGTCCTTCATTACTGGAATCCTCTGTGGTGGGATGTTGAGCAAGTGGCTTATGACTCGGGCGGTGCTGCTGAATGTGAAGGTGTTTTTGCTGTAGAGAATATCCATTGCCTCCGAGTATCTAGTTAATGTTATAAGTTATAATTGAACTTTCCTTTTGAGAGCAAGAGTAAAGAAAAAGAGAGGTCTTACATCCTCCTACAACTCATCACCAAGCTCAGTAAACAAATATTCCCCCACTCATCAGCAACACCAGGCTGTCTCGAAAGAAGAGGACACTGGCATGAGACAGGCGTAGGAGACTCGCCTTTGCATCGTGTATGTGACATCCGTCGATAAGAGAGGAGAGTGAAGATATGTAAAGTATAGCCTCCAATTGCTTCCTCATAAATTTGTTTTCTGATTTCCAATGGCAGGTTGAAGAAAGCGCTGTTTTCCTGCCAATCAGTACTTCTCCATACCTTGGCTTTCTCTACCTCATCTCCCCTCTCCACATCCTCAATTTCAACTTTATCATCCCCCAGGATGGAAAGAGCATCAACATCCCGTTCTGCTCGAGGTGCCAGCACCCATGGTGTCCGTCGCCGTCTTTCTCGTTCTTCATATTCTAGCCATCTTTTCCTTTTCGTAGACGGTAACTCGTAATTTGAGAGGGAGTAAAACGCGTGCGAGAGAAGAATACAGGTGCCAACTACACAAATACATGGAAGGCAAACAATTGTTAGCGCGATCAAGCCCCTGTCACGGAACTTCTGGCGCGTGTGGTGGGTTATGATTAGCATCATTGGTTTGAGTTGAATTTTGGACATACCTCAGCGTGGAGAGAAGAACGAAAAGAAAAGAAATATTAAGAAAGCTGATGGTTAAAATTGGATTTGAAGTGAGATGAGGTAAGAAATAGTCAGCGGGATGACAGCTCAGGGGGACTTTTGGTTGGATGTCAGCCCGCAATCGCCCGGTTGCTGACAGGCCCGTCCCTCGGTTGAATAGGGGAACATGGAACAGTAGATCCGGAAAACTTTATCCCTGATCCAAAGATTGGCGCTTTGAGGACGAATTATCCAGGACTTCCTCGTATTGCTGAAAATATAAGCGACTGAAAGGGGCCGTTAATTGGTGGGGCGAGGTAGATGTGGCGTCTGGGAAGCGAGTGTGGCTGAGGACTTTTGAGTCCTGACTTTTACAGTCGGTCCGATCTAAAACCAACAAATTTTTGATTATATAATTGTTTTAATATTTAATTAGTTTTGCTTATTTATATTTCTCATAATAATAGCGCGCTAAATGCTTTTAATATAAATAATACAATTCAAGAAATTAGAAATAGTAATATTAAAATATATTAAAGAAATATAAATATAAATTCTTTAATAACTAAATTTAAGTATAGACAAAAAACTTAAAGGCGTGAAATAAATCCTTGTTAAATAAAGTTATAATATATTTAACTTGAAATTTAAGTATTTAAAAAAACTAAATATATTATATTTTTTAATATTTTTTAATTATTTATTTAAAATTATATGATTTATTAAATATAAAATAAGTTATTTAAAATATAAAAAAGTAAAGGCGTTATAATATAATATCTCAGAAAGTAATAAATAAATAAATTAAAGTATAAATTAAAGTATAAAAGGAAGAAGAAAAAGAAAAAAATAAATCTAAATCTAATCTAGTTTTAAGATAGCTCAAATCGCATATAATTAAAGCTTTAATATATGAATAATATAAATAATACTCGAGAAAGATATATTTAATATTTAGAAATTTTTATTTAAGATTATAAAGCCAAATTATTATTATATTAATAATAAAATAAGTGAAATGCTGCGAGTTTTCTCTTAAGTATAAGAATGCATAATATTAGTAAATAAATATTTTCGCGTTTTATATAATAAAAAATATAAAAATAAAAATCGTTTATATACTTTAAAATTTGATTGTTAATTAACCAAGAATTGTATTAGAGATCAGGTTAATAGGTTTTATTTGCCTGGTTCTACTCTATGATTGGATTCTACAGTTTGAGTTAATTGGGGTTGTAGTTAAAAGGTTATTGTAGGCGCAAAAGGGCGACCGTTTTATCGGGTTTGGATCGGACCGACTGTATGTGTTATCCCATGGATGAAGAAGCTCTTGAAATTCGAGGCAGTCTATTTCCTTGAGGGAATTAGGAATTTAGCATGATTTCCGGTGCCTCGGTCCATGATTTAGTGAAAGTGATTGCGTGCTCGTATCTCGCTTCCAGACTATTGACTTCTTGATTACCTCAAGGGTTTTCAATCCAAGAACGCTATCAAAAAATAGCTTCCCTTCGAGTTTGATGCTGGTGCATCTTCTATAAATATGGGAAGCAGCTATAAAAAATCTTTCAACGACCTGCAAGACGCCAAGTTTGTGAAGTGAGCTTTCAGGATATTGTTCATCGGGTCGACCGTGTTGGAGAATGGGATTCCATGCATCGAAAGAACGAGGGATTTTCGATACTTGCTCGCCAATGGCCCTCATATGGAGGTACCTAATCACAATTAACAGTACCATGCTATTAACAGCCGACCAACCCCTTCGCTCCCTCACGCCATCAATTTTCTCTCTCGGCAACTTCACACAAAACCCCAGCTGATAACCAGATACCCCAACCCCCCAACCTCCATCCACCTCCCCAGATCAGCCCCAAACCTCTCCACACAAATTCACCTCCGCCTCTCATAAAACCCCGTCACGCTCCTCGCCCCCTGCAAATCCGCAGTACCCCGTCCTGATCAGCCCTCTCACACACCCTCCCAATCACAGTGCTGCCAATGCCCTGCCCCTGCCATTCCGGATCCGTAAACAGCGCTGCAAGATACAACCACCTCCTGCCTCTACACCACATCTCCCGCAACCTCTGTTCCTCCTTATCCAGCATCTTTGCAAACTTTTTTTGTTCCCCTACATCTCCGTTCACTGTCTCCTTTCCCTCAATCTCCGTTGCCAACGATGCTTGACCTTCCTTTCCCTTTTTAACAGAAGAGAGTCCCAATGGGAAGAAAACATTTTCGTAGAGCCCAAGCCGAGGATCTGTCGTGCTAAGGTGCCCGGCTTTTGTTGTTTCCCAGGCGGGATGGTCAAACGTTTTGCACCGGACACTGTGGACGGCGAGGTACTGGGCTCTTAATGTAGCACTCTGGAAAGGGACCGAGAGGCGGTCGTTGCGGCAGGCGGAGACGGTTAGAATGGAGATTGCTTGGAGGTCGTCTGCTGTAATGGGGAGGAGGATGGCTTTGATGATAGAGGGTGATGGGTTGTTGGAGTGCGGTGGAGGTGGCTGAGGCTTGGAGGCCGGGAACGGGCATTTTGCGGGTCACGGCAGAGGGAGAGTGTCAATGGTGGGTTGAAAGAGAAATTTGGGAGGGGTAAATAGGATATACTGTGGGAAATGGTGGGGTCGTGAGGCATGAGTGTTGAATTAGGGGGTTTGGCCTAAGTTTGTCCTCCTAGGTGGAAGCGCCTGCTTTGACTAATTCCACCTACAGTTTATCAACGTCAGCTCTGGTGGAATTGGGGAGGGGTTTGTAGAGGTCGTATTCCTTTGGCAGGCCGCGAATCAGGTATCCGGATATGGAAACGTCCGAAATCGAGCCGTTTACCCCCCTGATTTCAGCCACTTTGCGGCTAATGCGGTTAATAAATCTCCATTCCAACAATGAGGATCTCATCGCTCGCGTGGGACGTCGTCAAATACACATCCGCGTCGCTGGGCAGCATAAATGTCAGCAAGAGCTCTTATTTGATATGCATTAACGAAAGCGACTCATGAAATAATGGCAAGGTTTCCAAGAGAAAGTGTGTTAAAGAGGGAGGTCTAGACCTCGGCTTGCCTGCCTCGGAGAAGGTAAATTGAATATGTACAATGAAAGCAAAGTAATGCCTAAACTCAGTCTCCCAAACACCTGCTATCTAAGCGGGACAAGCATCAATTGTCACATATACGATTTCCGGAGTAGGAGTAGAAGTAGGCGTAGGAGTTGGCGTAATAACCGGGTATACAACAATGGCAGGGTAACTGGTTGACTGAGGAGCGAGATATGCACTGGTCGTAGTCGTCGACGTCGATATTGGAGCTTTTGTGTTTGGAGGAGGATATTGCACGGTAACTGAGGTCGAAGAAGAAGAAGAAGAAGAGGCCACTGCAGCGCTGGTAGCGACAGTACCGGAAGAACCACCAAAGTTTGCACTCGCAGTAACCACCAAGTTAGGTGTAACTTCAACCCCCTTTACAAGAACCACATCCCCATCAATACTCGTAACCTTCACATCCACCATGCTCGTCCCAAAGCCACTCGAATTTTCAAAGAAGTTGTAAGACTGCCTGGTTGTTGATTTCCAGGTGTAACCTCCATCCGTCGAGACCTCGAGCGAGGTGACTCGTTTGTTGGCGTTGACAACTTGCATGCTGAACCAGTAAGCCGAGACGCCTTCTTTGTTATGTAATTGTAGAGGCGTGCTGATCGGACAGGTTATATAGGACCAAGTGACGTCGATCACGCCGAGTGTCGGGTTGGCGAGGGCGGAGAAGGCGTCGGGGAAGCAGTCGAGGTGGTTGGGGCCGCAGCCGGGACACATGTCCACGATCTACAACACAATGGGTTAGGAATCTTTGGGGAAGCTAAGAGGAAGGAGGGATAGTACCATAGCAGTTATGTTGTTTCCAGCCGGTCCTGTCACGGTAATACATGCTCCGCACTCGGCGGCATCGTCCCAATTCGAGTCTGACAACGCGGTCCCAAAGATCGAGGATGGGAGGGTATAAGTTGAGAATGAACAGGTCCCGCCGTGGAGGTTACCGCCATAGAAGGTTGCTTGTCCTGAGAGAGCTCTCTTTCCCATGACCGCGCCGCTGGCGAGGGCGAAGACTGCAGACGCAGCAATTGCCGAAGAGAAATGCATTGTAAATGATTGTGATATTCTTTCAAAGAACAGAAGTAAAGACCGGACGAAGACTACGCTTCTTGGAGAATTTCTGAAAAGAATAACGGTGGTTATGAGAAAAAACAGGAACAGGTATGAAGGTACAACAGCTTTTGATACCCAGCAAAATTGCGGTCCCGACAGCGAGTCCGGGAGCCTCATTAATTGGAAACATTACCAAAGCTTGTCTGATTCAGCTCAGCAATTGAGTTTTGAGCTTATGTGTACGGAGGTAGCCATAGCTCTGATCTGACAGGTGGAAACATTTTGAGGCCGCTATTATCGCCCTTTAATTTCAAACAAAATTGTAGGGGGTCCTCCCCGCATGTCGGATGGTTCCGAGTCTCCACCTCAAAAACATCATCTCGTCTTTTCGGCACTTGCAAGATTACAACAACATTCTCCTCAAAGTTGAGGATACTTTTGTTTTCAGATGATGAAGTTTGTGAGTTGTAGTGGGGTTGAAGAAGTCGCGGAGGCAGGCTAAACGCGGAGAAAGCATGAAATCGTTAGCGACGTTACACTGTCTGGCAGGGGCGCTAGCCCTGTGGCTGCACTCCAGATTTGGGACGACCACGACATACGACCTGCATATCTGCATGGTCTAGTGTCTCGTGACACGGCGCAGAAACCTCACATGTAAGAAACCTTCAATCTGTACCTTTGCGAGTACCTCTCCCTTCATCCTCTTCTCTCCCCCATTTCCGAAGCATCCGCCATGAAAACCACAGCTCTCCAGAGATGGCGAAAGCCGAATTCCAAGGCAGTGGAGAAGCTCTGCGAGCTGCTGAGGGCATACTTATTCCTGCAGCCTGTGATCTGGTTTCTGCAGCTTTACGACGACCATTGGACGCACAGGTTCAGACTAGAACCAGACATCCATAACCTCACACGCCTGGCGCGAGGAGAGAACCCGCTGCATGCCCCCATTCCCCTGCCTCGAAAGCGAAAACGCGCGTTGACGAATCCCCTACCTCCGGTCGAGAGGAGTCGAGACCTATCATACAGCGTGCGATATAGTGTGCGGCGGGCGCGGCAGCGGACGGAGGAGCAGGGCAAATGTCTGTTTTTGGAAAGGCTGCCGATTGAGTTGCGGGAGCTGGTATACGAGGAGGTTCTTGCGGGGGGCGGGAGAAAGCTGGTGCATATCCTGCGGAAGAGGGGACGCCTTGGCCATTGGAGATGTAGGATTCAAGATGGGGACGAGACATGTGGTGAGCAGAGCCAGAAGTGTGTGGAGGGGTGGTTAGAGTATAAGAGGAAACTTTGGCATTGGGATAAGCAAGGGCGGGTGGATTTGCGGACGGATGCGGGATTACTGAACTTGATCTTGACTTGCAGGAGTGTGTAAGTGTTGCTTCAAGGAGGTTTGAAGATGAGAGTTGACGAGAGCCAGGTATTCAGAGGCAATCCCGATATTGTACTCCAGGAACATCTTCCATTTCTACGACCCAGGCGATATCCGACATTTCTCCCGCTCCATACTGCCCCAACGATTGAATGCCGTGCACTCTATCCTGATCGACTGGGAGCGCGCCTTCAGCATCTTCAACAGGGACAACAGGGGGCCGAAGTTTGGTCTTGAGGAGCTAAAATTATGGTGCGAGACCTGGGCTATTATTGGGAAGATGGAAGGTTTGACAGAAATTACGGTTATGTTGAAGACCCATCAGTTTGAGGTCACGAAGGAGAGAAGGATCAAGATGTGTAGACCGATGATGGAGATCAGGGGGTTGAAGACCTATGAGCTAGTGGTGCCGTGGGATGATACTATGGATTGGGGGTTTGCTGAGAAGGCGCCATTTAGGGTTGTAAGGGGGGTGAAGCCGGAGGAAAGGGTTGATATCCTGTGAGTGCTTACCATGTTCTTTGCACATTGGCATATTGAAACCATCCGCATTTGATTGTTTGTCGCAGCATATGAAGCTTGTAGGCATTGGCGGTTGCAGAATATTGAGAATAATCGCACCCTGATTATCCCTTGCAATATCACAACATTGAGAGCACTTGCACTTGAGGAATAGCAAGAGTCAATGCGTTTTTGACTTTTCTTTGCAGTGGCTGCATTTGCAAGCCATTGGTTTTGATTCTACCCTTCGAGAAAGGGACATTCTGCAAGTAAATAGTTTCAATTGTCTGAACTGGGACAAGAACGTTCAGACATCGATTGTCCTTGAAGTTGCTGGACATTTAAAAGCCTTTCGTTTTAATTGTACCTCATACACATTGAACATTTTCAAGCGGCGAGCTTCCGATGTACATGCTGCACCTTGGATATTGGGAAGCACACAATTCCGGTTGTGCTTGCTGCGAATAGAAGATTTGAGAGTGCCAAGTTCCAAGGGTCCCTGCTGCATATGTGATATATAAAAGGGCTGCATTTCATTCTATCTGATGTCCATAGCGCAAGGCATCTTTCGTTGTGGGCGCAGAGAAAGGAACTTTGAGAAGGCGATACCGCGAGTTGTCCTGGATCCATTGTCCCAGCTTGACAGGGGAGATGTGAGAGCAGCAGGACTTCAATGGCCCAGCGAAACACGGAACACTTAATGACGTTCAACTTTCAAAGTTCACACAGGAGGAGGAATATTCAGAAGTTGTTTGACGCGTTATGCTTGCTTCATTTCTTGTTCTACTTCATACATCGTGAGGTCATTGATTCATCTACCCGTCAGCTCATTGCCCCGCCCGTGATTTACTGTCCCGCCCTTCATTACTTATTACAGTAGTACCCTTTGATTGCCCCAGCACCCCTTCATTGTCCCGCGCCACGGGTTCCACCATCACTACCCGCATTGCCAGACCCTGCATTACGCACATTTTGGACATTTCGAACCAGTGTTGCCAGTGCCTGCAGAATCTCATCCAGCTCTTGTGCAGACATGCGTTGTGCTTGCTGCTCGTAATGCTGCCAGATCTGCGGCTGTCTGGAGTAGTAGTACATGTCGCGGAAGATGTTGAGAGGTGGGAGCTGAAGGGAGGGTGTTCGTTGAGATATGGCTGACAGCGTCGTAGCAAGCGTTGCAGATGGAGTCACGGATGAAGTTGAAGCTGGAACCGTGGAGGGCATTGGAGTGGCAGCTGGAAGGGGAGTTGCAATCGGAGCCATGCCAGTGGTCGCAGTCGGAGTCGTGAAAGGGTCTGTAGCCCAACTCTGAGGAAGGACAGGAGCGACGAATGGCGAGCCGGTGACGAGACCATGGTCGGAGTATTGAGGGTGATGTGCCATCTCTGGATTCGGAGCAGCGGCCGAGGACAGCGACATGCTTGGGAGTCGAGGAGGACGAGATGCGGAATCCGAAGCGAGACGAGAGTCAACCAGGGACTGGGTTTGCGGGAGCTGGAGGGTGCCTGCGCCTTGTGAACTGCTGGAGGCAGGGGCTATGCTCGGGAACGCAGCTGGAGCGGGAGCTGGAGCGAGAGTAGGAGTGGGAGCAAGAGCTAGTGCACCCATTACGTTGTTCATTTGTTGCTGCAGGAGGTCGAGGAGGACATTGTTCCGATTAGTCGGGCCTCGTCGCAGACTACGGCGGTCGTAGGAGCAGGGCAATCTTCGGCCGTTGCAGCGGAGGCAAGACGAACGGGGGTTGCTCGGATCGGACTTCTTGCAGGGCTGGTGGTCTTTGTGACAGCGGTCACAGGCACGAGAGACTTTGGTGAGCTTCTTTGGTGGACCGCCGTCATCGCGTCCGCCATTTCCGCCATTTCCGCCGTCACCGCTGCTGCCACCGACACTACCAATGCCACGGCTATTGTATGAAGTAGACGACCACATTGTATGTCGGGTTTCGTGCCGGGCCGAATGTCGACCCTTGTATCGGGCTGTGGGAGGACGTGTCGAAGTTTTGCCGACTTGAGTCTATTCAGAGAAATATTTATACATAATTCGCGAATGGCGCTAATTCGCGATCACTCCCTTAGCGTGAGGCTGAAAGAATAAAAAAAAATTCATGCGCGAGGCTATTTATCATTTGCTATCGACAGAGGTGAATAGATAAGCCAGAGAGGTTAAGTTGCTACTGGCTCCGCCTCGCTTAGGAAAGGGGCAAGCGGTTTTGCCTGAGTCCAGCCTACCACAGCAGCTGTATTTCGTCACTTTAAGCTAGAGAACATTGAAAGTGGATTCTTCCATTAATTTGGCTTGGCCTATACCCTGCTTATAGAGTTGAGCAAAGTTGGTGTTGTGTAGGTTGTTGACGGTTGGTTCTGCCTCGCTTAAGAAAGGGGTAAGTGGGGCTGCCCCAATTCGGCCTACGCGGCTGCTATTCATTGATCCAACCTGGTCCGGAATATGAGAAGACAATGGAATACACTACTCTGCCCAGTTTTATAGCATTGGAAATAGGATTGATTCCATTGAAGGACGGCTCTCTTTCATTACTCTATCTGGCCTCAGGAAAGGTTAAACAGAGTCACCTCAGTCTGGCTCCACTCAAGCAGCTGGCTTCCGTTGACCCAACCTTGTTGAGACTGTTGAGACTATTGAAACTAGGACACTTTCTGTTAGCCATTGATTGATTCAGCCCGGTTGAGAATATTAGATTACGGCTAACATTCATTGCTCGGCCCGGGCCTAGAACAGTTCAAACGTTATTGCTCTAGTCTTCCCAAATTGGTCGCAATAACCGAAACAAAACCATTTCATTGTCCTCGCTCGGGTGTGAGAAGCAGCACAGGTGTAGCGTTTGTCGTTCCAGCTCGACACTGAGTATTGAGGGAGGAGTGCAGCGAGTGCCTTTTATTATTTCAGCTCAAGTCCGCCTATTGTGGGAGTAACTGATCTTTGCCTTCAAATCAGGTGGAATGCTATGAGGAGTTGTCGCATTTGTTCTGCCTGCCAAACTTTGCACGGCTCAGGTGAGCCTTCTTTGGTTCTTCCAGGCCAGCTCGGAACATTGCATGAGAGCGAACTTCATGCTTTCAGTTCAAGGCTTGAGATCACACAAATTAAACACCTTCAACTTAACTTGGCTCTGGCTGACCAAGGGTTAATCGATCTCAATATTCCTACACTACTCTGCCCATTCTTGCAGGGGTTTGTAGAAGCATCCACCTTGGTTCTCGTTTCACTCACGCCTATACATCCTGAAGCAATACCTTTGACAATTTCGACCCCCTCATGTTCAAAACGCCTGCTACAGCATTGCCGAATACAGACTCAGCTTGGACAAAACCTAATCTTCAAGGGGGAGGTTTGGTTCTATTACAGCAATGGCCAGGTCAGCAAGCATAGTTGAACATTGCACTGCAGCCGATAACTGAAGCCAATGTCGTAAATTTTGACAAATATAAATAACTAAATAACTTTGCATATCTTCCCAAAGCAGAGAAACGCAATACCCTAATTATATTGGAGTTATATCCGTTTTCTTGGCTGTTTCAATCAAGGTTGCTCGATTCAGGGGTAGCACGAGTCACGTGATCGAGTCGACGCAAACTTGACGTTGTGTTCTTGAACATGCATTGGATTCTTCGTGCACTGAGTTTAATAGCTTGAAGCTAGAGCAAATATTTGTGTGGACATGTGAGAGTTAGGTCTCTACTTGATTGTAACCCCCTGCTTGTTTTCAGAACAACCAAACGAAGTTGATGCAAAGAAAGGACTGTTTTTCAACTATAATTAGCATAGACCAGCCCTCCCTTAACATTAAAACTTCATATATCTGCTCTTTGGTTTTAAGAATTTGTAAATGAATTAAGTCATAATAGATACTTTTGTTTAAGGATAAGAAAGAAAGCCAGTTAACAAGCCACAAAGCTAGTGGGAGACGGCAGTTGTTTTTACCATAAAGTACGGATTGGCTACTGTTCTATGTAGGCAAAAATAACATTGAAAAATAAATTTCATGTTACTTCTTTTAGACAATTGAAAATAGAGAGCAGGTGTGCCCAAAATACTCCGAGGCGGTAACGACTCGGCGTCACTAACAGAAGAAGACGGCCCTTGTCAAACAGTTTCGGCCTTGTCACCACAATAGAAACTCTCTGACACTTGACTGTCTTAAGTCTCTAAATAGTTGAAAAATAGTGTTAATTGTTCGCGGAATGGTGAGCCGGCAACGTATCGGCGTCACTCATAGGAGAGGCAAAAACCACCTCCACTATGCGTTATTTAGCCTTCTCACTATATAAAGAAATATCTGACACTTGTGGACTGTCTTATATCTTTTAATTCAAATTAAAAATACGTTAGTCAGTTTGCAGAACAGCGAAATGGCGAGCCGGGGACGTGTCGGCGTCACTTGGAGGAGAGGCCGAACCGACCTCTCCTGAATTATTCAGCCCCCACGCCACAACACAAGCGGTCTCCAACTTCTTAGCTTCCTGCATTCAACTCTAAAAGATACCGAACCCCTCGATTGCTCTTACAAATATCGACGCCTGCTTCGTCTCGTTCAAGAACTCCGAACCCACCTCGCGAAGCGCCTGAACGCAGCAGCCAACCATCACTTCAAGGAGAACGCGTAACCTCCGGGCCTCCTTCTCAACAAAACACCTACAAGACGCAACCTACAGAGAACAATTATATGTTAAGCAGAGGCAACGTTTGGGAAGTTGGAAACCCTTTCTCTAATCGACCCTATCATCTTCGCGTCCATGGACTCTTGGCTCTCCCATAACCTTCTTGATCTACAAGCCGCCCATCCTCTTCTTGATACTAATACATATAAGCTCTTTAATTTGCTCCCGTACCTTTCCTGTCCTCTCCTTTAATCCTGAAGGTTGCCCTTCGACCGCCTTTAATCGTCTAGATCACTCCCAAATATCATCACCTCCTAATCTCTCCTCGAACAGAAGACTGACAAGCTTCTGCTATCCAGATTCTAAAATTCAGATCCTACGACATGCCCTCTATCACCGACAAGCGGATCCTCACGAAGGAATGGAACGAGGAACAGCATTGCTGGTTCTTGGTCGTAGACCTGTCGATTTCCATACCCAAGCGCCGAGAACTAACGCGATATGTTTCCGAAACCCTCCAACAACCTCGTCTGCTCACATTTGCCGAGACATGTGGAAAGGGCGAGAAAGCATACCAGTATGGTGTGTCGTTTCAGCCAGGGGGAGGTCCACAACGAGCCCAATTGACAAAAACTGCACGAAAGGAGGACAAGATCAACGGATCTGAGATCAACTACAGACTTCTGGACTTCTGCAACAAGGTTGCCTCAATTGGACTACGGGAATTGGCAAGCGCTGCACGACGACATGAAAATCTCAAGCATGCCTCCCTCATCCCGGGACCAAAGGAAGCGACATTTTTACGAACCAACAGCAAAACTTCGCCTCGATTGGTGCCAACCTTGCGGACGAGATCGGAAAGTTCGGAGACCCTCATCCTGACCCTGGCGATGACATTACTTCGTTGACGTTCATGTTAAATATGTCCAACCTGCCTTTGGCGGAACATAAAGGACAGGTACTAAACAAGTACCATGGCGGAAGATTCGTGGTCCCGGCTCTCAAAGCTGCGATCACTATGCGACCTAGATCCGTGGTTGGATTCTCCGCAGCATTTCTCCACTTTGCTCTCTCAATTCTGGAATACTTAGTCCCAGAGAATTCGCCAATGCGTCTCCCTCCTAGCCTCCCTCATTTACCTCCCTCTCTCGTCCACACGAAGGGTGGTCCTAAGTACAGTTTCGTCAGATTAACGATCCCCATCATGATTGGATGACAAATTTCTTTATGGTCTTCGAAGAGATGATAAACCGATACATTACAATCAAATACAACGATACGGATGATAACCTTTTCGGCATGGGACCAAAGATACTGGTCGCTGCGGTAGGAGCGTTCTCTGCAAAGTGGTCCCAGGAGACAATTGCACATAAATTGCGAGGTCTTACAAGGCTTGGAAAAGCCAGGACCTATCAGCCAAGAGCAATAAAGGCAACACAAACTGTTGCCAACATGCGACAAACTGCGGCTGCTTTAGCCGCAAGCGAAGCAAATGTCACACTCATCCCGAATCCTCCCTCGACAGAAGACCTCCCTCAGACGAAATACGAGGAACGTCAATTCCGACGGTCCGAGTTTTATGCCAACCTCTTCGGCTGGACAGACGAAAACGGCAAGAAACAAACACCCGCTCTTTATCTCATCGATGAGATGAAGTACGCTATCGTCTCCCCGAATCCGGACTTTGATCAGCTGAAAAGGGATCTCGAGACCCTTAGCTGTGGCAAGAAGTTCCTAAACAAGAGTGGAGGCGCTTCTGCAAAGTGGGTAGAGTATGAGACGAACTGGGATATTGCCGGGGGGGGGGGTCTCGGGCAACCCCAATTGGACGAAAGAGAGTCTTCCTGGAATTGACCTTGAAGATCTTGTGCATGAGGCAGAGAACGTTTTCTCGGCGCGGAAGATCAAGGCTATCCAGGAGACGGCGCAGCAGCTGGAGGATGATAACGATGTCGAGGATGACAACAACGAGGAGGGGAGTGAGGTTGAGGAGAGTGAGGAGGACGAGAAAATGGATGGGTAGAGAGGGGAGACGAAAATTGTCTCTGCGCCAGCTTATGTCCGATGATTCTAGCATGAGAAAGATGAATGAATCTGCATTTCATCTCAGCATAATTCTTGTCTGAAGTGCTCAATAACCAAGCAGTGATTCGTCTCATGTTTCAAGGATTAGAGACGAGAACTGAGTTGGAGCTCGATCATTTCATTTGATTGTAGCTTCCATGTATAATCGTACTTATAAGGTTTGGAGTAGGAATAAATACCTTCAAGACTCTAAATTTCCATTCTACCAAGCTCTTTGGGTACAACCATGGGCTGTAGTTCGAGATCAGAGCGACACAATGCAAGTGTACATCAGACCACTGCCCTCATAGCCAATTCGCCACACTTCAGAGCTTCAACTCATTCTCGTTTGTAGAAGTCTTTGAAATCTAGTTGAGATAGATATTGGTATTATTTGAACATGCTGGGAAGGCCATTTCTTGGTACATTTCGAAAACTTGTGTTGATTCTTTGTAGTGTTGGGGACAGGGAAGGTAAACGAAGCGTACTCTGGTTGCCGCCCAAGGGGTACGAACTCGATTTTACAAATTTCGCTTCCAGAGACTGAGTAACTATTGAAAATGTAGAAGATAACTACAGGAAGAGTATAAGCTACTCCTGACTTTTCAAGGGTCTACTGTGCTTGACTATCATGTCTATCACACTATCTTCCTGAATACATGTATCGGATGCACCAAACTATCTCCCGGCAAAAACATAACCCACAGATTGCGGTTTCGCTAGATTCAATGCAATCTCACTTCGGGATTTTGCCTCCTCAAAGAAAGCCTCCGCTGTCTACGGGGAGGATTCGAGCTGCACGCCAGCACATTGTCTTCCTCAGTTGCAAAAGTATCACATTTATAGGTCGGCTTCTAAGACCAGGGTCTCTGCCTCCGAATAAAGACCGGCCCGGATCAGAGCTCGCAAGCGAGGAAGATATGTCAACGTGTAGCGTGGTGTTCTGTCTTGAGCTTTCCTATTGCTCACGCTGCCTTTTAAACAAAGGGAAGGAGGGCAGCAATTCTAGAAATTTACGAATCGCAAATCCCTTAGCGAATCAAAAGCTCAACCTTCTTGAGGCTTGAAATTCGAGAGAGTTGTATCTGGGCAAAACATTTCCATTGGCGGATTTGGTCATTCGTGTACTTGCTCGGCAGGACTCCTGCCGAGCAAGTACGGTGTGTGCGCAGGAGGGGTGGTCAAAATCCACCAATGAGAGCTTCAGCCCCGCAAATGCATCCCTGAACCTCCAACGTGGAGGCCACATTTCTTCGGAGCTCTTGTGAGGAAAATCTGGGGATTCGTGCGGGGCTAGCTCTCAGTCTCTTTTCCACGGCTTCTAGGACCGCAATTCCAGCGCCCAAAGTTGGAATTCCGGTGGGGTGCAGCAAGTGGCCTTGTTCACATGTACTTCGATAAAGTCTGGGTAAATCTTCCTCCCGCAGGTTTGATATCAGTCCAGCTGTGTTCGATACCATCTTCAACATCACGTCTCGAAAGAGCAAGCGCCCTCAAGATGGAACACGTCGAATCTAACACCGACGCATTGACCGACATCAAAAATACCGATGCTTTCGTCGAGGAGGTTGCCATTGCTCGTATCACTGACGAAGAGCTATTCAATTTGAGCGCTGAAAGTCTGCGGTGGAAGTCATGGACCGGGTTTCGTATCTTCTTGATCATGGTTGTCCAAGGTTGCTGCATGGCAGGTTATGGTATAGACTGGACTGTGATAGGAGGTATCAATAATTTTGCCGTAAGTTTATAGGCCCAGCACTCAACGTTGTTCATTCAATGAGCCTGGTCTTCGTCCAAGATAAACTTGGGGATTTGTCTAACGAGTGACTAGACTTGGCATAAGTTCTTCAATTTCAAGGATACGGGATCTATTATTGCAACTTTCAATGCCCTCATGACTATAGGATCTGTGTGTGCAGGTAAGCTTTTCCTTTGACTTCATAGTTACTAAGCTGGGTGACCTTTTGAGCTCCAGAGACATGCCCTAGGACCTGCTGTCAACTCGTTTGTCAAATAACTATACTAACATTTTATAACTAGCCCCATTCCTATCTCTAGGCGACGTTATTGGACGACGAGGTGTCATTTTTACGGGTAACTTTATTGGTAAGCCCCCCTCGTCAAAGGAGCCCCACGGAATGTTGACAATGGAATAGTACTCGCATCGGCGTTCATACAAGCATTTTCGACTGGTATACCGATGTTTATGGTAATTTCCTTTCGCCTGTGCTTTCTTGCCAAATTTGGGAAAGTAATCCTAATTGCTACATAGGCTGGACGTTTCTTTTTGGGGTTTGGCTCTGCTCTGATGTCGCAGCCTCAATACATTGGAGAGGTTGCTCCAACACATCTTCGTGGTCGACTTGTGGGATTGTACGGTGCTTGCTTTCAGTTCGGATCTGTCTTTGTAAGCATTATCGAAAGCCCCTCTAAGGAGTATCGCTGATAGGATAACAGATGTCAGCCGGTTTGATTGGCCTAGGTACGTTGACGAGCAATTGGAGCTGGAAGATTCCATTGTAAGAAAACTAAACTACCTTTGCATGAAGTGGGCCAGGAAGTAGAAATGCTAATGTTGCCTAAAAGGCTCCTTGAAGGGTTCTTCCCCGCCATTGTGTGTGGTACGATCTACTTCATATCCCCCGAGTCGCCTCGTTACTTGGTTTTGAAGGGAAGGAGGGCAGAGGCCGCCATGGTAATAGCTCGTTACCATACTACTGAAGGAAACAACCCAGACCACCCGCTCGTCAAGGCTGTAGTACAGCAAATGGAAGATTCAGTTGCAGGCGCTACCAATACGGAAGTTTGGGATTGGCGTGGCTTTTTCAAGAAGGGCGCAAGATCCAGAGTTGGAGTTCTTATCATCTACTCAATTTTTCAATCATGGAACGGCGGCGGGATCATTGGCCAGGTATGTCATATTCTACTGATATCGTCCTAATTTCTGAAAGAACCAATTCTGGACCTTGGAAAATTGACGGAAAACCCAAACTGATCTCTTAATAGTACCTTGGTCCAGCATGCGAGACAGTTGGCATCACATCCACCACCGCGAAGAATGGCTTTTCCTTTGGCTCGACCCTCACTTAGTACGTGCAACATTTCTTCAGTTTGAAACTCGCCACGGAGCTACCCAATCTTGGGGAACATGTCTTCGGTGGTGTATTTAGGCCTCTGGCTTTTGGGCCATTGAGGGACCTAGCAAGATCTATACTGACACAAAAACACAGCTTGATATTTACCATTGTGGGTAGTTTCATCATTGACAAAATGTGGAGACGGCACTTGATATTTATTGGCATTGGCTGCATCATATTGATACAGACTGCCATCACGATCTTATCTTGGCAATATACTCTCCATGAGAGCAAGTAAGGACTACTCCATTCCACAAACCATTTCCTTCGAAACTCGGTGAAAGCTAATATGCTGACTTGATATCTTCTAGATCTACTGCCATCTTGACCATCTTCTTCTTCTTCGTCTTCCAAGCCTGTTCAGCAACATTTATCGCTACTATGCACAACATTTACCCCGTCGAGATCCTTTCCCTCTCTCTTCGAGCCAAGGGCATGGGATTGTACAGTCTTATTCAAAGCGCTGCAGGCACAGTCCAACAATACGGCATCGCAGTGGGCTTTGAGAAGATTGGGTACAAGCTCTGGGTTGTGTATATCATATACAACACCATCCAACTTGGCCTCTCTTACTTCTGCTTTCCAGAGACTTCTGCACTATCTCTTGAGGAAATTGACTCTGTTTTCGAGACACCTGGTGTCAAGCCGGTCAAGATGTCTCTTGATATCAAGAAGGCTCAGAAAGAGCATGACAGGCTGGAGGCCGAAGTTGCGCTGCACGGAACTCCTGTCGTGTGATTGCTGATTGCTTTTCACAGGGACAAGTCATTTCGGATGCGAATGTCGGAATGTTTGGTGTTAATGGCGATATTGATGTTCCTCAAGGACTTCATTAAGACCAAAGAAGAGCTTTAAGTGTGTCGCACTTAATAATTCTTATTGACATGGTCATTATTCTCCTTTAGGCCGTTTCAGACACTCCATGAAGTCCCGATCTCGTTTTTATTTTCAGTTTCAAGCGGGCGCTGAAGGTCCACGGCAGGCACGAAGATTTTGATCTCGCCACAGGACAATCCAAAAATTAAAAAGGAAGCAGAACCCATGATCCACCCGGCTTGATTCTTAAAGCGATTCAGTGAAATGGGTTTTCCAGAACCCAAGTCCAACCTCCTAAGCTAATGCAAGACAAAAGTATTTGGTCGCCTAGATTCTTCGCCGATAGCTGAGGATGACGGACTGGAGGGCGTGTTGCCGAGCGGCACTTGAGACTTCCCACGTGAAAATCAAAGTCTTGACTGGAGGGACACGAGATAGAGTTCGTTAGACCCTAATAAATCGGGCGACATGTCTCAAAGCATCAACCCACCGCTCAAACGATATTAACAAAACCTCGAGTGATAAGTGGATAAGAGGGTGGGGTGGTGAGTAACGGAATCTCAGCTGCCATATATGAAGGGTTTCCAGACACTCGGGTTGTTGTCCCCTTGGATATTCCGAGAGAAGTGCCATTGAGGTTCTGCGGCCGGGCTGATCCGGTTTGAATAATCCACCTAAATACAAGGTGGCTGGTCAACCCACGATTACCCACCACTCGGACTGCCCGCATGGAAATGTCTCTGCTCATCGTCCGGTTGCTTACCCGGTTCCGCGCGATATTAACAGTCCCACTTTTAATTTAGTATGGTTACTTTTCTTTGGCTAATGGACGCCCTTGTTGGAGAAATGTCTTGGATTGACTCGGGCCAAGGAGCCGGCGCGGACCGCATGTCAGGTATGAAATACAAATGCCAAGAGACTGCCGCCACAGGCTTCTAGAAACCTTCCTCATTGAATTTCCCGGCATCACAACCTTCTCCGTTTGGGCAAAAAATGGCAAGAGGGTGAGCGGGAGAGTGAGAGAGCTCTGAAGATCTTCTAGGATCGAAATTCTACAATGCGTTCGTCGTAACACGCACTCTAATCAATCATTCATCGCAAACAAAACTGACCGCTACATTAGTCTCTACAGGCGACATCCTCACCCTTGTATTCGGCATCACAGCTACATTGATAGCAATAATCACCATTGTGGTAACGGTCAGACTAAGCAATCGCCCCCCGAGTAAGTCGGTATTTTGGACAAATTTCTCGCCCGTCTGATTTCAACTAGGGCAACAAGATGCCGAAGTGCCTCGCCGAGAGCAAACCACCGCAGGGCAAGATAGATTAATACTATCGCTGATAGAATTGGGGATTCTTTAGATTAATATTTTTACTTAAAAACAAAATGGGCTGACTCGGCAAGGGGATCATGGCGTTAAATGGGTATGAAGCAGTTGGTTTTGGCATCGAAGGGCGAGTAAGATCAAAAATAGAAAGGTCGCACCTTGTGTCCTCTCCAGAGTGGACCCTGTCGATCACACTCTATTGCAGAGTGACCGGCTAGAGACTCTATCCAGAGCAGTGGGGCTGAAACGGTCAGTTTCAACAGGATCCTTCGACCAAGGTCGGCACCACAGACCAGAACACATTAGAATAGAGAGGGGGTAAGACGGAAACGAGACTTGAAGTACTGTCTGAACACTGCCTGCCAAGTACTAATTAAATTACCCACATCTTCTTAAGTTTCATAACTCTTCTTCGCCCTACAACAACCCCCTGTCCTCTCAATCTCTTCATGCACGTTCTTCCCCCTCCCCTCTTTTTCCAACTTCGTAACAAGTGGCAGCACCTCCTTCCCAAACTCTTCGATATCCTCCTCATAATGCAGAAAAGCAAGCAACCCAAGATATATCCCCAAGCTCTTCAACAGCAAAATGCGATCAGCAACTTGCTCCTTAGTCCCAACCAATTTCGTCTTAAATCCATCATTGTAGTGCACCAAGTCCTCAAACTTGATGTCAGTTTGCATTTATGAAATAGTAATCTGATGCGTTGGACCCATTTTCTCTTGCATCGATCCAGTTTCCGCTTTGGAAAATCAAAGGATAAGGTCGGCTCGGAAAATCCAGCGGCTTAGGAGAAAGCGGGTAATCATGGAATTGGCAAAAGTCACTTTTGTAGGTGAACTTTTCTTCTGTCCAAATTCCCCAGAGACATTCAATGAATTCTCCACTGCGTCTAAGAGAAGGGGATCGGATGAGTGGGGGGAGGTGTGAGGCAAGGCGCGGTACCAACCAGTAACGCTCGGCCTGTTCGAACCCCCATTGACAAATGCTGGTGAACTCTGTTTTGAGCCAGCCCGAGACAACGTCCACAGAGATTCCGCCGTCTGTGTAGTGGTCGATGTTTGTGATTTGTTTGGCTGCTATGGCTGGATTCCAAAGGCAAGGTAGCAGGGCAGCAATGACGTTCAGCTTTTTGTGGCATGCAAGAGAGCTTTGGAGAACGAAACTAATTCGTATTGGTTTTCTTGACAAGGTCTATTAGTATCGGTGTGTTAGAGAGCGAGGTGGGGCCCACGTACTGCTCCATATCCTGCCCTGAAATGAATTTGGGTTAGAACATGATCAAAGCCAACATTCTCGGTAGTCTGCGCGTATCTGACGTTAGCCTCTTAGTCCCACCTAAAATTCTTCGAACAATGACTCGGGGTCAGGTTATAGAATATTTATCCTGTCCTCTGAGGAATCTTGGAAATTACTAGCTCTCCAGAGACGTTTGGAACCCAGTATGCAAACTTGACAATGCCTGGGTCGTTGTTAACATGCCGAGCTACAGTGAAGTAAACTGCATTAGTTTCTTCTTAGTCGACCACGGCAGAGGTTCTTTGTATTTTGACAGGCATGTTGTTCGCAAGAATTAGAAGTGATAGAATGACAAAGAACGGAAGCACTAACGTGAAGGCTTCAAAAGGCTGAGGTTGAGGGGGAGTTGTCAAACTCTCGACCTTGGTATACTAGCGCAAGGCTGAAGGAGAGGAAGGTTAAATCTAAACCCCAATGCGGTGTCGACCTTTAGTTGGTTGATGGTGTCACGACAGGTTCACTATCTTTCCGCCACTAGTGAGGCAGGTTCAATCTGGCACACTATGAGCAAATATCAAAGAAGGTTAGGTCACCGGCAGCATGTGAGTTGATAGTAGTCCCGAGATAACTAAAATGCGATGAAGGGATTTCCGAAGTTAGCCTGGGGATGATATTATTGACCATGAATCTGGGGAGGAATCTGATGGATGTTGTGAGGTAAGCAGGAACCGAAGATGAGCTGCCGGAAAGCCCTGAGCGAACACCTGAAGCAAGCGAATCCTTTGGGCTTAGCGAAGCCCCTTTTTCGGAACACCACTGAGCACTTTATCATGAACACCCGTACTTTTACAAGATTCATATGGTCTAAATCCATCTCTTCTCTTTCCTTGGAGGTTTATGCCAACTCTAATTCTATACAGCATAATTAAGTCGTCAACGGCACCACGATTCGAGGCCCATTGACAGTTCGATCACAGAGTGTCAGAGCTTGTCCAGCGCGGCATTGATACCTTCCAAACCTCCTTCCGCAACCTCAATATCAGGTGTTGCCAACAGTCTCTGCTCCAAGAGTTTCACTACCCATATCATCTATCTTTCTCCGACCTGGGGTGCCTCATGAAAAGCTTTGATTGGAACAGACTGGTATGCCACCCCTTCCGTCGGCTCCTTTGGCAACCTGTCAAGCCGACGAGATGCAATCTCTTTTGGCCTTCCACTACTTGTTGCATTGCTTCAACTAACAGTAATGCGCTGTCTTTCCCTCCAGTATCAAGCCCGAACCGCAACTTCCACTTGCTAATCGATTTCATGATTTGAATTGCCCGCTCTAGATCGACTCGGTCCACGAACAGATCGGCATCATGTTTTAGCATGCGCTCACCGTTCTTGGCGACATCTATAATAGCGATAACTTTGAAGCCAGCTAGTTTTGTAAGCCGAATAGCACATATTCCCATAGCTGATGAGCCTGATTCTGTAGGCTTCCCAATCAGAATTGAGTATAGAATTTCTCACCTCCCCAATTGCAATCCAGTCTCCTGCTCTCTCGTCCTTATTAATCTGATGAAAATTTTCTGATCTGATATCCTCCGGTCGTTGGTCTCTCGAGGTTGAGCTTATAGCGTAGAGTACATTTGGTCCTGGAAGCCCAGTTTTCACACCTCGGAAGTCCATTCCTATACACATTCCGAGTGCGAGAGAAGCAGCGACAAAAGCAACACCCAGTGGAGCAGCATTCTTTGAGGATAAATGATGTGGAAGTCTACACGCATTATAGTCTGACACCACGGCGTACTGCTGGTATGCCGCTTTCCCCGAATCTCGACTGTCTGTTGAAATCGCCAATGCCTGCAGTGCATTAATTAGGAACCTCAAATAACAAATGACTCACCCTGTCCCCTCGTTTAAATCTTGACCTTAACTTTGGCGCTTCAACAATCTTTCCAGCGAGATCTCGTCCACTGATGCAAGGCAGATCTGGCAGCCCAAAACCGAAATCACTGCTGGCCATCAGCCCGGCTCCGTCTTTAAAGGTGGGCGAATTACGGTGCTTTCCATTCAATTGGATTCAATTCAACAACTCCCACAGCTACCAACATCTCTCTATCGTTTTGAATGCTTGGTATGGGATGTTCCTTCGCATACGCATATCGCGGCTTCGGGGCGCAAGAGGATCCCTTGATTTAATGCATTTGAAATTTCGAACTCGGTATCTTGTATCTCTTCGGCATGATGTGGCTTTCTTCTCTTCGGGGGGAACATCTCCTTCGGCAGTGTTTCCGGTTCTGGCCATGGATGCACCAGATTTTCCGCTTTCTCGTTTGGTGGAGTTTCCGGAGGCGTCAAAGACTGCTCCAATGATTGAGATATGTACATCTCCTTCAACCTGCTCATTTTGATGTTCTTCTCCTATTCGTGGCTTAGTAGGATATCTTACAAGGGAGGGTTCAAGGATTCGCATGTGAAAACCCAGCGAGACAACACCACTACGTCACAGACGCCTTTCGGTACTCGATGATCCGGATTCAACATGGATCAGCCCAAAGTAGCCGTTTCCTTAATTTCTTAAACCTTCCGCGCCTTCAAGTACATTTAGTTGTAGATCGTGAAGGTGTGATGAGAATCATTTCTAAGCAGTAATGCTGCCAATGCAGGCGGAGAATTGTGTGGTCGCGGCTAGTCAGGGGAGTGAACTACTGCTTCATGATTACTACCACCCGACATCACTGCAAGACCGTAAATTTGCTTTTCATCTCAAGAACTAAGCAGGAATTATTAGATGCTATACTTCGTGGATTAGAGGAATTTTTGCCAGAAGGAATAACAAAGAAACACCGTGCGCTCGATCTTATAGCACAGGTTTAGATCACCAACTCGACTTGTTCCTCCTTAGATTAGAGAAACCAACTATGACGCCCTCCCGAAAGGCCCTGCTCCACTTGATTTCTCATCTTCTGGAGTATTCGGTATTCCCCTCGGGCCTCTTCTGAAAGAATTTGTTTTCAAAATCTTCAGGTGGAGCCGAATCGCCTACCCTTCACCCACGAAAACCAATCAAGATGCCTTCAGAAGATAGCATCAGAAAAGGCTTTGCCAAACTCAGTAGTCTCAAAGAAGCAAATTGGATCTGCCCGAATCGCACTCAAGAGAGAACCGCAAATAGACACACCGTGTCCCCTGCAGGGAATCCATAGCCCTGTCTCGTTGCAAGCACCGTGAACAGTACTCTGGGAAGCCTGGTATGTCTGGCCCTCTGTACGTAGACAACGGCATAAAGTGAGGGGAATACGGGGCGTATGGACAGGCTCAGGGCTGCGAAAGCACTAATACATGTAATTTAAAGGCTTACACCCGCTATAAAGGGTTATCCCTTCGTCTGGCAAGACATGGTCCGTACTAGCAAAGGGGCCAGGCTCAGGGCGAAAAGGCGATATATGACTAATAAGTTTCTAAGCAAGGTATGCCTTTCGCCCTGAGCCAGGCCTCATTGCTAGTACGGACCATGTCCTGCCAGACGAAGGGATAACCCTCATAGATTTCCCACAATCTTGCTAATGGCTTACGGCGCGCTTTTAGGGCAGAGGCCTGGAGATATAGGGGGCTTTAATGGTTAATTGTGGTGGAAATTGCGTTTATAGTACTCTGAGAGTCCTGAACTTGCGTGCATACCCTGTATTTACCTTACTTTATGCCGTTGTCTCCGTATTTCCTTTTTCTATAATATATATATTACAAGTTGCACAATAATAAGGTGGCTAACGAAACCGAACTATATAGCTATCGAAGCATTTATTATAACTTTAACAAACTTAACTCTGAGTTCAATAGAATGGCGAGGTGTTAACGTTACCAATATTTACATTAAAAATTTCTTCTTTGGTAAGCTTCGATAGCTCAACCACTCTCCAACAAAAGACTTAAACCTTGCTAGTTGCGAGTATTAGAATAGTCATCTTAGCACAATAGGCGCTAGTACTAGATAACTTATTCGAATACACAACGCTGAGTGCTTTCGGTAAGCCTCCTCGGCCGCTCCATTTTCAATTCAACATTTCTAACGTAGTCAGGTTTCTTCTACTATGGCTTCGGCGCAATCGTGACGCCTTTTACCAGAGTCCAGGGCTCATACGGCACAAACACTGCGAAATACAACAACGCCCTCGGTTTCTTCGTCCCTAATATGGCTGTGCTAAACCACATCTTCGCTTTCGTGCCCACTGTTCAACAAGGAATTCAGTTCGCTGTATGCAATCTCGTCACTAATGATCACAATGTAACTAATAGCCTCAAACACAACTGGAATAACGTCGGCCTCGGCTTCATGGAATCCGGCAGCGTGAAAATCTCCCAAGTCCACGTCCGTGGAGCGGGCGCTCTCGGATGGTCCACTACAACCTGCCTTTCCGATCCCAATGTCCTCTCGATCCCCTTTGATATCCTCATTTTCTCTACCATCCAACTTGTCTTCTCGAACTTCTATCTCGGAATCGCGCAAGGTAGCGTGGACTTCGCGTCAAAATACACAACAACCTCAACCCGAGCTTGGGCTTACGGAGGAGGCAACAAGGCTTTCCCGACTGAGTTATTCTATATTATGGAAAGATATGGGAATTTTTTTGGTCACTTGAGAGCCAAGGAGACTCTGGCTGATAGAGCGGGGAAGGGGATTGCCGATATTTATGGGAAGTATGGGGCTAACAGAGGAGTGACAGAGAGGGAGAGGGGAGAAGCAGCGGAGTGGGTTGCTAGTGCGAAGGTTGTGACTACGGATACGGCTTTGAAAGTTACTGCGGAGATATTTGAAGTAATTGTATGCAGAGCTACAAGTCGCAAGGTGGATTTAGATCGGTTTTGGAGGGATGTGAGGACACATAGCTTCCATGATTCCGTGGCATAGAAGAATCCGGAGTTCGGGTAGTATGGGTTGCTTGATAAGGCGAGGCATTCTTCTTTGTGTGAACAAATCTAGGAGAAATTAATCGATTTAGATACCGGACCCAACTTGGTATACATGAATAATCTTTAGATTGCGGTTATTATCGACGGCTTTGACCCGGTTTCCGTCAAACCCGCTGATAGGTAGGAGAGATGGAACTGCGGAAAGTGTGCGTTGGATAAGCTCCTTGGGGTCTTCGACAAGAAGCACCAGCAGAAGTAGCTGCGATCGAGCTGACAGTGAGAGGGGCGGGTGGCGCTGTCCCGTTATTTCGCAAACGAATGCAGTCGGTCTCTGGCACGACCATTGTCATATTGTCCGTTTTAAAAGTTGGTAATCTGTCACTTTTAGTATAACAGCGTAAATGCCGTGATTGCAGTGTGATGCTACGACGTCATGCGTTGCGGCCGATTTCCAGAACTCGATTCAAACGCTTCAAACTTATTAATGATTGTCATAATGAAAGTCTCTAACCTTCTAGCTAACATTGTATGAAGGCCTATTGATTTTTGGTGCTATGATAGTAAATATTCCTCCTTTCATAGAAGGCGTTGATAGCTTGAAGTGTTGCCAATGAACCTCGTGAACGAACGAAGATGTTTGATTTAAGCGAATATGACGCTATTTTGACTGGAATCCATTCACAACTGCTCTCAAAAATCCAGACTTGGTGCATAAACTTGCAAACTTTCCCTTGATACGGAGCATCTCCTCAATCAGAGAACCAAGTTTCGCCGCTCTCGCAGATCTATCCAACCCATACGATCTCACAAATCAAAAAACCAAACTTACAGAAATCAAAACTTCTTCGTCAGACCCATTCATCCACTTTTTTTACAATCTGCGACTCGGTCATTAGCATGTGCGAACTCATCAAGCGAAAATACGCATGCGGTTGTGAAAAGCCCATTTTCCGCAACACGATCTGTCGACACGACAGCTCGGTTGACGCAAGGCTTTGCAAACTCATGACAATCGAAACAAAGGTGTATGATGAAAAGTGCATGATGTGCAAATTAAAGGATTCTTTCAGAAGATTCGCGAGCTTGAAGAGGAAGTCCAAGGAAGCAGAAAAGGGAGAAGAGGCGAAGGAGACATGAGGGTAGGGAAGGGGGATTGGGTCTTTGGCCAATCTTTTTGGGGAACGGAGTTAGATGGCGGTCCCTGCAATTTGACTCACTTCTCTAAACTAATGTTTAGTGATTAAATGAGCGTGGTTTTGTGTCATATCTTTTCCATCAGAGTGTCCTACAAAAATCGGTATATTGTAATATCTAGGCCAAAGCTAATAACGTGAATGTGCAACGTTTCAAGGGACATTCTTAATGGCAGGCCTCAGTGAATATACTTGAACCATTCCATATTAACATTATATAGAACTAGGTTGTATGAAGAGCATTGGAAGCAGCTCTGAACTCAGTCACTGTTCGATCGACACTGAAAAACCACCCGCCAAAGAAACGGGTAGAAGGTGATATCACAAGCATAAAATCCCACTTGCACCCCCCCTTGCAATCATTGAAACCAGACATTCATACATACTTCACCTCTATACTTCCCAAAACGAACAATTCAACTTCAACACTGCATTCCTACCACGCTCAAATGTGCGAGGTCCATATGAAATTATACACTTGCGGTTGTCTAAAGGACGAGAAACACAAGATCACATGTTCGGACAACCCGACCGGGAATGCGAGGAACTGCCAGATAAAGACGTTCATCATAGACAACATTGGTCATAATTGTTGGAGCTGCAGGTTTCAGAAGCTGGTTGGAAAGAGACAGCCACCTTGAGCCGCCTCAAATAGTCCACTTATCAGTCATCTTCAAGGAGATAATGGAGTACGTCCTGCAAGTCTGATAATAACATCATTTGTGTGTTTATCCCCTAGTCTCTGGGACTCAATGTACTCCATCGCGATTGTGCAAAAAGCCGAGTTCCTCCCTTCTCCCATGTTTCAACCAGTAAGATCCCAAACAACGGGCCTTCCTCCAGAGCTCTGCACGCATCCCAAGCAGATCCACATAGCTCAGTCCACAGTTCTGTAAAACTAATACCATCAGCGACATCTTCTCCTCTTTGCCACTGGCTCGTCATCATCAGCAGGTCCATCGATATACGAAACAATGAACTCTAGCCTCTCTTCGGGCTTCATTCTGCATGTGTATTTGTCGAAATGGTCCCGGACCTCCTGTGCACGGAATGCCACACCTGCGGGTAAGAGGTTGCACATTTCTTCCACTGATCGACGAGGATGTTCGCTCTTCTTCACCTTGTAGAGTTCTTCCATCGCCGTCTTCATCTCTGCGCTAGGCTGTGGGCTTTTATCATCGTTGAGTGGGAAGCCCCACCAATGATCGAAGACGGCTTGCTTATCTTTTGCTTGTTGATCCATGGCCGGACGATCTTGTGTTCGCGGCGATTTGGGGATCGTTGATTTGTTAGGTAAGGTTGCGTGGGAATAAAGATGGAAAGGTGGAGGATGTATTCCGAGTGTTGTACGGTGAAGAGTTGAAGGGTTGGGTGTACCAAGGAAGGAGGAACATTCAGCACTCTTCCTTAGTCATTGTTCCACCAAACCCCTGTGCAATGGACTCCGGAGGAACTTTGTTAGGTTCCTATGTTGCTTGAGTAGAAAGTGATTGTTTCTAAGAAGAAATGAAGCAACAGGTATTCAGACTGCTGGAATCTTATGGTATAAGAATATGAATGAACATCTGAGAAATGATGATTCACGTTCATAGTGCCGTCTACGAAATTTAGTTCCGAGATCAATCAGTGTTCGGCATTAGGTTGGACCTACCCAACCTACACCCCTTGTAGGTAGGTAACCTAACCTAATTTGAGGGCTGTAGGTAGGTTAACCTACATACAAATTTTGATAGGCTGAATAGGTTCAACCTATGACCTATACCAAACCTAAACCTAAATAAATCTTTTAGGTAGGTAACCTAGGGTAGGTTACCTAGGTTGGACCTATGAAACTCAACCTAATGCCGAACACTGAGATCAATGCTCATCTTGCTTGTTTACATTTCCCAAAACCTTCAAGCTACACAGCCTCTAGTTCAAAGTCTACCTCAATACCGCATTTCACCTTTCCCAAGCCACACTGACAGATAATAACATCTCAACATAAGTCGTTTCATCACACTTCAACTTAAGCGGCACTTGAATCCACCAACGACGTATCCAACCGCGGGAAAATGTGCAAGTACATCACCCGGAATTACTTGTGCGGCTGCTTCCACAGCATACGGCACGTCATTACTTGTCCTGATAATCAAAGCAAGAGCGCTTTGAAATGTGAAGTAGTAGATATTATAGTAGAGACGGAGAATAAAAACTGCTGGACATGCTATATGAATGGGAGGCTAAGAAGGAATAAGCTTTAAGGGAGTGGAGGAGGTTGTTCGGACGCTGGTTGGAGCATTGAGAGGTCTTCTCAGACGGAAGGCGAAGGTTGCAAAGATGCTGAATTGATTCGAATACAGAGGAGAGCGTTGGATGGCATTGTACTGCGACTTTTGAAAAATGGGACAAGGGGTTGTTCAAGTTCCTTTGGGGACAACGAAAAGCATGTGAAAGAATTCAAAGTCTACGGTGAAAAGCACGGCAGAGATAGAGAAGATCAAAATGAGTGAGAATTTACAGAATCTGGTGTTTGAAATACTTATTATAATTTTGAGATGATCTACTCAAGTTATTGCTGCCGTGTTTACAGCGGCAAGGCCATTCACAGCCCGCGCTTCTACGGCACCGAACAACTTGACCCTATTGCTATATACCTGTTTGTCTCGCTTACCTCATCATTGACTGTTTGTTCTGGTGCATTCAATTTGAACTTCGAAACAGGATGATAGTCAGTCGGGCAAGAATGTTTGGCCTGGCAGTCCATACAGATTTTCCCGAAATGCTCCTCCTGGGACAGCATAATCGTCCCACATCAGCCCTCTGAGTTATAATTCAAGTACGGGCAGCTCAACGGCAGTTTCGTAGCTGTAGGGTTTTGACAAATATGCTGGCATTAGTTGGAGCTTGAGTATTCGCAAAAGGCGAACTCACACGCTATGTTGAAGCCATCGATATCGGCCTCTCTGATCTATGGTTCGAAGACATCTGCTACCACAAACCCTATCCCGACTGGCATTGGGTACTACGCACACTGGTGAGTATTGATTAGTACAGAAAGAAGAAGTATTTATCGAGCCACCGAAAGCCATTACCTCCCCAAATCTACGAAGCGTCGAAGGCTTGTCATCCAAATATCCTGTCTCAGAATTGTTGACAATGTCTTGAATGGTCGCCTGCCCCACGGGATGAACTCAGGCCCTCTCCCGTCTCCCTGCAATCCGTGTTCCTCACCGGTCTCACGCTAATCTACTGCACATGGCTGTCCCCTCACCACCGAACCTTCCCTCTCAATTGTCGGTTGGCAGATTGCAGTATCATGTTGTACGTGATAACGGAGCACTAGCCCTTGGCGCGGAAATGCAGAGATGTGTTTGAGCATGTCAAGGAGGGGGTTATGGATATCATTGCGAGTGCGGATCAGCATCAGACGGAGAGGCGGCACATATCCAGGACGGTGGTTGATCTGAGCGGTGGTGGGTTGGAGTAAGGGATAATGGGGAATGCGAGTCAGGACTAGGAACAGATGATTGGGGATACGATTGGGGATATGATTAGCGAGGGAGTGGCATGTGATAAATATTGTTGAGCCGAGTCAGAGTGATGTAGGGAGTGATTCTTGGGGCGCTGTGGGGAGACTGTAGTCACATCGATAGTGTGTGTTATGGGTGCCGGGATACCTATTCAAGAATAACCCTCATATTCCCCCTCCCCCTTTCTGGTGCAGGAAACCCAAAGTCGCCCCTCATATCCGTGTCCCTGCGGTCCGTCTCATACAACCTCATTCCCCTCGTCCCCAACACTTTCCCAGTAGCATCTCTCTCCAACCTCACAAACGTCCTCAGCACATTCGCTAACGTCATAAACAGTTCTGCATGCGCTAATGGCTGACCAATACAGTTTCTCGTACCTTTGGAGAAAGGGATCAGGTACTTGGGGTTCGCTTGTGGGATTCCGGCGGGTCGGGGAGGAAGATGGAGGGTGGTGGAGGAGGAAGGAGGTGGGTAGGTGAGCCAGCGCTCGGGGATGAAGGACCATGGTTCGGGGTAGATTTTTGGCGAGTGGTGGATTAGGGGCCCATGCATGGATACTGCTGTCTATTCCAGTTGTCAGATGATAGACAAGTCTTATTCAGAATGAGACCTACATTTGGTGGGATGGTCCAATCACCAAGCTGGAGAGTTTCAGTAGGTGCTGAGCGAGTGAGACGATACGAAACGCCTGACACGAGACGAAGAGTTTCTTCGACGACCGCGCTCTGGAGTTCGTCAGTTTCCAATTAAGCTCTAGACACGCCCAGAAAAGAAACAGGGCATACTAAATACGGCAAACTCTCCAGCTCCGCCTCCTTACACGGCTTGGTAATATCCGGCATAGCACTTTCCAGTTCCTGCATCAAAACAACCAACCTCTTATCATCTAGCAGCAAGTACACAATCGCGGACGCAAGAGCCGTAGCAGTTGTCACCGTGCCCGCGACAAGCAGTAATTGTGCCTCTTGCACGAACAGCCGCACGGATTTGTCTTCCTCTGGGAGAGTCTTGCTATCCATCAAATCGTGGAAGATCGTCCGATGCTTGACATCCGAGTAATCGCCTCTCGTTCTAATTGTCTCCTTTATTTTCTCCTCGGAATGCTTTTTCACCGTCAACCCCCTCTTCACCTTCTCACCGAACTTTGGAAAGTAGGTAAAAAATAACTCACGCGTCTCAGGACATGAAAAGTAGCCATCCCCTCCCCGAATATCGCCTCGACGAACTTCTCAGGTAGGTTGTTGAGCAGAACCGGCAACCACGGCCATTGGACAGTAACGTGCATGTTATCCGTCAGCTTATCCGTCGTCTCTAGTACCAGGGCATTGAAATCCTTCGCTTCAATGTAGTTCTCAGAAATCCCGAAACAATACTCTGTGATCACATCACTGGTCAACGCACTGAATGCTGGTCTGATTGGCAAGATTTCTCCCGTGCTTTGGTAGCGACGAAAGACAGCAAGGAGACGGGAAATGTTGTCTTGGATCAGTGGCTCTAGTTTCCTGAGGGAGGCTGTCGAGAAGAATGGCGTTACGGCGTTGCGTCGCAAGCGGTGTCGTTCGTGGGCGATGGTGCCGAACGCAGAGTCTCCGCCGCCGAAGGCGTGGGACCAGGTTGGTGGCTTGTCGCGCTTGGAAGGGGCGCCTGTGAAGAGGGTGTCGTAGAAATCTGGATCATTGACATGCAGTTCGTGAGGACTGATTCGGATGATTGGGCTATCTGTGAAGCAGTAAGGGCAAAAGCTTGACAGGAAATGGGGACATGCAACGCACCGTATTCTTCATGCAATTGCTGGATCTTGTAGATGTATTGCCCTTTGACTCCAAGAGCGTCGTAATAGAACATATATCCATAGGTGAGACCAGCTAGCTTCGATCCAGGGAATTTTGAGTAGGGACTGAAGAATAGACGATGTACCCCTACACCGACGAGGTACAGAACGTACAGCGCAGATAAAATTCCAGCTGTCCTGGAAAGTGAGAGCGAATCGAAGTCCAGGAGTTGCAAAAGATCCATTTTCCCTGGAGGAGTATGGCAAAGCTAGAAAGACGAGACTGGGATGAAAATGAAGATGTAAAGTTGAGAATCGAGAATGCGTGTGGGGTCGACGTACAGTACCTGCAGTCAAGATAAATGCTGTGTCACCCCCGCACGGCGGGACGAGGGAGCGCATGAGAGGGCAGTCCTGGGGCTCATCCAGCTGCAACCTGCGCCCTGATCAACCAGCACCCCTGGTTTGATCTGAGACCAATGCACCGAGTCTCTGTCACCGTCGAGCACCACAAGCATTGTAACCACGACCGAGCAGCTGTTCCAGCGGGGCTGTTTTGGTACTCACTTAATTACGGCCAAAAGATAGCAAAAAAAAAATTACATTGTGCGTTCTTAGCTAAGGTAGACCTCAGCTCACAGATAATGCGGTTTCTGTAAATAGAACACAGTGCCTTCGATTTCATGTCTGACGCTGGCTTCGTCGGCCGAACCCACCCAGGCTTGGCAACGATTCTTGACTAATCGATTCCCTATCGATAGCGCAATCGTATTACTAACAATCCGGAGGGATTGATTGCCATGATAGGGAATCGATTCTTCCTAAGTACCTTTATAGTAAATTTGTATAGAAGGTACATCGGCAAGAGGCCTCGGGAAGTTAAGCGAACCTCAAGAAAACTCTGTACTCCTCTTAATTTTATATCGCCGTATTAAGACTAAATTAAGACTAAATCCTTAGCCGGCTATATTATTAGAAAGGCAGAGCTAATTAGAATAACTATATAACTAAAGGCACCTTAATATAATTAATAGTTATAAAGTTATATTATTTATTATTAAAGTAAAAGGTATTATAAAAGCCCCTATAATTATGCGGTAGCTGGCCCTCTATAGGGGCTAGCTCGCTTAGAATCGATTCTCAATTATTAGAATTAATAGTTTACGATTATATTATTAATTGTTATTAATTAATGATATTGCTAATTATTACCAAGCCTGCTCTTACCCAAACTACTTCTTTAACAAGAAAATGCAAAACGACACCCCATGTCGATTGGGGGCTACTACCCAAAGTAAAGGCACTCGGACAGAAATACAAAAAATCTAGCTTTTTATTTAAATTTAATTTAATTTATAAGAAATTAATTGAATTCAATACTTTCATTATTTTCTTATAACACTTATTAAGGGCTATTTAAATATAAACCTTTATAAAAAATGAATTCGAGATTTTTTAAAAGCGCTTTAGACAAATTCCCAAAACCTTATAAACTTCTTAAAGAAAGCCGCCAGATAGTATTTCCTAAGTACAATAGATGATATGTTTTCGACTTGAGGTTCTGAAAATGGAAGTCTTCCGAGGCCTAGTGCCTATAAGCCTAATCGAAATGTCTGTGATTTCCAGGCTATCGGGCAGAATTCGCCCAATCAATTCACGACTATATTACATTTAGTAAGGGAGTTGAGTACTCGTAACACTCTATTAATACCTGAACCCAATACTCCTACTTTAAAATTAACTCATAACGCGTGTAAAACCGCCCGGGAAACCCATTACAAAAGCCACATGCAGCTCTTCTTCATTCATTATATTCCTTCTGCTGTTCTATTCACTAAGTGTACTAAATATACAGTACGGGTTAATAACCAGGTTTCCTTGTATATAGCCCCTGTACATCGACTAACCTTTCTGAACCCACTTCCTGAGCCTCTCATCCTCCCATTTCGGTGTTATTTGAGAAATTGGACCTGGAAGGTCAAAGGCGTCTGTGATATCAAGCGTGACGTGACGGGACTCTGTCTTCTGGTGGTGCACTACCCTCTATGATGTATTGGGGGAAGAATCTGTAGGAGGTCCAATCCACTACAACAGAGGTCGAAGAAGCAGCGAATCGCTAGCGCCCTTATGTTGGAACGAGGCGGAAGGAGAAATGGACCTCCAACGTCGGTGCCAAAATGCCCGGAGCTTACCTTCGCAGTTCCCATAGGTATTGTCGACCGAGCCTAGGAACTAAAAGGTCCAGGGGGAGAATGAGTCTCCGCCTCAACCGGCGAGTGGGATGTCTTAAAGGGCCGCTGGCAGTAACAAACCGAGCTGGGAGGGATAAGGATTTGTGGCCGTAGTTCGATAATCAGCAAGACTTACATATCTTGATAGGCATGAATCTCCTTATTCCGTAGGTCCCTCCTTATCTGGGCACACAGCACTTGGATCTCTTCCGGCTGCCACTAGAAACGGCGTCAATACATCCTCCCTCAAACATGAGGGCCAGGCATCTTACCCCGAGATACTTGGTAAATAAGAACATGGCCCACCCATTAATCCCCTCGTCCCATCCCACCCGATTATACGCCCCAATCTCCTTCATCTTGCGATCCCTGGGCCACGGACCGATAGGCCACTTAAACGTCTTGTGCTCCACATTAACAAACCCTGCCTTCTCCATAAACGCCTTACTATCCTCTGCCACAGTAAAGCTCTTCCCAAACTTCTCCCCGCACTCAATCGCCAACGGCCCCCACTTCTCCAAATTTGTGCCTGCCAAACTCCCATCCTCGCTCTTAGGTACCACCGAGATTTCGACATGCTCAAACCATCCTCCAGGCTTCAAATGCTCCATAATCTCCCCATACAGCACATCATAATCGGCCACACATCCATATATACTCCTTGCGTGTATGAAGTCAAAACTCGATTTCGAGAATGTCCACGACTGGCAGAAATCGTCGATTTGGAATTCCAGATTGGGGGGGACGTCGCGGGGTTGGATGGGCGTGAGATCGGTCGCTATGACGGACGCAGACGGGAATTGGTCTGCGAAATCAATGGCCCAGATTCCCGTGCCCGTTCCTATGTCGAGCACGCGTTGAGGGAAGGGACTTATGGGCGCGAGGAAAAGCTTGCCCTCAAGGGTCAGCGTAAAGATGTGGTGGAAGAGATCGAGGTTGTCTTGGGCGGGTTCGTCATTCGGACCCCTATTTTTGATCCGTCAGTACGGAGCTACAAAAACATATCTGGATATCTGAGCGAAGGATTATAGATTGTGAGGGGGGAGGCGTACCAGTAGGAGCCCGCGCGGTAGCTGTGATATCGTCGTCCATTCTCATACACATGATTCGTGATCGCGGAGTACAGCGATGTTGTCTCCGACACAGCATCGCCTTCGCCGCCATATGACGAGTCGGCGTCATTTAGGGACTCGTCTACCGAGATGGGCGCAGGCGCTGACGCATTCAGAGCCATCGGGCAATGGTCTAAAAGTTGTCACAGTTGAGGTTGCTGTAATGAAGTGCTTAAAGCATTCTACTGGGCAAGTATGCGCGCGGCAGAGTCAGCGGGGGTTCCCAACCCAGCCCACTCTATCAATCTTTCCCATACATGACCTCCAACTTCGTTCGTTGCTCGATCGAAGACCCTTCCGAGGTTTTGGCATCGTCCCAGATCGCCCGACCCCTTCTCTATTGAGCCGTACTGATCCCGCCTATTATCATGGGCGTCAGCGCGTCGCTACCTGCGCTGGGGAATGAGTATTTGTGGAAACTCTGCCTTCTGCCCCCTGCTCTCTTGATTTTATATCTCGTTGGATTAGGCATCTATCGTCTCTATTTCAGCCCTCTTGCCGCATATCCAGGCCCGAGGCTCGCCGCCTTGAGCAACTGGTACGAATTCTATTGGGATGTGATCCAGCAGGGCCAATTCACATTCCACATCCAGAAGTTGCACCTACAATATGGTCAGCCTCTCCTTTCCAGCACATGCCAGCTTGATATCCTCTTTTGAGATTAATAATTAATGCAGGCCCAATTATCCGCATCACGCCTACCGAATTGCATATCGATGACCCAGCCTACTACGAAACCTTATACTCTCGGGCGGTGCGTCGCGATAAATATGCTTACTTCTCCGGTCGTTTTGGATATGCGAGCGATTGTTTTTCAACCATAGACCATGACCTTCATCGGCTTCGGCGGAAAGCCTTGAGTCCTATGTTCTCCGTAAAAAAAATTGACGAGTTCCAGCCGGTTATCAAAGAGAAGGTTGAGAAGCTTTGCGGCAGGATGGCGCTGTACCTACAAGACGGACAAGTGTTGCCTCTTAGCAGAGCGTGGATGGCTTTGACTACGGATGTTATTACAGAATACTCCTTTGCCAAATCTTATGATCAGTTGGACTCGCCCAACTTTCAGGACACACTTCATGAAGCTTTGGTTGCCATTTACACCACCGGACAATTTGCGCTGCACTTTCCTATTGTTTTCCCGATTTTGGACATCATGCCTGAGTGGTTGGTGAAAATGGCGCAGCCAGAGGTTCTTCCAGTCGTGGGCCTTCGCAAGGTCAATACTCAGCATTTCTTTGCCCGTCCTGTTCTCCCAAGAATGTACTGATATCCTATTGCAGGACCTGGGCCGACAGATTGGCGAAATCAGACGCGGGGTCAATGATGCGCACAAGCACGTCAGCCATCCCACAATCTTCCATGAAGTGCTCAACAGCGACCTTCCGCTGGAAGAGAAGTCTGATGCTCGTCTAGGGGATGAAGCGCAACTTATCGTGGCAGCTGGTCTCATTACCACGTCTTGGGCATTGACCGTCGCCAGCTTCCACATCATAAATAATTCCAATGTCTTCCAGAGGCTGCGTACGGAGTTGGAGACAATTGTGTCAACGTCTTCCAGCACGTTTGACTGGCACAAGTTGGAGCAGCTGCCATATCTCAATGGCTGCGTTCATGAGGCTGTAAGATTAGCCCATGGTGTCTCAACGCGCTCGCCACGTTTGGCTCCTCTAGAGCTCAAATACGCGGATTGGGTGATTCCGGCAAATACCCCGATCTCGATGACCAACGTTGACATCCTCATGGATGAATCCATCTTCCCTAATGCGAAAGACTTTGTTCCAGAAAGATGGATTGATAGACCGGACTTGGATCGCTTCTTCGTTCCTTTCGGTAAGGGGTCACGAGCTTGCGCGGGCATTAAGTATGTCTTTTCTTATATTTTTAATTCACATGTGGGTACGGACTGCTGATAACTATAGTCTTGCACAAGCCGAGTTGTACATTACGCTCGCGACTGTATTCAGCCGGTTCTCATTCGAGCTATTTGAGACTGACAGATCGGATGTTGAGATGGCCCATGCGTATCTTGTGCCGTACCCAAAATGGGACTCGAAGGGAGTGCGAGTCAACATCAAATCCATTTCAGCTAAGGATGGTAAGGCAATTTGCGCTTAATGGATACAAAATTACAACTATGATGAACGGCAGTATGTAGGCTTTGTGAGGATCCCTGGAGGCCTTTAAAGGCTGTGATTCCTTCTTTTGAGGTTACTTTCAGCCTTCTCTTCAACCTCAACTTGAGTCCGATTCTCACAGCTCACCGCAGCTTGTAGGGTGATAAATTCCCTGGGATTAATATCTGGTAGGATGGACATATAGAGCTATGTAACTGTCGGTTTCTTGAACGACGATCTCTCCATTCCCCCCCCCCACATATCTAAAGAGAGTTGACCACTAATAATTATCTTCTCTGGGCGGACAATCCTGGTTTGGGAATGCTAGCGAGCTAAACTGGTGGGTTTACAGGGGCTGGCGGGGACACCCAGACATTGTACATATGGGCGGAGGAAGCCTGGACTCCCTGGAGTGGCAAACTTCAGCCGCCGATGTCCTCGTACTCGTGATGGATTTTGCGGCCCACACCGCCCCGCCCCCCCAAAAAATGATTTATGATCGCAAGTTTCGCTGTAGGAACCAGATGTAGTTTTACGACCAATTTTCACTTCTGCAAAGTCAACAATCAGAAGAGGCAGGCTCAGACTCAAATCATGGACGTAGCGGACGATTCTTGCAGATTGGAAACGAAACCTATTCCCTCTCCGCCTTACATCCGTACATGGATCTCGATGTGGAAGAAGACGAACACCACGACAACTCAGATCACGGCTATAAATTTGATTTTGACTCTGACACTGATTCTGATTCTGATTCTGATTCTGAAGAAGAGTTCGAGGAGTTCAAGGTGGTCGAGTTCGAAGACGAGAATATGCAAGAGCCGACTGAATACCCTGCCCAGCCTGCGCGTTAAATACGTTATCAACATCACACTTTATCGCGTGCAGCAAATCTGTTGACATTCAACAAATATTCGACTCTCTTCGGAATAAGAGCTCCGCATTTTAATGCTACAGTACTTAATGGGAAAATGTAAATCGACCCCCCTCCCCGTGTGTCGATTGGGGGCCGGACTAACCTAACGAGGTAAAGTCGAGAGGAACACCAAAAAAATCTAGTTTTCCTTTAAGTTTAATTTACTATATCCCTTCGTCCGGTGAGACATGGTCCGTACTAGCGGCCGCATCATGCGGATAGCCTGATTGGAGGAGACGGTTGTATTCTTACCTAACAAGGGATAATCGAGTGCGGCCGCTAGTACGGACCATGTCTCACCGGACGAAGGGATAAATAATTATTATAATTTAATTATTTCTTTTATTATAAAAAAACCAGATTATAAGCTAATAGGATATAAAGTTTTTATTATATAATAATTAGTAGATTTAAGAAAATTTAAAGAAGGTAAGGAAAGGCGGAATTTTTAAGGCACTATAAGAGCCTGAAAATTTAGCCATCAAGCGCCTGTAACTAATTTACCTCGTGCGCAATTATTGCCTCGCCTGTTCCATGCCCCAAATTAGAGCTCTTATATATAAACTTCCTTATATTTATATTAGGAAAACTGATTAGAGAGAAGGACTTAAGTAAGTACAAGCAACTAATTAGGCATTATTAAAACTCTCAAATCCATTGATACGTCTAATCCACACCCGAGGTGTGTCGTTTTACATTTTCCCCTATTAATAACAGGCGATGGATTACGTAACCTTAAAACATCTTATCCGTTCCACCAGTCCCAACCTCGCAAATTCCAACTGCGGAGGAGCATCTCATAACCAGCCCATAGAAGTCGTCACGGCTAACTTCTTTGGCCTCTACTCTCAACGAAGCTCCGCTTAGCAACCTCTGTGTCAGGTCTCGCGTGACATTGTACGAAAGGTACATCTGGGCCTACCAGAAATCGGAGGTACTGCCAGGGCGTCAAAGCAAATATCTCAGCCCCGACTTCGTCAACATGCGCCTCCTTAGAGCGGAAACTATAGAGCTGGTGCAATTCACACCAAATCAAATCCCGCCATACGCAATTCTCTCACATACATGGTCAAGCAATCTAGACGACGAGGTCCTCTTCGCGGATATCGGGAAAGAAGAGGCTAAGCGGAAGCCAGCGTACCAGCTCAAAGTCGCCCCGGCGTGCTTCAAGGCCTTGAAGCACGGATTCAACTATGTGTGGATTGATACTTGTTGCATCGATAAGAGCAGCAGCGCAGAATTGCAAGAAGCGATAAACTCTATGTTCAAATGGTATATGCACTCATCCATATGCTTCGTGTATCTGGAAGATGTACCCTCGAAGACAGATGAGGCTACAGACTCGGAGATTTTTGAAGACCTGATCATCGAGAGTCGCTGGTTTACCAGGGGATGGACACTTCAGGAACTCGTTGCTCCTTGCAATCTCATCTTCTACTCCAAGTCTTGGGACGATCTTGGAACTAGAGCATCACTCGCAAGCTCAATTTCAAAGAAGACAAAAATCGATAAATGGATCCTTGATAACACAAGACCCGACGCTAACCGGGTTCACTCCAGAAGTGTGGCCAATAGGATGTCATGGGCCGTATTTAGGGAAACAACACGGCCAGAGGATATTGCATATTGTCTCATGGGTATATTCGACGTTAATATGCCACTTCTCTATGGCGAAGGCAACGAAAAAGCATTTCATCGGCTTCAGGAAGAAATTTTTAAGAATTCTGATGATCAGTCGTTGTTAGCGTGGACGGCATTGCCGTCGGACAATGTGAGAACAAAAGGTTTGCGATGTCCTGGAGCCAAACACCGCATTGAATTACGGGGTCCTTTGGCCAAACACCCTAATGAATTCCGGAATGCCAGTCACATAGTCCCACTCCCTGGTGTTCCAGATACCTATTTCTTGACTAGCAGTGGATTACGCATTGAGCTCCTGGTCGTGCCCTCCAACTGCCTTCCTTTTCAACCAGGAGTTTGGGGAGTTTTGCGTTGTCATTATGAGAAAGACTTTACCGGACCTTTGGCAATCCCCCTTGAGCCGCAGCCATGGCAAGGGAACCAGGTTTATGCTAGGCGACTTGCGGATCTTATCACCATTGATCGATCGAAACTGACCAACCTTGATATTTTTCAAAATGGGCCTTTTGTTTCGCAGAGACAAGCACATCCGCAAAAACAAGCTATCATCATTCACAGAAACCCCCGTCGTTTGAATGCTGAATGCGAACACCTGCACCTCGAGAGCTGGCCTACCGAATGCACCCTCATACGCGCAATTCCGGAAAAACTATGGAACCCCCTATCTCGAATAATGATTACCGACAACTACGCCGTAACACGAGTTTTTGTCTTCGAGCATGTCGACTATTCGCCTCCTTTTGTCGTTGTTTTTAAATCTAGTTTTCGTGATGATGAACCAAATCTTCGGAAGATCAGAATATTCAAAATGGATTCAGACATAATTTCCTCTCTACGGCTACTGGGTGACGGGCATCTGGATGCTGAGCATCTGGATCTGGAACCATGGACCAATATACAATTATCGGAGGATGATTGCAAGGACCAGGTTGACACTATGTGGTGGTTTAGAAGCAAAGGGTTACAACCTGGCGTCAGGGCGGCATTGCGGGAGGGTCACATTATGGGAGAACCTTTCTTTATGTTAAATATTGGCATGACTACAAGCCCTCCCGCCCCGTTTAATGATTTTATAGAATCTAGCTAGTACCGAGGTGTTAAAACATCGTACATCAAACTCTTGAGAATCTAAGAATTAGATTATGATATTTCAAAAGTATAAGTATGTGGTCTAGAAGTAAAATACTCGAAGGTCTTGTAAGAAATATGGATAGATTAAGAAGGGGTGAAAGTTTCCCAACGCGAGCAGCTACCTCTAAAAGACTATCTCCTCTCCAAGATATATGTTGAAGTCGGGCGAGGCGTAAGGCATTGTAAACATTGCGTCGCACATCCAAGCAAGTAACGCCGGTTGTTATCTCGAGGGGACTGATTTTGCTCTGGTGTTTGGGTATGTAGCTCAGGACGGCTCCAGGCCAGAGAAAATAATGTGCTTCATTATATTCACGACAGCTTTGGCTTTCATTTCACCCCCCCACCCTTCTTTCTGCATCCACTCAGAACAACAACCAATTCAAATCACTCCTTCTCCTCCCTAAAGACTCACAGTCAAAACCGCAATTCCATACCCCGGAACACTAAACGTCCACCCACGAACAGTACTCGCTACAGGCAAGACGGTAACATCAAGAAGATAATTACTCTGCGTCGCCGCCCCAGTAAATGTCTGTAATCTCGCCGTTGTACTCACTTTCCCAGCAGCAGGAATCTTGACCGTAACACACTGGCTCGTCGTGTCATAATACGCAATCTTGACATAATATGTCAGACTGGTCGCCACCGTCTTGCTCGTGACCTAAAACAGCGGCAAGCTGGGTAATAAGCCAGTCAGTCAGTCATCAGCTAAGGGTATTTCCTAGCTGATTGGTTGATAAGGGGTCGGTCAGCTGATTAGCTAGCTATACTTTGTATTTAATTTCTCAAGCAAAGAAGTCAAGTGAATAGAAAATCACAGAAACGGGTTCTAATATTATCCTATTATTATACTTATCCCTTGTCACGTGAGAGCCTAAAACAGGGTAGTTTAATAGGCTGAAAGAGAAATTTATGCATTTAGCCTTTATAAACCCCTATATTTATATTTACTCTTTAATATATATAAGCTTGTTAGCTACTTATAAGCTAGCACCAGTAGGAAAACCTTAGCTGACTAATTTATATAAGAATCGAGTTCTAACTAAATAACTAAATATACTAGCCTATCCCCTTCACTGCGCCCTGTGGAGCATTTAGTGCGACCTCCCAACCTTGCGCACGCGTAAAGAGCTGCTGGTTGCTCCGTCGACGACAACTTTAACTGCGCCTCCGACCCATATCTGTCTGGGCAGTGAAAACGACACAATGGAGCTGGAGGGGATAAGCTGGCTTATTGACCACTCTGTATGTAGTGTAGTGCTTGATACTTCAAGACCTGGACTAGAGTACGAGGTAGCAAAGGACCTACCCCAATCCCGTGAAGATGGAAGAATAATTCTGCTCTAGTGAACTCATCTCTCTTGGGGCGAGACCGAGGTGCAACACCGTGCAAAGACCCGAAGGACAATTCTCCTCCGTCAATCGGCCAAAATCGAGAATGGAGGGAAACTGGTCGGAGCTCTGGAAGGGATTAAGCTTCAGCCCTGATCAAGGTACCAGCCAGATGACGGCTAGATCTACCCCATAACACAGGTCACCGGTCCCTAGTGCCGGCCCTCTGGGTGATGGGTCTGTTGAAGCGGGCGGGGGAGTCTGGGGATGTTTCGGGGAAACTTAGCATGGTGACGAACGACTGACGCGGACGTAATGTACCAAGTATAAATCAAACAACTTTGTCGATCTATCAATTTCTCCATCGAGATCGTTCCTCGTGGACACATGCAATTCAGCTCAGGTTGCAGTAAAAGCGGGCACGCCTGAATGTACATGTAAGTCTTGAACAGTCATCCAATCATCGAACAAAGTCTTTGAAATTCGACGTCAAATGTACGAATCGAGCCTAGGACTTTCAAAATTTCGCATTGTATGCACTCCTCAGGAACATCAACCCACCAACTTTAGAGCAATCAGATAGCGGACCAATGATCAATGTAGAAGAACTCTGGGACTGGCATCCAAAGACGCTTCGACGGGGTGAACTGGATTGCGGGGAAGTAGACACTCGTCACTTGGACTTTTATCACAATATTAGTCGACGATTGCTGCGCATGTAACAAAGTCAAAATTGGCCGAGGGGTTCCAACATTAAATGGTATATTCAGACGCTTTCTACAATACTTGTACAATGAAGGGACCGCTAATGCAGCGCAGGTCTATCCGGATATCAGGACCCAAAGTCTATTCGAATTAGCATAATCCAGAATGGATGGAAGAGGGGCACCTACAAAAAGAAAATCATGAGAACGCCGAACATCTTGGCAACCAACCAGCGATTGCCAGACACTCGCGACCAGTACTTCAGCAGCTCTCTCTGAGCGCCTTGCACATTGTCTACTACATCCTCCGTATTCGCATCGATTCTTTGAATCATCTCGCTCTGCTCTGATACCATAGAGGCTAATTGACCGAAAATTCCACCCAGCTCGCTGATTGTTCTTTCTATTGCCTCGATTGCTTCCCCTCTTTGCTGGATGTATGTGTTCTGGGGCTGTGCTTCTTCCATCATCAAGAGCTGCTGATCCCCAACTGGATTCAAGGATAATAGATCTTGGCCTGGGCCCGGTGATCCTCTGTTTGGTGTGCTGTATAATGGAGAGGCGGACTGGGATATCGATGGGGCGACGTGGGCTGATACTGAGGAGACGAAGTTCTCTGTTCGCGCTCGTGAGGCTTGGATATTCTTCGTTCGTACTTCTAGGACATCTTTGAAATTTGCGGATACGTCTGTGAGTTTTCCTTGGAGAAGGAAGACTACGTTCTTGTTGTGTTCTCCTTCTTGGTCGGCTTTTGGATGCTGTGCTCGAGAGAGACTTTGTAATGACGAGATTTGTTGGTTCAGGGATGAGAGATCTTGCTTGATGATTGAGGTCAATTCGTTGATTTCGACTGGCCGGTCATCGAAGAGCGTTTTCCTCCTGGCCACTGTGCAGTGTCAGCATGCAAGACCTCCACATCTGCCCCCAGAGAGCCGTACGTTGTGCTAGTTTCTCCAACTTTCCCATGGTCACTGAGATGCCTCGGCCAATCTCTGCCGCCCTCCTCGCGAACTCTGACCTCCTTGGCTTCCCGTCTCCAGTTGCGCTGCCATTCGCCGCCGCCTTCTGTGAGTCTGTGAGGAGTGACTGTCTTTGTGCGCCCACTTTTGAAGTTGCCTGTCGCTTTTGTACTTGGGTCAGGACCGACCTGAACTCGTTGGTCCGATCCTGGATGGAGGAGACTGCCATCTGGAGAATGTGGTTGCGATAGAGGGATATGGGCGCGAGTTCAACACAGGGAATGTACTCGGCTGATTTGGATCGGCGCCGCAATATTCGTGAGCCTTCTCGTTTCCAACTTGCCTTTCCGGAGGCTCGGATCGCGCTGAGTTATTTAAAGGTTACAAGGCTCCGTGTGATTGTAGGAGACAAAGAAACAGGACAAGGAGTGTATGAGGCGGGCTCTAATTATTATCGTAAAAGGATCGCGGTTTATCGAAGTGAAGAGAAGTCGCAAGAGAGAAGAGGCGTGGGCGTGGTCGTGGTCTGCTGCAACAGACAGGACAGCTGGTGTTTCGTTGGATGCACTCGTCAGTTCTCCTAGGCGTTGGAGAATGGCGGCTGCGCTGAGGCACTCAGGCCGCAGCGGCGACCAGCTAAAATCGGCCGGCACGTGCTTTCTGTGGCCAGTGAGGCTTGGCTGTGGCGACCGTGTTTGCGAATTAGCAAGTGTGGCTGGCATTGCCGATCCTTCAGCAGACGCCAAGCGGGCCAATCAGCAGCAGGAATCGTCGCGCTGGTGCAAGGAATGGGATGACGGGCGACGGGGGGTGGAAATTCAAGTGAAGCCTCATCTTCCAGACGAACGGGGAGCCAGCAAGCATAAACACCGCAGAGACTGGTCTTCGCCTCGCCTAATCTTGCTTCCGTACTCTGTACTTCGGCGACATCTTCACTTCTTCTATCCTTCCTCACCTTCTTCGTGCTGAAGCATTGCGCATGCAGTCGACCGAGGCTGCTGGGAGCTGAACATTGATTGCCGTAATCTGACGGAGCTGAGCTTCTCTCCTGCCCATCGACGATCACCAGCACGCGCAATCCTCTCTTCGCCCCCATCGCCCCCATCCGCCTCCCCCCACGATCGCAGCCCCAATGCCTACAAATACATGGTCACAACAATAGATGTCTCGTGAGCCTCGAGTCTGCGAAGGTTGCCCACGATGGCGCACCCAAATGCTAGCGATGCAATGTGAGTAGGGGTGGCTGGGAATCAGAGCTAGACGTTGCTGATAATTTTCCAGGAGCCCCCACTCTGCTGGTGGATCGAACATCTCATACGCTGCGAATGTCAATCGACAGAAGACCAAGAAATGGGCTGAAGCCAAACCCGCGAACTATGGAGGTGACGATTGGGGAGATGACGACTATGATTACGATCCTGCTCCACAACCAGTATCTAAGCCGACAGGACTTCGGCAGCAAGGCCAGGCAATACAAAGTCCCACGGTGAAGTCCAATTCACCAAGTATTGACAGTAGGAAATATGGTGATTTGCCGCCTCTGCCAGGAGCAAGCAATCCACCACACAAGCGATCGCACTCATTCGATCCGGACGATGAGAAGCGCAACTTTTCCTCCACCACCGTCCGCCAACCTTCACCCCCAACGACTGAATCACCGTCGAATCCCCCAGCGACTCGATTCTCACAAATGACTGGCGTCCCAGCTGCACGAAACACCAGCGGTCCTCCTCTACAAATCTCGACCCAGTCAGCCACGCAGCCTCCCACTGGTCTTCGGAAGTCGAGCCAAGTCGTTTCCCCTGTCTCTGGGTCACCTCATCCAGACATATCGAAAGTTGGGCGAGTGAATACCGGGGAAGACAGTCCAGCAGGGATATCTTCTGTCGTATCGCCTACGTCAGATACAACTCCGTCAAGCGACTACCAAGCTCGACGAGACTTTTCCCCCTCTGCTGTCCCACCACCTCTTACGACTCGTTCTCCTGCTCCTCATATTGCCACCGACTCGCCGACCACGAGGTTTCCTCCACGGAAGAGCAGCATGAGTCAATCTGCAGGACCCGACTTGGCGGACATTGGTGGGCCAACTCACGCACAAGCGGCTCCAAAGCCATGGACTGCTCCTCGATCATCTTCGCCAGGTGCTGCTCCCCGATCATTCTCGCCTGGTGCTGCTGCTCGATCACCCGCCGCTTCATCAGCCAAACCTCTTCCATTTATTCGTCCAGCCGATATCTATCGTCGAATGGACGAAGAACGTGAGAAGGAGCGGCAATCACTAGATTCTGGGAGACCAAGCATGGACTCGATTGTGGGTGCCAAAGCGAGTGAAAGATCAGACTCTCCTGCAAAATCCAACATTAGAGATTCGAGCTCTGACAGTCTGGGTCAACGACGGAGCAGAACTAGCTTAGATGCGGACGATGGCTCCGAATCTGGATGGCAGAGACCCATACTGGAGCCCGTCACGGAGAGGAAGAGTGAATATGGATTCGAGGGTGTCAATGTTGATGATCACACATCGCAACAAGAATCTCATTCCAAAGCACCGGAACCGACTACATCTGAGCAAGATCGCCTGGACGTGGAAGAGGCCCGCCGATTTTCAACAAGTCCCAAACTACCAGATCTGAACCGAATATCTGGCTTTGGAATGGACTTGTTCTCCCAATCGAAACCCGAAGACTTAGACTCTTCGCCGACTAAGGATAAGGAAGTCACTCTTACAAGCCCCGCGACAGTCCATTCTACTTCATCTAATGCGGACGATTTTACCCTCCAACATCAGCAAACACTTGGATTTAGATCTGTGGTCAATCAAGCTTTTGACAGAGCCGATGATTCGTCAGTCCCTGATACGCCTGCCTCACAACCAACCGGCGGTGTCAGCCGGAGTGTTAGCGAGAGTACCGGTACCGATGGCATCAGCCCAATCATGAGCCGTGTGCCTAGTGCAGCTGTTCGAGGTGGGAATCGAGACCCGTCTAACCCTTCAATTCTTGAGGTTGTCAACGAGCCAGACTCGCCAGAGGAACCACAAGGACAGGAGGAAGCTCATCCGGAATCGGTGCCAGAGGGCCCTCCACCGGGTTTCAGACCTGGATACCGTCGTGAGGTCAGTACACCAGGCCGCGAGAATAGCCCAGCGAGACATCCAGAGGTGGCAAAAACGAACATTATTACAAGCGGACAGCACGCGGTCGTATCCGAGACCTCGCCACCGGATGAGGAGCCGCTTCAACCTCCACGACCCATAGTCGACCGAGAGCAAAGCTTCCGCCCTGCGCTTCCTGGCGGATGGACCTCATATACTACATCAACGAACAGTGACACTCCAAATTTACCTGCTATTGAACGGAAACCAACACCCGTCATTGAAGCAACTCCTGTCCCTGTCCCTGCAAGCCGCAAGAATGACAATTATGATATCACACCGGCTTCCACTAGAAACCAATTGCCACACTCTACGTCCAGCGCAGCTTTTGTCGGAGCACTTGGTGGCAGTTTAGCTGAAGCAGCCTCGCATAAGCGTGACAAGGCTAGCCCCAGCGGAACACCAGTCTCAGACAGCCCACGTGTTCTTCCTGCCAGAAGGGACCTTCCGACACCTGATTCCACGGCACCTCCTGGTGGAAATCTGTACTCAACTGCAAATCCGGATCCCAGACTTCTCCCAAAACTCGAGCAAGCTCCCCCAGAGACACAACTACGCCCAGATGTAGTCAATAGGCCTGACTCAGACGAGTCCAGCGTGGCACCGCCTCCTCTGCCAAAGGATAACCCTAAGCAAGAGTCTCCAGATAATGACCCAGACTACTTCCCGACACCAACTGCGCCACTGAAGCAAAAGACTCTAGATGACGTCGGATCGCTCGAGCCCCCACGCAGACCTGAAATCTTGCCAACTCTAAGTTCAGATAACAGAGAATATGACGACGAGAACGATAAACTTCGCAACGAAATCGTCAAGAGTCTGAGCAGACCCACCACTGCTGATCAGCATCGTGGAAGCATGTTGGGATTGGATGATGGAGCGTCAGGTAAACAGGGTCGTGAAAGCACATATCTCCCAACGGAGTATGATAATTATTGGGCCACTACTGGTGAAGACGAGGAGTCAGCTCCAGCTGTTGCTGGTGCAGAACCAAAACATGGAGAGCTGCACCAATCCGAAACAGTCTCGCCAGTTGCAACAGAACGTTCCGCTGCGCCTGAGATTGATTCACCTATTATTCCTCCTCTTAGTCCTCGTCGGCCAGAGGCCTCCGAGGAGTATCAACGACCTTCCCTTCCCCCACGCTTCTCGTGGGAAGAGGGCTCAGAAAATGTATCTGTCGGTCCGCAGGTGGAGCCGACTACGGCTGTGGGTTCAGATCATGATCTACACAGTGCAGCAAATGAGCCCGCAAACCCTGTTGAAGCAACAAGCTTGACCCAACCTATCTCAAATACTGGGGAGGTTGACCGTGGTCAGCCATCTCCTGTAGGCTCAGGACGAGGTCTTGAAGGTCCAGATTCTAGGGTGGAACAAAAAACATTATTCGACGACCACCATGTTGGTAGAGATGCTGCACTGCTAGCTGGCGGAGCCACCCCCGTAGGTGCCGTTGTTGCCGCGCACAGCCCAAAGCCACCGACACATGAACGTCGACTCTCTCTGGCCGAAGAGAAAGATCCCCAGATCTCGTCTTACCCCGTGTCTCCTACTCCCCCTGAAGATGAGCACCCAGCGAACTCTCCAACTCCGTATTTGTCACCCTTCACAAGTCAATTTTCACACGCCCCAAGCTTCGTGTCAGCTGTCGGTTCGCCTGTTAAGGCACCAATGTCACCTAGTGGCAGCAAGTTGTTTGCCTTCAAAGACATTGTAACTATACAATCGCCACAGCAACGAATTCAAACATTTGATGAAACCAGACATCGTTGGGCAAACATGGATTCTGGCCTCAACGACTGGATGGCCAAGCTGCAAGCTCAATATCCTGAGCATGCAAATACTTCCGGATCTTGGACCGGGTCAAGAACGAGTGTCCCAAGCGGATCTGCAAGATCCAAATTTGCAAAGTCTCCAGGCGGTGGAGCACCACCACTTCAGGAGCCTTATTATCGACAATACTTGAATGCTTCGCCAACCACACCCTCCACACCAACACGACCGGGCCCGTCTCCGGGAGCCCCTAGTCTGCAACCTGGATCTCAACAAAGCTTCTCTCCTGCTGGCAACAAACTGACCACCCAACAGGTTCAAGCAAAAGGAAAGGAATTCCTTCATTCTGCTGGAGTATTTGGCGGCAAGGCAGGGAAAGCAGGAAAGGGTTTACTTGCAAAGGGCAAGAACAAACTTCGTGGAGCCGGTGGCGGAGACAAGGTAGATTGAATTCTCCTTCAGAGCCGGACCGCACGTGGCGACTGGGCGTTTTTGCAATCTGAAATTGCGTGCATTTCCAAGACTAATCGCGCGAATGGGTTTTCTTCTTTGTCAGCTGTCGTCCTGCTTAGCAGGCTGTGTACGACTAGGGGAAATTGCAGCCTTCTCAACATGTCATCTCCTTGCCATCATGCCCTGCGCTTGATTGAACAAATTACTAAGTTTTGATCCCCCCTACAGGAAAGCCCAGCTCCTAAGCCTAAAGCGGAGAAATCGGAGAAAGAGAGAAGATCATCATGGGGTCTTCCGCTCAGCCTTGCTCGATCCTCAGGTCGACCAGACTCCGCGGCACGCCTCTCGAAGGACAGCACGCCGGTGCCAGCTCCCGAGCGGTCGCGAACTCAGCCTGATATGATTCTAGATCGTTCTTCGACTGCACCACAACTCCCGCCTCTCACTCCTGATCACTCGCTTGGATCAATGGGTGGAGCCCTTCCTGTCACTGTCTTGCCTCATAACGATGAGCCCTCATCATCGGAACAGGTACTTGATGTTGATGGTGATGATGCTGCTGCTAAGGAGGAAAGTAGAGACACACTTGGTGTCCCTGCTCCAATTGGTAAGTACCAACCAAGCTGGGATCCATTCGACGCGACCCCCATCGCTGAGGAAGAGGGATTTCAATATGAAGAACGGCCAATGGCATCGCGTCAATTGTCTTCGGAGTCTGGACCACCGCGAGCGTCATTGAACGTTCCTCGTGAAAGCATTTCGAAGAGTGATCGATCGAACAGTAGTGATGCACACTTCTTTGATGCTCCTGAAGAGCAAGGTGATCCCACAAGCGACTGGGTCATAGTACCGGACAAAGATGCGGTTGCAGCAGAACAGACGGAAACGGAAGTAGAGGTGAAGCCTGAAGTTGGATCGGAGTCACAGACAAGCTTGGATGCACCTGTGACAAGCATCTTGAATCGACCTCGAGGGAGCTCATATGGTGTTCCATCACCGCCTCCTTCAGCTCCAGCCGCAACTTTCTCCACCGACCCACCGCCAGCTGTAGCTCCTGCTTCGATTTCACCGCCTGCACAACAGACACCTCCGACCCAGGTTCAGACCACGCCGTCATCCACCATTCCTCTGGCTCTTGCCACGGCTCCCGTTCAGCCTCCACCCCCTGCAGCTCCAACAGCACAACCCGAACAACAGGCGCCCGGTATCCTTCCGCCCATTCGTCGTACTTCAACATTTGGCCTTTCACTTGGGAAACGACAGGCAAAACCACGATTTCCGATTGAGGACGATGAAGAGGATGAACCTAAACCAGCGCCACAACAGGAAGCTTCTGGACACCACGGGGCCGAGATTGCGGCAGCGGTTGGGATTGGGGCTTTTGCACAGCATAAGCCGAAGGAAGCTGAAGGACAAGGCCCTACGCCATCAGAACCTCCAACCAACATCCCAACGCAGCCGTCTCAGCCGCCTACGAGTGCGATGAAGTCAAATATTGAGACTCAATCCCAACCCTCTCGACCAGAGCAGTCTCCTGTGGCAAAGTCTCCTCGTCACGTGGTGCCGCCCATTGACACAACTGTACAACACCAAACTCCAGTCTCACAGCAGTCTGTGTCGATGCGGCCACCGCTCGTGCAAGCTGGCTCTTCGGAGTATAATTCACCATCTACTAAACCAACACTTGTTCAGGCAGGCTTGTTTGAGTACAGTCACCGTGCAATGACATCGATTCCACAACCACAGCAACCGCCGCAACAACAACCACCGCCCAGATTTGGTCCCCCACGGCAGGGAGAGGTAGCATTCAGGCCTCAAAATGTTGAATCATCACACGTGGAATGGAAGCCAAATCGAACCAAGGCAGCGCCTGCACTTGCGCAAGTCCCTTCTTCACCTTCGGCCTGGAAAGAGCAAGACATGGGGCCGCCACCACGAAGCTCTGGGGATCAACAGAACCACCGACGCCAAGGCTCTTATGATGCTCAACGGACGCGTGGGTATTCCGGATCAAGCCAAAGCTACGGGAAGAGCATGGAAGATTACGGTGACAAGACTCCTCATGCTGCATCACCAATACAACAGAAACCATTCGAGCAACCTCCTTCTGCAGCACAGAGATACCCTGATCTCTTTAGACCAGAGAATCATGGGCCAAATCTTCCTCGCGACAGTGATGATCTGCCAGCTCATTACTATCAAGAGCCCCTTGGTCGCGCTGCATTCCTTCCGAGGCACCAGACAAACGAATATCAATTGCCAGGAGTTGGCCCACCAGAAGATAACGTCCCCACTCCTACCAAACGCGGTTCTGGCATCTTCAGAGAAATTGGTGGAAGACTGTCCCGAGGCTCATCTCGAGAGCGAGGCCACGAGCGGGGCGGATCATTCTCTCGAGAAGTAGCCCAGCCATCTCCTCCACGGCCTTCTGAATCCCGCGCTACTGAATATGCTGAGTCTGAAATTTCCGAGGCAGCTGTGGACCAGAAGAAACGTCGATCGGCCTTCTTCTCGGGCTTAAAACGCACTTCGACGAGTGGTCTCGGGGCTCCAGTTAGTCAGGAGAGTGTGATTGCGCATCCTCCCAGCTCTCAAATGACCTCTCGTAGCGATCTCCTAGCGACTGCTCAACAATCGCCAGTCACCGAACATGAGAGGAAACGATCAATATTTGGAAGTCACTCGGCCGAGCCGAGAGTCAAGCCCAACAAGCTGGTTAGAGTTTCCACAGGAAATTCCGGGGGGAATTTTGCACCCAATTCCGCACCAGTGGAAGAGTCTAAGAAGAAGCAACGATTCTCAGGCTTGAGCGGAAAGATTTTCGGAAAGCCCAGTCCGTCAGCCAAAGAACCTATTCAAGAGCGGCCCCAAGCTACAAGAAAGTTATCATATGCTGACCGTCAACCGCTTGAGTCGCCTGGCTTTTCCCCTGGTATGCATATGCAGGCCCCAATGCAGGCCCAGACTCCGCCTCCAGTCTACGCACCGCCAAGTCAATCGCGAACGATCATGTCTAGGTTCAACAGCAGTAGCCCATCGCCAAGTTCTCGTCAAGAGGCCAAGCGACAAGAGTCCAAGGCTCGAAAACCGTCTGCATCTGGAATACTGGGTGGTCTTATGGGACGTCGGCCGCAACAGCAAGAGAGAATAGGAAGTGATAGTTCTCGGTCCGGTGGCGGCAGCCAGTCGAACTTGGCACCTCATACTCTACCTGCTGCCCAGACCTATAGTGACTTGCAGCAGCAGGAGCAACAACAACAACAACAACAACAACAACAACAGACGCCGCCTCCGCAAGCGTTTCCTCGGCAGCCTACAAAGCAGAAGCAGACCAGAGAAATACCGTTTCAAGACCCGTCCATTCCAACTCCAGATCGCGGTCGTCGTGCTAGCCGAGAACCTCAATATGATCAAGTGCCCATCCCAGGCGGATACGACATAGTTCGTGGCCAGGGTGCTATGGTTGCGCCTTCGGGACACGATCCACGTGGTTACAATGTACAGCAAGTTGATCCTCGCTATGCTCAACCTCGTGCCCAGGGCTTCTACAATCAGCCCCAAGGCTTCCCACAACAAAACGGACATCAATATCAAGGTGGCCCACAGCGACAGGGCGAACCGGTCAGACAACCACAACCAAAGCTAAACTTAAGCTCCCTTGAAACATACAACTCTGCACCGCGCCGCATTAGCCGCGAAGACCCGGGTGCTCGCTCGCCTCCAAAATCCGCGGAGAGGCAACAAAGGCCATACCAACTGTCCCTTCCAGACGAAGATGTTGACGACCGCCCCGCGCCAGTCGCCAAAGACCTCCCCATCTTCCCCACCCCGCCACCAGCACTAAAACACGACGCCATTCAGCGCCTGCAGCAACCTACTCTCCGACACCCCGAATCCCCAGCCGGCTACCCGTTACCAGATGACACAGTCTTCTCCCCCATTAATCCTATGGCATCACAGATCCCCGCGCCTCCCGCCCCAAGATGGCCAGGTCCGCAATCTCCTTCGCACTCTCAACAGAACCACGACACGGGAATGCGGCACGAGCGAGGTACTTCCCTGACTCAATCGCTGTCAACAATGGACATAGACCTCGATCGCTCAAATACACGACGCACTGCCGTTTCTGCGGTATCGGGCATCTCAGACCCACAGAATCCAATGTCCATCCAGTCAGCTCGCGGCTCGCTCAACGTTCCCGGGCGAAACGGCCACTCTCTCGCCGAAGGGGAAAATGGAGGAGGCATCGACAGAAACATGAGCGTCCTGCGCAGTTCTCCTTCTCCACCAAGCCCAATGGGCAGTCGGGAGGTAAGCCCAGAGCCGGACCAACGATCTCCTTCGCCGGGAGACGAGATCAAGACGACGCAACTTCATGTTAGGAATCCGAGCGGAAATGAGGATCTTTATTCCGCGAGCCCGAGACTGCCGAAGAATGTGGAGCGTTTCCCATCCAGTGCTACGGAGTCGAGCGAGCGGGGTCCCGAGCGTGTGGCTTCTGTTAAGGAAGAAGCCACGAACACGGTTAGGAGTATGGAGAGTGCGAGGAGTCAGGTTGTGAGCTCTAGGGGAGTGGATACGATGCGTTCTGATACCATGGGCTCTGATGGCTTGGGTATCCAGCAAGGCCCGCCCTCGCAAGTTGTGGGTCTGGGAAGGGGACAGGGAAGTGTGGTCAGGAGAGAGGTGTTGAGACAGGCGCAAGGAGAGAAAATCCCTATTGGCGAGGACGGCGAGGAGATTGATGTGCCGCTTGATGAGAATGCGCCGCCGAGCATGAGTGCTACGTCCTATCCGGGGCAGGAGTGGTGAGCCTTTCTATACACTTAGTTTCTTTGTTTTTGACCTTTTACTGATCTTCATGTAGGAATCCTTACGCAGCCGGTGGGTGGGAGGAGTATGATTGATTAATTTTTTCTGGGATGATGCGATGATGTGATTATGGGAGATGCAGAATTTCCCCTCGAAGGAGATAGAGTTGTGATTATGGTGAGGGAAGAGAGGGCGGAAGGGAAGGGAGGGTGAGAGGTGTATATATTGCGTTCAAGTTCTGTTGGATAAGAGGATTGATGAGAGGACCTGAGATATACCCAGCTTGTTAATGAAAGCCCTTTTAATTTCTTGCACATATGCCAACAAACCGTTCTTGTCGGGACATCGAGAACTCAGATGATGCTCGTCGTAGAGGGTTCAGGGGCGGTTGTGAGCATTTAGTGTAAAGTTTGGAGACTTCCACTCAGTTGTTTTCTCCTTGTGGTCATTCAGCCAGTTCGAGCTCGCTCTGCCCATCACTATATAATTCAACCAAGCTCACAATAAACGTTTTATTTGTGTTTTAACTTACCTTGCCTTCTGATCATTTGATACATAATATTATTAAAATTACTCTTATCAGTCTATTATCTGAAGGGAGTAGTAGATAAACAAATGATATTACTCAAAATTTAAGCTAATTATCCAAGTTCTTCAGCCGCGCAGTCACACCCAGCCATCCTTTTTTCAAATTGATTGGACGTCGAAGCTCATATCCTGTGAAATAAAAATGATCGTGGGCGTTCGAAATTTGTGAACGAATTTTGCAATCTGGCGGCCGACCCCCTGTCACTAAGGCACTCTCCCAGCCTCCATCTGTGGGGAAGGTGATAGTGAGCTCTTTAAATTCGAGATGCCCCCATTGCGTCCTCTTTGCTTTGTTGAGCTCCTCGAGATGCTGGCTAAATATCTTGCTTCAAGGCTTTCTGATACCTGTCCAGAATCACTTAGCATTGCATTAAGGTGCTTTATCATTCCCACAAAGGTGGAGGCGCTCCTGATCCCCTTGAATTCTTGCTCCCCCGCCGTGTATCTAAGGTTGAACCATCAGGATGCCGTCCCATGTTCATCACAAGTATCTCAAGTTCCAAGGCTGTTCCAGTCTATGTTGCCGCACCACGGCGGAATCATCAACGAGGATTATCTAGAGCTTTCAGCAGCATTGTGTCAATAATTGTGCACTGCAGCAGCTTACGAGATGACGATCTTTCAAATCGGATACCAGCGTTCTCAAAAATCCCATCCTCTCGTTATCCCGCCTAGTCCGTCCTATGTCTTGTGGACATATCCGAGAATATCTCAGCTTGCCCAATCTCGCCCCCTTCCCAAAAAAAAAAATTAGTAAGACGAGCGCATACCAATTTTTTTTTTTTTTACTACTTTAACGGGGAGCCAGTAGCTGAACCATAGTATCGCTTAAGTTGAACCATATTATCAGTAGCGAGAATACCCTTGTATTTTCCATAATATGGTTCAACTTCCCTCACCAAAAACCATACTGTATCTACTAGCTTTAATGATACATAGACACCAGTCCTCGTTCACACCCTCTATCTAACCCCGACCTCCCCCCAACGGCCCGCCAGGTATACTCCTAGCATATGCTTAACCTTTACTACTAAGAAATACATAAGTAAGTTAGAATATATCTTGCTTTACTATTACTATTACTCAAGCATATGCTCGGCATATGGAACCCATATACCTAGCATATGCTTTACTCTTATTACTAAGAAGCACACAAGTAAGTTAGAATATATCTTGCTTAGTATTACTATTACTTAAGCATATACTCGGCATATGGAATCCATATGCCTAGCATATACTAACCCTAACCCGTAGAGCCTGTACGCTTTAATATATCCCAATGCGGGGGGCTCTTACCGCCCCCCAACCCCCCGGACTAACCCAGACCCTAACCCCTGACCCTAAGCCCCCTCGCAAGCTCGGGACTAACCCGAACCTTCCTAGCCCGTATAGCTTATTGCCTATATATATATACAGAGCATAAGGAGAGCATATGCAGAGCATAAAGAGAGTATATGCCTAAAATATAATTATTACAAAACCTATTCATTTGCTCGGCTAGCTGTCTCGCTTCTTTAAGCGATACTATGGATCAGCTAAATAAACGAGCATATGCAGAGTTTGATAATATGGTTCAACTTAAGCGATACTATGGTTCAACTAAAACCCCTTTAACGGGCGATTCTAGCTAGCCGCACCACAAGGTTAAAATAAATATACAGTTGTCAGGATATCGAAAATAATATGAAATGTTAATATATAATAGGATCTGTAATTATAATGAAGGTATAATTAAAAATCGATTTTTTTGGGGGTTGGCGGATGGGGGTATGGGCGGTTGGCTAGTGGATACTTCGAGAGTGTCGCGAGAGAGGTCAAAAGCGAGTTGGTCTGCACCTCCACAATTCGAGTCAGTACGTCGACCGACAAGTACCCTGTCACGCACTCCACCATTTCCCTGTCATCAACATCCCTATTTCCTTTTCTTTATTTCCTCTTTTCATCCGTGTGAAGTTGAACTTCCTTTCTCACACCCCTCACCTGCTACTGTGACTTCTTGGTAATGCACTATCAAGTGTCTTAGCGCCCACTTCTTATTAACCTTATAGTTTACCAAAAGTACCTCCTCATAGGAGGATAGCCAGAAGACCCCGTTATTTGATCGTGGTACAATAAACAGCATATTGAGTGCACATAGTTCAGGAGCCGACTCCCAGTAGTGTGGTCTACAGAGCGGTTTGGGCCTGCTTTGATCGAACGTTGTATTAGGAACGAAAAGGGTAAAAACCTCCAAGTCTAGGTATTGCTATTCAATCATCTGGCCGTCTCATTCGGGTGCAAGTCAGCCACTCATATATGCCCCGACAGGGCCTCTCTGTGCCGTTCATTCTGAAAGCAAATACTCCAGTATCGCCTCCCGCAAGTTCTCTTCCACCCCCTCTAGCGCAAGTAGACTGCTCACTTTGCGCGTGGCTGGGACTTTTGCTGCCACAATCTGCCATATCTGTTCCTTCAACCTGAACTGGATCTGAGCGTCAGCAAGAATCGGTCGGATAAAAGCTTCCAGGTCATTTTCACAGAGCACTGGGTTCGGGCCCAGCGAGATAGTTGCTTTGGAAGCTGGCCCCACTCCGCCAACTTGCACCACAATTCCATTCTTTGATCTCTCCTGCTGAGCAATCCTCTTTTCTGAGCTAACCGAAACGGTTATCTCTTTTACTTCGCCGAGTGCCAAGAATCTTATACTCCATTCTCGAGCCTGTACAACATTACCCGTGCTTGGGCCGATCGTCACAGTCCCATCGGCTTGCGAGTACTTGATAGGCGTTCTGGTCCATTTGACTTCCTCTGCCGAACTTCCACTACCGTCATCTTCAAGCAACTCGAAAGCTCCATCTGCACCAACGACGATGAGAACTTCAATGCTGTCCGGGTTCGCCTCCCCATTTCCCGGCTCTGTAGCAGCGTCTAAAGGAATAATAGAGCCTTCCTTCGCAAAGACCGGATAATCTTCTAGCTTCCGAGATATCCAGAGACTTCGATCTCCATTGTACACGGCACCAGTGAAGATATCCACATATCGCCCAGGTGGTAGCCAGCCCTTCGTCTTTGCCAACCTGAGTTTTGGATCCTGAGGTGCAGTAATCGGGGTAACAAGGAGCCCGGAACCAGATAGACCAAACAAGTACTGATTCGGGACCTCGTAAGCTTCCTCGTGTTCTGGATACGCCCAATACATCGGTCTCACCAACGGCATCCCTTCTATCGCACTCCTGGCATTCATCGTGTGCAAGTATGGCAGTAGCCTATGCCTGAGCCTCAGAAATGCCGTCATGGCCTTTTCAGCTTCGGGGCCATATGTCCACGGTTCTTTCCTCGTCCATTGGCTGTTGGATGAATGCAATCTCAAGATCGGGCTAAAGCAGCCAAGTTGCAGCCATCTTGTACTCAACTCATCGTCTTTTCCGCCGAACATATGACCGCCGATATCATGACTCCACCATCCGTATCCGATATTGCTAGCAGTAGCAGTAAATTCTGGCTGGAAAGCAAGCGAATCCCATGTCACGATTGTATCGCCCGAGAAGCCAACCGGATAGCGATGAGAACCTGGACCAGCATATCGACTAAAAGTCAGGGGCCGTTTGTGATGCAGCTTGCTATCCACGAAGTGGAAATGGTTGAGCACCCAGAGCGGATCGATGCCAGGGATGCGTGAATGTGAGCCTTGCTGCCAGTCAATCCACCAGAAATCGACGCCCTGATCCTCGAGCGGTCTATGAAGAACGTCAAAGAACGCATTCAGGAAGTCCCGGTCTGTGATGTCGAAATGTATCGGATCGCTGTGCTCGGTTGAATGAGCTAACGCTTCCGCCATCGCCGGATACAGATCCTCGTAATTCTGCACTCCATCCGCAGGATGATCATTGAGACTCACTCTCAATTTCCTCTGGTGTAACTCTTTCAAGAATTTTTCTGGGTCCGGGAACAGGTCTTTGTTCCATGTATAACCTGTCCAACCCGTCTTGCCACTCGCCTTTACCTTCGGATCATCCACCACATGCCAATCCATATCCAGCACCGCAACACTAAACGGGATTTTCTCCTTCTCAAACCGATCCATCAGCTCCAGATACTCCTCATCACTATATGCATAGTATCTCGACCACCAATTTCCCAGGGCCCATCTTGGCAGTAGTGGTTGATTTCCAGAGAGTGCGTAAAGTGCCTTCACAGCACCGGCATAATCATGTCCATACGCAAACAGATACCCGTCAACCCTTCCCTCCCCGGGATGACGAGTAGCCACGAAACCATCAGCATCAAATAGCATACTTTTCGAGTCATCAATCGTCGTAAACCCATTCTTACTCACCACCCCCGGCCCCAACTCAATCCTCCCATCCGCACAGTCGAGCGTCCTCGCCGTACCACCAAGATTGCCACACTCCTCGCCATACCTCCAGACTGAACTGTGACAACTGAATGTCCCTTTGACCCCAGCACTCAGACTCGACGCGCTGAAATCTTCCCCTTCACCGTAAGTGAGATGAAAATTATCTGTCATTATCTCGAGGATCCCATTCTTGGTAACAGTGCGGAAAGACGGGACAGGGAGGCAGCGATTGATGGCGAAGACGCTGGCGCGGTCTTCGAAGTGAGAGTCGGGTGCCCATTCATAGCGTAGCAGGCCGGGTGTGAGGACTGTGAAGCGGTATTTCGTGTCACCGCCGCCAATGATGGCGTCTTGGTTTGCGGCCGGCTTGGTAGGGAAATTGGACCGGTGGGAAGTGGTGGACATTGTGGTGGTTGTGCTCAGATGCCCGTGATGGGTTCAGTGGCTGTTCAGAAGGGATGAGAACGATAATTGACAAGGCGTGAGAAGATGTAAACAAAAAAGTAAGGATGAGAATTTTGGTTGATGGGATCTTGAAAGGTGTAGTGAAATGTTGGTGAGGGACGTTATGCCATGCAGGTCCCACTTTTCTGTATGCAGTACTCCTCCGTATTCGGTATGCAGGCGGATAACTAGGACCTCGCTCGATCTTTCGCTATATTTATAATGTCGATGAGAGGCCTTCAAAAATCATGTCGTACCAAAAATGAGTGCGGCCTTCTTTGGCCATCATACAGTAGGCCAACTGAGACCTTGACAACATTCCTCCCCCTTCAGCAACGCCAATTTCAGGGTCGGTGTAGAACCCTCCGCTTACAAGGCTGCAGAAATTCATTCTAAACACTTCCAAAGTTTGAATCAAACGCTAGATTCATACTTGAACTGCGATTCATTATTCATACTAAAGAATATTGAGTATTTTGTTGTGAAATTTTTGTCAAGATTTTGTTGCGAGAGATTGGTGTATTTTTAAAGTGTTCCAAGTTGCAGTTGGGGCATTGGAGCACAAGCGAAGCTGATTGTTCCTTTCTACACTCGGTATTTCCTCGTTTCATCTTCTCATTTCTCTACATAATCTGCGGGTTTGGTTTAGTACTAATAAGATGTATACGGCGACCATTCATTTCAAGGTCTTCTGCAAAACTAAAGAGAGGAAAAGTTGGTGTCACGTGAATGGCGCCTCCCGTCTTTTTGGGGATAATCTACCATCATCGACACCCACTACCAACGCGGAGATAGAAAGGTAGTATGTCTTCACTGGAGAGATTTGCCTCGCTCAGGGTTCAGATTTCCCATCCGAATCGTAATTGGTTGAGCGTCGAGGCGGCTGAAACAAAAAGGGCGGTGGCTGAGCTGGACAGGGCGGCGCCTTCTTCGACGCCTGCGACGAACCTCAAAATGTTGATATTTTGGCACGATATCTGTCAACCCACGTCGTGTGACTCTTTGGTGCTAGAGGACTGATTGAGATACGGTTCCATCATCAGAGACCAACAACAAGCTGCAGATTTTTCAAACTGCGAAAGAGCTATAGATCATCCACGATGGCCTGGCCTCTTTTGCCTCAGCAGGCACTCGGAAAATGTGTTCAAGCCTCAGATGTCGACAAACAAACGGATTGGGGGTTGCCGTGTGACTTTGCTCTTGAGCAGTGCACCGATACTCCAGGAAATTCTCAAGAAGCTCATGGCCGTGGATTCATGTCATTTCTCGAAGCCTCATCCACACCATTTTCGTTTGGCGACTACCCTGTCTCTACCCAAATTCCAAATCCTCAGCAAGAGACGGTGGACCCTACATTGCTGTCTCAACATAATTGGCCAAGTTCGGGGACAGATTCGACCTCGTCGAGCTTCGGTAGCCGTCTGTCAGGGTTTCAGAACCACCCTTCGACTTCTAGCCTGGGATCGTGTTCAACAAACTCTGGATTGTGTTCGCAACGTCTGGAATTTGACTCTTTCAACACCTCGAATCCAAACAAGAGGCGATACTGTGAGCGTTCAACGGAAGAGGCTGGCCCCCCGACCTCTCAAGTTCAACTTGTTCACTCCGACACCTCGCTTGACATGGAGGCAGATCCGACTGCAATCTCCATTTTCGAAAGTTGGCTTTCCACCTGCCCATCAATATACCCCGAAGACTCGGATTTCCGCAATCTTGCAGCTTTAACGAAGCTCGAGGTCGGGATTGTCAAGTCATGGTTCGCGAGGAAGCTGAGAGCCCGACGCATAGACGACTCTATGTTCGAAACTTGGCTCAGTAGCTATCCATCTACTTATCCTGGAGATGAAGAATTCAAAAGCTTAGCTGATTTAACCAGACTCAATCTAGATACTGTGAGATTGTGGTTTGCGCAAAAGCTTCGATGCAAAATGTCAACCAGCCAGCTAAACAACGAATCTTCTGCAACCGGATACTCTGGGGTTGGGACAAATTCATCCCGTCATTTTGGCTTGCCTGCCATGAATGCCCAACATCAGCCTTCAATCTTGCAAAGAGCCGCTTCGTGGGTCAAACAAGAAAGAGAATCAAAATGCATCGCATCTCTCGACCAGAGTATTCTATTGAGAGACGACAACAAACGGTTCCAATGTACTCGAAAGTGTGGAAAGAAATTCAGAGATAGGGATGATTGGAGAAAGCACGAAGAGGTTAATTGGCCACAAGAAGGATGGGTTTGCGACCTTCCAGCTGCCGTACTTGTTGCCGGAATTCAAATCTGCACACACTGCGAAGTACCCAATCCCGATATGGACCACTTCCAGACACACAAGAAGTCAACTTGCAACAACAAGGCGTTTACTACGCGCGGCAGGTTACACTATCGGAAACAGCACTTCTTGCAACATTTCGACAATGTTCATCCTCACGTTCCATGCGATGACTATGTGAGGAATTCGCATTTCTCGGTGGAGAGCAACTTCCCTCGATGGTGTGGCTTCTGCAGGCACAAATTTGTCCACTGGAAAGATCGTGTTGAACATATCGGCGTTCATTTTCATGACGAAGGAAAAGACATGACAGAATGGAGTGATCGCCCCGAAGCAGGCCATGAGAGCGGTAGTCAGGAGCACGATAAAGGCGGTGACGATGATGAGGACCCCGACGACGCTTCAGATTCGTCTGACGATGATTCGGACGATCTGCCACCTCGGTCCGCTCCAAAGAGACCGACCCAATCAAAGACTTCTTGTTCAAGGGGTCAGCCAGGCGCCACGGCAACGGATTCCAGAAACGGTATGCAACGACCGGGTCTTGCAATGTTCGGCAAGTCGTTTGAACCCCGATTTTCACGTACACCAAGAGGTGAGAAAAGTGTGGAACAACCTTTCCTGCACAGATCCCATCCACCTTCCGACACTGTGGCTGGACATCTTGGCGTGAGTATTACGATAACTAATCTCTTTGAAATGATGTTAACTTCCTCAGTATGACATGGCAAAATTTCTTGATACACTCGAGACACCCCCATACGCACGCATGAAGGTCCTGGGCTGTGGTCCATATTCAGTGGTCGACGAAGTCCGCAATCTAGCAACCGGCGCTGTCTTCGCACGGAAAACGATCACTTTTCCAAAATCACGAGAACCATCGTTATTTATGACAGAGGTCAAAATCATGAAGAAGCTCGACCATCCACACATTGTCCGATTCGTCGACACTTATACACTTGACAAATCGGTTTCGATTCTGATGAGTCCAGTTGCGGATTTCGACCTCGGTGACTTGATAAACAAGTACCCAACCGCTGAACTGATACCCATGGACACGATCATTCAGTGGTTTGGTTGTCTGGTCTCTAGTGTAAAATATCTACACGGGAAGTCCATCAAGCACCAAGACATCAAGCCGTCCAACATCCTCATCAAAGGACAAATGATATTCTTGGCGGACTTTGGTATCGCAAAGATCTTCATGGACTCCGACTCCACCGCATCTACCTCAGGAGATATGACAATGAAGTACTGCTCTCCCGAGACAGCTCTACGTGGCTTGAGAGGTCGCAAAGCCGATATATTCTCATTGGGTTGTGTGTTCCTAGAGATGTTCAACCTGTTGATCCCTCAAGGCCGCGCTAAATTCGAACACTTTCAGGAGCGTCATTCCATCGGTGGTGGAACATATCATGAGAATCTGCGGATGGTGGAACTGTGGATTGGAGTTCTTCGACAAGAGCCAGCTTTCGAGGGAGACTCGATTCTTTGGCAGTTGCTTGACACCTGCCAAGCTATGCTAGGGAAAAGTAGGGAGGACCGCCCCTCTGCGGCCGACTTATATGCAACTCTGCCAGCTGGAAAATGTTGTCTCTTGGCAGAGAAGGAATTCAACTCAAAATCAGCCTTGGAGGAGAAGCAGTCTGCTTCTTCAAACACGCCGCTAGCACCTTTTCATAGTTCCCCCCAACCAGCACATTTAGCCGACCAAATGCCAACAACAAATGAGCAATCGTCGCAGCAAATGCAAGTATCAGGAAACGGCCGCGAACTACTTCCTCCTCAGATGCCCCATAACTCTATGAGGTCAGAGTCTCTTTGTTCGGAATGCAATAATTGTGGGCCATCCTGGGGCTTGATACTTGGGAAAACAGCAGGGAGCTATGTTCCAAGGGTTTGGATCATCCTGACACTTATTGGCGGTCTCTTGTTGGTGCTCGTCAACTCACACTTCCCGCTACGGGAGACAGGAAGCCATGGGTCGCAGGTGCATATCTTGACAAAAGTTGTAGTGATTTCAAGAGTCAATCCCGAATCCAGCCCTAGGGAATTGAGTGTGGTTGACGCTATTCCAACAGCGTTACTAGAGCCACGAACCCCCATCAAAAGACTTTCCGAGGCACCTGCTTTTGGTAGAGATATTCTTCCCAGATCGCCGCCGTCTGTTGACCCTTCTTTTGAAATAATTTTATCCGGTCCCACATTCCAGTATCTGAGAGAGTTACGAAAACTTTGGGGAGAAACAGACATGGTTAGGCAAATCTGCCGTGATCACAAGGCAAGTCAAATGGAAGTTTGTCTTCGGAAGCAGGTTCTAATTACAAGGTTTAGTGCTTCGACGAAGCTGATGCAGATCCAATTCTGCCATGGTGCGCAAGCACGAATTACTGGGCCACAAGCCATGCTTCCAAGCCGTGAGTCCTCTTGCACTTTGAATCTTTATAAGAATCTAATCCTGGTTAGCAACAACATGGCAGTTCTAGAGGCTGAAACTCTTGGCGTAGATGACGATCACTTGGATATTTTTTTTACCCACTGCATTTCGACAATCGTCGATCTGCTAGACGAGAAGGGATTCTCATGGCGAGAATATCAAGAAGATATGCCATACGCTTGCCCTAGCGGATTCAAATTCTCCAACAAACCACAAGACAGCCCACTTCTCATTAATCGCGCGATTGGTTCCGGACCCAATTCCACCATACTAGCCCTAACTAACAACTTTACCTCCAACCCCAATTTCGCTGCTGAGACTGTTCCGCAATCATCGCCACGCACACTGAACATGACAAACGATGGCCATTATACCGCCTTTTCAACGGGTGTAGCTCTCGGGAAGGTCAATGTAGTAGTGTGAGTAACCCTTGGTTCATGAATGTCGTACAATGGCTGAGAACATCGTACTGACTTGTGAGTTGTAGGTCCATAGCTGCATACTTGTCCGCTGAAATCTTTGGTGCATATTGCAACATGTGCGTCAGCCTTGGTACCAGGATTCAGTCGGGACAAGATCGACGGCAATGCTGGAATCGTTCCAACGGCAATGATGTATCTCCACATTCCAACGATAACCGATCCATAGATAATCGCGCTACTCAGTTGATGATCGATAATCATCTATAATTATTAATAAAAGTGGGCCCAAGCCTTTAGCAATAGTTGCAGGGCCAGTGCGCTATATTTATAGCGATATACCGCCTTTATGGCAGAATCGCCAAATCGCAAAGTTTAGCGATTCTGCCATTAACGAGGTAAGGAGGTATTATCGCTATAAATATAGCGCACTGGCCCTGCAACTATTTCTCAAGACTTGGGCCCACTCTTATTAATAATTATAGATGATCATCGATCATCAACTGAGTAGCGCGATTATCTATCTTTTAATCGGTTATTGTTAACGATAATTTATTAAAGCCTACCCTTGTATGTTACCGACAGGATATAGAGTTACATCATTGGTGCTGGGGTGATTCCAGCATTGCTGTCAATCTTGTTGCGGCTGACTATTCCTGAAGTTCTGCAACTTCTCTACCAGATGTCGGTTATCAGGACTCTTGAAAGGCGAGACGATTTAAGAAATGGAACTCACGAGAAAACGACGATTGTGATACTGAAGACCACTTCATGGAACCGCAATAGAGTGCCCTCGGGTAAAGCCATGATCGACCCCCTCCTCAGAACTGCATTTATGCTGGTTTTCTCTTGATACTGCTTTCCTCGGCCTCGGATATGATGTCCCACGAGTCATAGCTCAAGGCTGTTGGTCAACAATCGTAGCAAAGACCAGCTCCGGGAGTGACAGCAGCAACCGGGCCATTCCGCTCAAATTTAGCAATGTTCTATTTGGGTGGGGGTCAATTCTATCTTTTTTTTTTTGTAGTCGTTAGTCAGCATAATGCTTCTTGACCGTGTGCTCCTGAAGCTGAAGGCTTGGCTGGCTTTCACTCTTGTGACCTTTTTTGATTATTTTGTTAGAGAGAATTTTCCACTTAGCGACTTATCTTTGCTTGTACTGACAATAATCGGTATTCTCGTTATTGGAGTTTTGGTGCTGAGAAATTGAAGATGGCTAACAAATCTGTTGAAATGATTCTTAGTGCTAATCCGATGATGGTAGAAATTGTACTCTGGGGGACTTATTAATGTTATGGACATCACGAATTTCTTTTAAGGATATTTGTGGAGTTTCTCGTTCGCGGATTGCTAGTACATAAACATGGAGTAGGGTGAACTGGAATGGAAAGACTGAAAATATTTCTTGCCATTACACTCTCATCATCTTTCTTGGGCTTTTCAACTTGAACTAAAGAATGCAGATATCGCTGTCACGTGAATGGCAACCTTCTCCACGTGAAAACGTGGCTATGCCCAACCACATCTTTGCCTGCCTTCGACAGATCATCTTCTTCTTCCACCACTGCCATCGACCCAATCTAAGCAGCCACAATGGAAATCCCCAATACACCAGTCATAAAAGATGATACTCCCCTCAACCGTTACATCTACCAACCCATCGACCTCGAAGCCTTTGGGCCGATGCCGTGTGCATCAATCAGCGAGATAATAAAGAGAAAGGACACCAAGTTGCTCTCATGGCCAAGATCTACAGCAATGCAAACTGCGTTTTGGTCTGGCTGGGGGAATCCAATGGAGCCATCCATGCAGGAATTGGGTGCTTCCGCCGACTTGCCGACGCAGCCTGGAAGTATGGTCTACGATATAACAAAAGTCCAATTTCAAGATCTCTAGAAGTCGAATCGAAACTGGCGGATAATAGAAATGGAATACCAGCTGCCATAGTTCATCGTTCATTAGAAGTGGACTTTGATTCGAGTAACGCATTTTTCACTCAAGACTGGTTTGCCGGGCTTTGGATTGTCCAAGAATATGTTCTAACTTCCTCAGTTAAAATATATAGTGGTCCTGATGTCTTGTCACATCAGGAGCTCTCTCTAGCAGGATCTGTCTTTTTGTTGAAATTGGTACGCTATCATAGCTAGCTTACCAGTCCTTCCAGTACCAGGTTTAACCACTAATTTAGGGTTCTCCACTCTCATTTGTCATGCGTCACTCGCCGAGCTTACCAAGCTTACCAGTATATCGTCATTTTGATTACCTTTGGTTTATTAGCTGATTGATAATGTATCGGAGAAAGCGGGTTCAGCATCACCGGTATCGCCGAAGGGTAATGGGAATAAATCCCTTACTTTGGACACTTTTCCTCTGTTTCCAGAACTCACTCTTCTATATCTAGTCATTCTGCAGTCTGTCAACCTTCAATAAATCGATTTTCCATTAATAAATCGATTACTTTTCAATACTTTTACCTGTACATTAGACATCCGAATGCGAGAATTGCGACCACTCAACCCTTCCGGAACTTCTTTACCATTTTACTGCAAAGAGAAACCCATCTGGACGGAAAATTCCACATTCTTTAGACCTCCTCTACGTGCATACTGTGCGGCTGTGCAAACTTGATCAAAACTAAGTCTATTAACTGTCTGCTTTGGCTTCAACAGGTCCGGGATTAGATCTCCAAATAGATTATAGCTTGAGCGTTGAAGAAGTATATATGCGGGTGGCTTTAGCCCATTTGAGAGAGAATGATCTTGACCTCTTTCACTACCTTGGGGACATCAAAAAGAGCTACCCGCTTGATCGTTCTGGAAATACCGGGAAGTCCCTTCAGATCCCTCTAGCCCTTCCTTCGTGGGTCCCTGATTGTAAGTATAAATTAGTTGAGATCTTATTATTCCTGATTCACAAGGAGACAAATTTCAGTTCATTCACTAAATTTCCAAACAATCAGATCTATTCATTCACTTCCGAGAATGCTCAGTCTGGGATATTGCTAACTTCTCAACTAGGGAGAGCCTCAAGACTCTCATACGGAAGATCAGTCTTGGACAGTGAAGGGGTGTTCAATGCGGCGACAAATTTGCCACCGAAAATATCTTTCAATTCCTCTGAACCCCGTAAATTGGTTTAGAGGGACTTCGTATAGAAATTATTGAATATTCTATCATAGGAGTGCCTGACAAGTCAGGGCGGCATACCTGATGGACATAAATTATTCTACACGACTAGAATGAGTCGTGAGGCTCAGAGAAATACTCTCCGAAAAGTTGATGAGCGGCCTGTATCCGGCTGGAGAAGATGCGAGTAACTTCATGTCTACTCCTTGGCAACAAACTGGATGACACCAGATTCCGTTTAGGCAGTAACGTTAGTCCAGAAATGATACCCCAGATGTGGGACCGGTGGGATAGGTGTTTCATGGACAATGAGGCTACAAGTCCTGAGTGGCGGGAGAAGAAGGAAACGATTTGGATTGTTTGAAGGCTGATTCCGAATTTCCGACCCTGCTCCCGCCAACACGAGCAGAGAAAGCCTTTGAAGCCTTTTGGCTGCATACGCATTGCCTCTTAGAATTTCACGTCTTGCTCTATTTTGCTATTATATCCGCGATTTTAATCCGGTCATCCAACTCGCAACAGCTTCGCATTTGTCCTTCTCACTCATATGCCTCCATCGTCGATTCTTATCCCAATCTTTCCGCCACATTTTCATCTCTTCGTCTATCCATACTCCTACAAGCTCAGCACACTTGCTTGCCGCCTCCATTGGCACGAGATGCCCCACCGCCACCATCTCGTGAAGTTCGACCTTCCTCTGAAAACCTCTCGGCCAAAACTTCTCGTTGGTCCCAGTGAAATCTCTCCAATGTTTTCTCGTTCTCTCCGCATGTTGTTCACTCTGACTGCCACAAACGAAAACGGTATGAACCGCGAGATCCTTCAACCTCTCCCAGATCTGCGGTGGAAACGGTATCCACGCGGCACTTCCTTTCCCAGTCGCCAAACTTGCACCAACAGCGCCAGCCCATAATTCGGACGTATCCATATAAGCGTCCAGCTCTTGCAACCTATCCCACGCCAATTCTGTCTTTTCGTGTACAAATTTCGCATCACAAGGAATCAGCGCACTCGCGTTCCACCTTTCTCTAGCCCTTGCATCCCACTTGCTCCACACTTTCCTGAAGTACTCCTCCGCTTCAACTCGAGTCTTCCAATCCCTCCTCCTCCGTATCGCAGCCATAGCTAGCTTTTCAACACCGGCTTCACTTGGAATATCCGTGATGATTGGCTCAATTAAGACAAGTGAAGTGAAGAGCGATGGATGCATCAGTGAGAGAGAGACAAGTTGGCTTGCACCGATTGAATGACCAATTCCCATGATTGGATGGAGAATTGTGTGTCGAAATTGGTTCACTAGTGAGAGCAAGTCCCGTGCTGCGTCCCCTAATCGGGATCCGTCTTTGACGAGCTCAGGGTTCAGGGAGGAGGGGGAAAGATGTGGGTGTGTTATGATGAAGATGTTGCGGATTTTCAGGCTTTTAGTATTAAGGGCAGCGAGTAGATCATCCCAGAATGGTTCATAGAGCTCCTGTCGGTTGTTAGAGGGGAAATTGTTATTGAGATGAGTGCTCACCATTGGGAACCCATTGGCGTGCGAGCTGATTATTGTTATGTCGCCTTCTTTTGGTGAAAAGTTATTTCTAGGTATGTACTGTTTAGCCTGCATTTGCCAAGAGGGATCATCGGGGGAAGAGGTGATAAGCTCTTCACGAATGTGGTGGCATGGAACGATATGTTCCTTCACAATAAAGTTCGTGCCGCTCATTGTGGTTGCTGAATCTCCCGAAAATATCGTTGCGATAGTTGAAGTGATGGAAGATGCGGCAAGATGAGGGACCTGGAGATATATCCCCGCCTAGCCCGAAGCCTAACTGCAGCGGCTAGAGTCAGCCAATTGTCAGCAGAGAAATGATTCGTTTATGGGTCCGATATGCAGACTACTGTATGCAGCTAAAAACGGGATGATCTACGATTAGTGCCAATCAGATCAGGAGTTATTTTATCATTGAGTGTTTGTCTGGCTAGACTCTACGGAGGAGGTCTCTAGAAGCTAAAAGGGGGTGGCTGGGGGAGCTAGTCCCCTTTAGGAAGCCCAATCTCACATCTTTATTGTTTCATGCCAATTTCATCTTTCGGACATAAAGCATTACATTCATCCGACCGGTACATCCGATTTCACGAGTTGAGGGTGGGGGCAGAACCCCTAATTCTAGTTTAGCGAGAGAACCCAAGGGAGCGAGTTTCACATTATTGATATCCTTTGGGCCTGTAACAATTCTTTCATAAAAGACCAGATAATGGGAGGCACGCAACTCACTCCGGTTGATTAAGGACCACAATTTCTTTTAACTCATGAGCTCATTATCAGATTGAGATTCCAGGGCATTCTTGAAACGCTTGGTGCTATCCATATTTGTGTCGACCCAACTCCAGATTGGAATGTGAATCGGAGAACCATAACCATAGCCGGCTCCTATTGGGGCTCTTTCACTTGGAGGTTATCGGTTGATTGGTCCTTTGTGCCTGATCCTCCCGGTGTGCTTCTGTGTGAGGGCATATTCGATCAGTAGGCTCAACTCATGACTGCCCACAAGCGCAAAAGAAGCCTATCTATTCGCATCACCTCTCATAACCGATAACGACGAGTATGCCGGCTCACTCAGGCTGATCTTGCTAAATGCCTCCAACGAAATAATCGCTTACATCGACGGGGCACTCTACCCTGCTATCTACAACGGAAGCTATCCTTGGACAACTCAGTTGCAACACACGCTGGCCGCCATTGATGATTCGTGGTTCGTTTCAGTATAGGTTATATGGACCTTGCACTTCAATCCACTGTGCATGCTTACTACTTTGACATCTCGCCGGGCTGACACGGGAACTACATTCCCTACGCGTATCACAATAGACTGGATACCATCAGCGCTTCCGGGTTTCCAGTGAACTAGTCATTAGCTTTGGAACTGCAGACTTACTTGGCCACTTTCGCAAAGACCGGGAGCCCAAACAGTGCAGGTGCAGAATTCATCCCTATCTGCGGGACAAATTTTTCTGTCTTCTCCGTGAATCAAGCAACACCGGTTGAAGATGGCGCTGCGAATTCGAGGTGAGCAAGGTGGCGGAAGGCCTTGTACCAGTAGGATGGGAAATATGCACCATTATCAGTCAAGCAGCATTCCACTTAGAATGTAGACGAAATAGCCTACGTCTAACATTAACCATGCTTCAAATGTACACTCATTTATTGGTAGCCATGTGCCATTTGTAGATAGGAAGCTTAAGGAGCAGGCAGTGCGGCCTTTGGTAACTCCAAGCTGGGACGAGAAAAACAGATTTAGAACTACTAATACACAATTGTTCACGACCCTCGATAGAAGATTAAAAAGACGATGTCCCTTATGCCCATTAATCCCAGAGAGAGATCAAAGTGTCGTCGCGTTTCCTGGAAACATTCTTTCAGGTACTCAATCCCTGTGTCGGAAATTTCGTCATGTCGTAGCTACGTCTGTAAGTGTCTTTTGAACTCTGAAAAAATGCTGAGCTCAAATCAATGCAACCCAACGTTTTTAATTGGCATTTGCTAATGAGTAACATCTTTGGGCCGAAGACCTAGTGAGCAAAATTGTGGGGTGCATACGGGTCGGCTCGGTCTCAAATTCCCACCAATTAAAAGACATCACCCCGCATACCTCCCCAATCATTCCATCGGATACAGCCTCCCGACTCCGTCTTTCGTCTATAAACTTAATGTTCGCCGGAAATTCAGCCTTCGTGGTATTGACGACCGAGAAAGGCTGTGGGGAAGTGAGCACTAGCCCCGCAATCCCAGCCTCGTCGGTGCGTTGATTTCAGGAACGGGAAAGGTAATGCTGTAGCTCTCCCTGAATCGTCCATGGCTATGGCGCCGTTAGTCCCGAAAGTATGAGAATCCAAGCAGGGTGCAGGTGCTTTCATTGAGCCTGTTCGTATAAGAAGAGGTTCTCGTGAAATTCGCAAAGTTGAATACCTGCTACGGAGGACTTAGTTTCAAAGTCAAGATGGCTTCCTCTTCGCTGCTGCTTTCGATCTCAAGGATTTTTGTTCAAATAGTCTTATTATTTTCAGTTTTTTCAGTCTCCGTCAGCGGCTTTCTCAATGCCACGCAGGATAGCAAGCAATTGATCCTCGACAACGGCCGCTTTTTCGCAGCAGTAAATAAGTCAACTGGCGCCATCTATGCGCTCTCATTAAATGGACAAGACCTTTTGGGGTCTCTCAACTACGTGATGCCAACCCCAGGTGGAGCAACGGGATCTGGAAACAGTGGTATCGGCCCCTATCTCGACTGCTACTGCATTCCTTCAGGAAGTTACACTCCAGGTTCCATCAACCCAAAGTATCAACTATTCAGCGGCATCGATTCGACCGAAACTGCTTATGGGGGTATTGTGATGAGTGAAACCTATCCTCCGACTGGGCAAACCTTGGAACAGTACTGGTTTCTCAGGGACGGCGAAACCGGTCTACATACTTTCAGTCGTCTCGCATATTACAACAAAACTACTCCTTTTCTCAGGAATCTTCAAGAATTCAGAACCTTGTTTCGACCAAACACACCTCTTTGGACTCATCTGATCACCAATTCTGAACAATACGCGCCTTTGCCTTCCAAGAACGCCACCAGCCATGAAGTGGTGGTTGAAGATGCCACTTGGTATCTTGGAAACACTCCTCATGACCCCTTTGTTCAACAAGAAGCGTCTTATTTCACCAAATACACTTTTCAAGATACTTGGAGAAATCATGATGTGCATGGTATGTATTCAGATGGGACGACGAGTGATGATAATTCTACATTTGGAGCCTGGCTGGTAATGAATACGAAAGATACGTATTTTGGAGGACCTTTGCATTCGGACCTCATCGTTGATGGTATTGTGTACAACTATATTGGTTAGCATGTTCTCCCCCTGAAGTTAGTTCTTCACTAATTGCTCAGTATCAAATCATCACGGTGATGGAACACCAAACATCACTGACGGGTTTGACCGCACCTTTGGACCTGCAAGTTCTCGCTTCCAACATTTGTTCTTATATACAGCTCTGACGAATATCAGCAATACTACTACTTCAACAAAGGAAGCAAAACAACGTCCATGGAAGCTCTTCGCCAGGACGCCCTCCAATTCTACTCTCCCACTTGGAACACGGCCTTCTACGACTCCATTGCCAAATATATCCCGAACTATGTCCCCTCCTCCGGCCGCACAATCTGGAAAGGACATGTCGATCTCCCAGCCGGCGCAATCAAACCCCTCGCAGTCCTTGCCCAAAGCGGCGTCGACTTCCAAGACAACGTTCTCGACGCGACCGCGTACCAATACTGGGGCGACATCGACCCCTCAACGGGAGATGTCTCGATCCCCGCCGTGAAAGCAGGGACATACCGTCTCACTGTATACGCAGAGGGCATATTCGGGCAATATGTGCAAGATGATGTCGAAGTTATTTCCGGGGAAGTGCATACCACCCACACGCGATGGAGAGAAGAGAACGCCGGGACGGAAATATGGAGGATCGGGACACCAGATAAAAGTAGTGGGGAGTACCGCCATGGCTATGCACCCGACGAAACACACCCTCTCCATCCATCTCAATATCGTATCTACTGGGCTGTGTACGACTTCCCGACCGACTTCCCCAACGGAGTTGTGTACCGTGTCGGTGAGAGCAAGGAGGCCGAAGACCTGAATTATGTGCATTGGAGTGTGTTTGGTGGTTATGCCAACTCTTTACGTCCGAAACCGTATCACGACAATGTCAATAACTGGATGATACTTTGGGATATGGATCAGAGCGCTTTTGCCAAAAAAAGAAAGGCGACTTTCACGGTGCAGCTCGCGGGTGCGAAGACCGCGGCGGGGAATACAGATGTCTTCAATGCCTCGGAACCGTATGCAAATTTGCCATATACGGTGGTGGTAAATGGGCATGAGTTGGAGCCTTGGGTTATCCCGTAAGTTTATCCCCTTCCGTGCTGAACACCTGCTGATTGAGGCCTAGGTATTACCACAGCAGTTCATGTGCAGTGAGATCGGCTGTCATTTGCTACAACATTGCGAACAAGTTCACTTTTGATCCGAAATTCTTTGTTAATGGGACGAATGAGATTGTTTTGAGTCTTATTGAAAAGTGATCGATATATTGATGATAAATCGATATATTGGAGGTTGACAATCTGTAAAATGACTAGATACAGTAGAGTGAAGAGTAAAAAAGGAGAGGAGGGAATCTAAAGTACAGTTCTTATATACCCACTAGTGGGTGGCGATTTCCTCCAGTATTATTATAAATCAGATGACTCATATATATTAGTGAGCGTTCCCTGAGCTTCCATAGTGAGCTATTCCATAGGCTTCCATGGTAAACCATTATAAATGAGAGTGGCGAAGCTAATATTAGTAGTTGAACCTGGTACTGGAAGGATTAGTAAGCTAGTACCAATTCAACAAGTCTGCCGGCGAATGCTACGGATTATGAGAGTGCGATCCTTCCTCAGACGACGTATGTCCAGTACGATTCATTGCGACTGGAGGTTGAATAGCTGGTAGTTTGCTCGGACAGGTGAAACGAGAGACGAAATACTGAACTCTGTGTAGATTAAAAAATGAAAGTAACCCTAACAATAAGAAGAAAGATCAGAATCAACGTTAAACGCAGCTTAAGAGCGAATCGAGGGCTTGAAATTGCTTCATCGGATGTAGACTTCATATGAACTTCCGCAACAATTCTCCGAGCGCCATTATGGCCATTGCTTGACCGTAAGGCATGCTCGTCCTGGGAATATCCTTGTAGAATTGCAAAGAATCACCCATACCTGTACCAAAACTTGTGTTCTGAAGCTCGCCCTTCTCATCTATCTGAGCTATCACCGCTTTCACTGCCTTGATTGCCATCTCCTCATATTCCTTCCCAATATACCTCTTCCTCAACGCCATCAACACACCAAATGCAAAACCAGCGGTCGCCGATGCCTCGACATACGAACCTTCATCGCTGTGATCTAACAGAGTTCTCCACAGCCCTGACTGGTCCTGGTACTTCTTCAATGCCCGACATTGCGCCTCCAAAGTATCAATCAAGTGTATTCGTATTGGGTCCCGGTCATGCAAGTCTAGCAGCTCGATAAACTCGGGGATCACGATCGTAAGCCACGAATTTCCCCTCGCCCATCTCGCCCGCGCAAAGTTATGCCCGCCATTCTCGAACGTCCAGCCATGGAAGAACAAACCAGTCTGAGGATCAAACAGATATTTGATATGCAGCAGAAATTGTCTCTTGGCTTCCTCGACATAATGCGGCCTCCCGAGAATCTTTCCAATCTTCGCCAGAGGCAGCACAGTCATCATCAGCGTGTCGTCCCATAGCTGCTGCGTATTCGGTGTCAGATACGTAACATGCTGCATGCCACCGTAATCCGTCCTCTCCAGATCATACATCGCCCACTCAGCCCAGGAGTCCAACCACGGCAGGTATGCCTGGTTCCCCGTCTCCTCGTAGACATATGCAAGTGTCAGGAACGCTGCCATCGTGTTGATATTCTTCGTCGTACCACCTGCCGCAAATCGATCACGAAACCAATCCTCAACGATTTTGAGCGTGGGGGCATCTCCTGTTAGGGAGTAGTATTTGTAGAGCCCATAAAGGCCAACCCCGTGTGTCCATTCCCAATCGTTCCACCCTTTTGTATCGATCACTCGGCCATCGGGAAGAGTAAGGAGGAACTCGCCAGTCGTGTCGGTAATATTTACAAGGTTGTTCGTGAGTAGCTTGATTGCTTCGTGCATTTTTGCGGCATCGATCCCCTCGAACGTGGTGGGCATTCTGAATGCTCGAAGTGTGGTTGCAAAACGATGGAGGCGCAAGTCGGCTAGATAGTGAATGTGTTGAAGATCGAGCTGAAGGAATATTGAATTCGAAAGGAAGAAATAAGACCGCCAAAAGAATCAATCCCTCTTGTCCAATGCGGGACGAGGCTGACGAGGCCTTGCTGTTGACGGGAGAGAGATTCGTTGGTCGGGTCAAAATCCACCGAAAAGACCCCACGGGGCTCCACAGACCCCCATTCCCTGGGTAAAGCTTAAACGAACGGCCGAGGTGGCTCGCAGATCCCAATCCCCGCACCAATTGATCAGAGTCCCCAAACCGGATTTTACGAGAGGCGCTGCTCCCCCATTTTCATTCTTGGTGAGGTGTTTGACGGCGATTATTCCACCAACAGCTGTATGGCTTGGCTTCGGGCTTTCGGTGCATGATTGCTAGTAATCATGTGCGCCTTCGTCCTTTGAAGCCAATTGACCCCGAGCTGTCTGGGTTGGTTGTCCCATAACCAGAAACTTCAGAGAAGCTAAAGAGCAAGCAATCGCTTCCGAGTGCTCGGAATTCTATCGGATTATCATCTTCTCTGATCTGCAATCAGATCTCTCTGAGAAACAAATCGCGAAAACTCCTCTCACGTCTTCACCATGGCGACAGAAATCACCAGCTCACCGGAGGTCTACTATAAGGACGGAAAGAACTCATCTGACAAGGCAGCGGATACCGAGAAAATTCAGCTCGAGCGGATGGAGACCGGTGGATATGCTGGCAAAAACCACACTGACTTCTCTCAAGTCGATGGAGAGGTTGCCAAATATACTAGCGAAGTCAGGACTGTTATTGACCAGGCCACCAATAAGCGGCTCAGGAAGTTGATCGATCGCCGTGTGCTGGCTATCATGATCTTTACTTACTTCCTTCAAGCATTGGACAAAGGTACCTTGTCTTTTGCATCCATCATGGGGATTCAGAAGTATACCAACTTGGTTGGCCAGGAGGCAAGTCATTCCTGGACCTCAACGTCATGCTTTTGCTTACAGAGTCTAGTATTCGTGGCTGACGACGTGTATCTACATTGCTATCCTGATTGTCGAATTCCCCACAAACTGGATTATTCAGAGAGTCCCTATCGCAAAATACCTCTCAATCAACATTATGCTCTGGGGTGCGACATTGATGTGCCATGCCGCTGTCAAGAACTTTACTCATCTTGTGGTTGTCCGAACTCTTCTTGGTATCTTCGAAGCATGTTGTCAACCCTCGTTTGTGGTTCTATCCAGCATGTGGTATCTCAGAAGCGAACAGGCTGCCACTGTCTCGTACTGGTACGTTCTCGCTCAGGCCCGGATGATACCTGTCGCTAACGAATGTTTAGGTACATGATGAACGGAGCTCAGCAAATCGTAGGAGGTCTCCTCGCTTACTGCTTCACACTTCTTCAGCATGGACCCCTTAAGAACTGGCAAGCTCTCTTTATCACCTACGGCGGAATTGCAATCCTCTGGGGCGCCTTCGTCATGTTCTGGATGCCCGACTCCCCCATGCGAGCCAAATGCTTCACCGAAGAAGACAAGCACCTCATGGTCGAACGAGTTCGCTCCAACCAAACTGGTATGCAGAACAAGCAATTCAAGAGAGAGCAAATGATTGAAGCATTCATGGACCTCCAGACTTGGTGCTACTGTGGCATTGCAGTCTTTACCACACTGCCAACAAGTGGCTTGGGCGCATTTGCAAATATTATTATCACCAGCTTCCACTTCTCGGTGCTTCAGACTCAACTGCTTGCCATGGTACTTGGTGCATATATCATTATCGTGTTGCTTAGTTCTGTATGGCTTGTCAAGAAGACAGGTCAAAACTTGCTTGTTATGTTGGCCTTCGTCATCCCGTAAGTCTCCTCAGCTCCACATGTGACTTGACTGACCTGTTTTTAGTTCATTTATCGGCACCATTGTTCTCATGACAGTACAGAGCACCGACATGTCAAGGAAAATCGGTTTGCTGATCAGCTACTACATCACGCTGTCGTTCTGGTCTGCTCAAACATTGTCGCTCTCAATGATATCCCGCAACATCGCGGGACAAACCAAGAAATCAACAGTTGTTGCTACTAACTTTGTTGCATGGGCAGTAGGTAACGCAATTGGTGAGTGCTCTTCCAAAATCTATCCATCCATGATAATATACTGATTGAAGCTCTCCAGGTCCTCAAGTCTTCTTGAAGTGGAACGCACCTCGTTATCTCATCGCTTTCACGGTTCACCTTGTCTGCTATGGTCTTCTTGTGCTTGTTATTCTTTTCCTCCGCTGGCATTTACTTCGCCAGAACCGGAAGAAGGACGAGTTGGCGCAGGCCGGTATTCAGGAGGCAATGGACGATAATTATACTCATGCTTTTGAGGATTTGACGGACAGAGAGAACCCTAATTTCCGCTATGTCTTCTAGATAGGCGAGGTCTTCGTCCCAGGACTTGGGTAGTTCTTCCGCAAGCTGGAGCACTCTTTTATGACCCGAGCTTTCCTCTCGATAATCTCACTCCTCCATAGATTATGAGTGTTCCGTTATCCTTAATTAAGATCAACAAGCAAACATTCGTCCATTTTGACTTTCAATGCCTACTTAAAACGGGGTGGTAATCGCCTCACGTCCTATTAATTTGAGAAACTTAGTTCTTATTCCACATTCTAATCGCAAAAATGCCCCCGGTTGCTAAGTGAGTCAATATACGATTTATACAACGGTCTATTATAGCGAAACGCACTGGGCTACCCAGCCTGGGCTCGCAACTCCTTGTAACTACGTGCGTCATTGGCTTCCACCATTCGTACAGCCCCCCAACAATTCCATAACATCTAACTTTAACCTTCCTAAGACCTAACCGCTCCATACCGCTGGCCCCGGAGGTTGATAGTTCTTTGGCTAACAATTCATTAGAACTTCCACCTTCCCAATAGATCCTACCTCCTTTCTCATTAGGGAAACTCACAACAGGAGAATTCGGGAGCTTGTTTCTGTCCCCTTGTGCGTTGGTCCTGGTGGTATTTCGGGCCGCTTAGCACTCAGGGGTACTCGCTTAGCTTCAACCCAACTTTGTTAAATTTTGAGCAGGATTACATAGACTGAAAAAAAGAATAGAACAATCCTAGAGTTGCCGACTCGTATTTGTTAGGACAATTAAAAGGCTCAAATGGAAGAGCACCCCCTAAAGAAAGGGAGGCCCTTCCTAAAGAGAGAGCTTTCAGAGTATTAGGAGAGCTTATTTTTCAAGCGTCACAAGCTTCAGACGTCGCTAATATGATAGTGATTCGTCGCTATAATTCCAGGCCATGATCGCTAAGTTTCAGGCTGCAATGCACTGAAAATTAGTGTTCTGCGCTGAATAAATTTTCGACGTGATGTGGCTAAGTAGAGTGGGGCCGGAAACAAAGATCAAGCCGAACTGCCTGCACTTATCGTCTTTACGGCTTTCCGTAGTTAGTCTCATAGGGAGTGCAGCTCAGGTAAGGGGCAGCTCGGCACAACAACGTCACACGGCCCATTGGCCAAGTCGAGGATGAATCCGTTCTGTTCATGTTTCGATCTTAACATTGCTTGAGGCAGGTAAGTATATGTGTTAATATTGCCCAAGTATAAGATAGTTCCAATGAGCGACAAACCAACCCCAGGCATTCGATTCCAGCGCCCTCGGTCTTTGCATTGCAGGCTTCGGTCGCGTCACGTCCTCCTTGCTATCGTCATTCTCTGCCTATATTTCTATTTCTCCACGCATACGGACCGGATTCCGTTCCGTAAAAGCCAGACCCCATACAAGATCCAGGCCAAGTTTCCGAGGGAGTCTGCAGCTGCGAAAAAGCTACGATTACAACGGCGGGGTCAAGTCGAGGATGCGTTCAAACATGCTTGGAAGGGGTACAAAGACCACGCCTGGTTGCACGACGAGGTGATGCCGGTGTCTGGGGGGCAGAAAGATCCTTTCGTTGGCTGGGCGGCGACATTGGTGGACTCGTTGGACAGTTTATACATAATGGGAATGAAGGAGGAATTCGCGGAGGCTGTCGCGGCGCTGGCACTGATCGATTTCTCCAAACCGAATGCCGACAAAGTTCCCGTCTTCGAAGTCACCATTCGATATTTGGGTGGACTGCTGGGTGCATGGGATATCAGCGAGCATAAACACCCCATTCTTCTACAAAAGGCCACACAGCTGGGAGAGTTTCTATACAAGGCATTCGACACCCAGAGCGGCCTTCCGGTTCCATACTACTTTTGGAAAGAAAATACGTCTGGGAAGTTGCATGGGGAAGATAAGGTTATAATTGCACAGATTGCAAGCTTGAGTCTGGAGTTCATTCGACTGAGCCAAGTCACAGGGGACTTGAAGTACGCTGCCCAAATTCAGATCGTTACTGATCAACTGGCGCTCACGCAGAACCTCACTGCGTTACCTGGAATGTGGCCAATTACAGCAAACTGCAGCGTGGAACATCTGTCATTCCAAGATAAAACATTCTCCCTGGGAGTTTTGTCAGGTGAGATCTCTTCTTTGCTCATTGATCTGATGGTTCGGTAATAACGAGGTCGCGTTTGATAGACTCCGCGTTCGAGTACCTACCAAAAACACATCTACTCAATCACCGCACCTCCGATCAGTATATCTATATGTATCGCTTAGCCTTCGCTGCGTTCAGTAAACATCTCTTCTTCCGGCCCTCTCTCCCTGGAAATCCTGATATTCTTATGAGTGGCAATATGAATATGTTCGCGAATCCGCCCCAACTTGATGGCCAGTTTCAACACTTAGCCTGCTTCGTCGGTGGCATGGTAGCTCTGGGGTCTAGAATAAGCAACTCCTTGGAAGAACTAGAGACCGCCAGGAAACTTACAGACGGTTGTGTTTGGGGATACAACAATACGCCCTCGGGAGTTATGCCCGATTTCGCTCACGTCGAACCTTGTCAAGATGCCGCCACATGTACCTGGAGTGGCGAAGGCAACGGTTTCAAGAGTGTCGATGACCCATCCTACCGACTGCGCCCGGAGGCTATCGAATCCGTGTTCATTATGTACCGCCTTACAGCTGACCCATTGTGGTTGGAAAAGGGGTGGAAGATGTTCGAGGCGATTGTGAAGCATACAAAGACAGACATTGCGCATGCGCGTCTGGTCAACGTCATGGATGAAAACCCGACCCATGAAGATTCTATGGAGAGTTATTGGCTTGCGGAAACCTTGAAGTACTTCTATCTACTCTACAGCGAACCGGGTCTGGTTAGCCTGGATGACTTTGTTTTGAATACCGAGGCGCATCCTTTTAGATGGCGCTAAACAACATAGACGATACTTCGTCCTACTGCATGGCTCCGAGGTTGTCAATGTACTTGACACGAGGCTCCAACTTCTCCCAAAGTGCCTGAATCCTCTTGACTGCTTCGTCACTCAATGAGCCACGGTTGATACTTTTGGACGTCTCTTCCAACTGTGGCAACCGCCCACCAAGCAATATCTCGAGAGGGCTACATAGTTGACGGGATCGTGCCTTGGTTGCTACTCACAACTTCTCGGTGAAAATGAGGATCCCACTTGTCACAGTTCTTTATCATAGTTCCTAACCCAGGAGTACGACAGGACGGTTCGAGAAGGAACCAGATATTTGCGCCTCATAGTACAAAATAAGTCCCAATAACGTGTTTCGGATAATCCAAGCCTCGAGCGAACCACATTTTGTCCAAGTTATGTGAAACAAGCTTTATACAAGACCAGCAAAGAGTGCTGCGAAACCCAGCACGAAGACCCCGTAGAAGCTACCCTTCGACGTACTGCCGCTTCCCGTAGCAGGTACAATAGCTGGACTCTGAATTCCTGTCAGCAATATAATTTCATGACTCATGACAAGGAAATGGCTTACAGATGCTGAGGGACTTTCAATTGAACTTGTTCCCGTGCTTGTAGAAGTTGTAGAATTTCTTGGAGCCGTCGTGGAACTTTGAAGTATTTCTGTAGTGCTTGTAGAGAGTACAGCGGTAGATCCGGTAGTTGAGGGCGATGCAGGTGTTAAAGAAGACGCGGAAGTCGTAGTCGCAGATGTGTTTGATACAGGAGTCGTCGAAAGTCCACAACTCTCACCATATCCAGAAAGGGTATGGCCGTAGAGTTGCCAGATGTCTTGATTGGAAGGACCAGCACATTCAAGACATGTTTCGTAATCGGTCAAGAAAGTAGAGTTCGTGCATCGATCTGTAGCTTCACGACCGATGGTAATTGCAGTTCCTTTAAAAGTTTAGGTCCTGGTTCTGGGGTTGAAGTGTGGTTTGAAATGAAGCGTACGTACCGCAGTTCAAGTGACAGTCATACGCAGGTGTTCCCGGTTCTTGACGCCTAAGGAGGGAGGTCGTCCAGTCTTCTTCAAAGGTGGATGCGAGAGCGATTGTAAGAAGAGTGACTAGAGCCGTGAGGTATCGGAGAGACAACATTTTTCAAAATTTGAAAACGAGAGCGCGGCCGGGAAACGGAACCAAGGAATTCTAAAAATTGACTGTAGAAATGTCTAATTGGAAGGCACAGGAGGAGGGATTCGAAACTTATATTCAGACAGATTTTGGGCCACTTTCTCCTGTCTGAATATTCCGACAAAAGATGGCCCTGGGATCCTAGCCCACCTGCTGTTCCGAACTCGCTCCTTGGCAAGCCAGCTAAGAAGCCCAAGACGATCAATATACTCCCTAATGCAATGACACTTTCTGGCAGTCCGGCACACACGGCTTGATTGATTGATCTGATAAGATTAGATGGCATAGGTGGTGTCATGAGGTCCCCTTGGCAATGCAGCCAAGACTGAAGAGCGGGAAACCCTCACATCGAATGGCGAACCTGCATGTTTATTCGCCACTCATGGGAAAAAATTCTGCTTGAACCTTGGCATGAATTTATCTGATTGATCTGATAAGCCCGGCTGGAGACCTTGGACCAATACCCTCGTGACCGTAAAAGATTTTCGTAAGGAACGAGCTTGGACTTCACATTCCTTTCCGGAAAGTCTCGCCTCAGAGGAATGCAGTCTCCAAGACTCAGATGCTTTTAGTGTCCGTTCGGAAATACAAACAAAGGCAGTCGAGTGTGCCTTCTTGCAGATTCCAGGCTTGAAGTTCTGCGCGTGTCTTAGATTCTTGGAGAAGTTTGGCTAAAAGGTGGTGTGAGGGTATTCGGCTGACGAAATCGGAGCAGTTCGACCATTCCCACCCATTCACATAAACTCTCCCCTTTCCTTACGTCCCGCCTTTTCTTTTACACAAACTACCGGTCTCTTAATACTCATAGCAACTTCCACCAGACTGCAATAATGTTCTTCAAACCAACAGCCCATCTCTTCGCCCTCGTTGGGCTTATCCAACACACCCTATCTGCCCACGGTGACGGAGCAGAAGGAACAGTCATGGGCCCCGTAGCCTTCCTCTGGCCTAGCGACCGTCACTGGGCCTCTGCCTCCGACAACATAGCACCATGCGGAAGTGTCTCTCCCCCATCCAACCGAACCTCTTTCCCCATCGGCTGTAAGCCATCTTCTCTCCACCTCACACCTTCATCAAACTCTAACAGCTTCTAGCCATCGGCTCAATTGAGCTCACAATCGCGGACGATGCGTATAACCTCGCTGTCCGCATCGCGTATGGAAATAGTATGTACCCTCCCTCATCCGCTCTCCATGCAAGAGGAGAATGGCTGATCTCACCCAGATCCAACGACGCAGCAAGATTTTCAGGCAGTCAAAAGCAATGTCTCTGAGCTAGAGCCAGGCCACCAATGCTATCCTCTACCCAATGAGTCCAGCGCCGTGACACCTGGCTCGAACGCAACGATCCAGCTCGAGTACTGGGCCAACGACAACGATAAAGAAGAGTCGTTCTTTGCTTGTGCTGATATCGTGAGTCCCCCTTCAATATCTCGGGTGTAGAATAGTGGCTAACTGGGAACAAAGATGTTTGTCGAAGCTGTGTCGTTCACCACCCAGGTACCGTGCTTCAATGTCACCGCCGACGAGTTCGTGCCTGCGAGCACATCGAGCTCTTCAGTGCCGACGAGCATTGCTGCTGGCCAAGCCACTGCTTCAGCTACAGGTGGTAGAAAAGATGTTGCGAATGGTGGGTTGAGTGGTGGGGCGAAGGCTGGCATTGTGGTGGGGTGTATCTTTGGGGTGGCTCTTGCCTTTGCTTCTATTTTCTTCGCCATCAGACGCAAGGGTAGGAGTGGACGAGATGCTGAGGCTATGCCTGCTTTGGTGGAGAAGAACGCAAAGGGGAACGATGGGGCATCCGTGATGTCTGGGAAGACTGCATCTTAAGCCCCGGCGTGATCATGGACACCTAGTTGAGTTGCCTTTGATGCTTATGATACGAAGGCGGAAGTCATAGAATGATGCGGGGTATTCGGGAGGGGCCTTGTAATTGAAATAAAGGGGTGGCGATGAGTAATATCCAGTTTTGGAGAGTGGCATATAACGAAGGTGTCTTCAAGAGAGTTTAGCAAACAGGAATAAACTAACTCAATTTCAAGATTTGAGCCACGAATTCCTCCCTTCCACGGTCTCGTCTAGGAAAATGTACCCCACGAAATCTCCCAACAAATCCTTAAAAACTCCTCCTAAATCTTCTTATCATTTGCAGCCTTATAGAGACTCTTCTAATCCTGCGCTATAATGTACTTCCCACTGCCCGTGTCTTCCAGGTTATATGCAGCTAATTAAGCCGTTAGTTTAGTCGCGTTCTTTATCGAGCCAGATGTAGCGGCTAAGTCACTTGAAGATTGGTCGAGGTGCTAATCGAATAGACCAAAGCCCAGAGGGGTTGATTGCCTAATAAATCTTAAATTAAGGAGAAAAGAAGGGGGGGGGGGGGGGGGAGAGGTGGCTCGCTTATACCCCCTATGTACGGCCACGTGACCTCGGACATGTCTGAGGTCATATGACTTGCTGACAATTCTAGCCTGTGCCGTAACAATCGAATTTGGATTGTGAGACTAAATTACTAGTCACTTGTGGCTAGACCAGAGACCTAAAATCGGTTCCGGCAGAGTAGAATCGGATTCTTGGGTAAAGTTTAGGAACGAAAATGTAGCCCGGGCACACAGGGGGCCGAAATAAGTTCTATAATATATTATAACGTACGCTAACTCAGGGTGTGCTCAGGATACTCAGACTCTGCTCAAGCTCTGCTCAGGCTTGATCAGGTATGCTTACCCTCAGCTCAGGTTAGAGCAGCAGTTACTCATGTCCGCTGACTAAAACAGAATCAGTGACAGGGAAAATTAATCCTGAGTCTATCGGTATCGAGCCACACCACTCAGCCTCTCTCCATTATATATCTTGTCTACACCAAAACACCCTCCCACTACTCCGTGCAATGTGCATAGGCTGTGGGAAATCTTAAGACTATAGTACAGCGCCTGTAAACCAATCCAACCCCTCGTTAGAGAGAAGCCCTTCGATGCCGTAAATATCATATTCGAGGTTGAGGTCAAGCTCCAAGCCTGTGTGCCACATCGTTGCGTGAGCGTCATGTTGAAATGAAAGCTCATCCCTTGTTTCTGACAAGATGGCGGTGTTGTATAAAGTGGTTTGTGACATTGACTCTTCTATGAAGCCATTGCCAGTATCTGATAACAATGTTCCATCACCATTCTGAGCTCCGGGTCCACTGCTCGCCCCCTTCGAAACTGCATTGGACTCACCGCTCGTTGACCTTTCCCTCGCTCTGGCAGTAGTTGACAACGCCCCCGATGGTTGTGTGTCCAGATAATTCAAACTTCCTGTTTCTTGGTACTTTTTCGTGGACTCCATCATCTTCTCAGCCACCACCTCAAACGCATCTCTGTACTTCTTGGCACTGGACCACTGTTCGCTAATGACATACAGAACAGTTGAGCATGCACCAACATCACCAACCCGTTGTGCTGAGTAAATGGAAGGGCAGGTGCAAACACAATAGATCAATGTGAATCCAGCAACAAAGACTGCATGTAGATCCCGCAGAGAGAATGGTGTTGGTGATAGCCTATGGAGTCGGCGATAAAGTTGACAGATCTGACCAGATGCCTCAGCACAAGCAGTGAAATCTGCTGTGTCGAAGGGGAAATTCTGCCGGCTTTCTGTCATCAGAGGTTGTAGCAGGGACCTGCGAGCTTTGTGGTATTCTAGAAGCAGCTCTGATTTCTCAACGTCAATAGGCCGATGCTGAATTTCTTGCTCGCTGCCTGATACGTCTGATCCGCTATCACCGGGCTCCCGACGTCTGTTGGTGTCCCTCGATCTGGAGGCTGGAAGAACTCCTTGTGAACAGGTATCATATGTGTTGAGAACCTTAGTTCGCCAGTCTTCGAGTTTTTCAAACAACGCCGACATCGTTTGCTGTGCTTGCTCCTTGGTGCTCGTCTTTTTCATCCGGTGTAAGGCGAGACGGATCTCTGTGTGTATTTGGTACAATTCAACGTGAAGGCAGTGATAGCTTAGAATGGTCCTTTCCGTTTGCTGTAATGACGGTTCCATCTCCAAGGCAGATATGAGATTTCTCTCCTCTTCTTCATCGTCATCGACACTCATGGGTAGATCAAGATCGATCTCTTCATCTGAAAGCGCGAATGGTCGGCCAAGTACAAGCGCCGTCTTGCGCTCAAAGATGTATGCACTCCAGAACAGACGCTTTCGATGTTGGTCAAGCTGGACGCTGCGACTGTCGACCATACGCTGTTTGTGGAGACCAAGTTCTAAGCATTGCCTGACGGCCAGTCCTGACAGATGCCAGACACTAGTTCCTATTTGAAGAGTTAGCTGCCATAAACACAATGGGCATTACAATATTCACGAGTCTGCATACCCGACGGGGAACGCATGGAGTGGATGGCTAGGAGGAGCGTGACCTCGATGGATCTAATGCTTGTGAATTTCAAATCCTCGCTGACGGCCTTCATTGCACTTAAAAAATGACCTTCTGGCACATTTTTCGACGCGTCAATTTTTCCCAGTAACTGTAGGCATCTTGAGCCAATCGCGTACACCAGATGCATAAGTGCAATATCGATCTGAGGGATTGCTGCAGCAAGCTGCTCTTGTCGAGTGAGAGATTTGTGAAGCTTCCAAACCGCAGATCTATCCAGAAATGGATACAAAGGATGCACAATGGAAAAGTAGGCCCGCATGTAACTTGCGCCGGTCCTGAAGGAAGGAAGTTTGGCCAGTGTTGCGTTCGCATTTAGGGCTTGGTTGGAGAAGGGACGCTCGGCGAGAAGAGGTAATGACACATCCGCTGAGCTGCTTCCTGAGTCGATGGCTACTTGGACAAAGTGAGCCAAACTCAGGCCAGCTGAGAACCCAAAGTAATGGGGCTCTGCTGCAGCGCATGAGGAGAGCAAGCCTAGACCGTGGGCCAGTCCCGGAACCCGATCTGGATGTCTTTCCACGGCTGGATATGATGATCCAGATTGGTGCTGACGTCGGGGATTGAAGAGCTCCGGGGAATTTGGATCATGGTCCAAAAGCTCCCTTTCAAAATTCTGTTCGCTAACACTGAGTCTGGCTTCAAGCTGGCGAACTCGTTCCTCCATTCTTTTGACATAGGAGGAAGGATACGCATTCTCGCTGTAGATACATGATACTTTGGCTCTCGAGCAGTTGGAACATTCGGGACTCGCATTGTCACACTGTCTGTCCGTCAGTACGCAATGCTGTAGATCTGTTTAATACTGGGATCACCTTTTGCCGCCGACTCTTGCATCTTTGGCAAGCTACCAGGACTCGCGGCCGTTTGTTTGGACGCCGCTGGGCTGCAGCTGTACCGGTATATTCAGGGCTTTCCTCCATTTTGGATTTGCAGTTCAAAAACGATTAGAGCAGCAATATACGTCAAGAGCATATCAAGCCAACATGTATGTATTGTTTTCGGACCATCCCGACGAGAGGTTTCTCCTTATCAGCGTAAGTTTAGCAATCGTGGAGTGTGGCGAGAAAGGGACTGGCACTGCAAGGGTTAGGTCGCTAAAATAGGGGCGCGGGCAAGCCGCCGCGGCCCAGCTCCTAAAGCTCCGCCGACATCTGCTGCGTTGATGTTCTGATTTTCTGATCGGGTTGATCCTTCTTTCTTATCCTTTTGTCACATCGATTCTTGACCCATCCAGTGGAGTGAAACCTCCCGTTCAGAGAACCTAGATCATGACATTTTACGGAGGGTGTTGACTTCATAGCAAAATGTGAATCAATGCCGGTGCCAAGGCGAGGGCTCATTTATTTCACTCACAACCTCCTGCCCACCATCTGTCAAGATCCGGACATTGGCGAGGGACAAGGTCAAGAGAGCCACATGACTAGAAGCATACGATCAATGCCCACATCATTCCATCCTTGGCGTCGAATTCCCCGTCGCCGTTCTTGTGTCCATATGGACCTATGGTTGATCTGATTCCATCATTGGTGTCTTGTTTGCCAACGTTACTCTTATTTGTAAACGTGGTCGACATGATGGCCATGCCGATGAGATTACCGTGTGGCATCGCAAAGGAACAAGGCATGAAATGGAAGCGGCCATGCTTGGGAAATAGCCCAAATTGTGCAATGAAACTGGATTCGTCCGTATTGAAGCAGGCTTGGCAAAAATTCCTTAATTTCCGGTATCGATAGGTATCAATGCCAGAATCGTCAGGTATCGATAGTATCGATACCAGTATCGATTCCCCGAACCCAATTCCCCCCTTTAATTGCAATTAACTTTAGAACCACTTATCTTATAAGAAGATTTTTAGTAGCGCAAATACTCTACTTAATTTAGGCTTCTATTTAGCTACTTATCTTATATTTTAGACTAAAACTTATCTCAATACGGCTATTTTAAGTAAAAATGAGCTTTTGAGCATTTGAGATTTTCGTAAGGCTCGCTTATGTATTTAGTACCTCAATAAGAAATACGAATACGGGGCTTAATTCTCCGAATACGAGGGCTATTTTAAATTTAAGATATTATTAACTTTTATTAATAATAGTCAGTATTTCTTTTAATAGAAAAACTAGAAATTAAAGGAATTATATAATAATACATTATTATATAATTTAAATAATAAAAGAAAGAGTTAATTTTTATGGTAAGAATCGATTCTGGTATTAATACTATTAATTCCTTGCGATACCTGAAAAATACCTCTACTATTAATACCGGTATTAATACCTCAGGAATTTTTGCCAAGCCTGTATTGAAGTGACGTTACTATATGTCAATAACCAATTTCTCAATTTCTCAATTCCCACACCTCACTCAAGCTAGAGCTTATTAGCTCCACGCCCTTATGTATATATATGTCCTCAAGTCCTTGACTTGAGGGGCCAGCTGCTATTGTGAATAAATCTCCAATCCGACAATCCGCATCATTACGCTATGGCTCACGAGAGACATCATTTTGTATACTGGATTTGCATTCTCGGCATGGACCGCCCATGCCAGCCAGCACTGTGATCCCTATAGCGGATGTAATACTACCAAAGAAGATAGTAGGAACCGTTTGACAAGCCCATACTTAATGGAGAGCTTGTACAAGATCCTGCCAAGCGACAAGACGACACCGATGACCATTGGTGTCAACACGGCTGCGGACGCCCACGAATACGTCCCGCCACCCAAGGCCAGTGCAAGACAGATTAGCCTACCATGTATATACAGTATCGTATCGTACAACAGGGTTCTTTTTCGCACAGTGTTGCTCAATTCAGTTATGGAGAACACGCGATTATCCGGCGGATGGATGGCAACGCAGCTCGCCACTAAGGGTTCCAAATACGAGTCGGACCTCCAATCGAGCTGGCTTCATTCATCAACAGGAGGGCTAAGTCCCTTCAAATCAACAATTTCTCTGATATTTCTGGTTCAATTTAGCTTTTTAACATTCCTTCCCAAATAGGATTGCCTCTCGTTCAGGGAGTTTAGGGGGCTAAACGATGTCGCTTGCCAACTCCGGGGGCTTCGACGTAGAATTGCCAACGAGAACAAACCGCGCGTGTCCTTAACCTAGATATAAGGCGCAACACTTTCAGAGGTATGATTTTATTCAAGATGCTAAATGTTTTGCTCCTCCCAATTCCCGGGAACTCCAAAGGACAAACTACTGTCACAAAGCAGCTTGCAAAACATTCCACTGCTTACCCATTCTCCTTTGAAAGGGCAAAGAACATGGTTTCCGACGAATAAATTGACCATAACCCCTCTTTCCGACTATACTTCCTTCTCTGAACACGATCTTTCCCCTCAGAAGTGTCATTCGAGGCCAGTTCAGAAACTCGATGCCTTCGTATGGCGAATAATCACACCCATCATGCAAGTCTCTATCGTGGTTCAACCTCTTCGGGATAAAGCTTTCTTGCTGGTGCCAAATCACAAGATCTGCATCAGAGCCTATTTGTATGGCTCCTTTCTTGGGATAGAGCCCATAAAGCTTGGCAGGATTTTCGGAAGTGAGTTCCACGAAGCGCTTTACGTCGATACATTGACGTTTCAGAACACCTTCGGAAAAGAGTAGCGGTACTCTGGTTTCCACGCCAGGAAGGCCATTAGGTATTTTTGTGAATCTGTTGAAATTTCAGTAAAGAACATGTTAGTTGGCACCTATCGATTACTTACATTCCTTTAGGATCCCCATTACAATCACGGGAGAATCCAAGTTGCTTTCCTTGAGGATCATTGAAGCTATAGTCTCTTGTCAGAACACCCCAATTCTTCATTGAATAATCTTGAGCCAACATACCGGTATGGACAGTGGTCCGATGAGAAAATTGTGAATGTGCCATTCACGATCCCTCGCCATATCGCTTCGATTTCCTTGGGATAACTTCTCAACGGCGGCGAGCAGATGTATTTTGCGCCACAGAAATGTTCTTCCGCAAGCATCTGCTTCCCAAGCAGGAGGTATTGGGGGCAAGTTTCTGCGAACACGGGTTTGAGCAAAGACTGTGCTTTCCGGATAATTTGCATTGGTTCTTGTACCGACACATGGACAATCACCATTGGTGTATCCATTATCGAGGAGAAGGTGACGGCCCGATTGACCGCTTCAGCTTCTGCTTCTAGAGGGTGCGCAATGGCTTTGTACATCGGTTCCGTGAGCCCCATCTCTTCAAGGTGCTCAGTGAAGAAATCAACCAAATCGCCATTTTCGGCATGCACTAAAGCTACCATTTTCAGTTCTCGCGCCTTTTTCAGAGCTTTTAGAAATTGCTTGTCTGAGATGCGCATATGTTTATACGTCAGAAAGAGTTTCATGCTCATAATACCTCCGGTGCGAGCGAGGATGGGAAGTTCATTCTCCAGCACTTCTTCCGTTGGATCAGTGATAATGGCGTGAAAGCCATAGTCCGCGTAGGAACCTTGCTCTTGAGCAAGAAGGTGGTAATTTGCAACTTGCTCTTTCAGAGACTGGCCCTTTGCTTGTTCTGCAAACAGCAGAACCGTTGTTGTGCCTCCCGCCACGGCACTTCGCGTCCCCGTCTCAACTAAAATATATGTCAACTAGCCATTGGACCTAAAACGTTTGAGACTTACTTGTATCAGCACTTACATACCCTGCCGCACGTGCTCGTGGCGATCGATCTTGGGCAAGGTGAACGTGTCCGTCAATGCCTCCGGGAGTGACAACAGCCCCTTCGCAGTCAATTACTTCGGTGTCCTCTGTCGGTACTAGTCCTAGACCCAAGGCGGTTATGGCTTCATTTTTGATCCCGATGTCACAAGTATGAGAGCCGTTGACACAGGCGTTACGCAGGACAATGTCGAACTCTTGCATTGTATCAGTTGGTGACTTCCCTAAAGGAGGGTAGGGTTCGGATTGGAAATGGTCAAATGATCGGAGTTTTGCAAAGAAAACTGGAATCGAGCAAAAGTCACGACTTCAAGATTGCGGAACTAGAGTCTGTGGGCTTGAACGGAGAGCTTTTCATTGTGGCCATTTTCAATGCTGAGTTTGCCGCCACCATCGGGTCGTCGCGATCGGGTCTTCGGGATGGTCCGCAATGACTCAAGGGCTGGTCGTTATCTATCGGTTACTTTTTCAGCACCCAAATCACCAATAGGGATCGCTGAAAATGCGAATCTAGATTTTGATCGGACCAGTCCGCCCGCTTGGCAAAGCCCCACGCCCACTTTGGTGGCCGAAGGCGTTGATACAGCAATATCAAATTGTAATCTTCGTCAAATCTATCGGAGCAACCGACAAGATGTGATGATAGAGATATCTAACCTCAATGATCAGTTGCGATGGGAACGAAAGTACTTCTATAAGACAGGGCTAATATCCATACTCAAGCGGCTTTTTGAAGCATCGATCGACAACGGGCACCAATACTTTGCACTTCCTCAAATATAGACCCCCAAAACAAAATGCACCTTCCAAGGTTTCCTCACTCCAAGAGCGAGTGGAAGGCTGCGCTCAGTACCAATTCTTTGGGCGAGAAGTCTTCCCAATGGATCAATAAAGATCTTGCACCGACACCAAAAGCGGAACGCACATGGTCATGGTAAGCCTTCCTTCTTTTAATTGGTCTATTCGTGAACTGACTTTGCTACAGGATCTCGTTAAGCAGCTATTGGTGGGGTGTATGCGGTCCTCTTTAAGCTGCTCTGTGCAAGGCTAACATGGCGGCTTTTGCAGAATGCATTCAACGCAAGTCAGTGGTCGAATGGAGCCAGTTTGATCTCCGTTGGTCTCAATTGGTGGCAAGCATTGATCTCCTGCATGCTGGTAAGTAACATTCCCCGAGCTTGGCCTATTTCTAATAGATTTCCAAGGCCAACTTGATCTCCTCCTCTGTTGCACTCGCACTGGGCCGACCAGGAGCCAAGTATCACATTGGATATCCTGTTCTGGCTCGAAGCGTGTTTGGAATGTATGGTCAACTATTCTTCGTTTGGGTTCGTGCCGTGGTGGCCATTATCTGGTAATGTTCATTCGCAATCCGGGAGGAAACTTCCGCTAATGATGGAAACAGGTTTGGAGTTCAATCCTATTTCGGCTCACAGCTCCTCGGTGTTTTGTTAAGATGCATCTTCGGCAATTCGTGGTGGCACATGGTGAATCACCTTCCCGAGAGTGCCGGTATCTCTTCTCGAGATCTCCTAGCTTTCTTCTTGTTTTGGATGATCGAGATGCCATTCTTGACCGTCCATCCATCTAAGATTAAGTTTCTCTTTGCTGTGAGTAGACCACGCAAAATCCAAAAGGGCCCAAGCTGACAACCTGCCCTTCTAGGCCGAGTCTATTGTCTGTCCACTTGCCTGCGTCGGGGTCTTTGCTTGGTGTGTTCACTATGGTGGAGGCATTCGAGTTGAGACGCTCGCATCGACTACACCGGTCAGCGCCGGAGGTCTTGGCTGGGCAATGATGAACGGGATTAATAGTTGCCTCGGGGTCACATCTGCTCTCTTAGTTAACGTAAGTGCTTCCAACTTTATCCTTCTATTGTCGTCCCTGCTGACTTTTCCTCAAGCAACCGGACCTAACGAGATATACTCGCCGCCCCAAAGATGCTGGGTGGAGACAAGCATCATCTATCTTTGCTAGCAAGACTCTGATCTTCTTCTTCGGCATTGGGGCTACAGCTGCAACCCAAGGAAAATTTGGCCAAGCTTATTGGAATCAGTGGGACTTGCTCAATGCCATACTCGACCGATTTTGGGGCCCAGGCGCTCGTGCCGGATGTTTCTTCGCCTCTTTCGGCTTCACCCTCTCCATCCTAGGGGTCAACATAGGTTGTAATGCCATTCCGTTTGGTAAGTGTTCCAATTGAGAGTGCCGGTATTGCCCCACTGACACAAACTTTTAGGTGCTGATGTAACTGGCCTGCAGCCAAAAATGTTCACGATTGTTCGTGGTCAATTATTCTGCGGCTTAGTTTCCCTGGCGATAGTTCCATGGAAACTTCTAAGTATGTTTCCATCCATTTCAAAGAGCAGCGTGACGATTTGCTGACTTCTCCAAAGCCAATGGGTCCTCCTTCCTCACTTTCCTTGGAAGTTACAATATTTTTATCTCGCCAATTTGTGGTGTATGTCCAACCTCTTATATCATTCCAAGCTATCTGCTGACATATATATTCATCAGATCGTCATCATTGACTACTTTTTCATCAAACGTGGCAACATTCATACCCCTTCCCTGTTCACTCCAGCTCGCGGCACCTTATACTATTACGCAAAGGGCTGGAATCTCAAGGCGCTGGGCTGTTGGGTCGCTGCCGCGCTTTTCGGGATCCCCGGTCTTGTTGGTGCCTACCATCCTTCTGCCGTTGCGAAAGCTGCAACTCATATGTATCAGATGGGCTGGGTACTCTGTTTCACAGTTGCAGCAGCTTTCTACTTCGGCATTAACGTCCTTCTCCCTGCTCAAGTGGTACCCGATGGGTGTGAATCCGACGCAAAACAATTTGAGAGCTTTGCAGATACGGAAGGGTACCTCGAGGGAGATGCTTTGGTTGAGTTTCGAGGACTGGAGATTCATAACGGACAAGAACCTGTATCGGGTTCTGCTAGCTTCAGCGTGGAAGAGAAGGTTTAATGACCTTTGTGTAACGAAAGACCTCCATTCCGGAATGAATTTCTTTGGCGTTCAAGCGGAAGATATATCATATCATCGATGCAATTACTGTGAATGAAGATGGCGTTATATCAGCCGGAATTTGATCTTATCAATTGTAAATATTCGGACTGAGAAGAATCTTAGATAAAAGAAATACTCGCCTTTTGGGACATCGAATTCCATTTCCATTTCTACTGCTACTCGTTAAGATTCTGCCCCAGCTGCTCCCAGCCCATCAGCGGTCCACTCGGGGCAGCTTATCATAAGACAATATCCGGCATCCTCGAAATGTTCTACACCACCAAAAGCACTAGGTTCTATCTGTTTGACTCCTCTAATCAACCCCCTCACCATCTCGTCATTTACTGCACAATTTAGTGGGTTGAGCCCACTATAAGGCCCTATGACTCCAGGCCATATATCCTAAGCAGATCTCAAGAGGCGCTGTAAGACATTCGCAAGGTAAAGAGGGTGGAAGCATCGGCTTGGACGCCTGTACGTAGATCATATGTAACCCTACGGTTTCCTAGGAGATTCGGGTTGCTAGGGCAAAATAAAGGGTTCTGATTAGCTAGAATTAAAGGATTTAAGCTAATTAAACGTTCGCCCAGTAACTGAACAATAGAGAAAAGTAGAATATACCAAAAATCAGGGATAAATAAGCTACCAAATACTAGTTCTACCTACTTTACCACCTTATATGCCCTTCCTGGGCTTCAATAACCCCTTTAATCCGTTTATGCATTAATCCAATAATCCAATTAATATCGTACTAAGGGATTTTAGCCTATTCTTCCTCTGCAAAGGCTATCAAATTAGCTACGTTCTACCCTTCCATTCTCAAGCGCTTATATATAGCAGTTTTGAGAATTAACCATATATGTTTAATAGGATTGAGGTTAGGAGAGTTAGAAGGCCAGTTAATAAAGGGTATATTGGCTTCTTTAATCCAGGCAGAGGTAATCTTAGTAATATGGATTCTAGTATTATCTTGCTAGCAAAAGACTAGTAGCTAATCTGGATCGCGATCCTTTTCAGGAAGCTCTATACTCTTCCAAAAGTCGTAAAAGACAGGGAGAATATGGTTAATATAAGTATGGCTGTCCATATTACCCTTGGTATTGCCCATTATATAACGATCGAAGTTAATTAGCTCCGTTTTGCCACCGTGGGTAATAGCTACCCAGACCATTATTCCGTCAAGCTTTTTGAATTTGGGCTAAAGGCATTCGTCAAGATATTCTTTACCGGGTTTGCGGGTTATATAGAAGGTTATATCGCCATTTTGTATAGTAGCTTTGTCAGAAAAAATGACCCGTTTCCATTTCTCTCTCTAGTATTAATATTTCAAAGCAAATTCTAATCGTTTGAGCTTTTGAGCAGGGGAAAGATATAGCTTTATACGGGCAATATAGCGGCTATATCCCTCAGAATAAAGGATTTTGCGGATAGTACGTTCAGAGATTATAAGGCTAAGGTACTCAGGAATTTCCTTAAATATTATTTAATGAGTAAAGGCTTTACCGGTAGTAATAAAATTGAGAAGCTGAAATTTGATTAGGTAATTATCGTATCTATTAGACTGACGTGTGTACCGAGGGGTGGAGGGGTGAGCCAAAATATGGTGAACTGTGGACCGGGAGAGGGAAAAGAGCCTTGCTAGCTCGCGAATTGAGCGATTACCATAGTGGTAAAGGGCATGAATTTGGATGCGAGTCTTGCGGCTTATACGATTAGCCCGGTGAAAGCCAGAAGGACCAGTAGAGGGAGGAGCAGGGGCTTGATTGGCTAGATTAGTGGTAGGAAGTCTATTGGGAGGAGGAACTAGGCCAGTTTCATCCTGCCAGATGAGATTTTCCCAAGTACTAGCCTTAGTAGCTTCGGTAGAGGCGGTAGCTTTAGTGAAGGCAGTAGCCTCAGTAGAAAAAGAGGTATTCCACTGGATGTGGTCTTTAGGTTCCATATTAGGCTATACGTATGGAAAAAAGGGAGCTTGACGTAGTGGTGCGAAGGGTGGAAGGCCTAGTACTTCCGTACCAGGAGCATAAGGCTAAGGTTGAGAGGGGGTAGTTAGTTCCCAAGGTAAAGTGCGTAGTATGGTAAAGCCTCTGCAATAGTGAAATAAGATTATTTAATTAGATAGAATAAATGGAAAGTAATAGAAAAGTAAGTGAAATTAATTAATTTAGCCACCAGACGAAAGTGCGAGGTTTGTTTATTATTTATTTATTTACTAGTAAAATTAGTGCTTACGCGTACCCTAAAATGGGGGTTACGTGGATATAGTCTATTTAAAATTATTATAGCTATACGTACAGGCGTCCAATCCGATGCTTCCACCCTCTTTATGAGAAGTTATTTAGGGGTAAATAGCGCTGCTGGCGGAGCAACGATAGTGCTTGGACGCTAAATAGGCAGTTACCATAGGGCTCTTTAGCGAGGTACCCTTTGTAAATACTATACAGGGGAGAAGCCCTAAAAAGGTGGGGGACCCCTGACTCCTGCCTTCTAGCGTGTTTTTTTAAGGGCAATGGCCTAGAATTATAGAGTAATTTAGTGACCGAGTGCGCTAAAAAGAAACAAAAAAGACACCGAAGTGCTGTTAAAGCACAAATTCCCTGTAATCCCGTCACTTTATGCCCGTGGTCTTCGTAGAGAAGAAGGACTCCGATTGTATCACAACATCTTGGTGTATTCAAGAAAGAAAAAGATTTCATTCTAAGAAGAAAATGATCTTCCTCTTTCTTCCCATTTCAGCGATTATCATGCCTTTGAACCGCTTCAGTCTCTGTATCTCAATAACATACCAAGGCTCTAACATCAATGCTCTCTCTTGCTGGAAGGTTCTCTGTCCCCGGGATCTCGATTGACGTATGAGCGCATCTCCAAGCCGCAATATCCTTTTTCGAATCAAAATGCTTAAAGATCAAAACCTCCTCAGGCTGCATATCGCTCAAATAATGCCAACGGTGCTCCTCTTCTTTCCGCCCATGTTTCAACATTGACAGAACCCACTTCATCTCTCGTCCCATCAGTTTCGCAGTCTTATCTCGAGGGAGATCACAGTAGTCGGAATCAGGAACGCTTCGCGAGTCTATAAGAACCAGGGGATCCCTTCGGACGGGTTTGAGAGGTTTCCAGATGCCGAGAACTTGCCACCGAGGCGCGTTTGCAATCAGATTGGCAACTTCAGCTCTTTCCGGACCTCCGCTACTAGGTATGCGACTCAAGACAAACTCTTCGGCGTTTTCGGGTGAAAAGTCGACGTGAGGTCTTGGAGAAGGTGCTTGAACTTTTTTGCCTCCGAATTCTCTCGGCTTCAATGAATTACGCGGGAGCCCGCGTAGCGCGTTGCTGAACACAACCACCTCTTTCGCTCCGGTACTGCCAACCATACATCAGTTCAACTGAGGAAGGAGTTTCCAATTTCGGTCGACTCACGCTCTTTTAATCAGGTCAGATATCTCTTCAAAGTACTCCGTCCTCACAATCTCCTCATTCATCATATCCCATTCCTTCTTTGCAATGGTATGAACCTCAAAACCATTTGTGTCTAACGAATAAATCGACTCTGATCCTCGTATATCTCGCACATGCATAGTTCGATTTTCTTCATCGTGATGGCCGAAGAATATTTCGGCATCGTTCTCGGGGTCCGGGAGAGAACCATCACCAGGGTCTCGCCAGTAGGAAATCACCGCTTCGACGTCTTTCTTCATGGTGGATGCAATGTCGTGCAAACTCTCGAAGTCCTGGCTTGGCACAGCCTACTCTTTATAGCTTAATTGGTGCACGTGAATTCCCTGTCAGATTTTAGCATCAAGGCTAAAGAGGTTGAAATGCCGATCAGTGCTAATAACAGAAACGGCGCAGCCAGGCATTACACCACTCGCAAATGCGGGCTCGTAAGTTTGCGCACCAATGAAGGCAAGCCTCCATTGCGAGATCCTGAGGCAAATGACCTGCGCTTTCCAGCGTCCTCACGGCAAGGTTCAAGCCCCAAGAACATACGCAAGAAGAGCGTACGGACGTACGGCCCATAAAGATAGTAATAGCACTATCGATGGTTTCTTGCGCTTATTAAAAAATCTATTACGTCTCGCTATTTGTATTATTTATAAAGAAAAAAAGGAAGAAGCAGGTAATAATGAACTCGGGAGTGGAAAGCAGTTGTGCAGAAGCTATTTATTAAGTAGATAAACAGGTTTAACTCAGAGCCTCAGCTAAAACATGTTACCGCATTAAACCCCCTGTATGCTCTAACACCGCCCAAATTTTGGAGGGGAGGGTGTTTACAAAGCGTTAATGTGGCTTGATCCTGGGGAATTGTTAGCTGCAATAATGGCTGCGCCGAATTCCCATCGAATGGAATCCAGTTCTTTAAGCGATACAGCCCTTTCCAAAACTCCCTAGCCAGAGGAGGGGTCTCTTCCGGCCCCTCGTCGAAAGTTGAAAGCTCAAGTGACATTGGCGTAGGCTATACGCCACGTCGCGTAAAAGACCGCGAGGAGAGACCTGAGCAGACCCTGAGCACTCCTAACTCGTAGGCGGCGGACGCTGAGCCGGGCCTGAGCAAAAGCAGCATTGGCCACGTGAGCCTGGGGACTAAAAATGGCGAGGATCTCATAGTATAATAGAAGTTCTACATGCGGATTAGAACGATTTTTATATAAAGCAGGTTAGTTCTTTATCTTATAATAGTAAACTAATTCACTCTTAAAACGTGTAATAATAGATCTCATTACTACTCGTAATCGTGGAATCATTTCAGTTCGAGAGAATTGCTATAGTTAGTATGGGCCATGGAGTTATCGTTCGGGACGGTAAATAGTTTTTGATGCCTTACTACCTCGCTACGAGAAGCAGAAAGGAATTAACCGTCTTCGAAAGAGCAGCAGCAGCTGAACCGCCTCCAGCGAGATGTGTGCTTTTCCCTCATCTCAATAGCGCCAGAAGTTTGCAACGCGTTCTTTTGCCGTGTTTCCTCCGAGATATCTTTCTGTTCGCCATGTCTTGCCACCCCATTTACTTGCTTTGCCGGTTCTGTTATATCAATTCCCAGGTCGGTTGTTTCAATTGGGGTTATTCTCGACTCGAACCTCTCTGTGGACTCAACATTGGAACTCTCTGGGACAGCCGAGGTTGAAGATTTCCCATCACGCAAGTTAGGATTGAAATTCGTCTGGTTCTCCTGTTCGCTCTCAGACGCATCTGTTGAAGGCTCAGGTTTGCTGGTCCCCTGACTTGGTGGCTGTAGATTCTGTGAGAAGTGTACCTTCTTGTTCGATGATTGCGGTCTTGAGTTCTGTGACTCAGTGTCGCTCGATATTGAGGCCACACTATTTAATTGCTTGCCCCCAGTCGTTGCTTTGACTTCGTTTATTGGGCCCACTATCTCATTCGAATTCGAATTCCTGCCATTTCCATCTTCTTCAGCATCGGGCGTGTGATAATCATGTTCCAGTGGTCCAGTGTGCTCGGGCAACCCAGCTCTTTTTATCCGCTTGTCCATCTCAGGAGAAAAATCGAGGGCAGAGGCTTTCAGCACTGACAAGTCAGTTGCTGCACGGTGGGGTGGCACATGCAGCCGCTTGGTACAATAATCCAGGTCCTCTGAACACATCCTGTGTAGATCTGCAAATTTGTGCACAATTTCATCACATCCAGCCCTCTTCTTCGGACCCATACGCAGCATCCGCTTCTCGACGAACTCCAGCAAATCTGCCAAAAATTCAGAACATTTTTCATGGTTGCACAGGCTCCTGAATTCCTGAGACCGGTTAGCTTTTTCCCAACCACCATGCACTGACTTACGTCCGCAACAGACTGCTTGGCTATTGCACCAGTTTGTGCCCTGCCACTTCCATCTTTTATGATAACAAAGTTGAAAAATACATCCTCCTTAACTTCAGAGTTGTCCTCTTTTGTTCGGTTTTGGGAGAACCTGTCGACCTCTTCCCATCCAAGCAGATACCAAGTGACGAACTGAAGAACTACACATCCAAAGCTCCAGATATCATAACTCTGTGAAACCATCTTTGCGACGTCATATTCTGGAGCTCGATAAGTTGGCGACACTGGAACTCCACCGGCATCAATGTGTGACCTTGACATTGTTCTGTGGAAACTGGTTAAGCCGAAGTCAGAAATCTTTAGCAACCCCATGAGACAGCTTTGATCTGCTTCCTTGGATTCCCTTAGATACGATCTGAACCAAAGGATATTCTCTGGCTTGAGGTCTCCGTGTCGTCCGTGGAGTTGATACGTAGAGTCATGAGTTGGGTCAGCCAGTGCAGGCTTATCAGCTGTGTGGATCATCTTTAGCCCCTCCGCGATTCCCAAGCACTGTTTGGATAGCCACAGAGCAAGTTGGTAGTCTCTGTTTGGCTCCGTTGGACTGGGATACATCTTCCAAAAGTCTAGCAAGTTTCCGTCCGCCCAAGGAAAGAGGAGGTAATACTGGTCATGCCAATGAAATGTGACCAGAAGCTTAATGAGATGAAGGTGATCTTTTGCAGCGAATCTCTTTAAGTTCGAAACCTCAGCATTGAAGGCATCGTAATTATCATGGCGTAGTCGTTTGACAGCAAAAGGAGGATTCTTATCATGCGTTGCCTGATGGAATGTTAGGCAAATTCAAGCGATTTGCGATTTGTGATTTGCTTACCGAGTCATGACAATAATTGTGGTGAGCAGGATGCATAGTGACTTTCCAGACATCGCCGAAACCGCCGCCCTCGTGCTTTACTTCGTTGTCTTCTGCAAAGGGGAGAATAATCCTTCTCTCCAAGTTATAATGCAATACTTTGGGATCCTCTTTAGTGCTCAAATGAAAATAAGGGGCCAGGAGGTGCCATTGGTTGTGCTCGAACGATTCCAGCTCGTGTACTTCCCATTTATTGAAAAGCTGGATAGCTTCGGGTTTCCTGTTCTTCCCTTTCCTATCCAATTGACGCGATCCTGGAATTGTCCCATTTGAGAGTATGAAGGGCAGGTCGCTATCATAAAGATCCTCCTCGATGAAGTCCACTATCTTCTCCACTTTCTTAATCAAAGCGAGGATTGCCAAGATCTTCCTCCTTGTTGTCTTCGTGCTGGATGAAGGGGAGGATACTTTCCAGATCTTGTCAGTTAACTGGTCCAGCTTCGTAGGCGGGATTATGCCAAGCTTTTCAAGCTCTCGCCGAACCCGATTACTAGTCACAATGTTGTTGAGTGCATCGAGCGGTAGGAATTCCTTTCGCTCCTTTTCCGCAGAGACTTCAAAGGACGCCCGTATGGCCAATCCTAAATCTTGCTCTTCCGTAGATTGGTCAAAATGCACCTGACTAGGAGTCGTCTCTGGACTTGTAGTGTCGTCATCTATAGTGATTTCAGATTCCCCAGGTTTGGGGCGGTCTAGTGCATTCTGGAAAGCAGCACCAGAATGTGCAACTATTTCATCCTGTTGGGCAAGTTTTCGATGTTCCTCAAGATGCTTAGTATCTCCATAGTCATTGACAATGCTGCCGTGTGATGCTAGGGAAGGTGGCTTGGGGGTCTCGAGATGGTCTGTTACGAGCAAGAAAGAACCCTGATCTGGCCCCCAACTAGTTGGACCAGATACTTTGCTAGGCCTTGGTTGTGTCTCGATTTCTGACCAGTCCTCAAGTGCCTCCCGGAGGTCGGATTGGTTGTTGGGCTGAGCGGTGAAGTCCTGCCAGTCTCGTGTCAGGGCGAATAAGATGAGACGCCTGGGTAGCATACCTTCTTTTGGCCAGGTTCTGGAGCCATTTATCAACCAAAATCCATCAGGGTCAAATTTTCGATGTGATGGGTCGCAGGACAGCGCGGCGGACTGATGCAATTGTTAAAGGATCGCCAGCTTTTAACACCCGTGGTGAAAGCTGCTGCCCTCGTCGTCCAGAGCCTTGCAGCTCAAGGCTCTGCGTGCCATGTGCTCACCCCAGCAAGAGCCCCCAAAAGAGCCATGGCGCATGCTGAGAAGTAAGACATCGCTCGTGAAGCCAATGGCTGATTAGAATAGGCCAACGCGGCAAGACACAAAAGCCACGAAAAGGAGCCTGGTCGAATTCCCCCTCGTTCTCAACATTGGTCGGTAAATGGGGCGAGAGCATCTTTGCACCCGTTCCTACTGTGGGTGGTGGGATGGGAATGGGAGCGGTAGTGTGGCGGAGTCTGGAAATGGTGTGCAGGTCGTTCAGCTAGGGGCGGGACATGGCGCCATTGACGGTTCGTGTGGGTCTTCTGACGGCACAAGTCCATCGCTCCTGTCCAGTTAGGCCGGAAGATCATAGTTTGGCTTTTGAGGCTGCCGCTCGTTGCTTGAAAGAGGATCTACGTGCCCACAACCGGGAGCGGGTGATCGCATTGTTCGGGGACTCGCAGCAGTTTGCCCTGCCTGCGACCGGTGCTGAAGAACCCCCTATCCCAAATCAAGACCTAAAAAACAGAGATACTTGCAAGCTCAACAATACCAGCAATCACCCTCCAGCGGTTGGGACACTGAGCAGGTGTGGGGCTATGTACGCGTAATACAGGATAAAATTGTGAAAAGTGTTAAAAGGGGGTCTATTTCGGCCCCGATGCCAACTCCTATAAGAGAGGAATTTATTTGCATTTTAGCTACTTGTTTACCTTTGTTTCCAAAGGCTACACTCAATCAATGTCTACATCGAGGATTTGAACGACCTACGAAGGCGGACGGCATTAAAAATCGTCCATCCGGAAACGCGAGGAATACCAAAATCGCTATATTTAGAAAATTACACCAAATCTCGACGCAATGTCCAAAATTCTTTAAAAATGACTTTGTGAGATAGAAAAGAAGTAGATCTAACTTTTGTAGGATTTTCTCGGCAATTAAGTATAATGTGGAATTACGAGGATTTCTGTATTTGCGAGGATTCATATTGCGCCCGCCCTCGCTTAGCGAATTGGACGAATTTTAATGCCGCCCCCCTTCGTATACGAGATGCTTACATCGTAAATAGCATTCCAGTCAGCCAGCTGAGAGCCTCACCAATCAATGTATGCGCTGATGGAGGCAGCTGGGTGCGGTGTTCCCATGATGTCTCATGCTAGGCGCTCCGTTTTTCCAGCCTCGCCACATACCATCGAAAAAAAGAGATTGCGAATTTGATTCAGTTTATCCCGTCCATACTTCCTTCCTCTCTTCAGAACGTCTCGGGGGTCACGGTTGGCGAAACGCCGAGCTTGCGGCCATTCCGACGTGCTCACATTCAGTCTGGGAGAGTTTCACTGCCATGGCTACGGGCTTATCATTTCGGCCCCCGGCATACACCGAAGGGTGCAGTGAGACGGTTTGTGGAACCGGAGGGCTTGGTCGTGGCAAAATAGCGACGAAAATTGCCTCAAAAGTCAAGAGAATATACGTTTAGGAGATGCCACGTTTTTGCCTCCATCTAAGGCCCAATGTATAAAGTACAGCAGAGTTGGGGAGAATGGTTTCTGCACGCGCGCAGGAATCATCGTGGCCTCACAGAAACCCCTCATGGTTCGCTTAGGGGTTGATGAGAATGCAAAACTTGCACACAACAGCCAGTGACTCAGGCAAATTAGAAAACTTGGCCGGGATTGGTGTGCTACCAGTTTTAGACTGCCACTTAGGGCGCGTCGGTAGGCAGACCGCTACATGTTTGCCGCAGAGCCTGCCCGCCTCATCACGGCACACACGCCTCACACCAAAGCCTTTTCCCCTTAAGACATTATATCCCTTGATCGTCTGCCTTCCGGGGTCATGGGTTCACATTCAATCAGTTTATCAATAAACAAGAGAAGAAGATCTTTGCAAAACATTCCCTCGACTATCTAGCCTCATATTCTTCATATTCCCAATAGTAGCGTCGCGGAACTCCAACACGTCCAAACCTCAGAATCGAATCAAACCATTCCATGCCCACCGAGCCTGAAATTGTTGTCGAGGAAAGTGATATGGTCGTGAAGCGGGAATTACACACAAAATGTGTTACTGCCGGAAGACTATCCCAGGAATTGAAAGAGCTCCTCGGCGATGCTCAGTTCAAAGTCGAAGTAAGCGTAGCTTGATCGTCGAGACGGAAGAGAAACACAACTAACTGCTTTTCAAGATGCGCCATAACGTCTTTAACATCGAGTCTTCTAAAGATTTTGATATAGTACGCCCTCCTCTTACGTCATCGACAAGCCTACGGAAAATTACAGTTTGTTAACTGGACAACAGGGAATATTGTTAAAAAACTGCCAAAATAGGATGGGACTTCGTCGAAGAAAATCTCCATGCTGAGGCTTCGAACACTCGGCGACACCAACTCAGTCAGGCAACTGAGCGCTCCTGCCGTTAAAGTGAGCGAATGATCCTTATGTGGGTTTACTAGGTTTAAATATGCGGGGTTTACGGTTAGCATACAAGGTGCATATCGAGCGCAATGGGATGGACTCGAGCTTATGACCCATGGGAATGATTTATGAGAAACATTTCAGGTTGATATTCTAGGAGGCGACATTGTTTCGGTTTTTCTTACTTACTTCATTAAAATTTTCTGCTTTGGATGCGAACTGGCATTTGGGAAAGGAGAGTTAAGGGGGGCAACTCCACCTATTATACGTATAGCTCTCCCAAGAAAAACTACCTAGCGACAGATGAAAAAATCAATCTTGATAAGTGCGTTGGCTCAAAAATATTTACATTCTTCCAAGGGAAAGCTATATTGAAATGTGCTTCGATATTCTTCCCGTCCTTAGATCTTTCTGGAGGTTGGAAGTGTACCTAGATCTTGCACCACATTCTGCAGTACAGCCTGACTTTTTTGATCAAAAGAACAACGTATCCAAGATTACTGATAAATTGCAAATTCATAAACTCAGAATGTACATATCCCTCGCCTCCAGCAGAGCCGTTCTCAGCAATGCAAGTGTCTATCCTTTTCATACAAGCGGTATTTCTTCTTCAGATGTCGGTTTTCGAAGTCTGGAGGGACGGTATGTAATGAAATACCACCAGCAGCCAAGAGTAAGGAGAGTAAAAAACACAGTTATAACTATATATATCCAGAAATAAGACGACACCACTTTGCCCGGTGCACCGAACCAGTTAAAGAAAGTCATTGAGAAGACGGTCTATCAGGAAATGAAAATCAGTATTCCATCTTTAAGAAATTGAGAAGAGAGTTACTAACCGCGAAGAAAGTTCCAGGTAAGAACACCATTGTAACGATAGCAATAGATCTCATATGTCGGGAGTCTCGACCTGTAGACAAAGCAATCTCAACATTTGTTTCACCAAGAGCCTGAGAAATAAGATTAGTTCGATTTCCCTACAAGGTTCATTGTTAAGGAAGTCAAACCCATTGTGTAGCCATTGCCATTCCTTCAACTCTCATCGTACAATCTCGGATCTTGTCATCGTACTCGTTAATGATGCCTTGAATGCGGCCGCTAATCTTATCCCCAACCCGACGCAGCATTTCGTTGGAAGCTTCTGGCTCCTGCTGGACCATGAAAGGTCGCTCTGTGTCCTGTTCTGTGTCCTGAACACGCTTTTCTCTTTTCTCGTGGATTCTACGTTTGAATATCGTCTCCTTGAGTTCATCCGCGTGCTGAGGGATCTTAACCAATTGGGTGTTCCAGCTTACCAGTCCATTTCTGAGGTATGTCGTGTCTAGCCACGCAGATCGCTTTGCTTGGTTTCGTTTCTTTGTTTCTGAGTCCGGCATTCCTTCTATATCTGAAGACTGGAAGTCCAACTCAAATATCCTCGTCTCTATTTCATCAATTGTGGTTTCAACTATAGGTACGTGTCGACTTCTTTCAAGCTCTGCAAAAATTCCTGGCATTAACAGTGGATGAGAGGCCTCGGCTGTTGCAAATGATAAGCGCCTCAAGATCTCTTCCTCAACTGACAATGGACATCCAAATAGTATAGCAAAGGTCAAACCACTTTGCGGGAAGTAAGTAGCTGTCAATGCTAAGTCCATGTCCCACGCATTACTTGTACGGCAGTTATAAACTATTCAGCAAGTTAGTCTGCTCCTCAGTATCGTTTGGAATACCCCACCATATGCTGGATAAACGTGCCCCTTTTTGTCTTCCATCTGGATCTCTGCACTGAAGAAAACAGGAATATCAGCGCGACTTACGACTCGAGCTATCGAGCTATGAGTGTAGAAGTTGCTCGTGATGAGTTGGAATGTGTCTTTTGAGAATGGCAACGTCCTAACGCTGCGTTGACCACTCAGATTGGAAATCCCCAAGCTTGGATCTGCGGTTTGCAGTTCCTTACTTAATGATGAAATGGTCATCATCGTTCTTTGTGTTTTAATCCTGCCAGGCATCTCTTCGTTGACGCACTTTAACCAGTCACTATACTGAACTTTCTTCACGCTTGGAAAGGTCCGTTCTCCGGTGCGTTTTGCTAATCTTTGAGCATGTTATTAGTCTTGCTATATCCCCATCGGAGGAACAGAGTCTGCCTACATCAGTACCAGGCCCGATTCTGAACAATTGATTTGCGGACATTCCTGTATCAAAATTATCAGCGAGTGGACACTCCCCAAGTCCATCAGCCAAACACGAAACAAACGTCACGTACATTTTGAATCCAATCTTCCCATTCATCTTTCCCTTCCAAGGACCAAATTATAGGTTGCTGTGAGGTCATAAGCGTACGCCTTGATGGACAACTCTTGAGAGCCCACCTTCTCCCCAGCCAGCATCCGCACGACCGTCGTGGATTTCTCTTCATACTTGAACACATTATCGAGGTCTCTGTCGCTCAATCCTGAATTATCACGAGCCCAATCCATCACATCGCACGTGAGAGGGCCACTTTGCTACGAACGCCGTCGAGATTCGTGATGTAACGCTTCGGTGTCGCAAGGCCGCGCCTCTTAAACGAAATCGGATGAGGCTGATGGCGACCTGGCAAGTTCGCCGAGTAACTGCGCCCTGAATAGTGAGGACTGGACGATGCAGTGCTATAAAACTACCGACAGTTCGTTCGTTCGAACAATGTGCACCGAAGCTGTCATTCCTCGAGAGAGATTTTCCGAGGCAACTTTCCGACTGCACAGCCCCAACCAACGCAGCCAGCCAGATTAATGGCGGCCCATGCTTGTAAGACAGGCGAGATTTTCGCCCAAAGGTGGCGACCACTGGACAACCCATTTCCTCCCCAAAAACTCCTACCACCCCACTTCATCTGGCTAAATCGGCATCAGAACAATTCATCTAGAGCTTCAACGAAGAACATTATCTACTTTGTTCTTCGTAAACTGTCCTCCATCAGACCCTGCGAGATGCCGATCGTCGTCATCCGGGCCACATATATGGAGCAGAATGCTCTGGAAATTTTCCTCACGGGGCTTTTTGGGCCGGGACAATCTCAGGTCACTGTAAGAAGGCCAACTCAAAGTGACTGCGGCGGTGACCACTAACGAAGTTTGATAGTGGAAGCGTGGCAGGTATCAATGCCAGATACCTCGATCTTTAACGGAGGTATGTTGTGGATACCTGTCTTCCTTGCTCTCATCGTGGCGATTTTATCCGTTGCTGACTGATGCGCTGGTGAAGGAGGAAAGCCAGAAGCTCCATGAGGCAATTGAACACTACGAGTAATGATAAGGAATGTCGTCTTCGCGATTTTCACGTAGTTGTCGATGCAGATGATGGGACATCATTGATGCTTGGCAAGAGAGTCAAGGGGAGCCCAGGCATTTGGGAAATGTACCAAGAATGTTCCCGCAAGGACACCAACCAGAAAGCACTAAGAGAAGGAATTCATTTACTACAAAAGGACTGCCCCATCATTGCCACTAGATACAAACCCAGAAAGGGAATTCGCTGAACGTCCACTACCTACCAAATTACTTTGCAGTGTGAGAAAGGATGTCTTTTTTGGAACACCATGACAACCCGAAACTTCCCACAGTTCGCTCAAAATCAAGCGACATAGCTCATAATTCAGTCAACCTTGAAACTTGTCCAGCCTATCGAACTGGTCTGGTCGTATCGACTTCCGAGTCGCTGACCCCTGGTACGTTTGAATATTCGGCTTTTTATCTCTGATTTCAGTTTCGGCAGCCTCGCTGGGAATGATATCGACACCAGTCCCATATCTCAAGAGTCTTCGTTGAGGAGCACCTTTCGTACAGTATTCCAAATCGCTGTCATTCATGCACTTCGATAGCAAGTCTCCAAACTTTTTCTTTAGCGGCCCAGACTCGGACCTCTTTCGCTCCTGAGATAGGACAACAAGCATCTCGGCTTCGATAATATCAAGAGCATCATGAATAAATTGTGAGCATCTCTTGTCGTTATGCATATCGTGAATCCACTTCCAACTTGTCAGTGACTGGCAGAGGCAATCGCAAAACGGAGGGAAGACTCAGGTGAACTTACCTGCGATACTTCATCCTTCACTTGAGCAACAAGAACGTCAGGCTGCTCAGGGTGTTTTTTTAGAACAAAGAAAATATTGTTTCTTGAGCCTGTGATGCTATACACAGTCGTTCGCTTCTCCTCGAACTGGTCCCTGAGGTCCGACCCTCCGAGAAGCCATGTCAGCAGTTCCAGGAATAGACAACCGAGGGTCCATATATCATAGGCTCGAGAGATTTTACCACCCTTAACATCGCATTCCGGCGGACTGTAGCCAGGAACTCTAGGGACGTTGTACCTCGCAAGGCCCGACCGACTGGTTTCACGATTCAAAGCGGACAACCCCATATCAGATATGACCAGAATTCCTCTTGGATCGCTACAGGTGTCGAACCAAAGGATGTTGTCTGGCTTGATATCGCCATGCCTTCCATACTTCTTCTCAACCAAACCATGCAGGCTCACAGATTGTGGCTCATGGATAGCATCTATTCCAGCCATGATCCCCGAGCACTGCTTAGCAACCCATCGAACTGAGGTAGTGTCCATCTTAGGGTTTCGCTCTTTGCGTTCCCAATATGCGTCAAGGTCAAATTCCGCATATGGAAATAGGAAGTAGAAGCGATTTTGATACTTCAAGGTTGCCAACAACGTGACAAGGTGATTATTGACCAACCCGCTGAACCGTTGCAATTGTTCGGATTCTTTTCGGAACTTTGCTTCGTCGTTGTAGTCCTTATCATGAAGCTTCTTCAAGGCAAAACGACTGTCGTTCAGGCGAATAACCTGCCAGGTTTGTATGAGCTCTATCAGACTGTCTCTGTAGTAAGGTGGATCAACTTACATCCTTGAGGACTTCGCTAAATCCATGACTTGAAGAGTCAATTCTGATACAGGACACATCTGCGAACCCCCCTTCGTGCACCGAAGACCACGATGAGCGCCCCGGCTCTGGGGATATGAGTGAGCGTAAATTCCCCTTTCGCCACGGCAAGATCGCACTGTCATCCAAATCGTAATGCCTTGCTTTGTTGCTTGGGTCGAGGTCGAAGTAGGGTACGAGAGTCTCCCACTGAGTTTGCTCAAACCACGCCCTTTCGTGGGGATGCCATTCCTCAAAGACTTTGAGAGGTTGATGGGGATCCTTCTTGGAGCAAAGAATATGTTCTCCTTTTCGTGAGCCCTGATGCCGGCAAACAGGGAGCTTTTCATCAGAAACTTCTTCTCTTATAAAGTTGCCAATTTGGTCGCCTTTTTTGGTCAAGACCAACAGTGCGAAGATTCGGAGATATGTTTTGGCTTCAAGAGGCTCCGAATCCACTTCGTCGTCCGGTCGGATATGTTCCACGCAGCTCTCAGCATTCTCCAGCTGAGTGTACTTCCTCAGCTCAGTCTGAATCCGGTTTCGAGATAGAATATAGAGCAGCCGTTCCCACGACCAGAATCCTGGTTTAGGATCTTCGATCTTCCATTCTCTTAGCAGCTGGTCCAATGGTGTGCTGTCGTTCTCAGCAATCCTGGGGAAATCATCGCCTGCAGGTGGCAATGAGAAAGTGGTGGAACCTCGGTACTTCAATCCGTCGATGAAGATATCTGGTCCAGCCATACTTGTGTGAAGTGAGATAGAAAAACGAAGAGGTATTTTGGGAGAGCTAAAGGCATCCAGTGCGAGGTGCGGTCAATATAAGCAAGTAAACAACGCAGTTTCTCAGCTTCAATTTCTGTGCCGTGTTGCGATGCATCTACTAATACCTGCAGATGCATGATTGCATGGAGGACTGAGACTCTAGATGTGGGCGGGATGGTGCACTATCTTGTTGTAACACAAGGAGAACGTGGGGATCTACCTTTCGAAATAAAACTGTCGAAATACACCAGACGATTGCCATACTAGATGGAAGCGCTGTCAGTACTTTTTCATCTTCCTTTTTCTGCGTAATTGCATTTCTAAATCCAACAACTCTTCTCTGAATTCTTCCTAAGTCAATACGTTGGTATTTTTGATTCAAAAGATTTAGAATTTGAACATAACGAGGATCGAGGTCTTTAACGATACGAAGGCGCGTCCGTTTCGCTAAGCGAGAGTTCTGAAAATCATTCCCTCACCTTTAAAAAATCGTAATAAAACCCCCTAAAAGTTTAGAACCACGAAACCGTGACAAAAGATACTTTGACTTCTTCTCTACTACATAAAGCTTAATTTAAAGCATTCAGACTTAGTAGTGCTACGATGCGCAATTTTCAAAAACTAGATATTTTGCTGTTATTTGCCTTAGGCGAAAACGGACGGATTTCGGTTCGGCGCGCCTTCGCATGCACCGATAGGAAGGGTGACAGCTTGCAGAATGTAGTGCATCGATTTGTGTGATTGGGACAACACCATGTCTGCTGCAGTGCTGCATGACGCCAGGTAATCAAAGGTTGCAGACCGGTTGTGATTTCCCCAACGCCACAGCAAGGCCCAGATCGTACTCGGCGACGGAGCCTCAATTCTAAAGTCGGGCCGGAGAAGGCATGACATCAGAGTGTTCCTATTACCAGCATCCCTACTTCGACGTACCGCTTTGTTTAGTAAATCAAGAGAAGATGCAACTCAGGATCCTCTCACCAAGTCACTTACTTGACTTTAGTGGCATTGAGAAATTGGCTATCTCTCAACCAGACGAAGATAACTGTCTTCCTTTCCTAACATTCTTGAATTCGACGGATTCTGTTTTGTTGTGAGATGGGGGGGAAGAGCAGCCACAATGCAGATCACTGTATGAAACCGGATGGAATCCCGGACTCAAAACGCCACGAAACATAGCAACATGTCAAGCGGGGAAATGACATGCCAGCAACGGGGAAAAAGTAAAAAACGGGCCCCTTCACCCCCCCTTCCCCCCCTGATGTCGATTAGGGGTGTCGATGCAGAATCTTTTTTGGGGCTTAGCGCTCGGCATTTCCCGAGTCCATTACTAAGGAACCAATTTAGCCTTAGAATCGCACACAACCCCCCCCTCCCCCGATATTAAATAGGAGTTTTAATAGATTTTGGAGTTTTGATAACACCGAATTTATTACTTGTACTTACTTAAGCCTTTCTCTCAAATCAGATTTCGTAATATAGGTATAAGGAAGTTTATATAAGAGCTCTAGTTTTGGGACGAGGCAATTATTGAGCACGAGGCAAATAAGTTCCAGGTGCTTGATCGCTAAATTTCCAGGCTCTCTTAAGGCCTGAAAAATTCTAACTTTTTTTTTATTTCTTAAAACCCCCTCCCCCAGTAATTAGATATTAAATTTCTTATATTTTATTAGCTTATAAATAGACGTTTTATAATATAAATTTTATAATATAAAAAAGATTTATGTTATAATAATTCCTTATAAAATTAAATTAAAAAAAATTTAAAAAAACCAGAGTTTTAGTATCCTATTCAAGCGCCTGTTATACTATTAAAAGTTCTTATACTATTGAAGTTAAATAAATGCTTAGCAAGATTATAGCCATATACAATGCCATTGAACTATAAAGCTAAATTACTAGTCACGTGTAACTGTGGTCCAAAATCAGCACCGGCAAGGATCCTTATAAAGTTTAATAGAGTGAGCGAGAATGGATCTCATTACAATGTTATAATAGATTAGAAAGGTGGCAGTGCCCTAGGCTAATAGGCATCAGCAAGATTTATATTCAAATGATTTGGAAACTCTAACCCATTCTCTAGGGAGCCAAAAGAAGATCCCCTGAGCATAATCCAGCTGACATATCGGCTTGCTCAGGGGCTCGGGGCTCGGCTCAGGTTAGAGCAGCGACTACTCCGGTCCAAAGACGGAAGTAGGCTTTAGAGAGGTCCAGATTCGACTGAGATTATATCGGTAGTCATCAAAGTTGATCTTAATAGGCACTAATTCCAATATTCGATAGACCGATTCCTGGCAGTAATCAGCTATGAATTCACCTCAGGCATGGCTTCGTAACTCCTATAATTTTATTCTCACGCCTAGTCCTTCTAATCGTTCCCTTGCCATATCGGATTCGCAGATGGTCATAACTCTCTAGGTAGCATCTCCGCGCTCAAGAGTGGGTAGAGTTCGCACAAGAACGAATCTATTGCCACCTTGAAATGACCCTCGTAGCCCTCGTCTTCCTTTGAATTCGTAACGTCCACCCCAATCAGGTACGGTATTTCGCCACCCTTCTTGTTAAGTACGGATGCAATGACGTGCCTGTCGACTATCATACACATGTTCATATCCAAGCCTGGCGGGATCTGGCCTGCCGATCTTATTGCATGGTAGCACCTAGCTCAATTATCAGCACTCCCCAAACCAGAGAATCTGTGCTCGATAGAGTGAGAAAAAGGACACACCTCTTCACATCCGCCACGCTTGCCCCTACCAGCGCCGGATCCTCCACCGACTTGAAGGACAATTTGTCCTTCACTGCCTGCACGCCGGCCTCACTTTCCTTACTCATCTGCACATCGCACATCTCGTCAAACACTATTTCTTGGAACCTGTCCCACCGTGCCTCGTCCGAATAGTCCGTTCTGAAGATCACATAACCCCATTCTGGGAAGCCTGCACGCTGAACGGCTTGCACTAATGGCGAGGGATTGTTTGCGGCTATGGACAGCGTTGTGGAGTGAGGAGCAGGTTCGGGAGCGTTGTCTTGACCGCCGCTTTTTGCCTGCACACGAGCGGCATGAGCGGCGTGGTCTGCTTTTCGGCTCTCGGAGTAGCGAGTGAGTTCCTGCGTTATCGTTTTAGCTGTATAAGAAAAAGACGGGATGATGATGTCGACATACTTCTGGAGAGAGGGATGCGAGGTCATTGACGCTTGGGTTCAGGACGCGCTGAACCGTCCAGCCGGGGGGAATATAGGATGGTGGGGTGGGTGGACGTCGGTTTGCAGACCGTTCCTAGGTTTCGAGCTTTACGTACGCGAGGCAGGCGGCAGACCACGGGTCGCGGAGGACGCGCTCACGGAGGAGCGTGCGTTCCTGAGTTCGAGGTCAGTGGGAGGGCGGGGCGGGGCGGAGTTGAGGGGCGGATGGACTTCTTGTGGGAGAGCTGCAAATTCTTCCACGGCGGTGTTTTCAAGACGCTCGAGGCCCCATCCCGGTGGAAATTCGATCGATGCCATGTTAGGAGGTTTGTGCGGTAATGTTAGAGTCGAAGAACGATTTCGGAGGAGGCGTTCCTGGAGTGTTCGGGGTTCAATTGGGCTAGTTAGTGTCTGGGGCGCAATTTAACTCCCCGATTTTGCAGAGGCCCATTCCATCCCAGGCGAGTTGACTGGGCCGAGGGTGAGCCGTGGGTGATGAGCGCCTGAGCAAGAGCGACAAGCTTACAAACTCCACATGGAACTCAAGAAGAAGAAAATTGATTCGTGATACCTCCTCATTGGCTTAAATGGTCTTTCACACTAACCTTTTTGAGCCAAACCAGCGAGGCCCAGAAATAGAAATAGTTCACGCTATTCCTTTCCCAGCAAAAGCGACGAGCTCTCGCTTTGGCATCACGTTCCTGAATCACTGCTTATGTCAACCTTTCCCATCTTTGCTTGTGAATACCTTCTATCTCGGATTTTCAGCTTCACCTTCTCCTTAACTCCTCTAAATCAGTCATCCTTCGAACCTTGCCTAGATCATACCGACGGAATTAACAATCATGAGCATGGCTTTAGCTACAGAAGATGGATATAAAGGCAACCTTCCCCTGCTGTCCTATATCCAGCATTCAAATACAACAAATCACTTCATAACCTCTTTATCAATTCTCGATAACTTCACCGATTTTAACGTCAACAATCACAATGCCGTTCGCCATGCCTGTCCCCTCCTCCCTCCAAAAGTCACTCGGCACAACAAAAGTCGAATACATCCGCCTAGGCTCCTCTGGTCTTCGCGTCTCGAGCCCCATCCTCGGCGGAATGTCTATTGGCTCTAAGCAATGGGCTCCCTTCATGCTCGAAGAGAAAGAAGCGTTGGAACTCCTCAAAGCGGCTTACGATCGAGGCGTGAATACCTGGGATACAGCGGCTATGTACTCCAACGGTATCAGTGAGGAGATCTTCGGCAAGGCCATCAAGCAGCTCAACATCCCTCGTGAGAAAGTGGTGATATTGACGAAGTGCTATAATCATGTTGCAAAAGAGCCAGGGTTCATGGCGCCGGCGTTCTTTAACCAAATGCAGCAGAGCAAAGATTATGTTAATCAAGGTGGTGAGTGCTGCAGTCGCAGAAGAGATTATTCGGCAGTAGAAGGTTGACGAACACTGCAGGCCTCTCTCGCGCCGCAATCTTCAGATCCGTCGAAGCATCTCTAAAAAGACTGGGCACCTCCTACATCGACCTGTTCCAAATCCACCGCTACGACCCGGATACACCCATCGAAGAGACCATGAAAGCGCTCCACGATCTCGTGCAAGCCGGCAAGATCCTGTACATCGGCGCCTCATCGATGTGGGCCACGCAATTCGCGCGCATGCAATTTGTTGCCGAGAAGAACGGGTGGACGAAGTTTGTTAGCATGCAGAATTACTACAACCTCTGCTACCGCGAGGAGGAGAGGGAGATGAATCGTTTCTGCAATGAGACGGGAGTTGGGATTCTCAATTGGAGCCCGCTTTTTGCGGGCAGGCTGGCGAGACCGGTCGGGTATGATGAGTCGCCACGCTCGAAGAACCCGACGCCGCATGATAATGGGTTGACGAAGGCGGATGAGGAGATTGTGAATAGGGTGGAGGAGTTGGCAGGCAAGAAGGGGTGGAAGATGAGTCAGGTGGCGCTTGCGTGGTTGAAGAGTAAAGGGACTATTCCGATCGTGGGATTCAATTCGGTCGGTCGGATTGATGAGGCTTGCGAGACGCGCGGGAAGGAGTTGACTGCTGAGGAGAGGAAGTATCTTGAGGAGCCATACGTGCCGAAGAATGTTGCTGGGCATTTCTAGCCGTCGAGTTATGACGAATGGCCGTCAATGCTAGTTGATTTACTCTCAACGTAGTCTTCAATTTCAATCTTCGTCTTTTCAGCCCTCATTGGCAATTTTTGGTGTGCCAATAATCCCAAGAATCCGTCGAGAACTGAGTTCGACGATCAGAATCTGAATTCGCCTTGTTCCACAACAGACTCAAGAACGGCATCTCCTAAGGACTTCGCGACAATCTTCAATTTTCCCTTTAGCCACTGTCTCTGTGACTCTGTGATATATTCGCAACTGACGGCGACAGTGAGAGGCCAGGCAAGGAGCCCTGCCACCTTGGGGAGGATCTCATCATCGGTCGTGATGGTGAACTTTCCAAGCTGGAGAGTTCTTAATCCTGTAGGATCGAGAGAATTAAAGAAGAACAGCACACCAGCACACAAATCGGCTGTCAACAATTCCATATTATTGCGGCATGCCTCTTGTTGTATAACGACCAAGGAACGCTGGGATGGGTAGTCCAGGGTTTCGAGCTGATGTGAAAGGGACCGGAGACGAATGCTGTTAACAATGAGTTGGATGGCGCGGTACCGATTCCAGATCGCGGCATGACCATGCGTAAAATATGTATGTAGGGTGTTGCTGTAAACGTGGCCTCTCCCATTCAAACTTTCAGATGAGAATCGGGTAGAAAACGTCCAGTCTTCGGGAAGGCTTTCGGACCACGAGGCGATGGCGCTGTGAAGCTCTAGCGCTTTGATTGCGACATCTTCGAAAATTTGTGTATCAAAAGGAGGATCGAGACTTTCTCTAGAGAGTAGGAACATAGACTTGTTTCGCAAAGTCGCTACCCGAACCATGAAAGCATCGACTTCGAGAGCGGGCCCTTCTTCTCCATAGTCTCCACCACTTTGGAGGAAGTCGGGAACAGGAACACCACGGAGGATGCAAGTTCGGATCTGATATAGAAACTAAGTCAGACCACTACCGAACCCAGCGAAGCAGGTAATAGTCGGTTGACTTACTACTTGTCGTCTGACGACTCTGTGGAGCGGCAAATATGGCGGACGTCCATGTTCCTGTCGAAGCTTCAGAAGGGCCAAGGCTCCTTCGTGATGGCAAAGGCTTTGCCAAAGCCGTGATCCGACCTCGTCAACAGCGGAAGAAGGATGAGGTATCTGGATTCCATACATGGTATTCTGCAAATTGATCAGCAGCCGCAGTGTCCCTAAGGCCCCACCCTGCAAGCTCACCTGATAACTGCTCATAAGCATGGTTGTAACGAGGAGCTGGTCGATATTTTCATCAGGTAATTGTTCAAAGTCCTCCATCTCTTTCTGCATGGTCACGATGGCTTGAGAATGAGCCCTGGCCGCATCCTCGAGAGCCTTTTCCATACGATTCGCTCGTCCAAAGACGGCATGCGAATAAGCAAAGAGGCCCAGATGCAAACCCGATCCCGGCCGAGCACGAGCCCAATGGAAGATAACATAAGCATTGTACTCATGTCCGATATCAGGTAGATCTTTAAGCCGAAACATGAAATTCTCCAACCAGTAATGAAAAGCTTGGACGTCCACGGCGTGAGAAGGTGCTGCTGGGATACTCAGAGGTGCAAGGCTCGGGAAATCTACCGGTTCGGATACCAGTTCCTTTACTTTCCTCGGCCGTCTAGGTTGGCCTCCAGCAAATGAATTCTCGATCTTGAAATGCAGGCCCGTCTCAGCAACGTGATCATTCGGATCCCATTTGCAGGTCCGACCCGCCTTCTTGCATCGACTGCATATCGGCTGCACAGCGTCACACTGGTTGGCAGGTTAGCCCAAAGTGCATTGCCAACATCTCCGCCTGTGAAATTTACCTTGACATGGCGGCTCTTACACGTCTGACAGCGGAAGACCATGGTGGGGTCGTCGATGCGGGGGAGCAGAGACTAAATGGTATGGCATGAGAGAGAGCATGCTGGATCGCGTATTCCCAGCCACGGGAGTCTTAGTGATGGCAGGAAAGATTGAATTTGATATTGATGGGAGGCAGGTAGGTCTGGGCGAGCGTGAAGGAGGTAGCTGGAGGGGAGTGGAGATGATAACCGGTAAACTCCTAAATCCGGTTGTCGTGCCGACTAATCAACCCCAGAGACTCTTGCTCGCTAAACCTTAGGGGTTCTGCCCCTGAAATTCCGGCCTTGTGCCTCCAATTCATGGTCACTCGTCAAGGATTGTCCTGATCATATAAATAACAGTGTGTGAATTCTTAACTCGGATTAGAGGCGATTTCGTACTCTCTCAGAGCCTTCAATCAAATTCATGGTTCTGCACATTCAATATAGCTAATATCCAATACCGAGGGTCTAATATCTCCCGCACTTTTGATTATCGCACATATGATACGCAAACAGAGCCTCAACTTTGGCCTGGAGCCTGCACACAGAACCGGAATATAACCGCACTCAACGAAGTATCTCGGATTAACATCCCACCTCAAGCCTGAACATCCTGCCACCATCCCACCAATGACAGAAAACTTATTTTGGCTGCCTGGTAACTCGGCTAGAATGTCCTTATCAAGAGTTCCACGAAAGGGACTTCTAGCCCCCTGGCAGGAGCTCGCGAGCGCCGAGGCCAGTTACCGCCCCAGCCGCGTAATCCCCACCAAAAAATAAACACTCTGGAGCAACCTTCTGGGCCTTCTGGATATTATCAACGCATTCTCTGATAACCGCGGTCTTTAAGATTTGGTTCTGAGAAGCAGGAGAGCATTCTGGCACATCTGAACATTGCCTGCCTAACCGGTTCACCATTCCTCCGTCTTACTCGCTCATACATTACGCGTATCCTTTAGTCTTCTTTGTTCAGCCACACCACACACCGATGCGATCTCGCCATCTCTAAGTGTTCAAGCGTCGCTTCAGTAGGACATACCGATGCTCGAAGAGCTACAAACCTCGAGTAATGGTTCTTTCTCAACTCCACTTTCTCTCTCCCGACCTCCCCGCGTCGTCCTCGATCTTAATTATTGGTTCCTCCTTGCAGCTGCTATTATACGCCAACCCTTCCAATATATCTTGGCATACTTGACAATTCAAAAATGTGAATTCGCTTAGCTCGAGGTAATTCGAGCAATGAGAAGTTGAAAGGGTCAAAGAGTGTATTTCTTCCCGCAATAGAGTTCGATCCCCCAACCATCAACCACAATATCGACTGCAACCCAAGCACCATCCACGGAAGTAATTGCCTCTGGCTTTGCGTTCACATTCCAGCAATCATGGATCCTGGGCAGGAAGCCGCCGTTCCTCATCCAGCAGCAAAGGGAGGCTCACACAATCCAGAAATTACCACGGTGGATATTTCTCCTTCGCAAGCGGATCAAGGTCTGTCAAAAATCGAAGATCCAGATGAACAGCAAATCGACTATTCGAGCAAAGCGGAGAATAGGTCTACTTGGTCCGACTACATGCGGATCTTCACCTACTCGACTTTGACGGACAGAATACTGCTGGGCATCGCATTCGTCGCCGAGATAGCGACGGGCTGTACTCTCCCTCTCATGAATATTGTCTTCGGCCATCTCGCAACCCATTTCAGTGCCTACTTCACATTTGGCAGCACGACGACGAAAGCTCAGTTCCTTCACATCTTGAGCCAGCAGACGCTATACATTGTGTATCTCTTCATCGGAAGATGGGTGTTGAGCTATATCAGCATGCTCATCTTCCGCATGGCAGGTCTTCGTACGTCTGCCAAGCTTCGGTCCACATATCTAAAAGCGCTCTTCAGCTTGCCGGTTCAGGTTCTGGACACCCTCCCCAGCGGTCAGGCATCGAATACGATAACTAGCACGGCTAACGTGATTCAAGTCGGGATATCGGATAGGTAAGGATATTTGATTCTTTGTCTTCTCTCCTGAATCATTGTTCAAGTCCTGTACTCCGTTTGCTCAATGTTCTTCCTTGCCTGACTGCTTATGACCTCTTATTTCAGACATTATTGGTAGGGAAATGCTGATCCCCCAATTATCTAGGCTAGGGATCCTCATCCAATTCATCTCCCTCTCTATCGCAGCAATTGTTGTCGCCTTCACATTCTCATGGGCTCTTACGCTAGCCACACTGTCGATCGTACCATTTATTAGCCTCTCCTACGGAGTTGTCATACCAGTGATCCTCAGGATGAGCAAGCAAGTTGAGCATGCCGATGGAAAAGCATCGTCGATTGCTGGAGAGGTCCTCGGATCCATCCGAATGATTGTAGCCTGTGGAGCCGAAGAACGAATCGCTAGGAGATACGCGGGATGGGTCGAAGAGTCGAGACGTCGTGGTCTGAAGATTTCGCCATTCTTGGGACTCCAATACGTGCCTCCTTACTTTGCCGTGTACTCCACAATGGCTCTGTGCTTCTGGTTCGGGTTCAAGCTGTACCGTGAATATCACATTGACAGTGTAGGGACGATCGTCATTGTTCTTACATCTGTAATGATGCTTGCCTTCTCAGCTGGGCAGACGGCTTCTCCCATAGCAGCTGCTTCTAAAGCCGCAAGCGCTGCTGGTGACTTCTTTGCAATTAGTAAGTAACCATTAGAAGCGCTTTGGCTCTTTTCACACAGCCCAAATGAGCAACTGCTAACTTGCATACGTACAGTCGATGCCCCTAAACCATCTACGGCAGGGCTCAAAGAACCTGCCGTCTCAGCCCATGACGAACTCCGACTTGCATCTGTCACCTTCGCATATCCGAGCCGGCCTCATGTAAAAGTCCTCGACGATCTCAATGTCAGTTTTGAACCAGGAAAGATAACTGTCATCGTTGGAGCTTCCGGTTCGGGAAAGAGCACAATCGTGGGGCTTCTTGAGCGCTGGTATGAACTGAGTGATGCAAGTCGAGTTGTGCTTCCGGCAAGTCGTATGGAAAGGAATGGCGAGAAGGAGAGCAAGTCAAAAGATCATCAAGATGCCACAGAAGAAAATGGAGAGGCTCCTGAACCTCCCATTGCTTTGAGTGGCTCAATCTTCGTTGGCGATAAGAACATCGACTTTGTCGACCTGAAATGGTGGAGATCACAAATTGGTCTCGTTCAACAAGAGCCGTTTATCTTCAACGACACTATATATAGGAACGTTGAATACGGCTTGGTTGGCTCTCAGTGGGAGAAAGAAAGTCCTGAAATCAAGAAAGGTCTCGTTGAGGAAGCCTGCAGAGAGGCATTTGCAGATGAGTTTATAGACAAACTTCCACAGCGCTACCAGACTCACGTTGGTGATGCCGGCATCAAGCTTTCTGGAGGCCAGCGCCAGCGGCTGGCTATTGCCAGAAGCATAATCAAGCGGCCGAAGATTTTGATTCTAGATGAGGCAACGAGTTCCATTGATGTGCGTGGAGAGAGACTCGTACAAGCCGCCTTGGACAAGGCCAGTGAGGGCCGAACAACAATCACCATTGCTCACCGCTTGTCAACGATCAAAAAAGCGGATAAAATTGTGGTCTTGCACAAGGGGAAGGTCGTCGAGGAAGGGAACCACAAGAGTTTGCTCTCAAATCTCGACGGCGTTTATTGGGCTCTGGTGAATGCCCAGCAGTTGTCTATGGACGAGCCATTCCCGGAAGAGGAGGCAGGCAGAATCCAAAGCTCAAACCCTTTAGCGCGAGTACAGAGTGAGGGGAGTGGAAAGGCGAACGATATGGAAGTCGAAGCGCCGTATAAGCCCAAATCATTCTTTGGGAGTTTTGGTCGTCTCATGTATGAACAACGCAGCCAATGGCAATGGTAAGTTAACAACGCCTATTCCCGCCCCAAATATCCCCGAAACTCTCACTTTCTTCACATGCTTTAAGAGTTGATAACTCAAGGAACGTTGTCCCCATTCCAATTCCGATATTCTTAGCAGTCCTGACGGGAAGCCTTTGACCTCTAGGTACGTTTTATTAGTGGTGACATGTATGGGAGCCGGCGGTGAGTCTCTCTACTTCCAAGATCATATGCTATATGCTAACGGCAAGACTTAGCCGCCTTCCCAGTTCAAGCCTACCTCTTTGCTCAATTAATAACCGTCGTGGAGCTGATCGGCCCAGCTCTTATCAACGCGATTGCACACTGGTCATTGATGTTTGTCGTGCTTGCAATTTGCCTTGCGTTTGCCTACTACTGGCAAGGATGGTCGTCTAACCAGGTCTCCGTCAATGTTTCTTGCACGTATCGCCAGCAGTACTTTGAGAGCATCTTAGCCAAACCGATCTCGTTCTTCGACGCAGAGGACAATTCCAGCGGAACACTGACCGGCCGAGTGGCGAATGACCCGACGCAGTTGCAGCAGCTTCTCGGCGTCAATATGGCGATGGTCTTTCAGTCTATTTTCAGTCTCATAGGCTGCATCATAATTGCGTTTGTCTTTGGCTGGAAGCTTACGTTGGTCGCTGTATTTGTTGCACTCCCGATTATTATGGTCGGAGCCTTCTTTCGCTACCGGTTTGAAGTCGAATTTGAGAAGATGAATCAGGAGGTGTTCGCCGAAAGCTCCAAAGTAAGTTACCCAAGCAGGATGTTCAGGTTATGCAAGCATCTGTTAACTCTCTACAGTTTTCCGCTGAAGCCATTGGAGCCTTTCGCACGGTCACATCATTGACGCTAGAAGACACGATCACCGCTCGCTATGATGTCTTGTTGCTAGGCCACCTGGATAAAGCCTTTAAGAAGGCGAGGTTCTCCAGCATGATTTTTGCTTTAAGTGATAGTGTAAATTTGTTGTGTATGGCGCTGACATTCTATTATGGTGGCAAATTACTCGCTTCGCGAGTGTACGGTGCTGCAGCCTTCTTTGTGGTTTACATCGCTGTAATCAATGGTTCTGAGAGTGCTGGGGCATTTTTAAGCTTTGGACCAAGTAAGTCAACTTCTTTCCCACTTTGCATACCCCCAACAGAATAGTTGTCATCAACTAACCATCACCTCCGCGCTGCAGATTTTGCACAAGCTGCACAAGCGGCGAATCGAATCCTCAGCTTCAAAATTCCCACAAAGCGAAAAGACAAGGCAACTTCAGAGCTCCAGGATACAGAAGGAGGTGTCAAGATAGAGTTCCGCGACCTATGGTTCAAATATCCCACACGAGATATTCCGATCTTCACTGGTCTCAATTTGACCGTGAGCCATTCCCAACTGAAATTCTCTTCAAATACTGATAATGACCTAAAGATTGAGAAAGGGCAATTCGCTGCCTTGGTCGGTCCATCCGGGTGCGGCAAAACCAGTGTAGTTTCCCTCCTCGAAAGATTCTACGAACCCCAAAAAGGAAAAATACTCTGCAACGGCACCCACATCGCCGATATCGACGAGAAAGAATACCGCAAAGCCATCTCCCTCGTCGCACAAGAGCCGATTTTGTATCAAGGAACGATTCGAGAGAACATTCTACTCGGTGTAGCTGAAGCAACTACTCAGGAGGCATTGTATGAGGCCTGCCGCGAGGCCGAGATCCACGATTTCATTATGTCGTTACCAGACAGTTATAACACAGAAGTTGGCACGAAAGGCATCAATCTCTCCGGTGGCCAGAAACAGCGGATTGCTATTGCACGGGCGTTGATCCGTAATCCGAAGATACTGCTTCTCGATGAGGCGACGTCGAGTCTCGATAGCGAGAGTGAGAAGTTGGTGCAAAAGTCTTTTGAGAAGGCGGGGAGGAAGGGCAGGACGATGGTTGTTGTGGCTCATCGGTTGGCTACCGTGCAGAATGCGGATGTTATATTTGTTATGGGGAACGGGAGGGTGTTGGAGAATGGGGATCATCATGCGTTGCTGAGGGAGAGGGGTGTTTATTATCAGATGGTGAGTTTTCGCTTGCCTGTTGCAATATGCGGTCTCTTAATGAAGTGCACACAACTTACTTGTCATACAGTGCCAATCGCAAGCGCTAGATCGATGAAAAGCTAGCCCGTTGAACTTGTGCCTTTACTGCCCCTAAATATAAAGATTTATACTCAGCGATCTGAAAGTTACCTTGCCATCTAGGGAGAGATTTGCAATGGACATAGGGAGGGCACAATAAATATTATAATATAGCTATTTATAAGCATGTTCCACTTAATAACGTAAACTTCTGTCTCCAAGCGCTGGGAGCCATAAGCGGCGGCTATGAACGCCCAACGATGAGCCCGCCACAACGAGGAGAGATCACTGGCAGTACGCTCTAATACTCCATCATAATCACCACAGAAGTACCTTACTACGATGTCATCCAAAATGATATTTGTGTCTTGGTCCCTGGGGTCACCACTGGGCCCTACATCCGGCCACGTTCCCAAACTCTCCGCCAAGATATGAGCGAAGGTCAAGCTAGAGTCCCTTTGCATCTCGACATCGGAGTCCTTGACACCAACATTTGCGAGCCTCTAGAAGACGTTCTCATTGATCTGTGGTACTATGATTCTACCGGTTCTTACTCGTCTTTTGAAGCCTTGTGACCCAATCCCCTATTCGAAGAACTCCTCAAAAAGCTGAACATCACAGATGTAGCACATGCAGACTTGCACATTGGCAACACCACTTTCCTCACAGGAATGTGGCCTATTGATGCGAATGGCAGGATGGAAATAAACACCATTTCCCCCGGATTCTACCTTAAGAGAACTATCCACGTCCACTTTCGGGTCCACAGCAACTGGGTGATTCGCAGGAACGGAACGGCCGTCAGCGATAACACGATTTCTACTAGAGGGATATTCCTTGATGAGGATTTGTCTGAATGGATTACGGCTTTGGAGCCGCATGTCGGCCATACTCAAATAAACACCAAAATCAATGCTGTTCTATGTTTCCCCTTTCGACGAGGAGTGCCAATTAGCCAAGAAGCTGATTTATAACAAATCCGATCTACTTGTCGGAAATTATCGACGGGCTTAATCCGATTATGTCTGTGGCTCCTCTTGGTGGAAAGGGTTTGAATAAGGGAATGGTTGCATATATCACACTTGGTGTTGACACCTGAATGGTCACAGAGACTGTGAGAGGTCTGGGAACTGGTGAGTTTAAATCTTCGCCTTCCAAGTGCCTGTTCGGCTTTAGAAAGTGCCATAAGAGAACGAACAGAAAATGGAAAATGTACACAAGTCATACCATACCGTCCATCATAGGCATTAATATTCCCAATATTAAATCGTCCACACCCAAATAATAAAAGCCTTCCAAGATACCATTCATCCCCTACTTTCAATTTGTCATTTTCACCCAGTCTTGAAGCACTCCTTAACAAAAGGCTCAACCAGCTCAAGAAACTCCTCCGGTCTCGAAGCAAATACCACATGCCCTGTATCTAATACCTCCAATCTCGATCCCTTGATACACTTCTGTGTAGCAATCCCAGCACTCAGCGGAGCGACCGGATCCCGCTTCCCCCAAACCAACAACGTGGGTGCCTTCAACTCTTCTGATCGGCTTCTTAAATCATGTTCCGGGCTTGGGAAACTGGACCAGATACCCGCCGCGACTTTTGAGCCTTCAATTGTCTTGGCCCTGGCAGATACCTGTTCAGCGATAGATTTATCCAGGTCGGTTTGCGGGAGCATGTATTTCCACACCAAGGATGGCATGACGAGCCTGTTAATCCATGGGATACTGAGCGGGCGCGCTACTGCCTTCAAAGCAAAAGACCACGGTATGAAGCCCCCATTGTTGATTAGTACTAGGCCTTTGACTTTCTCAGGGTGCGTGATAGCGAGCCGGGCGGCAGAGAAGCCGCCGACTGAGTTGCCGATGAAGACTGCGGGAGGAAGATCCAGGGCTATGACAAGGTCTTCAAGGGCATCTGCCAAGTGGGGAGCCGTTGGTTGGATATCGGAGGTACCAGTGGAGGCCCCGTGCCAGGGGAAGTCGATGGCGAACGTTTGGTAGTGGAGAGACAGTTCAGGGATAATGCTAGCGAAATCCTGGCTTGAGTGGAGGTTTGCGTGGAGGAGGAAGATGGGAGACCCGGTGCCGTTGACGGAGTAGGAGACATCTCCTGCGCGGGTTGCGACTGATGGCATGATTGTGTTGTTTTCCAAGAATGATTGGAATTGGATTGCGCGTGTTGCAGGCAAGTTCAGATATAGATTCCGCTATTGAAGAAAAGAGCAAGATCTGAGAAAATGGTGAAGAAGACCACTTGTCAATGAAATTTTTTGGACAAAGATTGAAAATAGCAGAACAGAAAGAACTGCAACGATTTTATAATGTTCGTCGACAGCCACCATATTCTGCTGTTGCTGTTACACGAAGCGAGGCCAACCCAATTAAAGGGGGGCGGCCTCGGAGTAATGCAAAGCCGGGCTGATTCTGGTCGTCTTAAGTCCACGGACCATAAGACCACCAGTTACTTTCCTCCGATTGTCTCATAAAACCATCCCGAAAGTTCGGTAGTCTCGAAAAGGTACCTATTACTCGAACATACCAACACTACGACGATACAGAGTCCTCCCACTTTCGGAATATTCGCAATGCCGCCTTCTCCAACAGCACCGCCAACTCGAAAATGACCGCATCGCAGCCAGAAGCAGCAATAATGTCCACTGCAACCGGCAGGACCTCTTCATGCAATGTGATCGTTGGGTTGTACAGTACTTGACGGACTAAACATTTCTCGTCAGCTCTTCACCCCAATTGACTTTGAAAGAAAAACGTACTTGGCAACACCATATCTGGAACTCCCGGGCAAAAATCGCCACACAGTAAATTCCCCATCCCGCTGGAATGACCGGTGGTTCTATATACACGTTTCTATAATTCGGTGTAGCCAAAGTCCCGGGATAAAACAACAAACTATGGAAGCACGTCTCTGGATCGGTCTTAATCACCTCGCTGTTCCACCACTCCATAAGATCACTTTGTTGTTGACGCCTTTTTTGAGCGTCGTCTGGTTGGGCAAATTCCCAACGAACAGCGGGATTCGGGTCTAGGAATGGGTGACGGCCGTCGTACGCAGCTCCATAGTCGGCGATGTTGGGCGTACCGAGGAGCGCGTATTGTTGTTTTGAGATTAGGGTGGGATAAGTGAGGTACAGGAGGTCGCTGAGGGTACTGGCATTTGTTGAGACTGCTTTGGGGCAAGAGCCCACTTCGAGTCGTCGTTGAGGATGGTGGAAGTGACATTTAGGAAGCTTTCGAGCTTTGAGAGGGAAGATTATTCATATTGTATACGTAGGATATGGAGTTACCAATCGTCACGAATACGGACGGCATCTTATCTTCGGCTTCTGCATACTAGACAGCTGGCGCCTTGGAACCCCGCTTTCGGAACATTGAAAAGTAACCGAGTAGCTGGATGGCCTTGGAATCACTGTAAGAATTTGCTTTGCAGGTCTCTCAGGCACTTCGTTTCTGGTACCTGGAGATTCCCCACCGAGTATTACCCCAAAGAAATACTGTGGAAGAGAGCCGAGAAGGCCAGTTTTTCTTTTGTATATTCCTGTGTCCATATGCAAAAAAAGGGCAACAGTTCAGGTCCTTTGCAACGCTCGCCAAAAGAAGAGGCTACACTCCTGAACAAGGGAGCGCAGGATAACTGACGTTTGCAAATATCGTCCTAATAAGCAAGTGACAGCGGACCAAGTTTATTGACATCCCATTTCTGATCCAGAAGGATTTTTAGGTCTGAACCTGGGGCTTCCGTAATCCGTATCAAGTATTTGAAATTTATGGGCTCTAAAGCCTCTAATGCAGTATTCCAGAATGGCGTGTACAGTCTCGTCTCTCCATTTGACAACGAACTCATTCTTGTTCCCTGATTTCGGTAGATTTTTCGTCCCGGTAAGCTTGAAGGTTGATTTAAGATAATGCCACTTATATGGTGGGGTATAGGATTTGGTATGGGATTGTACCATGTCGTCTGGAAGATAGCGCGCACATTTCCACTGCTGCTCCTCGATGAAGCGCTATGTCTTGTCTTTCTTAGCACAGTCTCGTCCAATTACACCCTCTAGCGGAGGTGGTATCTCATTGGGTGAACTGAAGCTCCTTTTCCACCCTTTGGTGTTCACCCATCAAGCGTAAATATGGAGAGCAGAGAAAGGGTAGGCGGAAGGTAATGAAGTGCTCGAGGAAGACTAAATGCAAAATCTGGCTTTAATAGAAAACGATGTTTGTGGTTATGGACGCTTGTCCGAAAGCCTGGAGCGCTTCACTACTCGAAGAAGCAGAAATATATTCCAGGTAATTCATTAGGGTTATACAACCTAGCCTCGATGAGTAAAACAGCCACATGGACACCTGACTGACTTAAATGCTCTCGCCTCCGGCTTGATAACAAACGAACACCTGCTAGGTGTGATGCGAACCTGCCTGGAAGGACTCGGCCAAATTAAATACAGCTTTCTGCACCTGGTGTCTCCGCCAACGCCACGCTAATCCGACTCAAATCACAAATCCCACACGAATCCAACCATTTGTACGCCAGCAATAGTCCGTATAAACTTTTGGCAATACAGTGCTGTATATCCTCAATCATAATTATCGTCTCCACCCCCTCCTTCGCCCTCGCTGTTGTCCTCGCCATTATCGAAGTACTGCTCAGCATCGTAATCCCCGCCCATAGACTCGTCGTCGAAGTTGGAGTCGACTTCTAAATCACACAATCAGTAGTTGGTCAGCAAGAGGGATGTGGTTTTGCATACCGGCATCTTGCTCCTGCTCCTCGTCGGCTTCCTCCGCATCCTCGTCTGCGGGAACAGAAAACAGCTTCTCGAGCACTCTAGCATGCTTGTCATTTGGCTTCTTGTCTTTCATCCCGGCCATCATAGCTGCTTTCTTCTCGTTGGCGCGAACGAGGTGTTTTCGGACGTCCTTGCCTGCTTCGCCTTCGAGTGCCGGCCAGAGTTCCTTGGGGAAGAGTTCCTTGTCTGCAAAAAAAATCAGTTTTTGGAGGAGTATTTCAACATGACAAACATACTGAATGGACGACCAGAGAGCTTAGGAATCTCATTGACCTTCGGCTGCAATCTCTGCGAGTATGTCTCAACACCGGTGAAGGGATCGAAGTCAGCCTTGGGATTGGTGCTGTATTGCCGATTGAACTGATCCTCGCCGAAGGTCTTTGCTGGTGCAGTCGCATCACGCTTCGTGGGTTGGGTATAAAGAGGCCCTCGGTGGACTTGGGACTGCAGACGCTTATAGTGGCCGATTTCCCTCTTCTCTTTGTCGGTGAAGGGCGCGGGTCGCTTGAGGTTTGGATGAGGCTGGGAGAGTCAGAAATTTGCAATACTTGAAACCTGACCAACGTACAGGGAACAGCTCAATTGGCTTCGACTCAAGCTTGATTGACGGGTCGTACTCCCAAGTTACTCCTTTCAGGCCACCGCCTCCTGGTCTCCCACGCCCACGGCCGGCCATCTCGCCCACGGTTCTCACAGGTGGTAGCGCTGCTTGCTGCGCGAGCTTGTAGTGCTTTTTCTTGGGAGGCAGCCGGTTCTGCTTTTGTGGGTCAAGCTGCAGAGCTGGTATATCCTCGTTGTCAGCGGCTGTACCTTTCTCTGCGCGTTCAGCTTCCTTGTACTCTTCGGCGACAGAGGTAGTTCTCTCTGACTCAACATCAGAGAAATAATCTGGGTTGGTGGGGTTGCAGGTGCGGGCGGTGTGAATTTCGTCGGCAGAAAGCGCGTAAATTGATTGGCGCTCTCGCTGTTAGGGCGGAATTCGACATCTGGGCTTCCATGGAGGCCTAGAGCAAACAACTGGCCATGCGCACCTTCGCTGACCAGTGAATACCCTCGCCATCTCCTCTCATACGTCGATGCTGATTCTTCATTCGCAGCGCTCCGTTCCTATTGTCTGTCCCAGATAGATACCCCGGCTGTGGTGGATCCTCCAGCTCCTGTTCTCGTCCCTGTTGTAGGTGCCCGCCATATCGCACGCGTTCCTCTTGAACGTTCTGGAGAACTTGATCTCGGGACTGCTGTAACTGTGGTCGAGACCCGTCAAGGGTGATCTGCCAGCTGGGTGTCTTGGAGGCTGCGCAGCGCGAGCTTGGAACCATGGAGGAAATACCAGTCCATGGCCTCGAGGAGCTCGAGAGACACGTCCAGCAGCTCGCTGAAGCCCCAGAAACGCCTCTCGATACCAAGCTGTTTGATGAAGTAGAGCTGCAGCTGAATGGTAAGTCTTTTCACGTCTCCGCACACCTTGGTTGGGTATATTCAGGGTGGTGTCTTGGGAAGGAGCGGCAAAGGTGCTGCCATCAGGGCGACTTCCTATTTGAGGATTCACTTGAGGAAGAAGTGCGGGGCGCAAGGTTATCATTATCACAAGCGTCGATGATGATGATGTTGTTCTCAGCCTCGCGTTGTTTTCGCTGTGTTATCTGCGTTTACAAGGCGGCACTGGCATTGATTGTGAGCCAAATCACTAACAGTGCCTCAGATACAAACATACCTCCTTTGATACCCCGACTACTACCGAACCTCACACAAGTTCTCCTCGCCTATGACAAAGACCCAACAATCTTGGCAAGCCTCTGCATGAAGCTCCTGCGACCCGTCCCATTCACTCAGGCCCTCACCCTCGCCTCCGAGGATGCCCTCATCCAAGCCCTTCGATCCCCCGCCCCTGCGGCAGCTATACTGGCAATCACAGTTATCGAGAAAGCAGCACGAAGCCCAAGCGATACTGCAATACTCTCCATCATGAAAGGAGTAGTCGAGGAGTTCCTGCGAACATGGCTCAGCACCCCGCACGTCGAAGTTGGAGAGAAGGCTACGAAGGCACTCGGCGATCTACTCGAGGTGGATTGTGACCGCAGAACATCAGCTACAATCGACACGAAGATGAGCGGCCTCCAAATCGCGTCGAATATGCCACCCGGTCAAGGTCTATTATGGCGGAGAATATTCCAAGACCGCGAGATCTACAACCTTCTATTCTCCCTCTGCAGTTTCCACACAATCGGTACCGGTCCAAGTCAGCTCGATGAGCGACAAAAGTCATTAGCACAAGCCCGCCTCCTTCGCGTTTTACCGCGACTGGCGGTTCTGGACTTCCAAACCATAACTCGCAGCCATTTCCCCGAGATCGAAGGGCGATACAAGATTGACCAGCATGGACTGTTATATTTTGCGGCTGTTGATATGGTGAACAAGGAAGAGGATATGTTGATGCATATCACAGTTATTGATTTTTTCGCTGAGTTTCTGGACGTGATGAGTATGACGGAACTGACGAAGAGCACAATGGATTATTTGGCTGCACTGATGAAGAAGGTTGCGTCTACGGATGAGACGCTTTATAAGAGTCTTGAGGCGATGGCATTGGACCCGGAGACGAGCCCGGAATTGGTGGATTTGCTGGTGAAGTTGAACGAGTATCCATGATATCCCCGCGTAAGCTGGAGAAAGGGATAATTTCGGGTTCAACCAGGACGATCGCGCGAGGGATACCTTGACCGGCTTGCACGGGAGATCAGAATTACTGCATGAGTCCGCTGGTCGACATCGGCCACCACCTCGTTCGAAATGAAGCAGCTTGAGAGCCTCCGATAGCAAACATCGCTCGCCAGAAGGGCGTTAGCTAGATTGAGCAGACTCAGCTTTCAGGCATCACATGGAATTCCCTGAAGGCAATGTGTAACAATAATCAGCAATGAGCTTTCAGAAATCCCTCAAACCGCTTGCTTGCTCGCAAATTGCCATGAAATGTTTCCACATCATCTGCTCTCCTTCTGCTTATCGAATGTTCTATTCCATACCATCTGGGCAAGTGCCCCCAAAATCGCATGGATCCCGCTCTTTCCCAATCGCGCAAAAGTTCCCTCAACGCCCACCACCAACCAAGCATTCACGATGCAGGGCACTTTTGCAAAATGTGGCGCACTTCTCAGCCTTGCTTGTTTCAAGAACAACACTCATCGTGGCGTTTATTACTGCACGGCACTTTCGTCGCCCAATCGCTAGAAGGCATCAAAAGTGCCTTTGCAGACACGCATCCCGCATGCCACACTCATCGGTGACCACAAGGCTCTGAATAAAATATCATAAGATGCCCAACCTCCGCTCACAATGAGTTCTCGCCAAGGAAGTGAACTCGAGCGCAATGGACGACAACTTTCTCGAATCGATTTGGGCCCCAACGGGCCCAGCCTCGTCACATGACATACTTGATGAACAGGAAGACGCGAGCTCGACGATGATACCTGGGTTGGGAAAGAAGACAGAGACGAATGCGAGGCGGAAGATGTATCCGAAGGAGCAGTGGCTTGCGCTGAAGCCACTCATCTACCGCCTCTACATCACTGAGAACCAGACCTTCACCAAAGTTGCTCAGCATTTGCAGGAGCATCATAGGTTTAATCCCACGAAGAAGCAATTCCTGAGAAGAGCAAAGGAGTGGGGCTTTGAGAAGAATGTTAAGAAGGAAGAGAGGAGGGCCATTCTTGAGACGGTTGACGGAGAGGGACAGCTTGAGGAGAGGATGTTGAGAGGACGGAGGTTGGATAAGGCGAAGCTTGAAAGGTGGAGGAAGAGGGAGGGGATCGTTGGCGGCGGATCCCAGAACGGACCTGCAGACACTTCAAGTAAGTTAACACCTATGATAAAGTTCAATGTTGACAAAATTAGAAATGGGAGAAGAAACCTCTAGCATCAACGAAGATGGTCAATCAGTACCGCCGAAGATGGATATTTGTAACGACGACGGTACTGTGGAAGAGATACCACGTTGTGGAAACCAGCTACGATCGATACCCATGAACCTGGGACAGACATTCGATCCTTGGCTTGCAGTCGACGTCGTTGGATCCCCTCGATTGACTGGATTGATTGGAGCCCTGACCTTGGAACTGTGTGGTGGTTTTGCAGACCTCGACCTGTCTGCACCGTACTCTGGGGAGGACGAGGACAAATGCGACTTGCTGGATACAGACGAAGGTGACGGTATTGCAGTATCATGTACAACCCGGGCTCCACAGACATCACCCACAACAACCCGTCCCGGATTCTCCTTCCATATTCCTGCTCTCTCCACGCAGTTTTCAACGGGGTGCCACCCTCGAATGCTAGGTCCCCTCGACGAACTCTGCCCCTTTCCAAAAGTGGGGCAAAGACGGAGACTTTCTAGACATCCGAGAAGTGATCACCTGGTTGATGAGTTCTCCTTGGAGGTGGAGGAACTCAGGTGTCGAATGAAGCTCAAAGAGCTGAACAACATGACACCATCAAGGATTGCTGACTTGGTTGAAAGTATGCGAAGCGTAGCACAGAGGCATTACGAGCTTGACCATTATCGACTGGCAGAAAGCTGGTGGCGTCGTGTGATTACTTGTTCTTTGGCGATACCAGGATATCAACCGGCCAAACTTTTATATGCTTGCCTGTGGGTTGTCGAAAACCTTCTGTGCCAAGGGAGGGTTTTCAAAGCTCTGAGCCTCCATCGGGATTTGCACCAGAAGATAACGAAGCTTGTGGGCCCAGAGCACGAACTCGCCATATTTTCGAAAAGCCTTTTAGCCAACTTGCACAACAATATTGGAGAAAACCAGTCAGATCTAGTCATTAGCCGAGAAATTCTTCAAACTTGCCTCCTTCGATATGGCGTAAGGGACATATTGACAGTGGGCACCATGGTATCGCTAGGGCAGGTTTTGATCGTTGTCGGCCAGCTTAAGGAAGCCGATGCGATTCTCCGTACCCTAGTGGAGCTCGAGTGTGAGATCCTTGCTAATGCAGAACGAGATGTCATAGAGACCCAAAGGGCGCTGGACGGAATGACTGCCCTGGCATGGTCCTTGCGGGCGCAGGGAAGATTCGACGATAGCGGAAACGTGTTGCATCTTGCCGAAGGACAATTCGCGCATACGTTACTGATAGAGAAACTTTGGTGTTGGCATTTCTACGTGGAAACGGTCCACGTCTTGAGAGCCAAGGGACAGTTACTTGAAAGCGAAGAAATGATTCGAGCTATCTTGAGGCAGGCCCCTAGCCATCCAGACTGGGAGATTATGAATTCGATGGAGCTACTTGCAGATCTTCTAAGGCAAACGGGACGGAGAACAGAAGAAGCAAAGTGGAGGCAGAATATTTTCCTGATGGGAATTGAACTCTACGGGATTGACAACAGATATTCCAGGTGGGACTGCGAGGATCTGGGGTTTTGCTATGCGGATCTGGGGCGTTATGATGACGCGGTACATCATTTCCAGCAAACGATTGAGAAGCTCGCTCTTCGCCAGGATGGTGATTCTGATGACCGCGCTAGCTACATCAAGAAGATTCGGGAATGGATTTGTTTGGTTGAAGAGAGGAGAAAGGAGGATGAGGGATGGGAGACGCAATCGAGTCTTGATGAGGGATGGGAGACGCAATCGATTCTTGATGAGGACGCACATGAAAACTTAACTGGTAAGTTCTCTCTCGATAAGTCAACATTTTTCTAAACTTGACAGATGTCCCACTAGCCGTGGATTTCAGCTGAGTGCTTCGAATCTGGGCTGATCCGAACCTCAGTACTTCCCCGGCTCAAATGAATTCCTGCAACAAGCACCTTTCATCTGGGCCAAATCGAAGTCACTTCAGCACCATGAAGCCTAAAATTTGTAGCTTTGTTTGCATTTAGCGCGCTATAATCTCAAACGGTTGACCTCCAACCGTCACGTCACACAGACCCCACGCTCGCATCGCAATCCAGTAACAAGCCGAGTCGAAACCCCTCTAAGACACACCATCGCAAAACCCAATGCCAATCACCCGCTCCCGTAACCCGAAATAAACAAACTCAATATTCGTATCACTTGGGCCATCGCTCATCGTCCAATCAACAGTGCGCAATTCATCTGGGTCGGTTTTCTCGGTGTGGTACGCTGTATCCGGACATCCCCAACGCGATGCGAGAACCCCGCAGTACCGCGACAAAGTCCGCGACGAGGCCACGGAACAACGAACACGAAGTGCGATGAGATGTGCGATGGTATAAGAGTGCGGTGAATCCGTTTCCGATGAAAATCATGCCCTCGAAATTGGAAAAGCTGCAAAATTAATACTTCTTTCAAAGCAAAACAGAAATCTTCAAAATGGGCGCACAAAAACTCCCCGAGCCTCTCACTTTCGAGGGTATGATCTCTAAATTCGAATATGAGGATTGAGCTGACGAATGAACAGAAGTCATGGGCTGCATGGCCGCATGCTTCGAGTGGGCCGACAGCTACGACTCCAAGAACTGGGACAGACTGCGAAAATGCATCGCACCAACCTTGCGAGTTTGTCACCCCTCTTACTCCCCTCCACACTCTCTTAACATATCTTCAGATCGACTACCGCTCCTTCCTCGACAAGCTCTGGGAAGCCATGCCCGCCGAAGAATTCGTTACCATGGCCTCCGACCCCAAAGTCCTCGGCAACCCCCTCCTCAAAACCCAGCACTTCATCGGCGGTACGAAATGGGAGAAAGTCTCCGACGAGGAAATCATCGGATGGCACCAACTCCGTGTGCCGCATCAGAAATACACCGATGCTACGATGTCCGAGGTTGCCGTGAAGGGTCATGCGCACAGCACGAATCAGCATTGGTATAAGAAGGTTGATGGGGAGTGGAAGTTTGCAGGTCTGAATCCCGAGATCAGGTGGAGCGAGTTTGATTTCGATAAGGTGTTTGAGGAGGGGAGGGAGAATTTCGGAGAGAAGACTGAGGAGGAGGTTAAGGTTGAGGAGAAGAATGTTGAGGCTGAGAAGACGGCGGAGGTTTTACAGCATAGTGTGGAGGTTACGGAGAAGTTTGAGGCGGGGCAGACTGTTGATGTTGGTGCGTAGAGTGGTGTTGGATGGAATTGGGTAATGGAGTTGAATTCGTTTTGCAGTTTCAGGGAATTGAAACCTTCCAAGTCATGTGTTGTCCTCGCACTCTTCTCTCATCTGGAGATCATCATCCCCAGTCTGTCGACCTTCCTGCCGATGCTGATAATTTAAATAATCTGAAAGCTGAGCATCGTATCTCACAGTCATAATGGGAGGGGGGTAGGTTGTCAGACTTTGGCCTTCCCACGATTCTACTCGAGCTAAATCCTAGAGTACTGATCCTCGTCTCTTTCAGGATACAAGCAGCACTCACAATCGCCATTTCAACAATCTCATTTGCATTCGAATCAATTCTCCACAGACGGTTTGATCCATAGCCAGGTTCAGAAAGCGGTCGTCGGAGTAGGTGTTGCAGTTTACGGTAAGCGTACTATCCGGTGCCTGCGATATCTGGATTGGCATCGCCAACTGCGGTACAGTTGCTTGACATCGCAATACCGGTTCCGGAGTGATGTCCTATCGATGATTCATACTGCTTGAGAGTCTAGGGGAATGATCCAAAATCTTGAAGGTGCGAGAATCGGGATGCCGCCGTTTCAGCTGAAAGTATCCGGGTGGTTGGGATTGGCTGAAGCAGAGCGATGGAAGCGCCACATTTTGTAAGCCGAAGAGGGGAATGTTGTTGGACATCTAGAACCAGGCACACAGTCTAACAAGGAAGCTTTGTTGATGATATCCGTTCGGAGAGTTCAGCCCCTATTTCTCGCTTAACATCAACTCGATATGTCCAGAGTCCAGAGCAGGTACTTGCAATCGAGAAACACGGTTATTGTCTCAACTGCACGAATTTCTTCGGCAAGTATGCCACTTGGAATCTAAAGAAGGCTCTCACACATCAAGGATCATTATGTTCAAGGCGACTTCATAATATGTATGTATAATACACATCCACCTCTTTCTTTTCCAATAGATTTTCCAACTCCAATGCTAAACTCGCTCCCCAATCCCCTTGTTCTTCAAAATGCCCACTCCCTTCACCTCCCGCAACGTAAGAAAGTACTTTTCTCCGTCAGAAATGCAAATCTACAAAAGGAAAGCCACGGCTCCGAGTACGACTGCCAAGACAACAGCAACAGGTCCTCTCGAGCTGCTCGCCGCACCCGTAAACTGCGAAGGCGTCGCAGTGGTAGTCGTTAGGTATACAGCTGGGAGAGTTCCAGACGCAGCACCCTTGTTCAAAGTCAAGATGCTAGCAGGGGTGCTAACGGGATATGGCTTAAGCGTTGCCGTTGACGCGACCACCTTAACCGTAATATACTGCGTAGTTGTACTAGTCGTTGTCCAGGTAGAATAGGTGTCTGTCTCTGACGGGGTCGTTACAGCGGTCTTGGTAACTGGGCACACGGTCGTGTAATCGATGACCGTCTCAGTTGTCACCTGGCCGATCTTTCCCGGGCAGTTGGTCACTGTTGGGGCGCACGAGGTGATGGTGTAGACTTTGGTCGTGTACACAGTTGAGGTTGTGTACTCGACAGGGGATGTGGTCATTGCTACTGCTGCGCTGGTGGGATTTCCGGGGCAGTAGGTGGTGGTTCGTTCGATTGTGTCGGTGACGAGGTAGGTGTGTGTCGATTCTGAAGCGGGGCAGTTTGTGACGGTTTTAGCACAGCTGGTGATTGTTCGGACGGTTGTGGTGGTAATTGTCTCAGTGATGGTTGCCGGGTAAGACGAAGTGCTAGTTACTTCGCCGCCGGGAGATGAGGTTATTGTGGGGTATGATGAGGTGGTGCTGACTGAGGATGAGGTGGAGTTGCTTGGGTAGTATGGTGCGCTGGAAGAGTAAGAGCTTGATGGGGAAGCCGGGTAGCTGCTGGACGAGGATTCTGCGGCGGGGCTGGAGGTCGATGAGGATGAAGATGCAGGATAGCTGCTTGAGGCGGCTGCAGAGCTGGTCGAGGAAGACGAAGATGCAGGATAGCTGCTTGAGGCAGCTCCAGAGCTGGTTGACGAGGATGAAGATGCAGGATAGCTGCTCGAGGCGGCTGCAGAGCTGGTTGACGAGGATGAAGATGCAGGATAGCTGCTTGAGGCGGCTGCAGAGCTGGTCGAGGAAGACGAGGATGCAGGATAGCTGCTTGAGGCAGCTCCAGAGCTGGTTGACGAGGATGAAGATGCAGGATAGCTTGTCGTGGCTGCGGAGGTTGAAGCCGCGGCAGAAGATGTCGAGCTAGAACCTGCAGGTCCGCATTTATACATATCTAGTCTGTTTCCTGCACCGCAGTACTCTCCTGCGTATCCAGCGCAAGGCATGTTACACTCCGAATCATCCACAATGGTGCTTCCATTGTTGATCTGGTTTCCGCAGTAACATTCTCCTCCATATTCGAGACCAATGTAGGTGTAAGGATAAACATTGCAGTTGGCAGCGCAAATCTCAGGGCTCATCAATGCGTAGTTGGTTGTGGCGTATGGGGTCAACGCACGGATTTGGTACCCTTCCGTGTAACATCCAATGCGGACGCAGGTGATGCCTCCTGAGGTAACAAACGTTTCATGGACTGGAGCTCCAGAGGTTGTAGTTGGTGCTGATACAGAGGTAGAAGAGGCTGGTGCTGGGGAGCTGCTGGAGGTTGACGAAGTGGTTGAAATGCTTGAGCTTGTCGAGGAAGTGCTGGTCGAACTGGACGTACTGGACGTGGAAGTTGTGCATACTGGGGCTGAGGCAGTGTAAGAGTTTGCATATGCGCCCAACAAGTCCTTAACAACATCGTAATAGGCAGCGCTTGCGGGGATGGCTGAACCATTTCTGTACTTGTAGCCCGTCAATGAAGCAACACTGCCGTCGCTTGAAACCGCATCCCAAAGCATAACTCCTCCGAATTTAGATTGCCCAGCGTAAGCGCCGATCAAGCTCTTCGCTTCTGTTGGGTTAAGGTAGTCCGTAGAGTAAGTGGCTGAAGTGCCTTGAGGTCCACCGAGCAGGCCAATGTAGAGCTGTGCGTCCTTGCTTGCGCCTGTTGCAAGACTTGTTTGCCACTGATTGAAGTTGAAGCCAGACTTGCCGGGGTTGGTGACCCAGTTACGAGCACTGCATGAAGGGTTGTTATAAAATTGAGGCCAGACGATATCGAACTGCGCTCCATTGATCATATCAGACATCTGGGCATCTGGTAATGGGCATTGAGGAGCACCTGTGATGAGATATTGCTTGTTGCAGCCGGTAGCCTTGTTGTGTTCTGCGAACAAGATACGTAGTTGGTTGATAGCAGCGATATATCCAGCTTGATTGTCTGCTTTCGATTAGTATCTCTCCACCTGCCGGAAAAGTCACTTACTTGGTTGTGTCTCGATATCAAAGTCAAACCCATCGAATTCGATTGTCTTCGTCGAACTAACGTCGAAAGGTCGAATACCTCCACTGGCAACCCAGGCTGCATTGTATGGCCCAAAGGCACCCCAGAGGAGGTTTGCGAGATATACACCATCACTTGCGTTGTTCAAGTTATAATTCCCAACAGCTCCTCCGAGGGAAAGAAGGAATTTAGTCTTGGTATTCTGTTGGCATTCATAAAGAGCGCTTGCGATTGGCGAACAATCCGTCCACATCTCATCGTTGTTTGGGTTGGGGGGGTTCCCCGCATAGCCCGGGCCGGCGTATTTTGGAGAGGCATTAACGGTGTTGGAGGCCATCCCCACTCCAAACAGCCCATTTGCCTGTGCCGGGAAAGAGTTGATGAAGGCGACAGGGATTATATCAATCGACTGGTCATAGCAGTAGGAAGTAAGAGCCTTTTGCGAACCGCCGGCACCCTATCCAAATTAGCAGTGTTCCCTATCACCATACCCAAACACATACCCAATACACTGCAGTGTTACCTTTCCCAGCTGGATTATAATCGGCCGTCGAAGAACTAAACAGAGCGAACGCAGCGGTGGCCGCAGCCAAAGATTTGGGGGAAAACATTATGTAGAAAGGATAACAAATAGCCTAAAAAGATCGTGGTATGGCCTAGGCCGGTAAAGATTGTGGTGGTGACTTGCTCGTCAAGGAGAGGACGCAAACAAACGTTTGCAAAGCGCAAAGGTCACCGACAGTAGAGAGCGTGAGGTTGACGATGTCGGTGGGAAAGGAAAGAAAGGGAACAGAAGCCGGTATATCTGGGAAAAGCCATCACTTGATAGATTCGGTCTAGTCATAGCGGCGTGCATCTGGAAAACATCCCATGATGCTGAGGCGGCGTTTCATTCCCGGTCAACCTTGAAGCAATAACCCGAATTGAGACGGCCAAGCGTGATTGAGACTTCACCAAAGGACTCGTTTATGGAAGGCCCCAGCAGCAGTCTGGCCGGCGAGCGGCACAGCGGGGTGTGGCACCTTCGGCTGCAAGGCACAGCTTCTCCACATCTCTCACGATGAACCACTTACATGGTTCCAGGCCGTTTGGAAGTTTCTTGGGACGAAGAAAGCCAATCAAAGAGGGCAGCGATCGATCAGTATTTTAAGCATACCGCCCCAAGTCAGAAACTAGACGAAGCGCCGATTTAGCCTAGTGGGTCTTTTCGAACAACACCAACATTTTTTGTAATAATCTCCCATCGTGAAGAGCCCCACGGAAGTAGATTTCCCGTCTGCTTCGGCATTTCCCAGTTGGCTTGAAGATCCCGTGCGGTATCTCGTGGTCGTTGTACATGTTCTTGCGGTTTAAGGTCCGAGGTGTTGCAGTCACGTCGCCGCGTATAGCGTATTTCCACATCAATCCTTCAAAGTTCCAGCACGCGAAGCCTCGGCGCCGCATCTCGTATTTAGGGCCGAAGTCCCCTTGGTGGCCTCGAGGGGCATCAATGATTCGGGGATTGCGAGATTGCGAAATTGGAAGGAGGGGTCAGGAGAAAAGGGGCGCGCTGGTAGGGCTGTGGGCGCTTTGGGCCGTTCCTTACTAAGCCCCATTGAGGGCTGGGTCCAAAAGAACCAATGATAGTCAATGGCGCCAATACATTCTGGGAGTGGGGCAGAAGCTTGGCCACGGAACCTTGGTGCCCCTTGCAAATTTTACACTGGGCCTGCATAACTAACACATCCAACTGTGCTCAAAGGATCCCCAGTTTCTGTGACTCTGTTGAAGATCAACAGATCAACATCAAACCTGGACGAAGCTTAAATCCTCTTTAAGACGCGATCTAGTTGGTTTAGATAGTTGACAGACTTAACAGGGACGTAGACAGCGCCATTAAGGCATGTCCCCATTGACGCCGCACTAGCAGCGCCAACGGTGGGCGCAGTCCGTATTCCGAAATTGCAGGAAGGTGAAGAGGGATCACGACGATACTCGGTGTGCGAGTCCCATTCACGTGATCAAAGCTTCAATTATTTCTCCTTTCCAGTGAACACAGGATGGTTACCTTCAAAACGCTCAATTTACTACGGACCCAACACAGTCTAACTTGTCACTTTTAATTTCTGTCTGTCCGAGCAAATATCCGTGCTGCAAGTGTTCTAGAGACAAGTTCTGACTCTAGCTGTCATGAACTCTCTTCTCTGTCACGCAATTTCTGTTTCCTCTTCAACTCCTCCTCCGCCTCCTGCTGCCTGATAAACGCAAGTCCTCTCTTTATCGCATCATCCATATTATCCATCGGCTTGTACCCCAGCCTCTCCTTCGCCTTCTGAATCGAGAATGTCCTCTCCACACACGTCGTCTCAATCAACATCCGCCGAAACGCCGTCGGCCTCTTGTACCCAAGCGTAAAAATCCAATACGCCCACTCCGTCAAGCTGGCAAGATTGAGTATAAACCAGGCTGGGATGACCTTGATCTGCTCCGGCGGTGTATGGTCGCCTGCTGCCCTCCAAACGATGCGTGCGAAGTCCCACGTTGGCATCGGTCTCCCATCTGTGATGAAGAAGGCCTCTCCGTCAACTTTTGGACGATAAACATCTGGGTTGTTGATTTTTGCGAGAAGAGCTTTAGCAGCAAGGACGTGAGCGAGAGCTGCGTTCTCGCCGGATGTACGGTCGGATTTTGCGGTGTTGTCTCCTATTTGGATGCGATGTTTGCCTTCTTTCATTATCTTCATCATTGCGGGTATCGTTTGACTGTCTCGCTCTCCATACACGGCGCATACACGGAGGCAAGTGGTCAGAAAAGGTTTGCCATTATGATCTTGAACTAGTTGATCAGCGATGGCTTTGGATGTTGCATATGCGTTGCTGTTGCGCGTCTTTGATGTCTTTATCGGCCAGGTCTCATCTCCGTTATCATAGCTGTCGCCGACCAATACCCCAGAGCTAGAGGTATACACGAACGCCTTAACGCTCTCGCACGTAGCTGCGACCCGCAGCAAGGTTTTTGTTCCCTCGACGTTAGTGTCAAAATAAAACTTGTCGCTGCTGCCGTTTCCGCTGGGTACTGGTGATGCGACATGGAAGATAACGACAGGTTGGACAGCCTCGAGGATTGATGCGACGTCCTTTTCAGAAGTGAAGTCCCCTGTGTGGTACCCTGCTCTTGGAAGCTGGCTTTTATTTATGTTTCGGCCCATGACATGGACAGAGAAGACGGGACCTTTCTCTGCGAGAAGTGCTTTGACGACATGGTACCCGATGAATCCACAGCCTCCTATGACGAGAACAGGAATATCAGACATAATGGAGGCTTGATCTTCGGCCGCAGTTGATGGGAAGTTGAAATGGAAGGCGGCGAGAGAAGTTGCGGGTGTTGCTTCGCTAAGACGGACCTTGGCCCCTTAGTTTTGCAGACTTTAGGAAGCGGGGTGCCCTGGGGTTTTGAAGATGTGTCGCTAGCCTCGCCGCATCCTCGGGACGTCAGCGTGTACTTCTGAATCTGCAGGAAATTGTATTGTGGCCAGTGGTGAAGCGGCACAGGGGTCGCGTCAGCTTATGCTGGAGCTGATAGCTGAGTGCCCCGCAAGGCGATGCGAAATAATCGTTCGGCAGTTCTCACCTAATAATCTCGCCTATGCAGCGGGTTAGCAGTACGCAAAGCACAGTAATAGACAAATAAAATTAAAGATATATAATTATTTACTGAAACTCTACGTATTAATCTTATAAAATATATAAAGTATAATAAATTAATATCTTTACTTTTTAATAGTTTTTTAAGAATATTTTTATTATTTCTTAATATATCTTTTTTTTATGTTTAATTAATTATGCATTTTATAAATTAACTACTTTAACTTTAACTTTATTAGAGTAATGCTATTCCGGTATCACGTTCTTTTTATAGCAAAAGAGAATTACGTGAAACTATCACGTGACCTGCTACGGAATTCGTAACTTATAAATAGTATATAAGTAATATAACTCATAATTAATTTGTCTTTTTTCCCCCTCTTCTTCTTATCTTTAATTATAACCCTATTTATAATAAGGGGAAAAGAGAGGAGTTTTAGATTTACTCACAACGCAGTGTTTTTAACCTTATTGCCTTGCGGCAGCATAATTATTTCTTTTGCTTGTACCTCGTACAAGAAGCATAGGCGCCTTAGGCGAGATTATCAGGTGAGAACCGCCAAACGGTTACGGTGATGTTCATCCCACTGGCCAACTCGTACCCGGGAACCTTCACTTGTTTATATTTGAACCTTCAAAATCTCGGTCCGGGCCGCCTCATGATTTTGAAAGAATAGTAGAATGCGTTTTTAGAGAGATGTGAATGTTGCCAAGGATTGTTCATGCGGGTTGAGGGGCGAGCCTCCCGTCCCGGTGTCCCGCGAGTAATTTGCGGCATGAAACAAAAGTTTAAATTTGGTTCCCTTCAGCCGTCAAGCCACCCTTTCTTTGCAGATATCTCAAGTGAATGTTTCAGTTGAGGTGTTTATTCATTACGAAATAATACGCTGCCAGCGCCGCGCAGCGTATTTTTTTGTGGCTTGGACTAATTAGGACTGGGGTAACAGGGGGCCCCTAGAGGGAGATTCTACAGGGCCTTTAGGGCATTTGAAGCCTGTAAGAAATCCTCGGTGGGAACGAGGATTTTAAGAAGGCTCGGTGGGAACAAGGCATTTATACCCCTATAGCTATAGCCTGGAGATATGCCCTATAGAAAATAAGAAATCCTCGGTGGGAACGAGGAAAATCCCAAAAAAAATACGCTGCCAGAGTGGCAGCGTATGTTGGCGCCTGTCAGGCTCTCACAAATCTTAGGGGGGTTTCTACAGGCCTTACAGGCGGTGCTTGGGGCGGGCAGGGGTTGCTACAGGGCTGGGGCGCCACACGCTAGTCGAATGGGGGAGGGGGCGTTTGGCAGCGTATGCTTTTAGGCGATAATTTTACATTCGTTCATAATTTTCACTTTTCACCAGATCCTTCCATGATCTTCCCACGGCTCCTAGCAAACTCAAGCTAGTACCGCTATTCACCAAGAGTCTCGCCAAAGGCAACTGATTCTGAGCCGTTAGCTCCAGTCCAATATGTTTCCATAGAAGAGGCCGGTTTTTGTATTTCTTTGATTCGCAATAGTATAGTCCGAGCTCGAATTCATTAGCTCCAAACAAGTTGGTAGGCAGTACCAGTCCGCTTAACGAGAAATTCATGTCTCTATTAGCGCCATAGTTGAGTGGGACTTAAGGCAGTTCAAATGCTCGTCTTGTTCTACAATCTCGCCTGAGATTTAACAAAGGCCAACCTGACGTGCAGACTCCTGACGAACTTGCTTGATAAATTCATTTATGCTCATACATCGTACATCATTTCTGCGTACTCGCTGCGTACCAAGTAAAGGGATGTAGTGAAATGTCTTCTTTATGTGGGATGGCTGGCGAGTCAGGCTTCAATGACGGTGATGCTATGCGAGGAATAGGGAGCCTGGTCGCTTAAGTCGGTGCTTTTTTAGCGGTATTTTCAGGCTTCGCCAAAGGCAAGTCATTCACTTCACTTCGTAACAATCAAACAATTATTATAAACCACACTGTCTTAAACTTGAGCATATTAAATAAAAGAGCTTATTTAAAGTTTTTGCAACATAATTTAAAATTATTAAAGTTCTCTTCAGGGCTCTTTGGTTAGCGGAATACGCTAAAAGCACAGACTTATGAAATCAGGCTGGTAAGGGCTGCTGTCCCTGAAACTCCAGACAAGTGACTGAGAGGCTATCGCACTGGACCAACAATTAGGGTCCCCATGAACCTACCACATTATCAACCATGGATACTTCCTCAATATCTAATGGTAATCGCAAAATTTACAATAAGTTGAAGTCTAGTTTCCCTATTTCATTAAGAACTGATTTTAAAGACATCGCTTTCTATCAACCCCCCCGTCTTCGAATCGACCGCAGGTATGACAACGAGGTATTTGCTCTGTTCACTCGGCATCAGTTAAATTGATCTATTGAAACACCTTACCGCTTCAACGCCATTGATGAGCACGTGGCCCAGTGCAACCCGACTTTCGAACAGCCTGGAAGAGATGTCCCGAGTATGGCAACTCTGTATAGGTGGTGCGCATCTGCTCCCATTCAGTATGAAAGAGGAGACCGATACCGCAAATTTGAGGCAGAGAGGCAGAAACAAAATGAGAAGGAGAGCCAAGAAAAGGAGGATAGGAAGCGATTGAAGTGTTCGGAGAAAGAAAAGCAAAGGCCTGAGAGAAAGGCTGTAGGAAGAGGCTGACGAAATGTGTCATAATGTTGTCCTGCCTTAAAATCAAGGACATTGCTCTTTCTCTGATAAATATTCAGTCTGTCAAAAGCTGCGGTAAGATATTATACTCGGTCCAATTCCAAATCAGCGACGAATCATGCGCCTGCCAAGTTGCACCCGTATACCATGTGTTCCTTTTGCCTTGCAACCCATTCAATCTACCATAAAAGTCGCCAACAATTGCATCCGTCGACACTGTCAATTCAAAAGGTCGATGATCATTGAACCCGACGAACTCTGGAGTCCCATTCACAGCAGGGAATCCAAATGCCTTGACGAGCTTGGCAGTTGTAGCCAGAATATCATGCTTTACATACTGCTCCGACAGTGCGTAAGGACTGGTGTAGTACACAGTAAATACATCCGGGATTGGCGAAGCACATATTAAGTACATGCCTGGCATTTCTGGTAATGCGAGAGCTGCAGCTGGGTTCGCGTTGTTTATACAAACGCCTGATGGTACCCCAGGATTTCGGATGAGCGCATCCCAGTAATAGCTATTATTGAACTGCCCGAAAAGACATCGCTCTTCAGTATTCAGGTCTAAGAAGCCGAGACTTTCAAGTTTCGGTTGGATGGCGATGAGAAGTTTGGAGGCTTTGATGAGTTTTGTTCCCAACGGAGTAGAGACCGTGACGGCGACACCACCATGGCTGCGAAGAACTTGAGTCACATTGCTGCTGATAAGCGCACTTGATCCCAGTTCAAGGAGTGCTTTGTCGTAGAGCTCGTGGTTGTTGTGGTGTACAGTTGTCAGGAAACCGTTCGTCAGCACGTTCTGGACAGTGCTTTGAGCGAAGTACTTCATAACGTATAGCGTTGGCTGAGCGAGGATGTTCCCAATACCCTCGAGAAATGAAAAGGCTGTATAGGCCAAGGCCTCCAGCTGATATTTCTTCAAGAAGTTACCCCACGTGAGGAGCAAATCTTCAGGAATCGGCATAGGCAGGTTGTAGCCGTTGGCAAGAAACGGATACTTTGCCAACTCATCCTCGTACGCGAACAACGCAGCACCTGTTGCATTGCTTGAAGGGAATGGAGAGCTTGGCAGCGGCTTTCCTGTCGTGAAGTCGGCGTAGTATGTAATATTGGTTTTAAACAGATCACCAACCAGCCCAAGAGGTACATCGAAATGTTTGAAGTAATTCGTGACCACAGAGATATTAGCGAAGGAAATAACCCCGTAATCGAAAGTCTGTCCAGTGACTGGGTCGTGGTAGGTGTTGACGTGTCCGCCGAGAACCAATTCTCTTTCTATCAACGTGACCGTCCTGCCATATTCTCTTAATCGAATTGCAGAGTAGGTCCCGCTAGAACCACCTCCAATAATGACCACATCGCTGGCGATTATATCCGGACTGCGAACAATCCCATCTTGGGCAGCTTGCCCGACACCAAAGAGGCAAGCAGTGCAAAGTGAGAAAATAAGGTTGTGAAAGGACATCACTTCTCAAAATCTTTTGGAGGAACTTCTGAGTGACGCCTGGTTCGTCCCTCCAAAAGTTCACTGACCACTTATATACTGTAAATTTGAAGAAGGTAAGGGCTAGTGAGGGGTACATTGGGATCATCACAGCGATGCTGCACTAAATTCTCGGAAGGAAGCTGTCATTTCCGATTCGTGTGCGCGGGAATGTTAAGTGGGTAACTTGCAACTTTAACCGGAGTGACTGGTCATATTGAGTGACTTGCAATTGCGAGAGAGGACATAATGTTTCAAACAATTAATATAGCTTCTGACAGAATAGAATTAACCCATAAATTCTTTATCCTGTACACTCTTAACTACTTTATTTTCCAATAGGCACAGCAGGCAACCCCCGGGAGTCAACAGATTACCCCCAGCTTGTTGCGGAATTTATCCAGCTGACTAGTTAGTCGACCGAAGCCGCATGGATCCATGCAGGAGCAGAGTATCATTGGCTTTACGAATCAGCAATCCGGGAGACGGGCTGCAGATACCCTGGTCTAACCTTGTACCACCTACCGAACTGAGATGTTTCCATCTCACGCAGCAACGACAAATCCGGCACGCACTTTGAAGATCGTACAGTTGCTTGATTGGTCTGTGATTGGCTCTTTTCCAAACTACTATCATCGAAGAGTAGGGGAAGGTCCCGCCTTTCTAGTTAACTGAAGCTTGGCGCTGGCAGCAGCTTTGAAAGCCACAGTGACCAACCGTTTAAGTTTTGTAGCCCAATATATATATATATATATATATTATAGAAATTGCATGGCTCATTTGGAACCGGTGGCTAATAGAAGAAGAGACCCTGACCGAGGGCACGGAAGCAGTAAGGGCCTTTTCAGTGGACCCTAACCCTAGATCGAAGATGGATCAGTGTGGGCTCCGATAAGCTCGATAAGCGATGATTAGATAATCGCGCTAATTTGTCAATAATCGATAATTATCAATAATTAGCGATAATTATTATTCTAGGCGGTAAGGGGCCCGGCAGAATCTGCCTCTCCTGCTCTCTGTTCTAATTAATTAATTAATTAATTAATCTTTATACTAGTTCTTTAAAGAATATAACTAATTTGAGATATATTAAAAAAGTAATAATTTGAGTTATTACTTTATTAATCTAATAGCTAGCTAACTGCTTTGCCTTAGATATAAAGGTTAATTCCCTAATACCTGACCTGGTTACTTTACTAGTAACCCAAGTAAACTAACTACCCTATAGTACTACTATAAGGCATTTACTAACCTTACTAATACCTATTATTCCTAATCTTATTCATTAGACTAGCTTTATATCCTTTTTCTGAATAGTAATCCGCTTTATATAAATAGCTATAAGGTTTATTACTAGAATTAGATTAGTATAAAAATTAGTATAATTAAGAAAAATGACTTATATTTAAACTCCGTAATAAGAAATGCCTCTATAGACTTTTATAAAATATATAAAGCCAAAGCTTAAATATATATATCTTGTCTATTTTTCTAAGCTAAAATCTCTTTTACTAATTAATAAAATAGTACTTTTGGAATTAATAAATTAGTACTTCTCTAATATTTTCTGATTTTTTAAAGGGCCTTGGCTATAAATCCAGTTAGTAGATATACTAATATTTTTACTAATTAACTAACTACTAGATCTGAATCTATATATTTTTTTTCTTTTATATAATAGTAGAAATATAGCCTTTTCTACCAAGTGTCTTTCTTAAAGCCTTGCCTATAAGAGCCTTCCTAGAAGTAATATACTTACTATTAGTTTACTTGGTTTATATTATAATTAAATAATTAACTAGAGATTATAATTACTATATTTTAATTAGTATAATAATTAATATAAATTAAGAGATATATTATAGAAGGAATTAATTAAGGAATTAATTAAGGGATTAAAATAATATAATTAAAGAAAAGGTATTAGCTAAGATAAAGTAATAGAAAAAAATAAGATAATAGCTTAAAAAAAATTTCATATATCTTAAAAGTAAATTATTTTATATTATAAAGTTAATTTTATTTTACCTTATCTTATTTACTTTTTAATCTCTTCTTAACTATTTAATTATACTATTATATAATTTCATATTATAACCTATAAGTTAGTATTCTAATATACTAATTAATCTACTAATTTCTATATAAATTATTCTTATAATATATTTTATAGTAATAGATTATAATTAGTATACTAAATATATTAGTAATTATAAAATATTACTAATTATTATTAAATTATTTCTAAAGCCTGAGATAAGTCTATACTTATATTATATTAATTTTTATACTAATTATAATATTATAGAATAGTAGTTATATTAATATAATATCTTAATTAGCCTTTTCTATTAGATCTATCTATACTATTACTTATAAGAGAAAAGTACTAACGGATCTATCTCAAAACCTAAATACTATAAAAGTATATAAGTATAATAAAGCTCTTATAAAAGATTCTATTTATACTAAGATTAAGAAGGTAAAGGTAATAGATTAAGGTATAATTATAGTAGTAAAATATAAGATAGTAAGCTTAGTAATATATAAGAATACTTTATTATTAAGATAGTAGGAAATAGTATAAGAGTTTACTATAAGTATTAAATTAAGGAAGTATTTTCAGAATATTCCTATACTAATCTTTATACTAATCTGGCTTTAGAGAATAATAAAGAAAGAATTAGAAAGTAGTTAAATAATTACTTGGCTATAATAAATATAGTAGCTTATATATAGCTTGAGATAATAGTAATCCGGTATAAGAAGATATTAAATATAATTCCAAGAATAATATATAATTTAAGGAAATATAAAAGACTAAGGAAAAGCTTAATTAAAAAAAAAAAATTAAGCAAGTTTTAGAAAATAAAATAAAAGAAAAGGCTAATAATATATAAAGAGCTTTAGCTAAGGTATATAACCTCTTTTTGGATTAGTATAAAAATTAGTATAAAACTAACTAAAATAGAAATATAAATATATTAAATTTATAGTATAATAGGAAACTTAATAAAAAAAGAAAAGATTCTTATTCTATAAGATTAGATTATTATATAATAGATATAGATTTTATTTATCTTTATATTAATTACTAATTATTATATAGTAATTATATTATACTTATTAGTTCTACTAAATTCTTTATATTAGGCGAAAAGACTATTTAGAGAAACTTAACTAGTTAGATATAGAAAGATAATAAATAGATTAATTTTCCTAATCCTATTACTTAATAGCCAGAATCCGAGGCTAAGTTAAATACTACTAGCTTTTATTTCTTTACTAAATCTCGAAAAGGCCATAAAGTAATAATATTACTAGTATATACTAAAAAGAAGCCAAAGAATAGCTTATACTAATATATTTTCTTATCTAATTCTAAGTTATAAATTATAGAAAATACTATAGCTATTTAATAATATTTAAGAAACTTCTTTAGTAAAAGTAGTAATTAGCTAGATACTATATTTTTAAGATATTAAGAGTTATAAATTATAAAGAAAATAATTATAATTATATTAATTTTATTATTTCTTACTAGTATTAATAAAAATACTTAAAATCCTATTTCTTTTCTAATACTTTAAGTATTTTATTATCTCTAAAGTCTTAGCTATTATTTAGGTCTTATCCTATAATACTATATAGCAAGTACCTAAAAAGATTTGCTTTACTTTAGTACTTATTACTAGAATTAAAAGAATATTAATTACTATAAATAAGAGCTTTAGCTAGTACCTTCTTTATATATCTTAATACTATTATTAAAATATAAATAAGTTCCTAATATTATATGGCTTCTTCTAATAATAATTCTCATATTTGTCTTAACTTGCCAGCTATATATATTTCCCTAATATCTAAATAATTTTATTAAAATTATCTAGTTCTCTCTTTACTAGCTATTTAATCTCCTTAACTAGTACTAAACTATTAGGGACAGATATCTAATCTCGATATTTCTTCTAAAGCTTTTTGATTTTAGTTAAGATAAGCTAAACCTATCTTTTCTCCTAATTAGCCCTAATATACTTTATATAGTAATTCGAATAAAATATAAAAGTAGTAATATAAAGAAGTATATTATTAAACTTATAGTAATATATATTAAAGACTTTTTACTTTTTCCGGATTCGAGTATAAAAGTTTTTATTATTTATATATATATTCTATTATATTATAGTTAGTATTATTAATTCAAGTAATAAAAATTAGTATAAAAATTAGTATAAAAATTATTACTTACTAGTAATCTATTAAATACTCGAATTAAAATATCTATTATAAAAAGTACCTAATTAATAGTTATAGTATTTTCTTAAGTCTTAAGAGTAGCTCTATAAAATAATTTAAGAAAGATAGAAATTATTTAAAGCCTTCCCTAGTTTTCCGAACTAAGGTAATCTAATTTCAGATCTATAAGATACTTCTTATAATAAGTATTAAAATAAGTATATTACTAAAAAATAATATTAAGTATTATATACTAGCTATTCTATTATATCTAATTATTAAGAGGAATTATTTTTCTAGTAAAAGCTTTAAATCTGGTAATCTAATTAGGAAAGTAATAAATATATATAATAATATTATAAAGCTAGCTTAATAGTCCTAAAAGTCGAAATTTTATTTGTTTTTTCTTATTACTTAATAGGACTTCTAAATCTCCTAAGTTCTCTTACTTATTAAATACCTCTAATTCTTTATCTATAAAAATATTATAAAATAAAAAGGCTTATATAAAAAGATTAATAATATGTCCTAAATAATAATACCTAAAAAAAGATATTCTTATAGAGAAGTTCAGATATTAAAAGCGAGATAAATATTTGAAACTATAAATTAAAGTTTTTATTATATAATATTCTTTAAACTAACCTAGTACTTTCCAAGCTTTTTTCTTATATAAGAGTAAGTTATAGAAAGAAAGGGCTAAAATTCTAAATTAAGTACTTAATAAAAGATATGAAATTCGGGCTATTTAATTATTTAAAAAGATAGATTATAGATAATAATTAATAAAATTAAAGCTTTATAAATTACTATCTAATTAAGGTATTATTAAAAGATATATATATTAATTTTAGTTATTTGACTAGATAACTTTACTTATAAGTAAAGCTATTATAGCTAGTTAATTACTTTTAATTAAAGTAGACTAATTTCCGATCCGCTCTTAATAGTAATATTATATACTAATTTAAAATAATTATATTAATTAGTAAAAACTAAAGTCGAATAAATATTTAATAGATTTTCCTTTTTATAAGGAAAATAATAGTAATATTTGGGTAGTTCTCTTATATCTAGATATCCGAAACAAGTATAAGCCTAAATAGCTCTTATAAGTTCTTTCTATTTAGAATTAGATTTGGATTAAGTCGAGTCTATATTAGTAGAGGCTTAATAGATTAATAAGGCAGATTCAAAAATTATATTTAAATAATAGAAGATAAAGTATTATTATATATTAAAGAAAAAATAAAAGAAAATATAAAAATTTTAATTTTTTTTAAAAGAAATAGTAGTATAAATCTTAGTATTACGTATTAAATACTAGCTAGTCTATATTATATAATAGACTATTAAATAGAAAATATAATAGTATATTTATAATAGTCTACTTTTATACTAATCTTTATACTAATTAGTTTATAATTAAACTAGAAAGCGAGATATTCATATAATAGGACTTGCTTAATAGCTAGCTGGGCCCACTTTTATTAATAATTATTGAGGCGATAGGGCTCGCTTAAGGGCTGGCTGGGCCCACTTTTATTAATAATTATCGAGGTAATAGGGCTCGCTTAAGGGCTGGCTGGGCTCACTTTTATTAATAAAATTATTAATAACTGGATTAGATACTAGCTAGTCTATATTATATAATAGACTATTAAATAAAAAGTTAAAAAGTCTAATAGTATAGTAATAATAGTATACTTTTATACTAATCTTAATACTAATCGGTTTATAATTAAACTAGAAAGCCGTAATGGGGCTCGTTTAATAGCTGGGCCCACTTTTATCGACAATAATTATCGATATCGATCGTTTATTAATCGCTTAGCCGATAACGATTACTAATCGATAATCCCGATCGATAATTTATCGGAGCCCACACTGAGATGGATCTTTGGCTGGACATAGGATAATGGAGAGAGATTTAAGGGCCTGCATCCCGAAACTTTCGAAGGAAGTGAACTCTAGTAAGTGTACCAAGCGAATTATCTACAATAGCCCAGCTAGACTGCCGAAGTTAAATACAGGACCGTTTCCTTTTGTCTCTCGCGAGGCAGATCAGCTTGCTATACCCGAGAGGTGTTACTGAAGCCACCAAGATTCTACGTAGATTAATAATCACCTCTCTCGTGAACCCCAAACTCCCTGATTCTCTCATCATCTTCGGCTTTACCGCTAGTTTTATCATTTTCGGATGATAGTATAACCTGAGAGAGAAATTGCGAATGGCAATTACGCTAGCACGAAATACACAATACTTCAATACCGTTCTGCAGGTTGTGAGAATCGGAGGGAAATCCGAGTGCGTTTTACAGATAGTTGCGCGCGATACCTGTGTCAAAACACACCCCTTTCCTTATTTCTTCTCTATTTGGTCTAGCATTGTTCCTGTTTGTTTCGCCACTATTGCAGCATTTGCATGTTATGCTAAAACAATATTTATATTTGACAGCAATAGAATAAAATTTCCAGGTGAATTCTCCCTATTTACTACTTAACCTGCGCCTGATAAAATTTAGCACTGCTTTAACTAGCCTGGACAGGCCTGCTTTGAATGTCTGCAAGAAGATGTTTTGCTGCTTCTAGCGATACTGGCATTTGGTTTCCCCTTTTCTGTTCTACAAGCAAAGCACTCACGAGAGGCGATTTGATTGTTTATTTATTTGATTATTTAATGGTCTTAAATAAGAGTCTAAATAATTTAAGTAATATTAATTAAATATAATATATTAAATATTTTTATTTCAAGATTATTAATATTTGAATTATAAACTAAAGTTATATATAACTTAAAGAGCTCTTATAATTATATATTTTAATATTCTTAAAAAAACTCTTTTTTATAATTTAATTATATATTCTTTTAAGTTATATATATTACATTTAGTAATAAATTATTTTAATTATTTTAATTAGCTAATATACGCTATTATAAATTAGAAAGATAGTATAAACACGTGACCTCTTATATATACTTTAAAGTTTACTAATAATGGGTTTAAACTTCCTTAATGCCATCACGTGATTCGCTTATGCCAGGTCTAAGTCGTTAATAATACAACTTCCGGAAAAGGTTCTTGTACTTTAATGGCTTTTACTCTTAAACATATTTTGCAAACCTGACATTGTCTGGTCTGCTCTAGACCAATTCACTGCCTGCAAAAGCCATGACTACGTGCTGGAGCTGCGTTGATTCCGCGTGTAACCATCTTGGTAGCAGCACAAAAGTAGCTACACAACTTCTCACATTCATGCCGCAGCAACCGCAGCCTCCTTGTCAGCGGCCAACATCCTCTGTATGGCTGGCCGATTCACGCAGCGGTCCCACCAAGCACTCACAGCTTCGCGACTGTCGATGATATCTCCATACCCGCATGTGAAAAGTCTTTGGATCAGCGGAATGTAGTAGATATCCACGAGAGTGAAGTCATTTCCAGCCATGTAGTCTTTGTGGTGTAAGAGACGTTCCGCAATGTCGAAAAACATCTCGACCGACCGCAGTGCATTTGAGACAACGGCGTCATCGGGATGCAGCCCCATGAATCTTTTGGCAAATTTCTCGAATGCGATTCTACCTGCAGGCTCTGCGAAGTAGAGCATTTCTGCGCACTGCGCCTGGTCGAACAGCGCCGCAGCTTCGACGTCGGAGTCGGAGGGTAGAAGTGGAAAAGAGTACTTTGTTGCGAGGTATTTGCAGATTGCGCGACTCTCGTAGAGAGTGAACCCCTCGGCGGAAGTTATTGCGGGTATTTTACCCCACGGGTGACGTTTCTCGTGTTCTTTGGACTGGGTGCAACAGCGTTAGCTCCCACGAGAATCGAACGTTGTAGGAAGGGAACAAATATTTGATGAGTGAGAAGAAATTTTGAGGCTCGATACGATATTCAATTTGCTCACGCCAGGAGAAGTCGCATCGTCTTCCAAGAGAAACAGTTCACCCACCTTTTGCTCCCCCTTTTGAAGGTTGAGAAGCACGAGTTCGTAATCCGTAAAGCCACCTTCGGCGAGAGTCAGGCGGACACGATCGGTGTTGGTCGAACCGCGAGAGCCATACAGAGTAAAAGCTGGCATTTTCGAGCTGTACAGTAGTTTCGACGCGAATCTGGGGCTGTTTGTAAGCCTCGACATTGTGTAAGTACTCATTTCGAGAGAGATCGGGCTAGCCACTCGGTATATAAGCCGAAGACATCTCGCCGAGAGCAGGAGCTAGTGGTATCTGCAGAGCCCGGGTGCCTTCACTTCTATCAAGACAACTCGGAACGCAGCCACACCTTGGCGTGTGCTGGATGAAGGATAAAGGCCTTCCAACAGCATGTATGATTGGTGGGTTCGCTTTCGCTACCCAATCGAGCTAGCGCCGACGCCTGTTCCTCGGACCTCAACTATTTAAAGCGAGTCCAACTCGCCTTCCTCATGGTCCCGGTGATGAATCATGCCGCATCAGTTGATTCGTCTGCTCGGATTTCTTGCTAGCTACGATTGTTCCTCTTGTCTGAAGGGTGTTGCGCGACAAGCGTGACTATCCCAACAACGATGGCCGGAAGCGTTGTCACCCGCAAACGGAACATTGAATGTAGAACCAAGGTGAAAACTGGTTGTGCAACCTGCAGGTCAGTCATAGTGGACATATCCAATCACCGGTCTACACCCCAAGACTGTGGATTTAGACGGGAGGTCAGCTCTGCAGTGATTGTGCTCAATCAGCAATAGAATTAGGAAGGTCAAATGCGACGAGAATAAGCCGTTCTGCCACAAATGTGTCAACACTGGTCGTACTTGCGACGGCTACGAGTCCCCCTTTAGATTTTTTACCAGCCAATCCATCAACAGCACTCATGCTGGCGGCATCAAGTCACATGTTGGTTTACAACCCATCCCGCCCACCATCATTGAGATCGCCCCCCGGGACGTCGACCTTCTCAACCGTTACTTCTCAACCAAAACAATGTTCGACGTGAAGCTGGGCTGTGACGAAGAAGCCAGGCAAGTCCTCCAAGCTAGCTTGACTGATCCACCTATACGACATGCAGTCTTGTCTCTCAGAGCTCTTCGGGAAGATCTCGAGACGTCCGGAGACGGTCGAGCGTCTGTCGCGCAGCAGACCCCGAGCTATCACTATGGCCTCCAGCAATACAGTATGGCTTTGGGGGGTCTTGCGTCTAACTTGTCATCTCCGGGCCCCAACGGGTTGAAGTCGGCATTACTTTGCTGCCAGGTCTTCATCAGCATTGAGCAAGTGCGGAAGAATTACGCTGCTATGGCCCAGCATATCATTCGAGGACTCAGGATTATGCACGAGTACCGGGCAAGGCCAGAATTTGTCGCCGCGAACAAATTGAGGCCGGCACACCATGGCCAACTACCCTTCCTGGATGTTTTCATCATTAAGCTGTTTGCTGCACCATGTAAATTTGCGGATCCTCCAGCAGCAGCCGACGTAAGCGGGACGACGTTGTCTGTGTCTTTGATTTCGCCTCATCAAGAGCCTGTTGAATCTTGCAATCTTCGCACGATTGCACCCGACATGCGGACAGAGCTTACAAGAATCGCTGCATCGACGCTTGAATTCCTGGGCAAAGTATCGCAAGTCGAATTGGTAGGAAGCGCTCTTCGACTACTATCCGAGAAAGCAGCTCTATTGGACTCCTTAGAATCGTGGCTCATTGATCTTGAACTCGTCCAGACGGAGATCGGATCTCCTGGCCCTGAGCCTATTTCAGTGTCTTTCTTGCGCTTTTTCCATCTAATACTAAAAATCGTTCTCTTGGGGGCACTAGACTCCTCACCAGATCTTTATGCCGAACTGCGGACTGAGAACGACCGATTGCAGGGGGTAGCCAACAACGTGGGTGAAAGAGTCAGGGCTTATATAACGTGCAGTGGGACTAGTAGTGGTCGAGGGGAGCGCTCCACAGTGCGCTGATATTTATGCCAAAGTGGCGTAATCTTTCCTAGCCACGCACCTGACTCTTGTCTTTTTACAATCAATGGAACCCGCGAACTCCATTGCTAGCAAGTCGAGCGGGAGGAGGCCGGCGGCACTATTGAACGCGGCCTAGTGCAGTTCAAGGTAGAAAGAGACGAAAAATGAGTCGGTCGGCGTGCGTGCGTAAGATTGCATGCGGCTTCCAATTGCAGTATACAGACCGAACAAGCCAATTAGCGGCTGACTCTGTCTCTGAACCACCCCCCTCACCGGCCATGGTCGTCTGCTCTGGGGGACTGGTCAGCTTCATAAATAGATCCGCAACCATGTCACCCTTTTGTGGGTTGCCTCTTCGCCTTCCCACAAGCACAAGCAGACGAGTACTCAACGGCACCTCTCACCGCCGAAAGCCATGCATTTCCTCCTCCTCGGCGCCAGTGGACGGACCGGCCAGCACGTCGTATCTGAATTACTCTCTCAGGGCCACACAGCGGCAGCTCTTGTGCGTACCTCTGGCAGCCTCACCACTCGTCCTGGCCTCACCATCGTCAGTGGCTCGCCACTATCGAAATCCGACATACGCAGCGCTCTCCTCGCGGCGCCTCCTCTATCGCCTTCTGCAGCGATCATCACATTGAACACAGTCCGCAAGTCCGACAGCCCTTTCGCGGCTCAGATCTCACCTCCTCGCTTCCTGGCCGACTCGTGCGCCAATGTTTGCGAGGTTCTGGAGCATGCCGGCATTTATCGCGTTGTAGTGATGTCGACAGCAGGTGTCGGGGATTCATGGGGTAACCTACCGTGGTTGAGCAAGGCATTCTTGGGGTGGACCAACGTCAAGTACGCGCTCGAGGATCACGGCCTCGTAGATAAGGAGATTCGGCTGAGGAAGCTGGATTGGACTCTTGTGAGGGCTGTGAGGCTGCAATTCGACGATCAGAAACCGACCGATACGAAGACGGACGTGAGAACGCTGGGCAGTAAGGGCGATGGAATGAGCTTGACCGACAGCGTGAGTGTTGCTAGTGTGGCAAGCTTCCTGGTCAAGGTTGCGGTCGAAGGACTCTTCGTCCAAAGCGCAGTGGTTGTGGCCAATTGATGCGGCCGGGGAAGTCGTGGACTTTGTTCCTGAACGAATTTGTTTTGGTTGTTCTGCGTATTGCCAAATAATAGAATCGGTTCCAGATCAATTTTTCTAAGCTTGGATCCGTGTACTTCGTAGCTGAGTGTCAAAATGGGCGGCGACACAAGGCCAGTGAGTCACTTTCCCCCTCCGTTGATTGTTCCTGCGGGATGTCCTCAAGTTTCGAGCTCCAGGTCGGTGCAATGGATTCCACAAAAATGAGAGCGGGATTGTCTTGTCGGCTAGTCATAGTTATCTAGATTTGTGTACCCAGACCGTGAGAAGTAGATAGCGCGTAGAATCTCCATTGCATATTGATATGATTCAGAGCCAGACTTGCCTAAGCAGCTTATTGAGAATGGGGTTGATGGTCTTGCACATCCGCGTCACTCCAGTTTTGTCTTGCTGCTGAAAGTCCGCCATGTCCAGTTCGCGAGGGCGTACACCGAACTATAACAGCCTCAGCGTGAAAGAGAAACCTCTCGTTTACAAGAGCCAGTAATTATTCCCTGTCTGATTCTTAATGACAACTGTATTACATGAACTAGACCGATCGCTATAAAAGATTGAGAGATGGCTTGCCAGCGCGTACGACAACGCATTCGTAAAATCACGAATTGGCAAAATGGACGAGATTATATCCGACGAAAAACAAGTCGGATAATTAAGCTAGGTGCAATCGTAACCGCAAAGCCGAACCCGCTCTCATTGTATTCAAAAAGCTCGTTAGCAAACACCGAAGGGAGATGTATGCTCCAAGGTACAAGACAAAGGAGATATAACGAATCGACTTTAGTCACGTGATGACAAATCAACTGCATTTCTGTTGAACTAGCTAAGTAATAAAGCTAGGGTCACGTGCTTGCAATGTAAACCAAGTAAACGATACTGAATTGACTGCTGTTCTACAGTGGTAAGTAGCCCGTATATATAGCCCTGAACCCCCTAAGTCACATGTACTAAATCCCTATGCCAGCTGAACCGATTACAGCTATACAGGGTATTCCAGCCGTACAGGGTATTCCAGCTATACAGGGTATTCCAGCTGGACAGGGTATTAAGCTAGTGCACAGCCCCATGGCGTTCGGTTCCAGGGCTTACTAAGCCTATTAGGGGCCTCAGGCCCCTAATTTCAACAATTTCCTGCATGCAAAGCAATCTTCCTCTCCACTCAACCATCAGTCCCCACCTTAGTCTATTGCTCACAACCTGCATCGCGTCTGCAATTGACCACTTGACCAAGGTTATCTTCGGCCTAAGATATCACACGCCCGCACTACTGGCAGTGCGCATTCCTCGTGGTCGTGAAAGAGGGGAGATTCTGCGAAAATGACCAAAACGCGATTCTGACGCGATGCTGTCCTCGACGGTGCCTCTCTCGGGCCTCCCCCCTCGGGAAAAGGTCTTGGAAGAAGCCATTGAGGTTGCCACATGCTAAATAATCCCCCGCTCGTCTTGTCATGCACCTGTCTTCCGCTCTGGTGAGTGGAGGTTCCAAGAATACCGTTGATCTTCGAGTCTTTTCGTCGCGCTTCTTGGCTCCGCTTGTCCCTCCAACAACCCCCTTCGATCTGCTATCTAGTGGTATCTGCAGGTTCATGGAATTCTTGGTTTCTTGTGTTGTATTGAGCTCCGCTTGGCTATCTTTGCACCTTCCTTTTTCGTCCACTGTCGGTTTCGAGAAGTTCTTCTCGGCAGTGGCATTGCTGGAAGGCCAGCTTGGCCCTGCTCGCCTTAGGAGCTTGTTGGTACTTAGGAAACTTCCCAAGGACGTGGGATTTCTTGTGATATATATCGACAATGGCACTTGGCACTTGGCTACCCGCTTTTGGCAGGTGATAAGAGATGCGGGCATGATGAAGCCCCTCAATTGATATGGAGAAGAATGGCCAATCTGTTACAGCAACTAGAGACGGCCAACGTCTTGAGGACATATAAATTGTCGATATTGCGCTCTTGATGATCTGCAGTTGGGCATTTTACCGCAAAGTTCCTACAACGCAGCAAACATGAATGCGGCGAGCGATCTCGAGACCTTGGAGGTGGCCAAGGGCTACGAGCCTACACTTCCCACACCGATAAAGGAGAGTATTGGGAGCGGTTCATCAACCCGGAGCGATGATTTTGAACACCCTACCGAGGAAGAGCTTGCTACACTACGCCGAGTCTCTGGAGAGATTCCATGGACAGCGTATACTGTAGCGTTTGTGGAACTCTGCGAACATTTTTCGTACTATGGAACCACTGCAGTTTGTGGGCAAGCCCATTTCGTTACAGAGGAAATGTATCTAACCACTTCCAGTCGTCAACTTCATCCAGCAACCTCTTCCAGAGGGGTCATCGACTGGTGCGGGTTCTCTAGGCAGTCTGGTGCTCTGGGAATGGGTCAACGTGCCTCCATTGGCCCCACTACTTTGTAAGCCTCTTGATCTGTGCAGCTTTACCAAACACTGACGTAGACAGCAACCCATTTTGGGCCTACATAATGCCCCTCCTCGGTGCCTACATGGCCGACCAGTCCTGGGGCCGTATGAGAACGATCCAAGTCTCCATCGCCATCGTACTCGTTGGTCATGTCATCTTGATCATTTCTGCCATCCCAGCAGTAATTGTCCATCCCACAGGTGCTATCACTGTATTCGCTATCGGTATTGTAATCATGGGGATTGGGGTCGGCGGTTTTAAGTCGAATATTTCTCCTTTGATTGCCGAGCAATGTGAGTCTCCAGCAGTATTAGGCTGACGACGCTAATTTTCTATAGGTACTAAGACAGTGATGAGAGTAAAGACCACTGAAAAGGGAGAAAGGGTGATCATGGACCCTGCTGTCACCATTTCACGTGTCTATCTGTACTTTTATCTCATGATCAATGTCGGTTCCTTGACTGGATCCATCGGAATGGTGTATGCGGAGAAATATGTTGGCTTCTGGCTTTCTTACCTGCTTCCAACCCTGATGCTTTGTAGGTTTCCCTAATAGTGAACCTGTTGCCCCACTGACAGTTCTAGGTCTCTGTCCGATGGTTATCTTTGCTTGCAGGAACAGATACCGCATGTATCCACCCACCGGCTCAATGCTTGCCCAGTCGATGAAGCTTTGGAGATTTGTTATGAGGAAGCGATGGTCATGGAATCCTATTACTTTGTAAGCCACGATCCAAGAATTCCAGATCTCATGACCGACATAATTCACAGCCGCAAGAACGTGCAACAACCCGGCTTCTGGGACGACGTCAAACCGTCCAGACTCGGCGCCTCCAAACCAGCCTGGATGATCTTTGACGACGCCTGGGTTGACGAAGTGCGGCGTGGCCTCCTAGCTTGCAAAGTCTTCCTCTGGTATCCTCTCTACTGTACGTCTCTTCTCCCCAACTCCCGCACCACACCTCCCCAATTAACAATCCCAGGGCTCGCCTACGGCCAAATGACCAACAACCTCACATCCCAAGCCGCCGTCATGAAGCTGGGCGGCGTCCCTAACGACATAGTCTCCAACTTCAACCCGCTCTTCATCGTGCTCCTCATTCCCATAATGGACCAAATCGTATATCCTGGCCTGCGAAAACTCGGCTTCAAATTCACGCCTATAAAGCGCGTCACATGCGGTTTCTTCCTCGCTTCATCTGCCATGATTTCCGCGTGCGTGACGCAAGAGTTCATTTACCGCATGTCCCCATGCGGCACCCGAGCGAATTCCTGCGAAGACGAAAATGGCGAGCCCCTCGTGGCGAATATTTCGGTTTGGATACAACTTCTTCCGTATGGGCTTATTGGATTCTCGAGATCATGGCGAGTGTCACGAGTCTGGAGTACGCGTTCACGAAGGCGCCGACGAATATGCGGAGTACGGTGCAGGCGGTTGCGCTGTTTATGAATGCGCTGAGCTCGGCGTTGGCGCAGGCTCTTGTTGCACTGGCAGAGGATCCGTTGCTGGTGTGGAATTATGGGTTGGTTTCTGTGTTGGCTGCGGCAGGTGGAGTGCTGTCTTGGCTTGATAATAGGAAGTTGGATAGAGAGGAGGATAAGTTGAATTTGTTGCCGAGTGCGCAGTTTCATGCAAAAATGAGAGCACCGAGTGATGAGGAGAGTGGAGATCGAGTCGTTGAGGAGGTAGGGAGTGAGTAAAAGAGCAGCGAGTGAGGGGCGGCTGGATGTGATCTTACCAAATGAAGAGAAACAATGGCAAGGAAATTAGCTTCGCCTTCTTGTATCTTACTGTCATTCACGAAATGAATCTATTCGCTTACGAGCTACCTGCCAGACCCCGTCTTACAGTATTTTAGAAAATAAATCAGGGCAGGTGAAACTTTATCTTGTCACGTGTGAAAGGGCTCACTCGCCACTGCCGAGACAGTTCTCCAGCCACCATCGCGTCACCTCATCGTCCGAATAAATTCGCGATGAAGAAGCAATTATCCTTAAAGGCTACCGCCGACAAGCTGCTTCATTCCTGATGACTCAATTGCTCCTCCTTGCATCAACGGCTGCATCGAAGCCCGAGACTGCTTGCGGCTGGTTCTCCCCGGTCAATCAAGGATTCTGATTCACTCTTCTATCTGGGCGACTGCAGCTGTGAGTCAGAACGTTACTCAGGCCGAGATCAGAGTTCAGACCCCACAGCCGATGGCCAACGACTCCCCTTTATTATGTTCCGCGCCTTCCCCCCTTACGATTGCTGCCTTAAGGCCTTCTTCTATTCTCGGTTCCCCTTTTCTCATTTTTGATTGTTTTTCACGACCCAATTGAGCTTTCAAATACAGCTTCAACATCATCTCTCGACAAGTTGGCCGCAGAATGACGACCTCCACCGAAGAAGCAGCAACCACGATCTTAGTATCATGCAAACAAACACGCTTCCATATCGAGAGCCCGGTCTATCAAGAAGTATACTTTCCCTGCTCTCTGAATGGCCCAATGTTGACGACGAGAAGCTCGACATCGAGGGATTAAACATCACAGTCACATCTGGAGCCGGGAAAGCAGCTGCAAAGCCAAAAGTGAAAGCGAGAGCTGAAGGGTTAGAAATTCTCGCGAATGCGAACTTGAAGCTCAAGGCTGGGGTGCATTATGCGCTCATCGGACGAAATGGGACGGGGAAGAGCAGTGAGTTGTGCCCTCATCTTTGTCATCAATCTCGATCAGCACCTTCCAATACCGGTTTATAGGTTGTGGGTAAGACGCCAAGGAATGAGAGCTGATGAAGGAAATAGCGATCTTAAAAGCAGTGGCAGAGAAACTGATCCCCGGCATCCCGATCCAGACACGGATATCAATCTTGCAGCAAACAGCAAGCGATGGCTCAGATCCCGTTGCTGATGCCACAGCTGCCATCCAGGGCTTGGGGGTCGGCGAGGGTAACCAATTCTCGGTGCTGGAAGAGGTCATTGATAGGGCGACGTCGAGGAATGAGATTCAGAGGGAGATTGATGGTATGATCACGTGATGCGGTTGCTGGCTTCGTATTGACGGTCTCTGCAGTCCTTTCAAAGGCGATTGAAAACCATGAGTCGAACCTTGCTCCGCTGAGAGCGTTTCGGCAGATTCACCATGATCGTTTGAAGAGGGAGTTATTTGAGAAGGACAAGGATGCGAGGCTGAGGAGTGGAGCGAGGGGCATGGCTGCGAGGAAAGCGTTGATTGCTTTTGAGAAGCTCGTGGTGGAGTCAGCTCAGCGGTGAGTTCGTCTATTTAATTCCTTGGGTTTAATCTGAAGATGAAACAGGCTTTCACAGAAAGACGAGGAGATTGATGAGGATACGATCAAGGAGGAAACACATCAAGCAAGTGATCTCCTAGCTGAACTCCAGTCACAGCTTGAACCGGGGAAGATTGCCGACATTGAAGTCAAAGCTCGAGGTATCCTATCTGGCCTCGGCTTTCCCAAAGCCAACTTTGACAAAAAAGTCTCCACCTTGTCTGGAGGATGGAAAATGCGCACCAATCTTGCAAGTGTTCTGCTCCAGCCAACTGACATCCTGATCCTCGACGAACCTACCAATTTCCTTGACCTCCTCGGCATCATTTGGCTGCAGCGATTCCTTCTCCAACTCCGGGAAACTGGTCCCAATCCTCCAACCGTTGTTCTGGTTTCCCACGACCGAGATTTCATCAACACAGTCTGCCAAGAACTAATCATCCTCCGCGACCACGAACTCACGTACTTTCGCGGCGACCTCAATACCTATGACTCCTCGATTCGCGACAAGAAGCTCTACCTAGGCCGCATGCGCGACGCGCAAGAGAAGCAAAAAGCGCACATGCAACAAACCATCGCACAAAACATCAAGCAAGGGAAAGCAGCTGGTGACGAGAATAAACTCCGACAGGCCAAGTCCCGCCAAAAGAAACTCGATAACCGCATGGGCATGGAGAAATCCGCAACAGGCGGACGCTTCAAACTGAATCGCGACCTTGAAGGCTGGCATCTCACTGCACGGACGGAAATCGATGTCCCTGTCGATGAAAAAGGGGTTTCTATCCTGCTTCCTCCTGCACCTGACCTGCGATTCCCAGGTCCGCTCGTCTCCCTCGAGAAAGTGAGCTTCAAATATCCCACCACCAAGAAATCCCAGCCCTCACCAATCGTACTGCAAGACATCGACCTCACAATCCACACTGGAGATCGCATCGGCGTCGTCGGTCTCAACGGGAGCGGCAAATCAACATTAATCAAGCTCCTCACCGATACCACGAAACCTTCTTCCGGCATCGCGACACGTCACCCAAGGTTGAGAACGGGATATTATTCCCAACATGCCGTTGAAGACTTACAAGCTTTCGGTCGCTCTAATCCATCACTTACTGCTCTCTCCCTCCTCACTAAAGATGTCGAGGGTAAATTGGATGAAGGCGAGATCCGCGGCCTCCTCGGTTCACTCGGTCTTCCAGGTCGAACAGCCTCCGACGTCCCATTGACAAAACTCTCAGGTGGCCAACTCGTACGCCTGGCGTTGGCAAGACTGCTGTGGCTGACTCCTCAATTGCTGATTCTCGATGAAATTACTACACACTTAGACTTTCACACGGTAACAGCATTAGCGGACGCGCTTGGTAGTTGGAACGGCGCGATTTTGTGCGTCAGCCATGACAGATATTTAATTAGGAGAGTTGTGGAGGGCGAGAAAGATGACGAGGGGAGTGGCGAGGAGGAAGGTGATGAGGAAGAGGATCGCAGGAGGCGGATGGTGTATTTGTTGAAAGGTGGATTGTTAAAAGTTCTGGAGAGGGGGGTCAGTGGCTTTGAAGAGAGTCTTGAGAAGAGGGTCGAGAAGTTAATGGCTAGCTAAGTTAGTCGTTCAAAATGGCATATTAAAAAGGAATAGACAAATTTGGCTGTGTTCTAAGCAGTTTACTCTGAGAAAGGACTAGAAGTCCGGTAACCGAGAGGGCCAAAAAAAAAGGGACTTGTGGTCAAGCTGTCGAGGAGAGGAGGATTCTGCTCACCTTTACATTAGGTTTGTTGCCGTAACCGAAGTATATGCAACGTCAAACTTAAGTCTGGAATTCTGCTTTTCAGCCTTTTCTCTCGAGAAATTAGAATTATGGAGACAACCTACGAACCTTTCGACAGGGTCGAAAAGTGATATGATTTGGGTTGTGGATTGATTGGTTGGTTGGAAGCAGTTCGGCTAGATGCCCTACCGCATAGATTGGATCGGATGACGAGCTTGATTTTGGATGTAAGTTTGAGGGCAACAAATTGTCGACATCGGGTGAGTCTCGGTCGTAGAGTGGAGGCTCGCGGTTGGTTTTGTTTGATAAAGGCAGGGCGACGGGGTGCCGACTTGCCAGAGTCTGGTCGGAGAGTGAGACTCAGGTCTGTTAGTTTTGTTAGTTATGGAGTTTGAATATAGCTTAGACAGCTTGACCACAATATTTAAGGGGGAAATGCTTATTTGGAGTTATGTGGGTGGCAGTGTAGGGCGGGGTTGGAGCTCACCTTCGATTGAGATTTTGGCGTGACTTAAAATCACAAGCGAACGGAACAAGAGGGCTACAAAGAAGATGGATATAGCTCGCCTAATAGACTTCAAATTTTGCAAGTGACATAGGATCTCTGTAGGAAGGGATAGATCGTGGAAGTTAAGAAGTTTCTTTCTTTCTTAGCCCAGATAGACAGGGCTTCTCCCGCGATTGGCTAGTATTGAATTAATTTATATACTTCCTAGTTTCACCAATAACTAGTCATACTCTTCTACCATACAATGAATTCTAGTCCAACCACGAATGCGAGACCATTCTCAGTTGACACGTGCCGGAAAGTGTTATATAGTAGTAAGTATTAATTTAATCTAGCTATTTATCTATACTATAAAAATAGTAAAAGCTAGAAGAATTAAGGTTACAGTTGACGTGGGAGATACGAAGTATTAGGAAAGCGTCACCGCTACTTCACAGTTTACGTACTGATTAGACTAACTAATAAGTGGACTAGTAGCTAATATGAGGTTATTCCAAGGTAGCATCGTCCTTTGCGAATAGCCTCATATTATCGTACAACTTTGTGACTGGCAGGTTATAATCTCGAATAGCACCTGCCGATCACGAAGGTACACCATTCGTGGGAGGACTAGAACAAATGCTTGGTATCCTAATCTCTTCATCTCTCCGTATCATCATGCACTTATTTCTCATCCCATCCCATCCCATCCCCACCCCCCTTCCAATCACAGCCGTCCTCCAGCCACCGGCTTAGAGATACTGTTATGCGGTCTCCCAATCATACCCGCCATCCCCCGAATCTGCTTCTCTCTCAGATCCCCCACCTGAAACCCGCTCTCCTCAACCTCCACCTTCCCCTTTTCCCCACCAAACCCACTATACACATCCCCAACTTCTCTCTCAACAAACCACCTCTTCAACCCCATCTCCGTCGCTACAGCGCCAAGAACCGTCAAATACGGAATCGCAAGTAGGAAACCGATGAATACGAAGATCGCCTGGGGCAAGAATTGTGTGGCGCAGATGGAAATACTGGAGATGTCGAGGAAGGCGGTAATTACGACCGCGACGGAGAGGATCATGACGAGCAGGAGATTGAATTTGTGTGCTAAGTTTATGGCGGGGGCTCTGTAGCGGACCGGTGCTAAGCCTGCTGATGCGAGGGTTAGGAGGACGAGAATTAAGCCCATCACCTCGAATAATCGTTAGTTCAGCTTCCGGAAAGGGAGATGATTGGGCAGGGAGGAAGCTTACACCATGGGCAGAAACAAAGTGGCTCCGTTGACCCTCTCCTAAGACGCCGAAAATCAACGTGAGGAGAGATCCTGGGACAACGAGGATGACACCGATTAGGAGCTGCCATCTGGGGGCATTGGATAGGAATTGCATGCGTCCGGACATGACGGCGATGTTCCGGGCGGTGTTTAGTAGAATGATAGTGGGGAGAGCGAAGACGTAAGTGTTGATGGCCAAAATAACTTCACATTCATCAGTCCTGTCCTCAACCAGAATCCCTCAAACACAGGCAACTTACCATGAAGCACAATCAACGTCACCGCCCTCACGACAGGCTGGCCGTTCAACGTAATTCCTTGCGTGATATCCTTGTTTGCCAGATTTGCAGTGTATGTATTGCCTCCCTCTTTGATTGTGTACGTCTGATTTGTCAATGACGAAAATGAGGAGGTGAGGTTTCCGAAGCTGCCGAGACTGATCTTGCCGCTTTGGAGGAGGGACAGGCCGATGGTGGCGATGCCGCCGACGCCTTGACATCCTAGTATATCGATACCGCTCTGGAGTATTGGATCGATGGTTGTGTTAAGCATCATCAGATCGAGCTTTGATGGTGCCATTAGGGTTTGAGATTGTCGTTTGAGTCCAGTTACTACCGTTGAGCGCTTTGTTACAGAGAGACCTCGAATAGAACGCTTTGCAGCAATCATAGTCGAGTTTGCTGAAGCTGTGCCATTCGAAGCTGGGGAGGTCGAGTTCAGTGGTGGCTTTCCAAAAGCCTGGAGCAGCCCTTTCGTCAGTTCCGAGCCAAGCCCAGTCCCAAAGCCAGTTGCAGCTCCTCCAACACCATCGTCGAAGTTGCTCACAGTAGGCATAGCCATCATGCCCACGGTATCAGAAGGTGGCATATTAAAAACCCCTCCAATACCACCCGCGTTTTCAATACTCGACTGTGCTCCATCCACCAGCCCTACAGCAAATCCGGCAGCAACTTTCCCAATCGGCAAACTCGACAGAGACAAACCACCAATGCCCCCACCCGTCGAGGTTTTACCAGTTGCTCCAGCCAAAGACGATACCGCTTTGGTCAGAGTCCCATTCGCCAGGAAAGACTCGCTGAGGCCTTTTGCAAACGTCTGAACAATGGGTCCCACACTCGCTGTACCACCCGTCGTCGCCGGCACACCGCTATCATTTTGAAATCCCAGTCCAACCACAGCGCCCTCCGCCAATCCAGATCCAAGGCCACTAGCAGCAGCCAGAAGATTGGCACTTGAAAAAGCGCTGGTAAGGTTGATATTAGAAAACATGGACGTTAAACTGGAGTTTCCCATCATGGCCGTCAAGCTCGTCAAGCTGAGGTTCGAAAGAGCAGACGTTGATAATCCTTGTCCAAAATTACCAGCAATGCCATTGAGTCCGTCTGTGTTGAAGGAGCTGTTGTCTGCTGGTTTGCTGCTCAGTTTCAACGCAGAGACTGCTCCACTTCCGAGACCTTGAGCGAGAGAGAGGACGGCTTGGTTGGTTTGGGCTCCTGATAGTGTCGTGTTCCCGCCCACCATGCCCACGACTTTCGTCAGGTCAACACCACCCAGGAAAGAAGTGCTCAATCCTTGCCCAAGGTTACCTGCGATACCGCTGAGTCCGGAGGTGTTGAAAATTCCATTACTTACAGCCTTCAGACCCAAGCTCTGAGATGCACCTCCGCCGAGGCCTTGAGCAAGTGAGAGCGCAGCAGTGTTGATGGTGCTTGGGTCCGTAGCTCCTCCCAAAAGCGAAGACACATTGATGGATCCTACGATTGACGAGGTAAGGCCCATCCCGAGACCCTCGGCAACGGAGTTGATGCCGGTCGCTGGGGCAATAGCTTTGTTTGCCTTAATCATTTTGGCGGGCAGAGCGAGTCCAGTGAGCGTACCGTTTCCGATACCGACTCCAAGATACATGGCTGCACCGCTTGCTCCACTTGCGAGACTGGCTCCGATGTCACTGAAGATGCCTGAGAATGCGGATGCAAGATCTCTCCCGGTGACTTTCGGATTGTCTGCAAAGTGTCAGTATTTCGAAAGTGGTCTTAAAGAGACTTTTTCCCTACTTCCGCTTTTGATGTCGACCATTACATCTCGCAGCAGGGCGAGTGATTCCAACAACAGTTCTCGCGCTTCCTCATTCCCAGGTTTGCCGGAAGTTGCATACACTCGAGCTTTGGGTGCAACATCGCTTGATCTTGTCGTTTGCGATAAATCCAGAGAATTCGAACTGCGGGACTTGAACGAATGGGAAATAATTTCTAAGGTGAATAATATAATTAACATCACCATGGGGTAGACAACCCCCCTGGCGATCTGCCTCAGTCTCCGGTTCTCACTGAGAGAGCCCATGATTAAAAAATACACGTTCGTCCAGCGAATTCTGAATTAAAGGGAACAGGACGAAAGTACGATCCAGAAAGACATAAGCACTTAAAGAGCCGGCTTGCGGAGAGGATTGGAGAATAAGCTCTCTCGCAAGCATTATATCACCATGTCCTTTCCGTCAACACAGACTCTGAGCATCCAATGAATAGCGTCAGGAACATCGTCGATGTGCCATCGGAAAAATTTGAAACTATCTCTGCGGGTGCGGGGTTGTCACAGTGCCTCGCAAGAATTTTGACGAGGTGTTGCTGATGGTTGGCGGGGTCGCGCTTGGATCGAAGTCCCTGGTTCGCAACGTGGATGGTTTCTCGCAACACCATGTTTCGTAAACTGCTGGATCTACCAATGAAACAACGAGACAGTTCTAGAAGCTAGAATTTGGAAGAATCTCTAGACGTACTGACAAAATAATCGCGGCGCCTATTTTCTCCACTTGGGGATCCGGTACCTGGCGGAACAGAGCACTGAATAGAAGCCGGCCGAGGCACCGGGAGACGATGAATCTCGCAAGGAACTCACACAATCACTTATCCAGATGATGGGAAGAAAGTTTCTCTGGGCCTCGGTAATCGGAGGATAGATTATTTCAAAAGGGACGCGCATGGAGGATCAGATAATTGGCCATAAGAGAATGGCGGAGAGAGACCTCGCAATAAAAATGTATCTCCATCGAGAGAGGTCGGTGGGAAAATAGAATGCAGTGAGCGTGAGTAGACATTGCTCACAATAAGTATTTGGGCAGAAAGAGGCGGCGAAAAGAGAGTGGGCTTCACTTGAAGAGAAAGCGCTCGCAAGAACCATTGGCTTACGCAAGCAACCCTTATCTATGAAGCCATTAATGAAGGTGCAACAAACTTGGTCGAGGATGCAGCTGTAAGGCGTAAATTTATTGGAATGTTGACACTGCGTGTCTTAGAAGCTTGTTCCCGAAGCTGCTCATGGGAGAGCAGACATGTGCAGTTTCGAGCGCTGGCTCCTCCCCCCCCCCCCGGCTTGATCACAAAAACGCCCTCTGCACATTTGAATACACCACGCAGAAAGCCCAAACGATTGGTGAACTACACCGAACTTTGATGTTCGCCTCATAATAACGACTGAAGATGCTGCGCGCAGCCTGTACTCCGTCTCGAGTTACATCAAGACCACCGTCCACAAAATCGCACAGCGCACATGTCCATTTCACGAAAAGCGTTCATCCCTCCGATCCGTCCATGTACGATCGCACCAGTACGCTACACTCACAGCTTCCAATCTCAGACAGTAAGTTGAATCCCCTTCTACCATCCTCGTCCGTCACACTACGGCTAAGGCATCCCTCGTCTTCACCAAAGCCACAAATACTCCACCCGCCAGGCCAGCCGCAAGAATAGTCGCCGCGCCTCCAAGAATCAGCGCTACATTAACGTGCACAGCAAACTTTGTCTTAGGTTTGACATCGCCCTTCGAGTCAGAACTCGGTTCATCCAAATCCAGGTTACAATTGGATCGAAGAATCCCAATTCTCAGCTCTGATTGTTCCGAGAAGGTGAGAACAATCGCTTGCAAGAGCCCGCCGGTTGCAATTCGTAGGGAGAGGACAGAGGTGAGCAATCTGACTTGCTCCCAGGTCCCCGAGACAAACACAACCTTGAATGGGTACTCAACAGGCGGCACCCATTTCAGCAGAGCATAAGACCCAAAAATAACCTGCAACGATGCATACTCGAAAATCGGAAGATTCGGGCGAGCTGGGTTGGAGAGATTGATTGCTAAGACCAAGACTGCGACATTGGTGGCAGCATCGATCACGATCTCATCCGCAATCAGCCCTTATTTCAGCGGTCGTTCGAGCATTGACTTACCGGAAGTAACAACCCCATCTCCTCCGCTTTCAACAAAGCTGTTTGGTTCTTCCTTAACTGAAGCTGGGCTAGAGCAGTCACCATGGAAATGTACCCCGCGATGCGGAAATCCAGACGCCGGAAGGTGGCCAGGAAGAGCTGCTCGATTAGGACGTAGGCCACCAGGTTGGGCCAGTTCAGGTCGATGACGGATTTCATGACCTGAGTGTCGAAGGGGATAAGGATATAGTTCGCCAGACATAAAACAACAACAGCGGACTTTAGGGGGTGTTAGTTTTATTGTTCGAGGTGGAGACGGTTGGACACTGACCTTTACTGTCTGGAGGAATTTCGGCGCCATCTTGACGTCTTTGCTCGAGGGCGTGACTATCGTATATTGGCGAGACAGTGCGATGGGAGACTATGAATGATTGAATGAGTGGCAGCTCGATAGGCAATAAATCCTGATGAAAGGCGTAAAGCCTGATGATCGGCCGATATCGCACGATGCGTGAGACGCCCCTGTGTATCCGGTCGCGTATTATGAGGGGCTGCACGCGTGCAAGACCAACTTTAAACGTATCTATCAGAAGTTCTCAACAGTAGGGGAGGCCTTGTACATGTTATTCATCCACGTTGTTGAAAGATGAAGAAAGGAAGAGGTCTGAGCTGCGCTTCAACAGCTTCAGGCTAAGTGAGGCGCAGCAGGATGACGGGGCTGATTGGCGGCATCGATCACTGTGGCGCAGCCGGAATGCCTTGAGCTACTCTCGGTCCACATTAGCAGGGGCAGCCTCATCATTTGCCAAGTTCTGTCTTTTCACAATGCTCAACACTGGAAGGTTCCGTATTATGACTATGCATAGTTTCTCCTGCAATTGTGAAGTCGTCTGGCAACGGGAGCACGTTGTTGTAAGGTTAGAATTAGATCTAACTAGACAGAGCGCTAGTTCTGGGAGTTCTAAAGCTTATTTCTCTACTAATATTAGGACCTTAATAGGCTAGGGGCACCCCGTTCGGCGCCTCACGGCGTGTGGGGCACAACTGTATACGGGACACATCTGCGTACGGGATATATCTGCGTACGGGACACATCTGTATACAAAGCACATCTATATTTAAAGTATATTCTCTACTAATACTAGGAGCTTAGGAGGCCAGGGGTACGGCGTTCGGCGCCTCACAGGAGCGTATATATATACCTTAAGTGCGGGAAGCGTATGTATATCCTTAAGGATATACTTCCTAAGCAATTACAAGTAAGGGACAGAGGGACGTATGTCTTGCCCACCTTTTATGTGCGTACCGGGGGCTAAAGAATAGCCGAAAAAGAAAGCCTTACTTTACGATAAAATTATAAAAATTAGCTTGCGAAATGCGGGGGAAGGGGGCTAGAAGGGAATCTAATTCTCAATTGCATAAGCACCCGTTCTAGGGTTTACCCAGAGAAGGTGCTTATGTATTCTAATTAGAGTTAGCCTCCTGTTATTTCCCCTTTGGGCGTATACCCATGTTTTAGGAATACTATGCGAGCAAAACAGGGGTGTTGCAAGGGTTGGCAGGGGCACACTGATTTTCTTTCCAACCACATCGGATTCCCTCTGCGCTTATTAATTCTACCGTCTGCCTCTAAAACCAAACTCTCTACTTCCCTATCAACCCTTCCCAGCATGATACTACCATTAGCTGCGATCATTACTGAGATATGCTCTACCCAAAACACCTATATCAAGATTTTGTCAGGGCCACTGAAAGGTGGCTCCAATACTATATATGAGATCCAATCTGAGGACGGGGATCGTTGGTGTCTTCGAATCCCCTACGATGCCGACGCAGCTAGATTTGCTACAAAAGGGACTGTCGTTCTAAAGGATGCAAAAGAGAAGTGCCCAGCGCTTCTAGTACCTGCTATTGTTTATCAATCACAGTATTATACTGTTATGGACCATCTTGATGGAGAGGCTCTTAAATCCTGGAATACGCAAGTGTTACCAAAAGAACGATGTCAAGTTTTGCTGGATGGCCTTGCGACCTTCCTGTTTTCCCTATGGACCTTAGAAGAGGCACAAGACACTCAAGGTACAAGTAGGTTTTATTGAATGAGCATGCCGTGAATCCCGGCATGCGACAGAGATATAATAAGATGGGCTAACTAGTGTATAGATTACAAGATGACCTAGTGCCTTATCCAGACGATGGGGTTGCTATATTTAAGCATGGAGACTTGAATGCATGGAACGCGGTTGTGAACGAAAGAGGCCTCTCCGGGTAAGCACCTTAATATTTTAGTATATTTTTTCTTTTCTAATTAGTAATAGTGTTGTGGATTGGGATACCTCCCGATTCGCGCCTGCCCCTTCAGCTATCCAGTACCCTATTTTTATTGCGGATATTCCGGGGTGGCTAAATGACGATGTCCCTAAAGAGATGATATTTGAAGAAGATCGAGCCTATTCAGAGCATGCAATAGGGAAATTAGATGCGAGTTCTGAAAACCCTGGGCGGATTGAGTATCTACTAAGAACTTCATTTGAGAGGCAATTCTTAGAACTGTTGCTTCGTAACCGGAAGATCAACGATGAGTATGTTCAACGAATATTAAAGCATGATGCTATACTAGATGAGAATGCGGCCCTCGAGCAGTTAGAAGATTTTGTTTCTGTCAACGAGTTAATGCGAGCGCTCCCTGTAGTATTAAAATTGCGAAGCAGGCTTATTTGAGGGTTATACTTCTAGAATTAGGCAAGAACTTGAGGGAAGTAGTTGTACATCAATACTTGAGGTAGAAAAAGGAGTAAGAAATATATGAAGCAATTTCCTTTGAGCAAAACTGTTGTGTATATGCATATAATGAATGATATCTGCATATACTTAAATAAGCTAAAGTATGACTAAAAAGATGATATAACCATGTCTTCAAACCTTAGGAAAACAGGTAAATAAATGGCTGTGTAAGCTGGTCCAAGGCTATACTGATGTCGGCAGCGACGAGAAAGGAAACTCCTGAAACTCCCTACCCCTACCGGCCCAACTGATCCAGGATTTCAAAAGCCCACGCTAGTTCGAATCGATGTGATTGTGATTCGGGTCCGTGGCTGACCCAGTGTCTCTGCAGGAGCACCGATAGTTCTTCGGTGCCCCGGATGGGAATGCCCAGAATGTTGCCTTATAGTCTTGCGTCCTCTCTTCATTGGACTACTAATAGTCGGGCTTGACGTTGCGCTAAAGGGGCCCTTCCCTTTAGTCAGGGAAAGCAAGTTGTCCCGGGAAAGCAAGATGTCCTGTACTAGCCTTTTTTGCCTTCTAAAAAATAATATTAGAAACTAGCTATAGAAAATCTATTTAATACGTTTTATTTGCAATCTTATAGTTACCTATTATATACTTAAGGGCTAAAGTTTTAAGTAAAAAAATAAAAATTTATAATTAAGCAAAAGTTATAAGTCTAATATTCGCAAAATAATCACAAATAAATAATTCTTATAATTTTTGTATTTCTCGCGATTTTATTATTAAAACCTTAATAACTTTCTACTCACTTCTTTGTTTAAGATTTAGAGAATCATATCTAGTTTATAAGGCTTATATTTTTAATTCTATTACTTAGAATTATTTAAAAAGGTTAAGGTTTCAAGTTATTAAGGATTTTATTTGGTGCGGGACATCTTGCTTTCCCGGGACAACTTGCTTTCCCCGACTAAAGGGAAGGGCCCCTTTAGCGCGATGTCAAGTCCGACTATTAACTGTCAATGTCTTTCTGAGTCGTAGAATAGTAATAGACATTACCGAATCCCATGGAATTTCCACACTAACTCCCTTACGCTCAGTAATCTCAAGTTTCTCTGGATCGTCTGGGGAGTATCGACGAAGTCTAATGTAATCCTCGAGTCCGAACTGTTGAACAAGTTGTTGAGAAGATGCAAAAAACTCATCTGCCACCTCATCATAATCCCCGAGCTCAAATTCGCAAGGCATCTACGACTTCTGGCGTAAGACATATGACTTCGGTCTGATTTTGGCACCATACAAATTGTCAGCTTTATCGCTTATTGGAAATGGCTGACGAGTTTGGCTATGTTTTCGAAAGCCGAGATGAAAGCGGTGAAGTCCTTGGATTGGATTCCGATATGGGCCTCCTCCAATGAATGAACGGAGTGGATAATGGATGGATCATAAACCACAGCCATGTTGAGTCGTTGGATGCGTGCGAGTTGGTGTGTTTTATGGTTTCAAATGGCTGCTTGGTTAAGCTTGATCGTTTGGGATGTAGGATATAGAATGGACGAGAGCACTGGTGCACTTTTATACACTTTTCCAGGTCAACAAAATGGCCTGCGCCTGCCGATGTTAGTTTCAAGTTTCAACTTCCAACTTCCAACTTGATTCTATGGCATTACTGCTTGTACTTGGCTCCAGGGGCTTGTTGGCATCATGCACGAGTGTTCGTTCTTGATTCTATTCGCTCTTGATTCTATGGTATTGTCGCTTGTACTCGGCGCCAGGGGCTTGTTTGTCACATATTATGATTCCCCGACGCATATCTGCCCAGAGACAGTAATTATGGTGGTAGCCTAGGAGTTCTTTGTCTGTATATAGACGTGAGACGACTTGGTGTTGGAATAACTTTAGTGGAGGAGTCGATGCTGGGAGAGAGACTCGGCGAGGGCGACAGTGACCGCGAATTTGGAGCCCATCCGAACCCCCTCTGGTGCCTGCCACACCGGGGCATGAGGGTGGAAGCAGGTTTGTTTGTTCCCGGCTTCTAAGCACCCTCAAAAGCGGTAGATTTGCGTTGTTCTATCTTATGAGCCTAAAATTTGTCCTATGGAATATTTGATAAATGCTCTAGTGAATACCTCTCATAAATTTGAATGGCGCAAAAGGCGTACTTGTACGTTAGCATGTCTCGTCTCAATCTACAGCGGAATTCTCTTGGAAACTTGCCGATTTGACTGAAAGGGAAGAGAGTAGAAAGCGGCTAATTCTGGACATGGGCAAAGCAGATAGAATGCAGTTATAACCTCTGGAAGAATGGTATGATTGCTTTCCTCAAACAACTATCACAAGGGGTTGCTCGAACATATTCAAGCAAACCACCTGCTTCCCTCTCCTCTATCTATTCTCTGGATGTTTAGATTTGAGAAGCCCCCCCCACTTTCCCACTTTCTCACCGCTTCGTCAGATTCAAGCCATCCACCCCCCATCGACTGTATGCACACTCCCTGTAACAAAACTACTCCCCTCACAAAGCAACCAACAAACCACCTCGGCAACCTCCTCTGGCTTGCCCAACCGATTCATGGGCATCACCGATACCGTTCGCTCTATATTTATGTCTTTGATTTCGGTGTCTAGGCCGCGCACCATTGGGGTATCGATCACTCCGCTGGTATCATCAGCTCTAACCTCTCCACTTTGATCTTTGGGTCCGTCCAAAGAATTATTGAGGGATTGAGGGAAGGAAGGAATGAAGGGAAGGGAGGAAGGGAGAAAAACATACGGCGCAATAGCATTAACCCTCACCCCACACCCACCACACTCCTTCGCCGCACTTTTAGTGAGACCGACAACTGCGTGTTTACTCGCTACATACGCACAGTTCCGCGCCATACCAATTGCACCTGCTACACTCGCCATGTTCACAATTGAAGCGAGCTTCTGCCCCTCCCCTCCTCTTTCTTCCCTTCTTCGATAAGAGATTTCATGGCTTTCAGCTCAGCACGCAAGCAGTTAAATATCCCCTTCATATTGACGTCGAGAATGAACTCGAATTCAGAGTATGGGTAGTCCTCGATAAGCGATATCCCAGTGGAGGGGCCAATAACACCTGCTAGATTTGCGGCTCCATCTAGTCTCCCATCTCGTTCCACAATGTCTGTGATCCATTCCTCCACCTTCTTTGCATCGCGGACATCCAACACTATTCTTTGCTATCAACATCATTTTGATTTAGGATCGAGAGGGTAAGCGAAAAGGGGTAAATACCGGTGCCAGTGACTACAGCACCGCTAGATTTCAGCTCCGAGACAACGGTTTCAAGCGCTTCTCCATTCAAGTCTGCAATAGCGAGTATCGCCCCCCTCTCGGCCAGCATCTTCGCAGTCGCTCGGCCGATTCCCGACGCGGCGCCCGTAACGGCAATAGCCTTCCCTTTAAGATTCGTCGACATTTCGCAAGACGTTGACTCGCGAGCTCAGCTTGGGTTGGAGAAGGAAACCCTGAGAGTAAATGACAAGGCTGTGAAGCAAGATCGCACCAAATACGGGATATGGTTTGAGATAAGAGAGCAGAATATGTAATAAGATCGGTGTAACATTGAGAGTTGTCAGGTCCTGATTCGCCGCCTCCCATGATGCGGAAGGTGGGGAAGCCGGACCAAGGCGCAGGTGCAGGTGCAGGTGCCGATGTGGGGAAAGAGAACGAGAGCCCAAGAAATAAAACGTAGCGTGACAAGGCTGGCACGGCCGTTCTGACGTATACCGTACCCTGGCCGTTCTACGTTTTATTTAGGAGGGAGAGAGTATATGACGAGATAGTTTCCCGTCTTGAGGCATGCAGAAAATCAACGATTGGTTCTCCAGAGTAACGGCAACTCGCCTCATGCGTAGTACTGCATCGAGAAGTAACTAACTGTCCAGGGGGCCGCAATGACAAAAAAAGACTATCAACTAATCATTGCGATTCAGCATCATCTTCTCTGAATTCATAGCGGGGAGTAGTAATTCAACAGCCACCAAAGCACCCCACTGCTCAACAACCCTAAACGGCACATACTCCAAGTCCTATACCTCACCTGTATCCACTCTCCCGCCTTCTCCCAAGTGCCAAGTCGTGTTCTCGTACTCTCTCGCTTTCAAAAACGTCCGATCGGGATTCGGATTCCCACTCCTTGCAAAGGCTGCCCGGGAATTGAGATCGAACTGTGAGATTGGGAGGCCATTCTCATCACGAAGCGGAAGACCCTGTCTTTTGATGTTGCCGAATTCGTAATACAACTCGCCGGAATGGCATTTGAAGGACGCTCCCTCCGGATCACCATTTGGATGAGAGGGTCTGCGAGGGGCGTCGCAGACAGGAGGGTTGGGATTCCGTCCTCTCATCTGGTAGGTTTTATTAACTTCGTAGAAGTACTGGCTTGGAGCAAACACGCTGTTGAGAACAGAGGCATAGGCGCTCGCCTGGTTAAAGCACCTAAATATTGAATCCGCCGCCACGTGACATTGAAGACATCGAGGGACGTGTTCATGGTTTTTGGTTGAGGGAAGAGATTGGAATGAGAGGCGATGAGCGATGAGTTGAAGCCGACTTTGGTGATAGATTCGGACAGGTCTTCGTCTGGATGTACGAGATGATTGCAGAACCATCATCGCGCATTTAGTCCTGCATAGGGTAGATGCTGGACGAATTTACTCCCGTTCAAGTTCAGTGGGAAGAGGTCGGGTAGGTGCCGTCTACCACTAGACACCTACCTGGCCACGGTTGCTGTCACCAAGGACGCTGCGGGCACGTTCTGAGGCAGCCAACTTGGGATGCGACAGTAGTGCAATTGGTTGTATCCAGGATTGAGTTCACTGCTGTTGTCATTACATCCGCAGAGCTGAGCCATGAAGAGTAAGTCGTCTCCTATCCTCCGCCGCCGAATTGCTAAGAGGAATTGCTCCAGTGAATTTACCAATCGATTTGGGCGATGCTAGCATTGCTCTGACAGATGCAACTCCTGCTGATTGTCCGAATGTGGTAATCCGATCTGGATCACCACCGAAATCTGAATATTATTCCGGACCTAATCCAAAGCATTGATTTGATCGACAAACCAGAAATTCCCTTTCGTCACACCATCATTGAGAGCTAGGAAGCCTAATGTTGGATAGTCGATAATTGATGGCAACCATCACCACCTCTCATCTCGAGGCTATATTTCCTCCATCGAACGTTGGGTCATTCGCAGTACCACCTGTGAAGGCTCCACCACGTATCCAGAACACAACAAACTTCAATTGTTTTGAACTTGCATGTGCTGAGAAATAGACAATCCTCCGAGCCTCCTTCTCCAGACTGCATGCGTTGTGAACCGTAAAGAAGTAGCATCAGAGCTGGAAGTCCCTTTATATGGCGTCGAATATGTGAATCTTCTGGGCTGCGGGGCATAACAAACCCCAAGAAACCTGAAGCTCAACCTATTTTGAAATCTTGGAGACATCAGGTCCGGTGTGATGAAATATAGGGTATGGATTCATACCCAGTGATATACCCATGGTTCGAATGGACCGTCACTTGCCACTGTGTAGTTGTATTCTGACAGGCCGAATTGGAGAAGGGGGCAGAATGTGTGCAGAGAGCTGGCTGGATCTGATGTGAGCTCGGGGTTGTAGTCGTGTTGGCTACGTTTCCGTGACCATCAATTGCTCGAGGTATTCGCAGTGGAAGCAATCCAGTATGTGGATTCACCATACATTTTCCTTGGGGTGTAAGGTAATCGAGAATCAGTTGTATGCTTGAAGGATTCGGCTCGAGGGACTACAATTGTTCTCCCAGTGTCGCGTACGCGCTAGCTACAGCAACTCCAGATTGGGGCGTGAGGAGGATAGTCCTGGAATCTGCGGAGGGGCTTTCGGGACCTGTTGACAAAGAGAGTTAGATCGAATAAGCACTGGGTAGATCTTGCTTACCGAGGAGCTCATTGTTAATTAAAATGGTCAGAAGAGAGCCTAGATAATTGGGAGAAGTGCAACAAACGAGATGTGTTAAGAGAAAGAACATGACGACAACCTTAAAAGCCATAGAGGCGCGTATCCGCAGATGCCGTAAGAAAAGAAACACGAATAACAAAGCCTCCAAAGAATTGTCGTGAGAAGAAGGCACAGCACAGAGAAAAAGAGTGACTTCTGGGGAAATGCCTACCTCTTGGTCAATCCGCTTGGGAATGAGCCGGCCTCTGGCTGGCCGGAAAAGCCAGCGAGGTGCTTTCATTTGGAGTAGAGAGAGCGAGGCATATCTGCCGGCAAGAGGCACGCAGTAGGGGCAGAAGACGGTGAAAGATGCGGCAGTCTTGAGGCCATCGTGATCCAGAACAGAATCACAGACGAAGTTCTCCGATGTTTCCGTGATTCGACAGTGGAAACGCTCCTCGGGAGTGGCTAACAGTGCGCGTCGTCGCGTTCCTAAGCGTAGATCCGATCGTCTGAAGAATGTGGTGGGGGAAGGGAAGGGGTACTTCAGGCTGAGTGGGATGAATATGAGGATGAAGATGCAGGCCGATCGTGCATCTTGACGGGATGGTGGAGCGGGTGGAGGTTAGAGGCTCGCTAAAACGTTGTTCCATCCGACCGGAACCGAGGGCACGTGGTATGGACCCCCTTTTCTGAAAAAGCGCCTCGGACTTTCTTGCTTCACTTGCCTCACTTGCCAACCTACCCTACAGATGAAAAAATTCGGCCCACCATGCACTCTCACACTTCCATCACTCCGCAAACTTGCAATCCCCTCACGTCACCGTCATCTTTGAGTCTTCTGTCAACTCGTGAGTAGTGAACCTGTGAGGAGGCATTAACGCCGCCCGAAGTGATTGGCCCAGCTTACCCTGGTTTGACGACGTGCATTGGCGAACCCTCTGCCCGCACCCCCTGGCTAGCCACCCGCCTCATGCCACCCAGTAATTCTCGCACATCCCCACTCTCCAAGAAACACAAGACGAGCAACATCCTGAATTTCAATCTCCAACCTCGACACTGATCAATCGTGCTGTGGTTATACGACGCGCTCGCCCTCACGGACTCGGCTGCCAAATACTCCGCGCCAATTTCTCCGCCCTGTTTGTGACCACCGACCAAATGCTCTAATATCAGGCTCCTGTCGGAGCGTTGGGGCTTGATATTGCTAGAGCACCCATAGCAGCTCGGTTGCTCCTTAGAGTTACAATAACTCCACCTTCTACTAATTCTCCGTGGGCTTGGTTTTGGGACGAAAAGGCCCGTTTTGCGGAGACTCAAGCTCACTCCGCCTTCCCCATCTCATGCCCCCACTTACGAGCTGATCTAAAACTCTGGCCACTCCGTACTGCAGCTGAGTACTTGTCACAGTTCAAAGCACCTCTCCTGCGAGCCGCCCCTCATATAGCCCAGCATCTAGTATCTTTCCGTAAGCGCGCCATCAGCTGCCCTGTCTTAATATCAAACCCCTCGCTATGCGGCACTGTTTCTGGAAGGCTTCCTTTCGGCCGTCGACCTCCGGTACCACCCCGTACTACCGACCCCAGATTTCCCGAGCTCTTGAACCTGCATGAGCATCACAGGGCTCTTCAAGTTCCTGGAGTCTGTCTTCCCGGTCGAGCACATCGTCTCGTCTGCCAATAACAGCCCCGGCCACATCTGTGGGGATTAACCTCGCACCCCTTCCGTCGTGCGCCCGCGGCAAGTAATCAATCTCTCGAAAATAGATATGGATTCCACCTCGACACAGCTCTCTTCATAATTCTCGAACTCGACGGTGCAAAATAGAGATTGATCCTTCTCCTCCACAATACATTGTTCCAACGAGCATTATATTTATCCTGACGGCTAAGCATCGATGAGCCCAACGGTCGGTCCTTTCTTCAGGCCCAATGTCGAGTTCCCCGGAGCCTTCCCCCACGTCTGTGGCGGGCGGTGGAAGAACCTTCTCCATGTCTAGGGACAAATTCAACATCGACATTCCCAACTCTCCTCGACTCACTCTCACCACGAACGGCAACCACGTCAATGGCGTCAACGGGAATGGGAATTTGAACTCGCCAAACCCGCTCAAATCGCCGAATGCACGCCGCGTTCAGAGCTTCTCGCGTGACGGCATTCTTGGATCCGCCCAGAAAACTAGGAATCTTTCTCAATCCTCTGGGGACAGAGAATCCATGACAAACGGTCTGAATCAAACCCGGCAGAACAGTGACGATGGAATAAATCCGTTGAAAAGAAGAAGCACCGATGCTGGACTCGACTACCCAAGGCGGAGGGCTACCATTGCTGTAAGTTATCTTTCCTGGCAGCTTCGCCTCCCACTGACGTTGTTTAACAGTGCGAGATATGTCGTTCTCGCAAGTCAAGATGCGATGGAACGAAGCCAAAGTGTAAACTCTGCACAGAGTTGGGAGCAGACTGTATTTATCGGGAGCCAGGAATAAAACTTGATGCTGGCGACAAGCTTATCCTGGAGCACCTCACCCGCATCGAGGGTCTACTCCAATCCAATCTGGTCGGCCAAACGAATGGCCTCGTACTCTCTGCGAATTCGCCATCCATCAATGGCGCAACAACTATCAGCAATGAGGATATTATGATGCAGAATAACGTCAATTTCGTCTCGATGATTCCTGCCTCTGGTCTCGGAACCTGGACGTCGGTTGGCACGAATATTTCGACTATGCCAAAAGTGCACACCAATGCAGCACTACACCTCCTTCAATGGCCTTTGATACGAGATCTGGTGTCGAGACCTTACGATCCACAAATTCTACTCCAGCTGGAAATGGCTCGAGAACCTCTCCCACTTTCCAAGGCCCCATGTCTGGACCTTTCGAATACGTCAGCCTATATTGAGGCTTTTTTCGCAAAAGTCAATGTCTGGTATGCATGCGTCAACCCATTCAATTGGCGAAATTACTACCGTATTGCACTTTCGAATGGATTTCGCGAGGGGCCGGAGAGTTGCATTGTGTTGTTGGTACTCGCTCTCGGTCAGGCCAGCTGTAACGGGTCTATTTCTAGACTCCCACTGGGCGAAGATCCCCCAGGACTGCCATATTTTGCAGCAGCATGGGCTCTACTCCCTGGCTTGATGACTCGCAATTCCGTGCTATCAGCACAATGCACGGTCCTGGCTTCGGCATATCTTTTCTATCTGGTCCGGCCCCTGGAAGCTTGGACACTACTTGCAAGTACCAGCACCAAGCTACAACTGCTTCTCTCGGCCCCTGGACGGGTTCCGGCCGCTCAACGGGAGCTCAGCGAACGGGTTTACTGGAACGCTCTTCTCTTTGAGTCCGATTTACTTGCCGAAATGGATCTTCCCCACTCCGGAATTGTCCAGTACGAAGAGAGTGTCGGGCTCCCTGGCGGATTCGAGCCCGAAGATGAAGAATCTGTGGGACGAGACGACCTCTGGTATTTCCTCGCGGAAATTGCTCTACGAAGGCTCCTCAACAGAGTATCACAACTAATTTACAGCAAAGATTCCATGGCTTCAACACAAAGTCTGGAGCCGGTAGTGGCTGAACTAGACTACCAGCTCACTCAGTGGTACGACAGCTTACCGCTGCCCCTACAATTCCCGTACTCTCGGTCCATGTTGAATGATCCGGTGCAAACGGTGCTCAGACTGCGGTATTTTGCGTGTAAGACAATCATTTACCGACCATATATTCTGGCTGTGCTGGATAATGAGCAGGCGGCGATGGATCCGAGTGTGAGGGAGAACTGTCGGAAGTGTCTCGAGGCAAGCATCAGACAGTTGGAGCACATCACTGCCCAGTACGTCAACCTTCTCTTCCACATAATATATTCATGCATATATCTAATGTCTCAACAGCCATGCTGGACACATGCCTTACCTTTGGCAAGGAGCCCTCTCCATCGTCAGCCAGACCCTCCTTGTCATGGGCGCAACAATGTCGGTGTCACTTTCCTCCATCCTCGCCACCTTGGTCCCAAGTCTCGACACCATAGACGCAATTATCAATGGTGTTATCTTAGAGATCGAGCTGTACGCACACCTTGCGCCATCCATCAGCCTCTCGAGCGAGATTCTCAGGGAAGCAGAGATGCGACGTCGGACTTTCTTAGGTGGATAAGCCTCCTCCTGTAACAACACATAAACACGAAATCGCCATCTCATCACGACTCATGAATCACGGCCGCCACTAGACTGCGACTACGACACCTGCAACGGCATACAAAAATCCAAATGCGAAAGCGGCAACACCCCTTGACCCGCCATGTTACCGCACCATCCGAATTTCTAAAAACAACGGCCCGACTGCATTCGGCAGTCGGCCGACAGCTTACAGCACATATCAAACCATCTGGTCCCCTATTCCAGCTCTCGCCGTCCACCTTGAGCCAATCTCACGATACTGGTGAGTGTGGCTGGGCAGCACCTGGGCTCTGATTCGCTTGAGGATATTCGGGCCGTCATGCCGGGTGCTGAGTGAGCTGCCCCACGGGTGAGGCGACGCAAATTGAAATCAATCTGTTCAGCCAGTCCGGGGGTCGTGATGCACCGCCACGCTTTATCATCGATGCAGAGATGTGAGAAATGGGGGGGGCACCATTCGGGACGCCCCGCGGAGGTTTGGAGGGGACGCCGCGACTCACGTGGGAAAGATGCAGAGCTGAGAAGTCGAAAAGAGGGTGTTTATATTGCAGTGGTGTACATGGAAGTAAAAGGTGAAGGGTATTGGGCTCCAAGGGAGCAGAACAGGTAGGAGGGGGATTGCTGGCAACCCGTCAATTAACGATCACTTCCTGCATTCAAGGTTGGGCATATGGGGGCACACAGGATTGGAGCAGCATCACATTCAAATCATTTCTATATTGCATTGTACAGAAACAATCAAAATATCGAAGCATCTCCCTTCCATTTGGAATTCCCGCTGAAAAGGAATTGGCTCCCAGTATTCTAAACCCAGCCTCCCAAGATCCAAACAAATACCTCATTCCCAATCTCAAATTTATATTCAAATTCAAATCCAACGAATCGGTGAAGGAGAGAGAAGGAAACTGATACATCACAATCAGATCCGATCCTCAAATCAATCAAACTTATCTCGGTTACCACATTAAGGATCGCTCCTTACGTCCACTACACCCCCGAGAGGTCGGTATATACCTACCCACCACCCGGCCACTGTACGAGCTGCGCGCCGTGCCCCTCGTTGTTGGGATTCTGGGACCCCGTATTGTGTGCCCCTCCTTCCCGTTTTGCTGCGGGGAATAAGAGATGAGGTGCATTCGAGGCGAGGACTGTGAGGTTCTAAATGCGGTTCTTTTCGGAACTGAAACGAGATTCCAGAATTGTACATAAATTGGGAAATGTCAGCAATGCACAGGCAAGACCCATGTAGCGATGCATAGTGAAGCCCACATCGCATATCCCTCACATCACATTCCTATATCGGTTCGGAGAATCCAGCTAGAAAATCAAGTGTGAGTTGGCCGGCCATACGGTACCAAGCTTAAGTGCTACCCCTGCAGGTAGCAATCCCAAAACGCGGAGGAGGGGAGGAGGGGAGAGGTCACGGATGCGGGGAGTCCGAGTTGAAAGAGAACGGATGGAAATGGGAGCTAATGCAGGTCGTGTACGCAAGTGAGGTAGCATGGCGAGTAGCCGCGACGCGGGGTTACCGGGTAATTCGAAGTCTGGTGAGATTAGGGATGTATGGATTTGTAATATAATAATTATATAATAACGCCAATTGGCGTAATTATATAATAACGGTCTTGCCATTATTATACTTTATTAAATCAAGTATAATTTACGCATAAGCTATGCATAAATAAAGCAAATTTGGGCGTCTTTGTTCGTTTAAGGCAAGGGCAACCGACTACCCTGTCTTCCTTACGAGCCAGCCTTTCCATAATAGGTTAGCGTATAATAATAATGTAATAACGCATTTTTGTCCGTTATATTACATTATTATATAACAACCCTCCAAATTATATAATTTTTTCATCCCTAGGTGAGATATGGATCTCGAAACCCTAGATTGGGAAAGGATAATTGGGAATAACAAGGAAAGGAGCTTGAAAGTTCTTGGAATGCAGTGCGCTGGTGTTTGGGTTTGAGTAATAGAGAGAGAGAAGGGCTTGTGAGCAGCTGGAGAGTGAAAATGGGGGAGGGGCTGGCGTTGAAGGAGCAGCGCCTGAAGCACGAGCTATTTTTGGATTCAAATTTACTTGTGAAAGGGCAGTGTAGATAGTATAATTGGAAAAGATATTTTTCTAAAGGACGAATGAACTGTGTGCTGAGACGCTGATGCTGGAGGGCAAGGTACGGGGAAACGAGTCTCGTAGCTTGCACGTGATACGTCCTTTTTGCGTTGAAAACTGTGTGAAAACCATTAAGTATAGCATAAAGCGGGACATCGTGCTTAGGGCAAACGCGTTCAAGTGATCAGGACATAGAATGAACCGAATTTTTGCCCCATGACTGTTCATGAGCGATCCAAAACATCAAATCAGATTATACTGAGGAATCAAGCTTCTTATATGAACCCACTAGGCAACAGAGTGAGTATATATCGCCTTTAAATCAAAGACCTGACTAACTTGTGGCGCAGCACGGTCAACTAGTTTGGAGAAACTTGTGGCTTCGAGGGAAAACGACGGTAGAGGCAGAGGAAGGGGCTGGAATTGAGAGATACCATGATGATATTAGAAGCTGTTAAGACCTATAAGCAAACTCCGATTGATATTCCACTGTTGTCTTGACATGGTTATTGTCTTGTCGAAAGAAAAGGAGAGAATGCGGTTCCCGCAAACTAGCGTGAGATTAGCGAGTCCGCCCCCCCTGATTCAGGTGCCACCAATAGTTTTCAGGCTATTGACTCGCTAGAAATAGTAGATCGTTAAAATTTGCAGCGCCGTTCGCCGTAATCTCCCGTCGCCAATCCATCCCCCTCTCACCCCATCATGTGATCCCTCAGACTGCGCGTTTCAATAATGGGATGAGAGTCAGTAACATTATTATCGAAGTTCACAACAAGAAGCACCTGTTTCAATCTAACGGTATCCCCATCTTTGGCCCGCTCATCTGCGGCACGTCTTTCCAGCTCAACCCGCCCATCGAACCTTGATCTCGCTCCCGCTCCCCACACACCGCCTTTTATTCGAGATCCAGGCCGCACGGGAAAAGGAAACATGAAATCAACAGTCTGTTGCACGTCTGCAGTTTCGTACTTTGGTACCTAGATCTCGTTTCCAATGTTTTCGTGGTTGATGGATTCCCGTTCTCGCTTATAAAAAAAAGCACTTCCTCAGTGACGTTAACCCCCACCTAAACTCCCCATTCATGCATCTCTCCTTCCACTAATCTCTCCACCGAGCTCATTCGAGAACATCTCGCCGGAAGATCTCACATCTGTTGCATGTCGCAGTTACGTACTTGGTAACCTAGCTCTCGTTTCCGTCGTTTTCCTTGTTCATCGTGGGGCGATGTTGTGCCTGAACACCAAATAAAGGTTGGCGTCGATAAGCCCCGAGGCGCGCCGAAGTCTGGTAAATTGCCTTCTAATGCCGACCTACTTTTGAAACGAGATTTGAATTTGTTAAGCCGAGGAAATAAGTCCAGATTTACAGCTCACGACGCCAAGGACATTAGTTCCGGGACATCCGGTTTGCTTGCTTTTTTCGTCGTGCGTGGGAATTTGGAAAGAATGATATAGTGTTGTAGTGGCGAATGTCTCTTTAAGCAGAGATCGGGACCGCTAGGCAGGGACTAAAATCGGAAGATTGATTCTTGACAGAAAATTATTAAGCAATACAGTAGCTCCACAGAACGCCTTGAGAACTTCGATTGTCTCTCGATAAATTCTCTTTGACTTTTTCCGTGCTGGAAGTTTCCGTTGCCCCTGAATCACAAGTCTGCCTCGCTAATTTGGAGTTAAGCGCCCCTGAGCCAAAAGCTGACCACCATTCATGCGTTCCTCAGAATTGAGTTTAATGCAGGCATCGCAGAACAAACGCAAACCTTCCAGAGTGAGCAGATTAGAGGATGTCTCAGATAATCCCCGTGGAGACCATGGTAATTTCCGTGTCACCGTCAGCAACGCCTCCTGACCGCATATTTCGCTGTTGAGGCATCTCCCGAAAGCTAGAATCTTAAGATGATGGCGATTATACTGGATAGAGTGGGAGATTTGGCCCGAAACTCCCTTGCTTCTTCCTCATTTACCTCTAATATTGGGGATTGGATCGTGGTGTTTTTTCGGGCGAAGGCCTAGGAGAATCGAGGCGCCGATGATGATGATGATGATGATGATGATGATGATGATGATGATGATGATGATGATGATAATAATAATAATAATAATAATAATAATAATAATAATAATAATAATAATAATAATAATAATAATAATAATAATAATAATAATAATAATAATAATAATAATAATATAATAATAATAATAATAATAATAATAATAATAATAATAATAATAATAATAATAATAATAATAATAATAATAATAATAATAATAATAATAATAATAATGATTATTTTTACGTTTATGAGCTATGGTAGGTCAACCTCCGAAGGTTATAGAGACGTGCTCAGCTAAATATTTAATACAAAGTCCTATTTATATAGAATAGCGAAAACCACGAAGAGAAAAAGGCGGCCTCTATAATAAATACCCCCGAGCCCCGACCCCGCTGTATTTCAGTGCCCCTGTATATCCTAGAAAGCATTCAAGCATAAGCGGTCACGCTGAACGGCTTGTGGCTATGAACCTCCCACGGCCAGTTAGGGTGGCTACCAGACATTATACAGTTCTAGAGAGGGGTATCTAGACTTTTGAAAGCTCGAATCCAGATAGCTCGACGCGAGTCAAAGCCTCCTTGTCAACTCTGTCGCAATATGGCCATAGAATCTTCCTCTCCGGTAGTAATATGAGCGCGAATAACGAAGGCGTAGTACCAAAGACCCTTCTAGTTCTCCCCACTAAGCCCTCTAACTCCTCTAACCCTCTCCCTATACAAACTCGTAAAGCGTCTTTGGGCGCGGTATTCTCCTTCTCTCGGATCTGCCAAACGCCTCCCTCAGGTCCTTCTATCCTTATATATATATAGATGTATATGATTAATGGTCGGCAGGAGGTAAAGGGCATAGTAGTGGGGTTGAAATCTGAGAGGTCGGTAAGGGAACATCTCCTTGCGTTGCTTGTTTTGTGATTTAGTCCTAGCCTAAGAGTATGAAAGCCCTTGGTATCCAGCCTGCACTGCGTGGAAGTGCTGAATCGTCGCAGGCCTATCGAGGCACCGAAGTTGGTGGACTAGGGAATGACAGAATCTTTGAGCAGTGGTATGTGGTATGCTATTTTTATCGAATCTCTTGCCAATTCCATTATGGCCAGATCATTCTATTCTCAAATTATTTTGTTCACTGCGAATCTGCGATGGGTTTAGGTGTTGGACTTCTAGCAATGTGCTCCTTGTTCACGGCTTGGGGACTGGACTCGCCAATTTGGAGCTAAACTCCCCTGGGTGAAAGATACAAACTCCAAGACCATCAATGCTTGAATTCAGGAATCATAGGTGAGCCAGGGATGGCATTGGAGATATATCTAGTCCATCTGAACGAGAAGTCACACGTGGATGGCGCATGGAACTCAGTCGTGCCTCTGGCTTGGGCAGATATCTTCAACCAAGGAATCAATGCTTGGGAGAAACGATTGGTTTGCGTTGAAGCACTTTCTGATTTCCGAAAGGCATCTTGTGCCTCCTGATTCTGTCAATATCGTCGACGAAGGAAGGAGGCTTGGGTTGACGTTTAGGAAGTCCACGCATCTCCAAAACCGCTCTCAACCCATATCCAGTCGTTTTACGAGTATCCAGGAATGAACACCATTGCTATCTCCCCAGGCTCGGATTCCAAATAATGCCCCAAAACCGATGCTCCCACTGAAGGCGAAGACTTTAAATAACATGCCAGCACTCATTCTCCCATCGAAGGGCCAGATTTCGAACAACGCTGCAAGCCACATCTCTGCACCCATGTGGAAGCAAGTCATTTCACTTGCACGTGAGAGGCCGAAACCACTCCCACCCAATATCGTTCTCCCACGAGTGAATATCTTGTATTTTGTGACTTGGTGAAAAGATACGCAATCCATCAAGGGAGCTGTCCGCAGACAAACGACCCAGCTTGGAGATCTTCACTGGAGCAGCTCGAGATTGATGATCCACAGTATCAAAATGCCCTGGGCCATGCTCTGTTGGCCGACCATGCCAATAGAGCATGGCTCAAAGAAACCACTGGAGATGGTTGGGCCTGAGAACCATCGGAGAAACGACGAGTCATCGAGAAACTAGCAATCTGGCACAAGAACGGCTCATTCGTCAACCTCCATTCGACACCGCTGTGAGAGAAAGATCTCACTCTCTGCGTCTCCGTTCCATTTCACGAAATTAAACGCAACTACTCCTGTAATCTTCCAGCCTTTGCAAGCTACGGCGACGCAATTAAGCAAGGAAACAATTGGTTGTACACGATTGGGTTTCGTGAGGCTCTGAATTATCCTTTGCCTCAAACCCCGATTCAAGGTCGATAATTGAACGACCTTTATTCCGGCTTGCACATCTTCCTACGGGGGTCCATATTCTCGCATTCGAAGTTTCTCAAGCTTCTCTTGAAGCATCCGGTACCGTTTTGGGGAGATTTGGAAAAGAAATACGAAATCTATCCCGCAAGCTATTTCGCATCGAATGCCGGGAACAGAGCTAAGAGGTATGAATATTCTCCAGCTGCTCTCTCCACAATTGAATGCCTCGCAAGATTTTTGGCATTCCTTTCCATCCTTTCCATCCTTTCCTAACATCCCATGAGGACTCCCCAACAATCAAGCTGCGTCGACCCATCGAAATGCCCATACCCAGCGAGCTTTGAAGCATTCAAAATTTTGACTGGACTATACTGACTCGAGACTATCCAGGCGTGAATGGTTCAAGACACTTGAGCTGGACTCGCCGCCTTCTCTTATGTCAATACTACAGAGTGGTACAATAGGGTTGCTGAAATTGAATGGAGTAAGAAGTCGCAAGGAATTCGGAATACGATAGAAAATCATGCAAGAGTGCTGAAAGGAAAGGTTCTCGCGCAAGTTCGTGGCCTGCGGTTGATGAGATATTTGGATATTCTCTTAAGATGATTTTCAGGGAAGAGTGGGAAAGCTTCGGGCGACGAGGGCCTCGTGGTTAAAAGTTATTGGCATGGGTGATTTTACTACCATGGTTTCAAAGCACTTGCAAGCATAATGGGCTTCCCTATTATTGGACGAGAAGAGAAACAGACCACAGTCAATAAAGCAAGAATAGAGAAGGAGAGGCTTGACAACGAGCGATTTGTAGAGTTTGGAATCGCAGACTCAAAGTACTATTTTGTCCCCGAACATGACAAACGCCAAGTGAACGCACTATCATTATCGAGAAATCCAATTCCGCCCAAACGACGAGCACCCCGCCTCCCTCACATAGCCCCTCAGCCACAAACCCTACCTCCGCCGCGCCCACCAAGAACATCAGGGGTCAGTACTATGTGTCGAGTAGTTGTGCCCACCAGTCTCAAGAAGCTGAAAAAGAAAACTAGGAGGAAATATCGATTTTAGTTCTAGAATGCATCAAGAACCTGCCCTTTTACGTTGACAACATGTAAGACTTACCTTCATCGTTTGACACTATCAGCAATCCCTTTTGACTCAAAGAGGTAGTCAGCACATTTGATACGAATCGCTGTAGTGCGGTATCTTGGTCCCAGTCGGACAACCCCGCCCATCCCTTCCTCCGCCGAGGCCATGTGGGAATGAGGGGCTCAGGAACAATTACACCTGAAAATTTGAAGTCCGGTAATCGATCTGGCGCTCCGCCTAGAAGAATCCACTAGCCAACCGCCCATACCCCCCAACCGCCCACCCCCAAAAAATCGATTTTTAATTATACCTTCATTATAATTACAAATCCTATTACATATTAATACTTTATAGTATTCTCGATATTCTGATAGCTATATATTTATTTCAAACCAGTAATGCGGCTAGAATTGCTCATAAGGTAGTGATTTTGTTATTCTTGCCCCGCTATCAAATCCCTCACTGAGCCTCGCTAGAGGTAGAACACCAAAATTTTGGGAATTTTTTTAAAGTACTAGGAAATGCTAAAAACTTCCTGAATTACTATACCAAGGTCGCTGATTACAAATATTTACTCAAAATTTCGGTTTTATGCCGTTGTTGTGGTGAAAAGGGGTAAGCAGGTGGGGGGTTTGGGCAATTGGCAAGTGGATTTTTCTACCTTACAGGCAATTCTAGCCGCATTACAAGGTTAAAATAAATAGACAGTTATCAGGATATCGAGAATACTATAAAGTATCAATGAGTAATAGGATTTGTAATTATAATGAAGGTATGATTAAAAATCGATTTTTTGGGGGTGGGCGGTTGGGGGTATGGGTGGTTGGCCAGTGGATTCTTCTACCCTGTCAGGCCCCACCCCCGACGCGATGCCCATGCTGCGCTGCTACTGGAGGCTTCCCACAGCCTGAAACGGGACCCTTGCGCCTCAATCTAGGAACCTTGGAACCACCTTCAATCACCAAATTTCTGTCAGTTGCTCACCACTCATGCTTGAAGGAACGGACCGACTGTGGTGCACTCCGTTAGATCTCTTCCGTGGTGAGCAGGGGCAGAAGTCCGGTAATCTGACATTCCTCTAGCCGTATATAGCCTTTGTTTGCTGCTTAGCGATTTTGCTTACTGTAAAGGGACGACTCTCCTGATCCATGGCCAGTCTTATGAAGCTTATGGCTGCTTCCTTCCTGCCTGATGGTCAACATATGCTCGTATCAAGCATCGCCCGTTACTCTCCGTCTCGTTTTCACGTATGCTATCAACCTGGAGATGTCAAGTGACTTTTTTCGAAGTAAAGACTTCCATTAGGATAATCGCGCAATGTTGACCTCAGCCTCACAGCTGAGCTGGGCAAAACGTTTGGCGCAGTCGGTTACGACCCTTGAATCCTCCAGACCCATAAATACTCATATCATCCCGCTCTGTGAACACTGGCTTCTTTACCTCATCTTTTATACCCTTCCATTATGATGTTAGTCACATCCATGACTTTGCTGGCTCTTGCCGCCTCGCCAGTGCTGGCTTGGCTCCCAGGAGAGCACAAGGAAATCTACGCTCGGGATGGAACGAACCTTTTCAACAACACTGCTTTAGGAGGCGACTCGACTTCCAAACGCTGGCTTCAAGCATCAGGAAAAGTCCGGGGAGTCAATATGGGGTCACTCTTCGTCTTCGAGCCCTGGATAGCAGAAACTGAATGGGCAAACATGGGCTGCGGTGGCCAGGCGTCAGAATTCGACTGCGTTTCTCACCTTGGACAAGCACAAGCAAATTCAGCCTTCCAAACCCATTGGGACTCGTGGATTACTCAGGCAGATATTGCTCAGATGCAAAGTTACGGGTTGAACGCGATCCGGGTCCCTGTGGGGTACTGGATGATGGAGAGTCTTGTTTATGCGGATAGTGAGCATTTCCCCCAGGGAGGCATTACCTATTTGGAGAGATTGTGTGGGTGGGCAAGTGATGCGGGGTTTTATATTATCATTGATTTGCATGGTGCGCCTGGGGCTCAACAGCCGGGCAATTCAGATACCGGACAAGTGAGTCTTATCCAAGCATCTGAGTCTAGCATCGAAATCTAGTTCCTTTTTACGCAAGAAGACGAGTCAAGTGACTTGGGCACTGCAAAATACTTTTTGACTGGGAAGGTATTTCATCAGACGGGAGGCTTACCAATTTAAAACAGAATGCTCCATCAGCCGGCTTTTACGTCGACTACCAATACGCCCGCGCAGAGCAATTCCTCTCCTGGCTCACAAATCTCATCCACACTACCTACGCCTTCCGCAACGTCGGCATGATCGGTATAGTCAACGAGCCCATCCAGAACGCCGACACGGTAGTCACGATGCGCTCATCGTACTACCCCGGAGCCTACAACGTAGACTTTTCTACCTCAATCGCTTTAACTTCCTAGCTGACATATAGAAGGCAATCCGAAGCGCAGAACGAGCACTCGGGGTCACGCAGAATAATTTTCTACACGTACAACCCATGAATGAGCTCTGGTTTGCAGGAGATCCGAACCAGTTCTTTGACTTGGCCAATACGGTATCTCTGGCTTATGATGATCATCGGTTCGCCTTCCCCCTCTTTGTTTCAGCCAAATCAAAACGTAGAACTTACACTATTTAGATACCTGAAGTGGGCTGGTGTTCCAACCTCCCAATACGACTACTTGTCAAACACCTGCAACGACAATCGCAACAGCGACAACAACACTCCCACCATCGTCGGCGAGTTTAGCCTCAGTGTCCCGGATGACGTTCAGTGGACACCGGATTGGGATCCCAGCACACAGCAAGCGTTTTATAGAAAATGGTTTGCGGCGCAAGTTACGAAGTATGAGCAGGATACTAATGGGTGGGTCTTTTGGACTTGGAAGAGCCAGCTGGGCGATTATAGGTGGAGTTATCAGGATGCGGTCGCTGCCGGGGTGATTCCGGGGAATGTTGCGGATGTTGATCAAGGGGCTTGTAATGGGTACTGAGGAAGAGGACAAACAAGTTTCAGATGAGGACTGAGAATATTTTATGGTTTTCAATTGCATGTCAAGTCGACCAGGACAAGGAAACTAGGCCGTTTTCTTCAAAGCAATTAACGCCATCCCAAACGTTGCTAAGCAGCAAATTACGCGTGATTAGAAAGAGGGGGAAATAATAGGAATTTGTGACCATATCAACGCCCCAACCACCCATGCGCATCTTTCAAATGCCGCTTTAAATTATCTTTTCTGGAAAACTCCTTGCTCGCATACCCACACCCCTTTTCTCGACAGAAGTATCGTTCAGGTGGCAGAACCCCAGGGTGGCTTGTCTGAACATGTCTTTTCATATCTTTTGTTTCTGGGAAGCGAAGGCTGCACGTGGGAGATAGACATGTAACCCGCGGGTTGTGCCTTTTTTGGTGTCGTCTGATGTGTTGATCAATGAGGGTTCTTGGGGCGGAAGGAGACTTACTTCAGGTATTGGAAGCTGGTGTAGGAGCGAATGGGTTGGAAGACAGTGCAGATGTAGGGTTTTCTAGAATCAGGTGGGGTGGAGGACGACGACTGAGTTGGCGGGGACGAGGAAGGCATGGGTGGTGACTGATGATATGGTATTGTTGTGTGCGAGGTATTGGAAGGGGGGGGACTGGTCAACGATGATGATGTCCAAGGAGTAGAATCAGGAGTAAATGTGTCTGGAGGGGTTAGTGGAAAGATTAATTGGCCACTATCCGACACAAATGCTCGCTCCATGTTTGCACCATCACTTGACATAGATCCTGGTAATTGTGCCATTGTAGTTTCATCAAGTGGCTGGCCCATCCAGTTCATGTCAATATCGCCAGGGTCAAAAAAGTCAAGATCACTCCAGTCAAACTCGTTGGGTTGCCAAAATGGATCAAAGTTGGTGAAAGGTTGAGTGTACACCTGGTCGGGTTCAGAGCCAGGGCTAGTCAAGTAAGGGTTATCATGCGGGTTGAACATGGCGGAAGCCATGGTGAACCAAAGGTTTTATGGAAGTTTTTTGGATGTGGTCGAATGTATGGGTGCGTGGAGAAGCTTGAAGGCCGTTTGACGAGTGAGAAGGTTTTGATGAAGGCTCCAAGCTCAGTAAGTTTTTCGACAGTTACTGAGGTCTATGAACTGTGTTAAATCCCAAAGGGACAACAACCACAGCGCATATCATTACATCCAGGACCTCCACACGGACAACAGAGCCATTCCCAATGGTTGCATCCGGGACCGGGGTCGGGTGATTCGTGGCTATCAACACCATAATCGGCGCCCCGTGGAGGTTCGTGGCCATTGTATGAAGACTCGCAAGCGAGCACCGAGAGCATTGAGTGATGCATATGGCTCTAAATTTTGAGAATAAGTTCTTGAATGCACAGAGGAAAGGGGGATGAACTACGCTATGGCGGGAAGTTGCTGAGAAGCCAGGTGTTTCAAAAAGACGGGCGGTGGTGATGAGCTTGAGCGTGTGAGAGAATATTTCGGAAAGCTTTGGAGGAATTTAGGTTCAAGAGTTTGCAGATGAAAGAAGAATGCGGATAGACGCCTGGGGCAAGCCAGGAATTAAATAAAGCAGCCACATTTAGAGGCCCCCGAAGGCTTCATATTAGCCAGGGATTCAAGGCCAATCAAGAATGTCCTGATTTTGAGACCAAAATGGCAGATCAAATCAAGCGAGAGGCCCCTCGAATCAACATGCAATTCAGAGGCTCCGCCTCACAGAAGGGAGGGGGGCCTCTCAAAAATTTGGGTAACACAAGGCTACCAGCCAATCTTGGTGGTATCACCGAGCCAGGGCGCACAGTAAGGCATATTCACGCTCTGATAAGGCACACCACCAGACTCGAGCCTTTCAACTGGAGCCGCCCCTGCCGGATGCTTGGAACCACAGTGAGGTCATAACTTCTTGTCACTCCACAGACGCGAAAGGCTTGCAAACCCCCGAGAAACTAACCAATAGACTGAGGAGATATGTATCAAGGCGGAAGAAATCCTTTAACAGCGTCTAACAGAAAAGGCACGCGATGGTGGAGTTGCTCACCGATCAGTGGTCCGATTAAGGCATTGGGGCAGAACGGGCTCGATTCTTCTCTTGGTAGACCTTGGAAGTTGGATATTCGGGGCAAGTAATCGAAAAAAGGCTTCCGCGGAGGTGGGTTGGTTGGCCGGACATGTTCATGAGGTTATTGTGAATGATGTTGGTAGCCTTGAATGTCTCCGATGCACGAAGCGTAACATTGGGATGATTGGCAGCTCGGTGGGGTTGCTCTTTCTCTCGGCCAACAGCTTCAAAAGAAAGAAGACGTGCAGGACCTCAAGGATAGTCCATTAGACCGACCCCAAAAGATAATTGTACTCAAATTTACCTTTTCCTCGGAATCTACCAATATACCAATACACCGCAACTCCACCAACTCACCTCTTTCCTCTCTGTCAATCATACCAGCAATGAACTCGACTCCTCCGCGTCAAATAACTTCTAATATATGACTTATTTCTAGAGCATTCTCGGTGAGTCGGCTGTATATGTACCAAGCTCAATGGACATTGAGAGATGAAGGTTGTGGGTAGTCGGACTTTGACTTGGAACATCGCGGGCAGGGCCATCTAAACCTTCGGCGGATTCTCCCAAACGAACGAGAAATCCTCCCCAACAAGTAACATCCAACTAATCCTCGCAAACTCCTTCGCCTGCTCTGCCCTGCCCATATCACCCCAAGCCTCATACGCATTCCGCAGCGTCAGCCAAGCGCTGGTAGCACCTTCGGTTGGCAATCCCCATTTCTCGACCTTGATTCGCGGTGGCAAGTCTTCTACGTACAGAAGCCCCGCTCCTTTGATGATGTAACCGGCGCTTGCGAAGGTGGACAACACTTGATCGACAACCTTTTCATTGCTGCTGTGCTTGCCTGTTGCGTAGAGCGGGACGAGAGAGAAGAGGGGAAGCCACATTTGTGGTCTCGGGACTTCTGTGGGCGGACGAGAATAGGTGCTTTTGAGTTGCTGAAGCACCTCTTTCTTCTTCTTCAGGTTGGTTTTGGCAATGGTGTCGAATTCTTTGAGGAGTTGAGAGCGCCGATTCTTGATGGCGGGAGGTAGCTCCTTGTCCTCAATGCAAATGGGGCAACTACACTCGAAACCCCAACCCTCTAATAGGCGCTTGTTCAGTGACTTCGGATCTTCAGGCGACTTTCCCAGCACCCCCAGGTAAGAGAACGTGAGTTCTGTACCAGCGGGTAGATCGCGGGCTGCTCTGACAATTTGGAGATCTCCTAGGAAGCTTCGACGACAGGTGGGGTCGCAGGAATGGTTGATGAAGGAAGCTTTGAGCCAGAGTCCGGTTGTGCGGTAGAGAGAGCGCTGGGAACCCGCATCGTGCTGTATAGTTGAAGGAAGCTTGCTTGCTCGATTCCATTCTGTGTCGCTGATGACGTCTTTAGATGTGAGAGGACAGCCAAAGCAGTTAAAATTGATGATCTTGGCCACGAGAAACCTAGGAGTTATCAGCGGCTGTTCTGAAACCGACGAAAATGCACTCACGTATCCACCACTGGTGCTCCGTCGACGGGAGTACTCGGCACAGATTCATATGAGCCATGAAACAGAGCCTCAAAATCGGATCTAAGTGAAGGCGCCATAATCAACTTGTTTGAGACGTCACGAATGATGTCTGCTTGCGTTCCAAAGAAACTTCGATTGCTGGGTACATCGAGCAGGACCGATGCAGGGGATATGGATTTGGCCTTCACAGCTTCCCCGGGAGGTGCCGCAAAGCAGTAGGAAAATGCTTTTTCGCAAAGTAGAAGATCGCCAGCTTTCACTTGTTTGGTGGTGAAGAGACCTTTCCCCCTGCTAGGTGAATCTCGAATTTCAATCGGTCCTGTGAAACTTGTACTGTCTATTTTTGGTGGTCGAAGTTGGGAAGCCATGTACAGCTTTTTCCAGTCGTAAACTCCAGTTTTCTGTTCCCTGATCCGAAGAAGCGTACGTGCTAACTCGTGCTTACCAGCAGCACTTTCAGGAAACTTAGTTTCCAGAACACGAAGAACTTCAGCAGCTTCGTCGAAACGCTGCAGACCATACAGAGCCAGCCCACCACGGTACAGTGCTTTTTCGGATCGGTCCTCTAACTTTGTAATGAAAGACACATCTCCGAGGACAGCATCATACGCTTCAATTCGCAGGTTTGCTAGCGCACGATTGTTCCGCAGGATTTCTTCCTCTGCAGGGGTTGGAGATGACCGAAGCCCTCTACTGTACCTTCACGGAATGTTAGAAGTGAAACAAGACACGCGAGTGCACTGATTATACATACATCTCAATTGCATCATAGAACGTGCCCACATTGACAAGGTCGTTGCCTTGTTTCTTCCAGTATTCTGCAGGCCTCGTCTCTTGGAAAGACTTAGAACGCCAGTTCTCAGGGATTCTCGGATCATCTTCAAAGAGCCAAATGATGTCCGTCGGATGATCGACACGAATTGCGTACTGGCCGTTGGTCCCCACTTTGAAATATGGCTCCTTGAGAATGAAGATCCGATTTTGTCTCAGAATGCTCTGAGCCGGGCGAACATGTTCAGGCTCTTGGAGATACAATGCAAAGGGATTCGCTGTGCCCTGTTCATCCTCTACAATATTCTATTTTTAATATTAGCAATTTCCAAGCGGTAGCACTGGGCGGCGGTGGATAAAGAAAGCCGGAGCCCAGTTCGGCATCAATTAAAATAACGAATTGGATTTGAATGCTCCAAGGGATCACGTACCATTATTGCTGTCATGCGCATCGGAGGACAGAGAAATCTGAGCAACATATAGAACCCCCTGTGATTTATCTCGATCTTCAAATCTTTGATGCTCATCTTCTTTAACGTATTCAAAGAGGCGGTAGATGGATGGTAAGGCTCGCCGATGACAGTGGTCATCACCATATAAGAAGTCATCTGGTTACTAAGACTAACCATCGTGAATTCGTCTACAATCTGGTTCCGTGATGGAAGATCCCTCGGCCGCTCCCCCCTCCGTTTCCCAGCATTTCGGGCAGCTTGTTGCTGGGCAGCAAGGACCTTCGCGACCTGATCGTAATCAGGCTCCTGTAAAGCCATGACTTCGATAACTCCTCAGCTACAGAACAAGTAAAAGAAATCTGCAGCAAGCAGTGTGAAGAATGAGATGAGGTTATTGGGAAGAAGCGGTCTGAAAAATGGCCCCGCAAGCGGTAAGACAGTGACCAGGACCTATCGCAACTCGCGATGGGCGGAGAAAAGCGGGGCATTAAAATATCCCTTTCCAAATACATTTGGAGAGATACATATTAATGTTCAATCCCTTTGAGACAATCAAAAGAAAGGGACTTTCAATATGCGCTAATGCAAGGAAACCTTCAGGGGGAAGTAGTTGAACTGAACGTCGGAACCTGACTGGGGACATTGGCACCCGAGGCTAGATCAAAGCGGCCTGCATTGCAGGTACAACGCATATTGATCCCATGTGATCTCATTCTTCGTCATTCAGTAGAGAAGGAAAGAAAGTTTGTACGTCGATTGTCCGTCGTTTGTCCGTCGTTTGTCGTTTGTCGTTTGTTCGACGTTTCTGTGCCTGGCTTCGCTAAGGGCTACTCAGGGGTCATTATGCTTGAAGCTACGCAGGCATCCGTACAATACGGAACTAGCTCGGCTCGCGGCTCGCTCGGATCTGTTCTCTCCTCCACTGGTGGAGCTCCTTCCCATCTCGTAATCTTCGGATCAGATAACACGGATCAGCTCCACACTTTGCCCCACCAAGCCAGCTGGCGCAAACCTTCGCTTCGTGCTGTGCTGCACATTTGCATGGTGCCGCCATGTACGGCAACAGCACGACTGACTTCCCGTGCTGCCACCGCAAATCCTCAAATCCTCAAATCCTCAAATCCTCATTACAGAGTCCATAGCTGTCTGTTGGCATTGAGGCCCTCACCACGACTCTCACACCTCACTTCACCGCAAACATCGCCATTTCAATCCCGCAATCACTGTGACGGTTCAGCCTGACCGCTAGCCAGATCTCCACCTCTCTCCTTGGCGGAGTGACAGCGTGCAAGCATGAGTTAGCTGCATGCCATCATCCCACGCAGCACCCGCCACACGCGGAGGTACACGGCATCAAGACATTAATATCCCACTCTCCGCCCTCTCTTCTTCCCACGAGCATGACTCAAAGACCGACTCTGACGAAGATCTCGACCCCGAATCGGACGCCGCCCTCCTCCGAAGACACCGCGATATCGACGATGAGGCTGAGGATACAACAGAGTATATAGGGCTTTTCAGGAGGCTGGCAGGACTGATGTCAAAGGCACCGCTTCTTCTGCGTTCGGCGCCAGGATTTGGGACAGGATCATACGGGGCAGTGCCCGTGGGGGCATCTGCAGACACCAGCGATGAGGAAGACAATGAGGAGGCCAGGCAAATGGCCAAGCGAAGGTCAGGCTTAAGAAATGCTGCAAGCTCGGGGACATTGTCTGGGAGGTCAATTCGATCCCGTACCTCTCGTCGAAAGTCCTCCAATGCCAGGAGGCAATCCGTGGAGGAGGTTGCTGGGTTGGAAGGCAGATTTGGACTTGGAGGCATACCCATACCCAATGCAGATGACTCGAGCTCTGCAGAACATGTGTCCGAAGACGCCATCCTCGAAGGTGAATCCGCTGCCGACGACGAAGATCCTCCAGACAACTCTCCATATCCAGAAGTCCGAGCTTCAGTATCTGCCATTGATAACACAAGCCTCTCCATAAATACGCCTCGAATGTGGACATTGTCCCTGTTATTTGCAATACTCGGATCCTCTACGAATCTTTTTTTCTCTTTACGATACCCGAGCGTTTCTATTACACCAGTCATTGCATTGTTACTTGTTCATCCACTTGGATTGATCTGGGATCAGCTACTCAAACGACGTGACGATCCCAAAGAAGAATTTATAGACGGAAGTCGACGGCCCTCGATAGATTCGAATCATGAGCATAATCTACCAAAGCCCACTGGATGGAGACGTTTCCGGTTGTGGTTATCACAAGGGAGATGGAATGAGAAGGAGCATAGCTGTGTGTATATCAGCAGCAACGTCTCCTTCGGCTTTGCATTTGCAACAGATGTCATTGTCGAACAGACCCATTTCTACAAGCAAGAAGTCAGCATCACGTACCAGCTACTTCTTATTCTCTCAACACAGATCCTGGGCTATGCTTTTGCTGGTTTGGCACGACGGTTTCTTGTCAGACCTGGAGGAATGATTTGGCCTCAGACATTGATGTCTGCTGCAATGTTTACCACATTGCACAAGGAGGAGAACACCATAGCCAATGGGTGGAAGATGACAAGATGGAGATTCTTCTTCGTGGTTTGGCTGTCAGCATTCCTATTCTACTTCCTTCCTGGACTTCTTTTCCCGGCCCTCAGTTACTTCAGCGTGATCACATGGTTCGCTCCAAAGAATGTGGTGGTCGCAAATCTCTTCGGTGTTGCATCTGGACTCGGTCTCTTCCCAGTGACATTTGATTGGGCTCAAATAGCCTACATTGGCTCTCCTCTCTTGACCCCTTTCTGGGCAGCGATGAATGTGGTTGGAGGCCTCGTCATTGTCATGTGGATCATTGCACCCGTCGCGTATTACAAGAACTTGTTCTTCTCTTCATACATGCCCATCTTATCTTCAGCGGTCTTCGACAATACCGGAAATATCTACGACGTCAGCAAGATTCTTACATCAGACTTCCTCTTCGACAGAGACGCTTATCACAAATACAGTCGAGTTTATCTACCCATCACTTATGTCCTCAGCTACGGTCTGCAATTCGCTGCCCTAGCATCTCTGCTGACGCACACTGCTTGCTGGCATGGGTCGGATATTTGGACGCAATGGAAAAGGTCTTTGAAGGAAGTTGATGGAGAAACGAAGACTTACGAGCCTCTCCAGGGAGCAACTCAACATGTCCCTGCTGGGACCCGAAAACGCAGACTTGACCGAACAAACTCCGGTGTTGACAATATTATCAGCCAGGAAGATGTTCACAATCGACTGATGAAGCGATATAAAGATGCTCCACTAAGCTGGTACCTTGCAACATTTGTGATAATGCTGGCTGTGGGCATCTTTGTAGTGGAATAGTAGGTCACTCGCTCCCTAATTTGGGCCTTTTCTGACGTCTCGCAGCTACCCAGTTCATCTTCCCTGGTATGGATTGATCCTGGCGCTCGGCATTTGCACAATACTCTTCATTCCAATCGGCATCGTCATGGCAATCACGAATCAGCACAGCAGCATCTACCTCATTTGCCAACTTGTCTGCGGTGCCGTCTTCCCAGGTAGGCCGGTCGCCAACATGGTCTTCGTCACATACGGCTACATCTCCTCGGCGCAAGGAATCAAGTTCTCAGCTGATCTGAAACTCGGCCATTACATGAAGATACCACCACGAACCCTCTTCTCCGTCCAAATGGTAGCCACAGTTGTCTCTTCCATCACCCAAATCCTTGTCTTGAACTGGATGTTCGCCAATGTTCCAAATATCTGCACCCCACAGGCAATCAATGGATTCGTCTGTCCCCTCGCTCGTGTCCACTTCAATGGCAGCATCCTTTGGGGCGTTGTTGGCCCAAAACAATTCTTTGGTCCGAACGCCACATACCATATCCTGGTCTGGTGTTTCCCATTCGGAGCTGTTGCCCCCGTCATCCTCTGGCTCTACGCTCGAAACAGAAAGAAGAACATCGTTCGCAAGATCAACCTCCCCGTCTTATTTGGAAGTCTGAGCTGGATTCCACCAGCGACTGGACTCAACTTCTCCGTCTGGGCTCTTGTCTGCTACATCTTCAACTATGTTGTCAAGAAGAGGGCAACTGCTTGGTGGGCAAAATACACGATGACTTTGAGTGCAGCATTGGATTCCGGGCTGGCTTTCGGACTGGTAGTGGTATTCTTTGGGTTCGTGTACCCAGGATGGATGGAGGGCTTTAAGTGGTGGGGAACGGAAATCTACAAGCTGGGATGTGACTGGAATGCTTGTCCGTACAAAGTTGTGCCGGCAGGAGAACACTTTGGTCCAGATAACTGGTGATCATTAAAATACTTACAATTTTTTCAAAAGAACGCCAGCGTTCTTGAATATCCAAAATTCCTCAAACCCCTGTTCCTCAAGCTCCAAAACAATCATCCTCTCAAGGCCTCCAGGAGATCCTGCATCTTGTACTCATCCTCATCACTCTGTCCCAAATCATTGAAATCAACCTCGATATCTCTACTCTCAGTCGTCGAATCAGGGGCCTTTCTTCCTCTCTGCATATTAACCTTCCATTCACGGAATATCTCCTTAAACAACGTCTTATTGACCACGAGGTAAATAATGCAATTCCACAGTCCCTGCAGCGGGAGCACAATCGCCGCAAAAACATTAAGGGAGAACGACGGCTCGGCGGGGTGCAGAAGCGCGTACACGCGATTCACGGACGCTGGGACCCAGGTGATGAGATTCGAAGCGAAGAAGAGGAAAGCTACGCGTGAATAAGCCATGGTTGTGCGATCGGAAGGGCTGAGGTTGCTGTCGTCCTGCCAGATATTCAAGAACGTAACGAACATCGATTTCAGGACTGCGCAGTGGCCTAGGCGGAAGGGGGGAGCGGAGATCGTGACTGTGGATGCACCGTTCATATCGTTCTCTCCTGGGAGGCTCCAGCGGGGAGGAGCTGCCGAGTACGCGATTTCGTGCTCGAAGGTGCGGGAGCAGAGGTTTGAGAGCGGTGTGGCTTGGATGGAGTGCAGGAGCACGTTGTTCCGGTGGATCTTGATGCCGACGAGCGTGTAGATTATCATGGCGAGGGAGACGACCACCCAGATGGGTATGTAGTAGGCGTAGAGGCGGACCATTATGTAGTTGGTGGAGTACCAGCACCAGAGCTGTTGAGATATCGTTAGTAGTTATCTTTTGTGCGCATTTCGGGGGAGGCAGGGAAGAACATGGCTTCCTTGTGCATGGTGAACGATACGTTGTAAAAGTGTGGATTAGGGGGGTACATTCATGGTAGGTGAATATAGAGAAAACTTACTGTAGCATCTCCGTACATTTGCTTGCCGTTCTTTCTAAATATCAAGCTGAAGACAGCTGGGATGGCAGGGATACCGTAGCAGATGAGCCAATAGATGGGGTTGAGACGCCGAAGCTGTTCTGCGTTGTACCGGTAAAAGAAGACGAGCATAACGTTGAGGGCTCCAGCGCATGCCCACCAGGCGTCTGCTTGCATGAACCTTTCTTCCTGTTAGCTTTGTTTTGTTTTTGCTAAGAAGTGACAACAAGGAAGGGAGGAAGAGGAGTGGAAAGTAGGGCGACGGCCAGGCGAAAAAGTGCTTACCATTCTAAGAAGAAACCTTGGACCTGACAGGTTGTGGCATTGGGACGGCTCAGGCCAGCTCTACCAATAAGAGATGCAATGCCAGCGAAGAGATTTGCAGGTGATGCACTGAAGAGGAGGGTATTCGACGGAGTACGGAGTCTCCGATAGGCTAGGAAAGTCGACATGAGGAATAAAACGCAGGCCATTGAAATGGACGATCCGATGCGCTCGATGACCTCAATGGCGAGATCTTGCGAGCGTGAGAGTGCCTTTGTGGCGTGGAGAGGAGCCATTGTCTCGTTCACGGTTGCGGTTGTTGGATCCAGGGGTGCTATGGTGACGTTCGAAGCCATTGTCTCATTCGTCCAAGGCAAGAAAGCATTCAGTAATGTCATTGTGGCGCGTTAAGGTGCGAGTTTGTCATTGTGTAGTCGTCGAGAATTGGAGTTGTCATTGTGATATGGTTGTGGGGAGTAACTCCTGATGGGAGGTGAGCAAGTGGGCATGCAGCAAATTCGCTGCACAAGGCTGGCCTAACTTACACTTGATCTCTCCCCAAGCAAGGTCTTTTGACCCCAACGGAAGGCTGCTTGCCTTTCCTTAAGCCCTAAAAGCCGACTGACCGCCTAATGGTTGCCCTATGAAGCGGAAGTTCTTGGGTGTGAGGCGAAAGTAAACAAACCCTAACCTGCTCAGCTACTTCAACGGATTTCCCGCACTATCGACATAACGATCTTGACAAAAGATATGGCGCCTCCTAGAGAGACGATGTAGTAGTTTTTGATGAGAATAAATTTAGTTATCCTGCAAATATCCCCAGATCAACCCAGCCTCGCCCTATCTAATCTCCACAAGTCGCCATATCAAATTGAGACTTGCAGACCGCTCTGCGGTCTACCCCTCTAACCAATGTCATCAGTCGATCACATGGTGATATGTATATCAGCCAAGCGGTATATGGAGTGCGAATACATTACACGAAGTTGGCAGTTATGTAACGCCATAGTTGTGGAGGACGGGAGGATGCAGTAGGGCGTGCGGTATTTATATTTCGGGCATTTGCATGCATGGAAAAGCACGATTACTGTAGGTATGCTGCATGAGCTGAGCGGCGATATCCTTCGGGAATAACATGCATGGAAGGTGTGCACCTTCTTGGACATGTGAAGGACTTGAGCTTTCCCCATCGACGGAGGTTGCAATCCTCCAATGTTGTGTCTGCTGATATACTGAGAATAATTCCAGCTTAGACAGATTACTTCGCTCAGTTTGGAGGGTTGACGCAAACCATTGCATTGTTTGCCCACCTTTTGTGAGCTATCAACACTACAACATCCTACCTCACGGGTAGATGCACTCACCACGAGGACTCGTGGACTGTGGCCTGTTCAAGCAGTGCAGATAACCTAAAGCACCTCTTCTCTCGGCAAATTGCGGGATCATCATGGAGAAATGTAGGTCGCCTCGGAACTTGTAGAGAACTTCTTTATACGCAGCTGAAAGTCTTGCAATTTATGCACTGTATGCTCCGATCGTGCAAATGTAGAAACCAAAACCTTTCTAAGAACTGAGCGCCAAGTTCAACGTCAAAGTTCCACTCAGATCTTGACCATTTAGTCCCATCTTACACGGTATAAATGAAATCCGGTCGCTTGTCCCCAAGCTTTTCAGCCTCCTGCAGCGACTTCTCCTCGACCAGGTAATCTCTCTTCCCCTCCCTTCTCGCCTTATTCTCCCGCTTTAACAGGAAATGGAGTAGGGTGCTTCCACCAACCAAGCAAACCAGCATATATGCCATGACCACTCCATGTCCAACCTTGAACCTTGGTGCCTCGAAGTAAATATTGCTGCTCACAACACCATTGATATTGCCCCACCCAATCACGAATCCCAGGACGATACCCCGCTTGTAGACGCCTTCGATATTGTTCGAGACCCAGGAGATGGTATTTGCGATACAAGGGTAGATGCCAATAGCTCCGAGGAAGCAGCCTGCGTACTGGACATGCGGGTCTGCGCTCCCGAGCAGCATGCCAAAGCCCACAGCTCCCAGCATTGAGACGAAGATGTTGAAAACTCCCCTCCGCCTTGCTTTGTCGGCAAGATATCCTACGGTAATTGTGAGGACTGCAGCACATGCGTACGGGGGTACCGAAAGGAGCTGGGAGTGGGTAGGGGAGTACTTCCCTCCTCCCATGTTCTTAATGATCGTAGGAAGGAAGAGCGAGAAGGCGTAAAGCGGCATAGCAGCACCCATGTAGATGAACATTCCCATGTACATTTTCCAGTCTGTGAGTGCGGCCCATAGGTATTCCATCTTGAACTCTTCGTGCTCGGCGCTTGACTGCTTGTCTTCTTTCAATCGACGAAGAACTCGAGCCCGGTCTACTTCGTTGAGGAAGGTGGCGGTATCAGGGAAGTCGTGAACCATGAAGAAGGAGAGGAGACCGAATCCGACAGTGATTATGCCTTCGATTATGAAGATCCATGCCCAGCCCGGTCGCCCAGCTCGGCCATTCAGGTTGTTGATCGCTGCTGCCAAAAGACCGCCGAAGGACCCTGAAAAGGCGGCTGCGGAGAAGAAGATTGCCTTGGATATCATTAGCTCGGGTTGAATTTGTTGCGAACATGGAGGTACATACTGCTCGAACGCCGAACTCGTCTCTCTTGTACCAACAGGAGAGAAAGTAATTAATTCCGGGGTAGAGACCTGCTTCAGCCATTCCTAGAAACCAACGAGCTGCCATAAGGCCAGACCAATTCTCAACATATCCCATTGCTGTCATGACGCAGCCCCAAATGACCCTGAGAATGATTAGCTTTGTAAATTTCAAAGTGAGAAAGACAAACATGATGATAGGGATGAAGATGGATGGCTTCAGCCGCTTGAGGAGAATATTGCACAATGGTTCGAAGAGAGCATAGGAAACGAAGAAGATCGACAAGCAGGCGTTATATCGACCCGTGGACATATTTCCCAGACTCTTCTGCAAACCATCGATTTTGGCATTTCCGATGTTGGTTCGATCCAAGAACGAGAGGAGGTATAAGATGCAGAGCTTGACATATCAGTGATTTGCTCAAGTTTCTCGGAAGGCGAACGAACCCATGGGATGAGGTAGAGGTCGAGTTTCCAAACCAGCTCTCTATCCTATAAATTTGTTAGAAGGTGAGTGGTGAATCTTTGCGAAACATACGATAGCCTTTCTTTCCGCTTCACTCAAGTGAGCATCCGGATCTGGAATATCGAGAGGATCAACAGTTGCCCCGGGCTTCTTTTCATTGTGACTTAAGTCACTTTCCATATCGGGGCTGTGCGCGGTGGGAGTCTCGTCCACCATCCCTTCAACGTGAATGAATTAAGCAAGGTGAGAAGCAGTGTCGGTTAAATGCAGTTGAATAAACTTAGCGCCACTTGGTCCTTGGAAACATTTGGGATTTGGGACTGCGCTGGATTTAAGCTTCTGCGGATCTTCTCCCCATGCAATCGAGTGGCGTAAAATAGTGAATCGACGAATGAGTAGCAGGCACTGCGCTAGCTTAAACTGTGCAGCGTGTTATCAAGTCCCATGAACCTTGTCATTCAATACAAATGATGGCTGAAGAAATGAGGTATTGCCCCGGGCCGATCATACCCCAGTCACCCTCACAAATAGGCGTCCGTACAGAAAAAGGGACCTTGGATTCGCGAGCACATACGTTTTCATCTGCGCAGTTCTGCTGTATGCAAATAGTCATCCGAGCCGGCGAGCTGAAGACACACAAGCCTTGAGGGGGTTCAAAGGTTGGGTGGTAGGTCAAGGATAAATAGAGTTCCCCCAACTGTGTGGGAAAACTCGTAAGAGAGCCGGTAGGTAGATATGGCAAGCCCGTGTCTTCGCAAGGATTGGTAGGGCTGTACTCCGTAGTAAGCTGACAGCGCCGTAACCCCAAGGTCCGGAGAAACGACTTGACCTTGAGTTCAGGGGAGGGATTCTTAATCCTTGCTAACCGGTGGTAATGTTACGGGGCGAAAATACGTGTACATTCTATTTTAAGCACTCATCAGAGCCTGAGGTTTAAATCGGAATGTACGTGTACGACAGCTGAAATGTAGAGAAAGAACTGCAAGCAAGCAACCTAGTCACACGAAAACGGATTGCATGTGGCTGACGGAGAGATGCAGATCGGAGCGTGGTCCGGAGAAAAAAGCACGAGGGTTGTGTCACCGAACACACAGGTTTGCTTTCCAGCTGAGATTCCGGGCATTTTCCCAATCTTCTCCAATGCAGGTTTTTGGGATCAGACATCAATGCTACTGAGATCTTTTGTTTGATTAGTCTCTGTTGTCGGAGGCAGCAGCATGCTGAGGCCCAGTTGTGAAGGGAACTTGAGTGCTGAACTGTGCTGAATCTCGGTATCTTCCGGATAAAAGTAGCTGTAAACTTTGGAGCATAGAACTAGAACTCCGAGAGGGCTCGAAGCGATGCTTGAGCGGCAACTTGCAGGAGCGTATCACATGAAGTTGACTTCCAATTACGAGCCCAGCGAGCCTGTTGTCCGTGAATAAGCAAAGACTATGCTTCTTCCATGTAGAAATGAAGTTGGAAGGAAGATCGTTTTGTCAGATGAGAGCCTGCAAAGTTTCTAGCCTGGAACGCGGGGTCATGTCGGGCTGTCGGCGACTTTATCCGCCAACCAACTCCCCTAACCAGCCCTAAAAAAGGCGGTGCCACCAGACGAGGCGGCCCAGCTTTCGCACACCAGATACGTCTCTGCAGGAACATGAAAAGAAAGGAACCATTACTATGCGAAACCTGCTTCCTCATTCAAGAATACACGTATACCGTATCCCTTGAGCCCTAATATTTAACTGCGGGGCTGTGGTGAGCTCCAAGGACCCCTCACCCCTCAATCGCCTTACTTCCCGTCTTGATAGTACTCCTCCCATTCTTCGTGACATGCCACGCCCCATCTAGAAACTCCTGATCAACTAAATGTCCATCAGCGCCTACCTTCAAAACGCCAATTTCCTCCCCCTCCGCATCGACCAACGTGGTCTTCGCACCAGAACTCGTCTGATAAAGACAAACTTCCACACCCTTCGAATAATCGTACACCGTCCTTGTCTCATGCCACTTACCGAGCACAAGAATGGTATTCTCTCTGACATAAAGCGGTAGGGTATCAAAGTTATGCTTTTCTTTGAACCAACCAGGCCCGTCTTTCGTTTTATTGGTGAAGAAATTCGTCCAGCGGCCTTTGGGGAGGTAAAACTCGACGTCTCCCGACTCCTCGAAGATTGGTGCCACGAGGAGACTGTCTCCAAACATGAATTGGCGGTCGAGAAACCAAGAAGTGGGATCATCTGGGAACTCGAGACACATTGCTCGGAGGGATAATGGGAGGCCTTCTTCGACTGCTTTTTGGGCCTGAGCGAAGATGTAGGGCATCAGGCGAGCTTTCAACGCCGTCCACTTTGCCAAGATCTTCGAGCAGCCTTGATCGGTTTTATCGTCGTTGTCAACTGTCCATGGGACGCGGAAGGAATTACTGCCGTGGAGACGGCTGTGGGAGCAGAGAAGACCAAATGCTACCCATCGCTTGTAGATCCAAGGTGGAGGATAACCTTCGAATCCTCCGATGTCTACAGACCAAAACGAGTATCCGCATAAGCCAAGAGATAGTCCACCACGAACAGACTCCGCTATGGCTTCCGGGGTGGATTCGCAATCGCCGCCCCATTGGAGTGGGAAACGTTGGGTTCCAGCTGTTGCAGCTCGAGCGAACAACACAGCTTCATTCTCTCCAAATCTGTCTTGCAGTGCTTCATAAACGACCCTGTTATACAAGAACGCATAGTAGTTATGCATTTTGCGGGGACTGAGTGAGGAATCGAACCACTCTACGTCAATAGACGGAATTCTCTCACCGAAATCGGTTTTGATGGCATCGACTCCCTTGTCAAAGAGACTTTGCAGACAGCTGACGAACCATTCGCAGGCTTCGGGGTTAGTGAAATCAACGATACCCATGCCGGTTTGCCACATATCCCACTGAAAAATATCGCCGTTCGTACGTTTCAGGAGGTAGCCCTTGCTGGCTGCCAGCTTGAAGACTGGGCATGCTTGGGAGAGGTAAGGGTTGATCCAGACGCAGACTTTCTTGACGAGTCCTAAAAGGTCAGCAAGTACAATGGAAGAGGGGATGCAACTTACCAGATGCTTTCAGCCGTTCAATTTGGGCCTTTGGGTCTGGGAACATCTCGGAATCGAAAACGAAATCACACCAATGGAAAGCTCTCAGCCAAAAGCAATCGAAATGGAATACTTCAACCGGTATATCTCGTGCCTTCATGCCTTCGAGGAACGAATTGACTGTCTTTTCATCGTAATTTGTTGTGAAGCTGGTGCTTAGCCAAAGCCCATGGCTCCAGCTGGGGACCTTTCCAGGCTTGCCGGTCAGGATCGAGTATTTCTGCAAGACCTCCTTAGGAGTTGGACCGTGGATGATGTACCTGTATTGATTAGCTGACGAATCCTTTTCGATTAAAATACTTTACCATTTCAGTCGTTGCCCTTCAATGCTTGTCTGGACTCTGCAACATCTCTCGCTCCCAACCTCAAGTTCAACCTTGTCCGGCGTATCGATGAAGATCCCATATCCTCTTGAGCTCATCCAAAACGGAACGTTCTTGTATGCCTGATCGCTTGATGTTCCACCATCCGCGTTCCAGAGTGTAATAGCTTGTCCGACTTTATTGAAGGCCCCGAATCTCTCGCCCAAACCATGAACCGACTCCCCAACCGAGAGCGTTGTCTGTGTGAAAACGTAGTGTTGGAATTTCGACATGTCCCCGGTCTGCATCATGTTGCCCGGTCCTGGGCTGTATGTAAACCCTACACTGCGATTGAGCAGCGAGGTAAGCTCCTTCGAGCCATCTGTAGCATGGAATCGGATGTCGAAGTCATGGTCTGAGGTTTTAACTGTCGCAGAGATCGAGCCAGACTTGAGTGTAACCGCCGAATCCGTCTGTATGATTTCGGCATCGCTAGTTTCTGGTTTCCCCGCAGGGTAGAGGTCGAAGTGAGGGGCGGGGTTGAGAGCTCCAAGCCAGTGTGTCGTTTCGACGGAAATCACACCGTCGAATGGAGCTCGAATGTCCTGGCCGGGTCAGCAAATGCTGTCTCTGTTGCAAGGCTGTGCTCACGATTGTTAGTGTTGGCAGATTCAACGAGTCAAATCGTTCCAGAATCTTCTTCGTCGGGCAGAGCAAGCTCAATGCGTTTCCTGCCGGGTGCTGGGTGATTGAGTACACATCTTCCGCATACTCTGGACGTTTCCCTTCGGCCACTAGCCACATGCCATCGCGGAACTTCATTGCAAGATAGCTGGAGGGATATCTAAAGGGAAAGCGGGACTTCTAAAGGAGCAAGTACAGGATAGGATCAAAGGAGCTCGTTGCCCTTTCCAGCTCTCCTCAGAACAAATCGATATCTTGAATAGATGGAAGATCAATGAGTTAAAAAAGCCGGAGCTCTAAGCCCTTACCTACATTCCGGCTAAAGACCCTTTTCTACTTGGACGTAGGGTATCATACGAGAATGATGACTTGATCATGAATGTGAGGTGGCTTGCATGACCCTAAAAACGAGGTCGGAACAATGTTCCAGCGAGCGTCCAAAGCAGGCTAGCTCATGATAGAGAATTGGCGCTAACGGCCCGGCTTTCCATCCGTGGATTTTCAGATGTCTCAAACCCCTTAACTCTATCATCACGACGTCCAGAGGAGCAAATGAGATCCGCCGACTACAGAAACAGAGATACTGTTTCAAGTTGCTCTCTTATAGCTTCTTGGTGCCTGCGAGAATTGGCATTGCCATGGACCGAGGAATTGCTCTGTACTTATCCACAGGTCAGCAGAAAGGCAAGAACACGGTAGGTGACGGTACTTCCGCTTTTTAATATTTGACGTGAAGTAAGAGGCATATGAGGAGACTTTGCAGTGTTTTCTATGCTGTTCGCCGCATTCAAACAATCTACTGAGTGTGAAACTTTAGAATGCGGTTTCTTTTAGGAACAATTTTATGTCTGCTAACCTCGAATACCTATGCCGACTCGATCCCTCTCTATAGAGATGCCTCTGCGAACTCTGACGCCCGAGTCATGGATCTACTTCCTGAATGACAATCGACTACAAAACCTCTCAATTGATGCAAGGAGATATTGTGGAATGGCTCAATACGGCAACAGACGAATTCAGTGCTGCGGGCTTGGCAGGATTTGCATCCAGCACAGCTGGACATTTCTATGTCGGACATGACATACCCTCGAACTGGCTTTCGAATGGTATCAAGGTTGCACAGGACTACCTGGTACATAACACAACTTTGGGCATCTCAGCGCTTGTTGAGACGGAAGGGGATATATGGCTTGCGGGTTGGAAACGCCACGATATACAATTCTCCAATTGATTATGCCTGCTCGTGAAACCCCACTCTCATCGAGGAGATGTGTGTGGTTATTACACTGGAGTCCAGTGCTCTTGGTATCAACCAACTTTACACACCACTGGATGATCTAGCTCGGGAGTTGAGGTATGGACGCGTAGAAGAAACATTTGGAGAAGACGGCCACCTTGCCCGGTGAGATTGGTTATGCTTACATCAAAGGCAAGTTGTCTTCAATATTGAAGACGCATTTCTAAATTGTATCATGTCTGCAGAGCGGAATTGTCAATGAACTGTCAAACGCTTTGCCATGTCCAAATCTCCCGAACAAGGCCTCAATACGGGCGTTGTCCATGGTGGAGAAATTCGAACTTTGAACTACCTACCTTCCTCCGTTCAAGCGCAGATAATAGACGCCGGAGCTTACTAATGTTTGCCTATTCTTCAAATGATGGTGTTCCTGCCATTGCCAACTCACATCCTGACCGACATTCTGCGCATTGAGTGGGGCTATAACATAATGGGTCAAACGATTCAGGGGCAACAAACCGCCTGTGTTCAGCTTTCAAAATGTGTCAGTTAAACTCGCTGGATATGGAGGCAGTGGTACTCTTTGTGAAGATCCAAATCTATTCTTTGGCTTCGTCCACTAACTATCGCAAACTCTTCTAGCGGGAAATAATGGGGCGATTGGTGTCTGGACTCCAAGTTTTACGAAGATCCCAAGTCTGGTCAAGTCTTGGGAACTCAGCATCGATATAGTAGATACAGCCGTTTCACGTATTCTACGAGCAAAGTTCGCAATGGGCCTCTTCCAAAACCCTTATCCCCGGATTACTTGCAAATGCAACGTCAACTGCCATTCATATGCCTGAACATTTTGCTCTCGCCAGACTAATCGATACCGGATCCATTACCTTGCTCAAAAATCACAATTAAATTCTTCCGCTGTCCAAGAAAGAAACTGTGGCCGTGATTAGTCCAATGTCCCACGGTTACATGAATTACCGTGACCATGTAGCCAAGGGAGCCCCAACATATCCAGGCGTCACTACCCTTGACGGGATCAAAGCCGCTATCAAAGGCACTGCCACATACGCGAAGGGTTGTGAGCGCTGGTCAAATGATGAGTCTGGACTTCCTGAAACTATAGCAACAGCTTCTGCAGCAGATGTCACAGTTTTCATTGTCGGCACTTGGTCTAGAGATCAGATTGAGTTGTGGGCTGGCTTCAATTCGACGAACGCATTAATGTTTCATCTCTCAACCTAGAGGGAGCAATGCCTCGACTAGTAAAAGCAATCACCGACACGGGCAATCCGCTCTGGCAAGCCCATCACCGAACCATGGATCTCCAAGGATGCTTCTGCACTCATTCAGCAATTTTATCCGCCCGAACAAGGCGGGAATGCGCTCGCTGACATCCTCTTTGGTAACATCAATCCCAGCGGCAAACTTTCTGTTGGCTTCCTACTCGGATCTCAAACTTTTGAAGATGAACGCCCTGTACGTCCAGGACCTCATTGCCAGAGTATCTGTTCCAAACATCCTTCTAAAACGATTTTCCAAACTCATGACTGCCGCTGGCAAGACGGAAACGGCTGGTATTTCATTTAAAGTAGAGGACTTAGGGCTTTGGAACATCAACATGAAGTATGTGGTTGAGGCGCCGTGAATTATTGATTACTGCTGGGAGCTCAAGCGCAGATCTCAGAGCGAATGCTACACTCACTGTTATTTTTATTCTAGAAAGTACCCAGCAATGATCGAGTGATGTTCGTATTCAGCGGTGCCGTTTTCCTGTCCACGTTCACTTCGGGTTGTAACATTCGGCGGCGCCAGACTGAAATATAGTTTCTTATATGTTTTCCTCGCTAAATTGAAAAAGGGGAGGGAAGGGGGGCTCGCGGTGGACAAAAGCGACACTAATTTTCATTGTTCCGAGTCGCATTTGGACAATGACCTGGACTCTGAGCAGGTTGGACTTGAGTATTCTAAAGCTTCTGATATAAAACTTTCGAAGTATTATTGAATGTATAAAAACTTGGGGGGAAATGCAATAGGAGCGGTGGCAGTATAAATGTTCCACTTGAGTTGATATATTAACTGCCGCTTTTTATGTCCACCGCGGAGGGGGGAAGGGGAAGGGAGGGAGGCGATGAAGAGTGCACGGGCTCGAGTGCGGCTCTCTGATCACCCGCCTTTGGAACAACTCAATTCACTCTCAATCAATATCTTACGAAGGCGACGGGCGAAAAAATCCGTCCATTTTGATTTGTTGCGCAAGCGAGTATTTTTGCTAGCGAACCCCACCAAAACTGTCTCTCTCCACCAATACTAATTAATTTAATAACTCCACATGCACTATGGGAAAACATGCTACTAATATTGACAAAGCTGTCTTCTTAACTCATTCACTTTATGTTCACCAAGCTAAAGCTGCACGGAGAGCAGGGCTTGCCAAATCAACTACAACAGACATTAAAAATGCCGCAGCTGACGTGCAAATTAGGTACGACGAGGAGGGATTGCCTCCACCTTCAATCCAAGAGCAAGTAAAGCAGATTAAGCATAAAGAAGGCTCTGGAAGGCCAGGGAAAATTACAGACAAAGAGATAATTGAGTTAATGGAAGCTTATACGTTAAATAAAACACAAAGGAAGAAGCTGTGGCATATTATATCCAAAGAAGAGGGCTTCTTTGACATCCACCGCAGAACGATTAAGAAGAAGCTATATGCTCGTAGCCTTTGCCGGCGGAAATCTATAAAGAAACTCGGTCTTACGGACCTATAAAAAGCTCAACGACTTGAGGTTACGCTATTACGAAAGGATTAGGGGATTAAAGAGTAGCGGAAGGTTATTTTCTCTGACAAGGCATTAATTATTATTTCTGCCAAGCATAGCATATAAAATATTTTACGAATAGTTAGAGATTCAGAGAGATATTACCCTAATTATATTAAATGGCGGTATAATAACTATACGGAGGCTATATTCTGGGCATACTTTATATACGATACTAAAGGGCCTTACCATATCTACTATAAAGAGACGGAAGAACAAAAGAAGTCGAATTATACAGAGATAGATAGGATTAATGAGGAAATAGAGGCTAAGTATCGTACGGCGTTTAATGCTAAAGAGAGAGAGAAAGAGAGGAAGTAGGATATAAAGGGGCAAAAGTGGCCAAAGAAGCATATAACTTGGGAAGTTTATTAGAAGAGGAATATATTTAAAAGGGGGGCATTATAAGGAGAAGTCAATAATCTATACTATATATATAAAGTCCTTAAGCCTTTATTAATACTATATTAGCAAGAACTCATGGTCCAATATTATAAACCAGATAAATTTGAATATAATATTCTTCCTTACGTTTTTTAATAAGATAATATTCCTTTACAGGCAAGCAAGTGGACTTAAAGAAGGCTTGAAAAGGCCGGTATTCCACTACCTGAGTATATTAGTAACTCTCCAAAAATAAATATAATAGAAGAAGTCTGGATATCTTTAAGAATAGCGATTATTAAGGAGTGAAATGCCCCTTATATAATAGAATAGACTAATCGCATATAGAGAGCTAAATAGAAGAAGTTTTCACAAGATAAAATACGTACTTTAGTTATATGGCAAGCGGTAATTAATAACCTCATTATAGAATTTAAAGGAGGGAATGAATTTTATAAATAATACTTTAATTTTGGTATAATTTATTATAGTAGGGGGAGTTACTTTAGTAGGGTAGATTCGCTTGCATAACCAGTGAAAATGGACGGATTTTTTCGCCTATTGCCTTCGTATTACCCATTATTCTCTGCAGCCAGCAATAATAGCCCCTCTGTAATGGGCACACGTAATGGCGCATGGACAGGTATCAGATATCGTGGATCTAGTTTCCTATTTTAGGTAAAGCTTGTAATCGGAATCATACGGGCGATCGGAATTATACGGATTGCATGGAATCGTGTTTCCTAGTTAAGTAAAGTGCTTTGCAGGCTTGGCTAAGTACTAGGGAACATATAGGGAAACGCTCCTAGCTTTAGAAAGGGGTATTAATTAGTCTTTTATTAGAATTAACTCTTGGAATTAGTTATACTTGCAAGCATTACTCTATAGCTTACTTGTCTTGACTACTTAT